TTGGCCTTTAGGTGGTCATGTAGTGACCATTAGGGGTTAAACGGGCGCATCGCGACCACAAATGTGCTAATCATCAGATAAGAACTCTTATATTTCATTATATTGACGCATAACGGAAAGAAACTAGCGGGCCCTGTATTTTGAAACGTTTCTTTGTACTGGTCGCCAGGCGCACACTTCTACTATCGGAATCTCAAAAGCGGGAACCTCAAAGCAAATTCATTAAGTACATTGCTACCTGCTTATTGCTTTCTTTAACACCGAGTAGGGTAATCTGAAAATATCTCGGAAATTCCCTAACCGAATCAAAAGACAAAATCGCTCTCTCTAAATTTAACAAATGGGTTACTACGTGGAAGCGTTTGTATCTTGAATAAATATCTAATGTTTCAACCCACCCACGATCCCATCGAATTTTGTTTGCCTGATTGTGACAACCTGTTTTTTGTCTATTATTTGGTTGTTTGAAATTCCCATGGATGTTCTTTGGAGACAATGAAATTGTTGGCAACAAATATTTGAAGGCAAATGTAACATTTGGTTCTGATTTGAAGCATAAATTAAATTAATTGACATTCTTCTGTAGACAACCATTTTATTTATTTAGGCCGCTCGACCGTCAGTCAGCAAGCATTTGGTGACCCGAAAATCCACAAAGAATGCAAAGGATGACGAATGACGTGTCCTATTACAGACATGTAGTTATCAATAAAAGGCTTTGTAATAAAAAGCACTTACTAAATTTTTCAGCTTCTTTCTCTTTCCCCATTTTAACCCGGTTGCTGGTGCAAATCACGGCCAATTCAGATACTGAACACTTGACGCACTTACGCTAATTTGTATGCTGACATTAGATGACGATAAAAAACGGACCATATGTATGCTAGGAACAATCGGACCCAAAGCCTTTTGCAGGGGAACAAGACGTATTCAATTATTATGCATGATAAATCTAGCAAAGTAATGCAGACAGTAGCTCATACAATTGCTTAAAATTATGGAGTGGCTTGCTATGTGTTCAAACTTTTTATACATTTCTCTTCTCTTTATAATTTTTAAAACTCTACAAAAATTTCCTCCAAAATTCAATTCCAACAGATTCGCAGAAAAACAATAACTTGTGCCTGGTGCCCCCAGTTCTGACGTTCTTGGAAGTGGAGTTGGTTGATTTGCAGCGCCAATATTGGAGTTTACCAACCAAGAGAATGAATTTGAAGGTTAGAATGAGCAACGATGCTGGTTTCCTCGATTGGGCATGTTTGCAGCCAGAAAAAACAGAACCGCGGGAAAATGTGCTACTCTTCACATATTCCAGGCTGACTTGTAAAGTGAAGGGCGTAGCTTTTCACAGTACTAGTAAAGTTTCAGAAAAAACCGATCATCTGCTGTTATGTGAACTTTTTATTCTTTTGACTGATTTTAGGTTTGGGACAATATGTCTCCTTTTACTGAGACAAATTTAAGGTAAAATTTCGAGGCTGGATATAAAACAAAAATGACACCCCCCCCCTTGTGTAAAGTATATGTAAAAAAGGCTCGCGGCCCGATCTGACATGAAATGGTACAGGATTTTCCCGCATCCTCTTTCTTGAGCATGTTCCCCCTTGTTTTACGGAAATACCACAGAGTAATAAACTAAACATTGTGCGGGTCCAGATATTACCAAAACAAATGAGAGGGCTACTGAATTCAGGAGGTTCTGAGTTGCATCACTCTCGTGGTGGACTAGGACATCTTTTCAGTCCGACCTTTATGCATGACCAGATGACCTTTGTATTCTAATTATAGCCGCTTGTTGCTTCGTTTCAAAAGACATAATGTAAACAATGTTGGTGTTCTGCCTTATCATCGCTTCCAAAACAATAAAAGATCTGTCTTCCTGCTGTTTTGATTGCTCGACATGTTTTATTAACCCTAGATACTGATAACAGTAGGTAGTGTAGTATCTATTTTGCAGGGAGCAAACTTCGAAAACATATAAAAACTGGCACTGTACACGGCAGAAAATGAAATCATTGGTCACGTGACAACAAACGCTTCTTTAAAAGGCTCAAATCGAAATGTTGAAGTTTAGAGCTTAGTCCAGCAGGATCTATCGAGAATACAAAAGGTGCCATGTTTTTGCATTTTTAGAGTATATGCCTTATCTTCATAGCCATAAAACTTCATTAAGGCGAACTTTACTAGTTTATTCTTTTGGCCCATCCGTGAAATTAAGATTCGCAAAAACACTTTCACACCGATCCACAAAAATAGATTCCCACGAATTGTGGAAAAAATATATCCGCCAAAATAAATTCCCTGATGCTAAATTTGTATAATTTGTCACTATTCACTAAATTAGATATTGGCGGTGGGTTTCTGTTTCCTTTAGAAAAACTTTTTACATTTTTGACCACATTAAATGCCAAGGAATAACTTAAAAACGTCTATTTTTGATTATCGGATGTTGCTGTAAGGAGTACTTGTCTCCGTAATTATTTTCTCTTATACCTTTGGAACAACAGATTTAATAGGATAATTCTATTGCTTTCTTGCGTGACAGCGAAATCCCACATACGAAAGCCTAAAGTGAATACCTTCAACACGAGCAGGACACGACATAAACTTCTTAAGACGTTTTTGCAAGCGAAGACTTGTTACTTGCTTCCAAAGGTATCTAACGCATTTCTTTTTCTATCTTTGGTGATGCTAAGTGAAGATGTTCTCCAATATTTTCAAGAGGAGATAACACTAGCCAAAAGATATTTTGGCAAAAAATAAAACGAACTTATAAACTTTGGAAAACAATGCTCAAGGTTCCTTGCTTCTGATCTCTTGCATCTTTGATCAGAGATATACTGCTGCAGAGATAAAATTTCAAACGAGACCATGCAAAAAGTAGTCAAGGCTGATTTTGTGGCTGTATTTGTGCATTAGATAGTAGAAGGAAGTGTGGGGGAATAGGATAACCCCCACTTTTTATTGAAGTATTGTTCAAGAAGAAGCCCCCACACCAACAACTGAATTCCTGTATATGTACCATTTCTAAAAATTATTCTCAACCCCCCCCCTCCCCCTCATTAACAGGACCAATCATATTGTAAACTGTAATCACGTGATATGTCAATTATAATTAATAGAAGTATATAAATCAAGAGATTGGAAATAAAAGGAGATGGAATTTTGATTTGAATACAGAAGAAAATGGTGGTCTCTTTTCAACCTCTACCGTTACGACGTATCACACTCATAGATGATCATCTCAAAGTTGGATAACTGCCTGTTAGTTAAGCAAAAGCTGGGGGCGAGCGATTCCCCCCCCCCCCACCCCACCTCACACCCCCGCAAATTCCGGAAATGGTACATCAGACATGAAAAGGTTTAATCAAATTAACACTCATCTAGGAAAGATAACCTCCTTGGAACCCAAAGCAAAAAGGTACAACACAAAGATAACAAATACGATTAATCAATCATATTGAAATAAGCAACCATTATCAATTATTTTACGAAGAGAACATTGGAAACATGAAAATGATTCGTGACTTTTTAAAGACATTGGGAAATGAATAACTTTTAGAGCATGGGACCGACAGAAAAGACATTTTAAACGACGTTTTAGCAGTAAGAGAGGATGAAATTGCTCAATCTGCTGACAGATAAGGTGAATAAATATGATAATGGTGATTGAATTGACGAGTACAGAGAAACAGGAGATTTTCAATTCTCCAATCAAGAAGCCCAAACTTGCACAAAAAACTATGGTACCAAAGTACCCTATATGGTACCCTATTGGATGGCACTCTTGAGAAGAAACTTTAAATATTGATTTCAAAAGTCCCTTGCTTTCAGGGGCAAAGCTCTCCGTGGAAAGCTCATGCACCTTTCATGGAAGTACTTTAATTTGGTGGAATTGCCACTTGCTTTGCTTGTTGCTTCAGAAAAGCTTTTGGCCAAGGTGGACCAATAAACATATCCAGCTTCTTCAGTTTCCTTAGTGTATCATAGCATTAAGTCTGGGAAAGTATGTTCTGTGCTTTATTGCTCCGCTCAAAAAATGTAGCAAGAAAAATACCGCAAGCATATAAATACAGGGTAAAATTTGTTATTGCAACATGCGCTGTTGTTAATAAGGTCCATTGTTGAAAACAAAATTTAGACAGAAAGTAAAACCATCATTATAGATGCTCAAATGTGCATCAAATAGTTACCTTTCGAGCTAGAGGCATTCGATACCCCTCTCTCTGAATAGCGTTCCTCTGTCTTTGCAGCAATCTTTCTATCAAACCTCGCCATTAACGAAATACTTTATACTTTATTTTCTAAGTTCCGAGAGATCAATAGACCGGTGGTTTCCTTTTGAAAAGTATTTTTCTAGTGATGCGCATCAAGGTAACAACATTTTATTCCCTCGATACAGGAAATTGCAAGAGGGTAAATACAAGTCGATTATTGACGCAAATGGCAACTCAGATTGCGCAACATGGAACACACTTAAGTACACAAGATTGTATACACATGTTTGCTTGCCCTGTAAATTTCTTAGTTTCAGCAATGTTTAGTTTCAGCATTTGCTCTCAGACATGATTTCAGCGATTGCCATTGATTCTACTTTTAAAGCTTGCGTCATAATGATATTTTGAAATCTAGCAACGTCTGCAATAAACCAAAGGGAAGCTGTCTGCTATTTCCTGGTACCAATGACCTCTGAGTCATGACGGCAATGACTCAACAGATAACCTCTACAAGAGACTTCTTAATAGCTACATCAGAAAATTTTCGGTGTACATTTTTACATTTTATATCTCTAAAATGTTTAAAATGTTCTTTTAGCTTAAAGTTGCATGGGAAAGTATTTGGCTCGCTCTCCTTTTAGTCCCCCTTTTGTTCCGACTAGCAGAACTTCAACGTGCGGACAGTGTTAAGATAGATTTAACTATTTTAAGGAGAATTAAATGCAATACCTTTGCTATACTTTGAACAGAAATTAACGCTGCCCTCAAAAGTTGTAGCAGACACTTCGGAGTCGCGTCTTGAACATCAAAGTACCCTACCAAAGTCAGGACCGCCGACAGGGAGGCAAGGGAGGCCAAATCGCCCAGGACTTCAAGATCTAGCAGCCAGCTTCTAAATTAATGAACTCCATTTTAAAACGGAATAAATAAAAATAATCAAAGTTATGCTTTAAAATAGAAAAACATTTTAAACGAATGAATGATTTTAAGCTAATCTAAAGACATCGAACTGTTTGATTGACATTTATATCACATGTTTAAACGAAATTGAGAGAAGTATGAGGCTATGTTCACATTGCTCCGTATTCATTTTTATCCGTTTTCATATCGATCCGTTTTACCTGTTCACACTGCTCCGGATACATTTGATAACGGCGTGAAAACGATGAAGCGTTCACATTGCTCCGCTCTGTATAAAAAGGAAAACGCCACGAACTGGTTTACAGCACTCGCGACTGCTAAAAAACTTTTTAAACAACTCACTGGCAATAATATTCCTCCAAGTAGTGTACTAACTTCGAGTGAATCAGCAATGTTAAGAAAAGTTGTTCAAATTGGCGCGGTCTTAGTATTTTGCTGTGTTGTTGTTGTTGTTGTTAGCATTTTCAAAAGTACCCGTTTTCGGTGTTCACATTGCGTTTTTGCGATTTCATAAGACTTCTTTTTCAAAAGTATCCGTTTTCAAGGTGGAGCAGTGTGAACGCAAGGCACAAACGGATACTTTTTTATCCGTTTTCATTTGAATCCGGAGCAATGTGAACGGGGCCTGAGTTAGCATAAGAAAGAGATAGATCACGAATTCAGAAAAGGTAATTTTCTTGGATTCCTCTACATCGCGGGTCGGGGCCCCTCACTCAAGACACTATAGCCACCATAACCCCTCAGCAGCCCTGCCTAAAGTTTAACCTCCCAGAATTCATTAAAATTTTTTAGACAATTTCTTTGATCTTTTACGTACTGCATTTAATTATTGTATTTAAAATTCAATGTTTCCAGCTAAACTGTCTTTATATCTCTACCTTGCAAAAGAAGAACGAAACAACTTAAAAAGGTTAATTTTAGGCCAATCAGTATTCCACTGAACTTTTCGAAAATTTTTGAGAGACTCTTGGAAAATTCTTCCCTTCTACTTTGTAGCTCTCAGCAGGCTCTCTTAACACAACTATCGGAAAAATAAAAAATTTCTCTTGCTGATGGAGAAGGAAATGTAAGAGTGCTACCTTTTGGTGTCTATCTTAAGCATTTGTAAGCTTGAGGGCCAGGTTTATATTGATTCAGAATATTTACACAACAGAAGACAGAAAGTAAATGTTCATGGTACCTATCGTTTTTGGATAATGTAGATTTCGGTATCCCACAAGGTTCTGCTCTTGGACCAATATTTTTGAACAGGTTCTAAAATAACTTCCTATTACACGTAGAGAAAATAGAAATCAGCATCTTTGCAGATCACAATGTTTACTTGTGATTGGGACAACATGTGCAAGGACACCAAGATTGAAAATGACTCATCTTCAATAAACAAGTGGTTTTGTGACAAATTAATGAAGCTAAATGAAAACAAATGCCATCTTTAATCATCGTACAATAAAATTTCGAACGAGTTCTTACTAAATAATATAGAAACATTTTCATTTGGAACTGAAACAATACATATCAGAGTGCAACAAATATCGCAGGCAGACACTCTCTGCTTACTGTTCTACTTTCCTGAGGGAACTTAAAATGAGAATCAGAAATTGGAATGCCAATGAATGCCACAGCCGTTTGTGCCGATTTTATATCCGTGCATTTGGATTTTGATAATTTGTAAGCTAGTTCTTGTTTTATGGCGATTCCTTAATATTGGTTTATACTCGCTGTTCTTAGTTGGCTTTTGTAAGCTAATAGTAAGTGCATACATCACGTTTAGCTATCTTATTAATTTTTGCCAACATGATAATAAACTGACAATTTTTACAATAATGATTATAATAAACACAAATAGGGCTAATATTAAAAAGCGTTGTTTTTACATATTAGCGATAAATCTTACTTAAAATTGCGCTTGTACAGCACTTTGATGCAGTCCCTGGCATAGCAAGGATATTCTCAGAGAAAAACTGTATGATTGAAAAAATACGTCCTTGACGATGACGCAAATACGCGTTGCCTTGCGCTTTAATGGTTTCCATCACTTCTACATGATGCAAAATTGTGATCCCGATGGATTATTTGATATGCGTTGGTAAATACGACGACCTTTACATGACATCCCGAAAGAAAACTTTACCCGAAATAGGAAATGAAAAGTCATGCAAACACGAGTTTCATTTCGGTTGCTGGTAAAACAAACTGCTGCCTTTACACTCTTTTTTATATAAGAACCAGTAATTTTAAGTTCAGGCTGACTGTTCTTAATTTTTTCGAAAATCTGAGGCTGGATTGTTCTTAATTTGTTAAATTAAGAGGGTGTAAGCAGTGCTATTGCTAGCTTTTTCGCTCTAAGGAGGTGTTCAGGCCTCATTTGCCAACAAAGTGAGTGAGACAGCCTTAATTTGCTGACAAATTTGAGTATTCACCGAAAAAGCACCAACACATCGCTAAAAATCCTCGATTTTGAGAAAAACGTTGTTCAAATTGCATTTTGCAGAAGCTCAGCCTCAACTTTTTCTTAATTTGTTCTTAACTTTTGACCAGTTTTGAGGCTCATGTTCTTATAAAATTGTTCTTATAAAAAAAAGAGTGTACACGAAGAGAGGCGAAATCAATGAGGTGAAATAAAACTCGGGGATGGATGACTTCAGCTCTTTCTTTTGCACTGGCTTAGGCATGCATAAGATTTAATAATGAGGCGAAATGAAATAAAAACGAATAAAATCTACCATGTAAACACGTTATTTTCGTTTCGGCCTAAATGATTCATATGAGCACAATAACAATAACAAATCACTCTGTGGGCTGGATCTCAATCCATATGAACAGACACCAGATAGGAAAAAAACTGGTTTAAAACACCTTTGTCTGCTAGAGCCTAATGGCCCATTCACACTACTTCGTTTTCAAATGAAAAAGGAGTCAAACTAATCCGTTTTTGCCTTGCGTTCACACAACTCTGCTGTGAAAACGGAGTCGTTCGAAGACGCTAATGAAAACGGATAATTTCGAATAAAAACGGAGACATTTGAATACGCTAAAAACGGCAACAAAATGCGTGCTTTACAGCAAACCAAATCTCAAAAATTTTAAAATTGAGAATTCATAATGGACTGGAAGCTGTTACAAAAAAGTTTTTCACGATTTGCTTTTATTTAATTTCATTGATAATGACGCTAATTTGTTGAGGATTCGTGAACGCCTCTTTTCAAAAATGAGGCCACCAACAACGTTTTCGTTGGAGTAGTGTGAACACTTACCGTATTCAAATCGTATTAATTTGAAAACCGATAAATGTGAACGGACAGCGTTTCCATCAACAAAAACAGAGCGAAACGAATACGGAGCAGTGTGAACGTAGCCTAAATTGCAATAACGGTCATAAAGGTTTGGCAGTTTCAATGCATACGCGCTTTCATACCTGCTTATGAAAATTACATTGGTTCTTCCCAGATTAGCAATAATGCACCAGAAACATTTAAGAAATTAAATCTGTTTAGCGTTACAGTTTTAGATCCAGCCTTTGACAATCAATCCGATTTTCTCCTAGATCTCAAATACTTGAAGTCTTTATTATCACAAAGACTTATCCTAGATTTTGAAGCTTTAAGAATCTCTAACAATCAATTACAACGTCTGACAATCATCTAGATATGCTCCAGATTAACGGCAGATCACAGCGAAGTGGACATAAGCAGGACGCATTTGCAGGTGCTATCAGCTAACTTATTCTAGCGAGCAGCTCATTAAATCGTCCATATAATATTAAAACATATTGTGACGTTGATCTTTGGATAGAGTGATTGTGGGTTATATTATCTTAAGTAGAATCAGCAGTATATGTGTGTATAGCAAAATAACGAAAAAATTGTCTAGCATGTGAAATTCGCGCATTTACAGAAAAGTATTAAAGAAATCCCTGCATAAGATGCAATAACGATGTTTTCGGAAGTTGTGTTCTAAACAAGTATTTAATCTGATAAGCTTGCTTGCAACCAGCAAAGATTTTCAAATTTCCTAAAGAGGACTTAGATCGTTCATATTGTCTATTTTGTTTGATAGTCTCTACACCGACTCCTTCTGACTGCACTTTCCATATTTTACCGATAGCAGGTGCACAACTAGGCTCCCGAAGAACTTTGTTGTGATAAATACTCTATCCGTGGACTCTGTCTGTTGAATTCCAACAAGTTTTCAAATTCTAGGCGTGAATTTCATCTTATCATATACTGAAAAAGCTGTTAAGAGATAAAATTATATTATTCAGTAAGGATTCTTAGTGCCCAGTATTCACTACTTTTTCATGTCAGCAATTTTTTTTGACCCCCAAACATTGAGTTACAGTTTTGAAGAACCCCAAATATTGAGTCTCAAAATTTTGAGTTCCTGAATAATGTTAAATATTTTGGACTATCATTTTTGTAAAATTTTATTGAATATCACAACATTTTCAATACCCTAAACAATAAATAACCAAGAGAGATGTTTCAAGATTTAAAATTTAAGGATTCCTTTCTTTAAGGATTCTCCCTAATATTTGGTTTTCTTTTACAACTTCGTTTTCACTTCTCAGACCCCAAATATTGAATTTTTCTTAAGCTGTAATTGTCAGACCCCAAATAATGAATTTCTCTTAACCTGTAATTCACAGACCCCAAATATATTTTTTTCTAAAATCTCAGACCCCAAATATTGACATGAACCCCCCACGCCGTATAGAAAAGTAGGGAGTACCCCTCCTGAGTATTAATGCACGCCTGTAAGCTTTGTATCCACTTTCGGCTTGCATACCGCAAAGCATCCATACCAAGAAGCAGGACTATATGGGGGACAAAGTCTATGCGGGAAGACTTTCCACTCCATTCTTCTATAAAATTCTTAAGAGTGACGTCATAAGATTTCTTGCTTTTAACTTTAATTTTTGATCACACAACTTAAAATAACAGCATGAAATATCTCGGAAGGCGCAATATGAGTCAATTCTGTTGCAAACTGACTGAGATATAGCAAGATGAAACTGACTGAGACGAAACTCAGTTACTTTTGGTTTACTGGTGTTTTGGACTAATTCATAGACTTTGAAACAAAGACGAAATATAAGTGATTTGCTAGGGAAGAGCCTGTGTTAATATGACAAATTCACAGCCAATTTTTGCCACATTTAGCTAATTGTCTACATTTCAGTATTTTAATGTTGCATTCTTTAGGTTATGTATTCAGAATTCAAAAATCCTAAAAACATACTTTTTTGACGTCATGACTCTGGTCATTCATCTTCTACTCTCAGTTTAGTTTGACCGTGGGAAATCATCAATATGCTCTTAGTGTCAGGAAGATAAAAATTTACAACAGCCACCAATCCAGAGCCATTAAATTCATTGTTTTGTTTGGCAAAATTTTAAAACAATTAAAATTTTTCGAAACTTCTTGCAAGTTGGCATTCTAATTATGAAGTTTAAATTCTCTTCTCGCGTGCAAAGAGCAAAATTAATAATAAAATCAAATCTTTAACTTCAGGATTATATATTAACAGGAAAACACATGCATGCTATTGCTGTGTCATTTAAGATAATGCAACTGATAAGATTCCGTGAATGACAGGATAATAACACACCTTATTGAAATACAAGTACCTTATCTTTGACTTCACAAACACCTGACAAAAATCTCATACATTAACTTCTTAGGATAAACCTTGAAGATGAGTCCACTAAAGTGTTCATCCTTATTACGGGCAATTTTCTCAAGCTTTGGCAAATTTTCTATGAAAGCAAAAATTAAGGTGGATTAGAGCGTTGTAATTAAACTCATTCTGTGTTGAGTGGGATTTCTCATAGTCTTTGACTGTGTGACCTTCTGGGCTCTTCCTCGAAGAATGTCTAAATTTTTAACTGAAATTTTGAAGAAAACAACATTTATCTAGACGTTCCCTGCCAAGTTGAGCTGTGTTAAAAATCAAAGGCACGTAACCTTTGGCAATGCGTGTTGTGAAAATCAAGGTTCATTCTCTTGCGAATCGTATCTAATGCTGATGCATATTTTTAAAAGGAACACAAGATTTAAGCAAGAAGCCGGGAACATTTCGGTACATTATGCAGGCATTACACTACCTTCCTGAGGGAAAAGTTAAAGTCTCAAATACGAGAACAAATCTATGATTCTATTGTTTCCTTAGATGTTTAAGATTATGCGAAATGTTATCTGATTTGATGAAAATGAAAATAACTTCAAAGATTCAAACATTGCATAATTTGATTCAAGAAACTTAGCTGTAAATGCAGGCTCTGTAAAACATACGAGTCAGGAGTTGGTCTCCTTTACCAGTTTCTTCTACGCGCATCATTGTGTAAACTTGTAATTAGAATCTTATGATTAAAACTAAACATTTAGCAGTAAATAGTTAACTAGCTGGCATTAACTGCAATTTCACTATGTCACTTCAAATGAAGATTCCATTCTTACATTGTTGTTATTAGACGCGCCTATTGAAGATGAGAGCAGAGTCAAGAAAAGTTGTTAACCTTCCTCCAGACAAAAACATCCCAGAAGACAAACCTTCCTCACAAAGCAATAGAAATTAGGCGTGATTTGGGTGTGTCATAGGAGCTTCTATTGTTTTTCGTGGACCTTCCTCCGGTCAGTGGTCGTGTGACTGTAATGTTTTCCTGACTCTGGATGAGAGAATCACTCTTCGAAAATCTCGTACAACTTTGGTGGAATTGTTTTGTCTGAAAATTCCTTGAAATCCTTTTGTTTTCGTGCAAATCTCGTACGCTATTTGCAAAAGTGAACTGCCTATTGACAAATCTACGAAATACAATAACTGAGTACGGTTTCACAATGTTAAAATACATAGGAATTTCACAGGAGAGTATTAGTACCGGAGCCGTATCTAAAAACTGATGGAATCAAAACATGAAGAAAATATATAATACACGAAGCTTATAAATAGCAAATTTAAATTTCAAGGGCAACTCAAAATATAAAAAGCTTCATAAGCAAAACTAGGACGTAAAGAAATTGAATACTCTTTACTTCTACAGCTGCAATTTAAATACCAATGAATTTATATTCGCTTTATGACTTAAGTTTTAGTGTTTATATAAATACATACATACATATATTAGGTACCTTTGAAAGTAATATTTTAATTTCATAACTACGAAATTTTCCTAAATTAAAATAATTAGAGCAGTAGATATTTACTAGAACATTAGAACAGTTTTTATATACAAATATATAATTAGAACAGTTTATGCGTTATGATCGCATTAGCCGTGAAACTTGTAGCAACTTAGAATCGTCCTGTTATATACACGAAATAGCGTGTACACCTCTGCATATATGGTAACAAGCACTTGGTGAGCAGTAATTTTCATTAATTTCAAACTTTATTACAGTAGGGATATGCCATTTGTTAGGTACAATTTTAAAAGATAGGTATAGGCACGAGGGTAGTTTTCAGTATCATAATAATGGGTATACATTTTGCGACTGTAATCATCAAGACAAACTGTAATCAGATTCAAGGCAAACTATATATATATATATATATCTATTTATATACTACAGAAGCGTGTAACTATTGGTTTGATGTTTTGGGTGCTACATCAAACACTGCTGCGCAAGCCAATAAGTTTCAAATATTGTAGGCATATAGGTATTTCAAAGTTTTCGTGCAAATACCCTCTCTGGATTCTGAACGTTAGGCTAGGAAAGCTTTTTCTATGCTTATCAATAGTGCTAACCCGGGTTATTCCAATTAGATTTATCAGGCCCGCAATCTACAAATACATATACTCGTTTAATAATTGAAACTTAGTTTAGAAAAAAGTTTGAAGCAGAAACTTAATTGAACACATAACTGAGAATGAAAATAACATTTATATCCTTTATTTAGAGCTTTCAAAGACAAATATATAGAAATATTCCGAATACCGCCTTTTTGACCGACCTAAGTTATTCTTTGGCCTATGAGTTAAGAGGATGATATTGCTGCAAAACTTTTGGGAAATTCTGCAAAACGTTTTTGAAAAAAAGAAAAGATTCTAGGTAATCTTACTAGTATTTCGATTTAAATATTTATCAATTTTAAAGTTTAGACAATTATTTTGAAAATTCAACTTGCAGTTGCGTAATCTTTAATATTTTACCGTACTTTTTGATTAGCAGTTTTGCCTCTGTTGCGTGGTTTAAAAAAAATTGCACAAGACTGTATTACTGTAAAAAATTGAGGGAAATTTTGGCCTGAATACTTGATTTCAGAAAAATATCTGTCCTTTAAAAGCTTTGGTTGCCAAAGCTTCTGTTATGCGACAAAATTGGCGTTTAGGAAGACTTTATGCCACAGAATTGTTGTCCATTCGCATGATTGCACAGAACTACAGTGCTAGTGTATTTGCTCGTCATGAAAACCCTGTAACATAACCACAAAATCTCTCCTCCCTCCGCGAGCTTCAAGCTCTTGGGATTCGGGTGAGTGCCAATTACTTCCTTAAAAATATACTCAAATAACTAACTAGTTTTACTTCAATAATTGTTTTACATTAAAAACCGTTTACATGCGATAAATACACGGTAAAATGACTTATTAGTTTCACTTCAATGCAACAATAATTGTTTTACATTACAAAAAACAGTTAAAATGCGATAAATATATGGTCAAGATAAGCCTACTGCAATCGAATTTTTTAATTCGCAAATATTTATTTGCCATCAGCTGCAATCGCAAACCTAATTGGAAATTCATTCATTCGGCAAGCTCAGCATCATATTTATTCACAATGCATCATCGTTTTCTCCTTTCTTCAAAACGTTCTCTGTTTGCTGACTGTTTTTATGAGCGGGCTCTACCTTACCCTTCCCGAAAGATACCTCATTGAACTCTTTCAGAAATATGGCTTTTAAGGCTTTCCTAAACTGATAATTCCATATTCCATAGATCAAAGGATTCAGACAGACTTTGAGCTCCACCAGAGTCACAATGAGGTAAAAAACGCTTGGAGAGACAACGACAACCTTTGACAAGCTAAGAAAAGTAACGAAAAATGCTGGTAACCAGCATATTGAGTATACAACGACCACAGTGAACATCATTTTAGTGACGCGAACGTCATTCTGGAACTTCTTCATTGTCTGCATACCTGAAGATTGCTGGTTTGCTTTCTGGCGAACGGGATGTGATTCTATGTCGTTATCAGCAGTAGTGATTTCCTTGCCTCCTTCGTTTATCCTTTTCTCCTCAAATCTTCTTCGATGCACAAGGCTGATGCTATTGGTGTCATTAGGCTCTCCGTTTTCTTCGGTTGACTTCCGAACAGGCTTCAGCTGCAATGACGTTAGATTGAAAACAACAACACGCCTGTGTCTTCGGAGAATACAAAATATCCTCCCATAGCAGACAAACAGAACAGAATAGCATAAGCCAATCGTAACGAAATAAAAGACTATCCGATACGGTATATTGATATCGGACCAAGAAGCAAAGCAAACTCCGTGATATCCACTGTAATGGTATACGCCAACTCCAAACACTGGGAGACAGGACACCAAGAGAGATGTTAGAAAGAGAATGATAGAGAAAAACATGACACGGCCACGTGAAGAAATCTTAGAATATTGAATCGGCCTAACTATTTTGAAGTATCTAACGACAGCAATAGCAGAAAGCAAAATGGCGGAATGAAGATAGGTGAAAGCAGAAACAACTCCCGAAAGCTGACACAGAAAGCCGCTTCCAATAGATTTTTGCTCAAATTGGTTGAACGCCTTGACAGGGAGAATAAAACAAGCTTTAACGAGGTCAACAACGGCTAGCTGAAATAAAAAAAAGTTGTTCACATTTTGAAGAGACTTGGTCTTCAAGAATGCATAAATCACAAGAACATTAATGAGTGTACCTACAACAAGAGTGCAGACAGTAATTGCTGCGTTCACTGTCACCAAAGTATCGAGCATATTGCAACTTTTACAAATCTAAAATATTTTCCGTGGTTGCACCAGCGTTTGACTCTAAAACACCAAACCAACTTATCTTTACTCTTCTTCTCCTCCCGCCTTATCCGCTGCCTGTATAGTCATTGCCAATCTCTGATGATTCTCGATGACCTTTCTTGTTACGTGAAAAGCAACACGTATGCACTCCTCTTGTTTTCTTTTACAGCTTTATCCAACACTATGGAAATGTTTGCTAATAGATATTGACTTACTAATTAATCTTCCAGAATTACTGCTTCGCTTCTGGGTACCATTCCTTGATTCATTTTTGTTGATATTTTCTATAACACAAATTTGCATTTCCAAACAGTGGGCAGCTTTCCATCGGCTTTTGCAACCAGACAATCAATCCAAGGCCATTTAACAAAAATGCAATTAGTCGTTAGATCCAAGGCACTTCTCAACAGGCGTTGAACTTGAAGTACCTTCGACAGCACCAAACCATAACCGCGTAGATCAGACGGGTCTGCTTTCAAACGTACGGGTTTCCAATTAATCTGAGATATTCCTTGCAAAAAAAACTTGATCTGCCGTCCTACGCTGTGACGGTTGGAATATAAATCAAAATAACGCGCAAAATTTTGCTGTGACGATAGTCACAAACAGAGATAATCGATTTTTGAGTGCTCAAAAGCCGGCACCATTTCTGCAATATTTCCAGATTCACAACAGAATTGCACAAAATATGACTGTTTTACTATGCATCCATCAGTAAGAGATTTGCCGACAGCTTGCTTGACTGCTACATCTGCTTGAAAACCTGTGTAATTCAAAACTGAGTTGATAGGTAAAGAAATGGCGAAATGGAATTCACAATTTAATGTGATAAGCGTCTATATGATTTCCGAAGACATTGTTAGCTTCTGTTTGCTATGTGACAAAAAATGAAAAGCATTTAATGTCGGTAGTTTCAAACTCGAAATAATGATTACTGTTTGCCTAAAAGAACTAAAATTTATGATAATAATGGATGCATCCATGTGCGACTTTGAGTGGTTTGCTAAGTAAATTTGCTGTTGCACCTGTTTTTCTGAGACGTTGTTCCAAGACACCGCGGTCATGCATCCAGAGTGATAAGCAGGTGAATTGCAATGTCGGTAAAACAGGGTAGTGATCAGACTTGTAAGTGTAACAACTGAGGGCAGAGGGGCTCTCCCCCCCAAATTATTTGGTATAATAGACTGCCGTTTATCGGTCTATGACATCACGTAACGCCCCCTCACCCCAATCACAAACATCTAGGTATGGCAATGATGGTGAGTGCACTGCCCTCATCTTACGGTCCTATTCTTTGATTCGTGTCGCAACAATCGAGTGAAAGAGGTTTGGAATTGCCAATGTTTGTTCTATTTAGATGAGATCAGGGTTGAAATGGTTTTTCACAGCTTTTCGGTTATGTTTTCAATTTCTCCAATAAAATTCACATTAAATAACCAAATCTGTATTCTAACAAACTTGCTAAATTTTCATGCCCAGGTCAGGAAAAGAAGTTCCGGGATACGTGATTTGAGGATCAATTATTTCCTGGTTTGGCCTTTGATACTCCCTCTTGACAAGATTGGTGATCTGCAGCACCAATTTTGGAATATTTCTTTCATTTTTGCTCTTATTCTAGTATTAAATATCTCGTGTGCAGAGTCATGAATATTTGCCATTAAGTAATCCACAAAACACCCCATAGACAGCAATGTATAATAGGTGGTATGTATGGGCATATATACCCTTATCATCGTTTGTGTAAAGTGTTAAATTAATCTTGAGTTACACTTCAAATGCAAAACCACATCTTTGTAAAATTTCATTTCCCTTGTTAAATTTGGGGGGGGGAGGCAAAACATTATATGCTCTCGACCAAATTGAAAAAATATAATGCAACTCTCATTAGACCATTGTTTCATTTAAACAGAACAACTATGTGGATTTTCATTTAAAAAGTTAGATTAATGTGAGGAATGTTATACTTAACGTAGGGAATTTTTCTCCACAAAGAGCAGAGAATTATTATTGCTAAAAAGATACTCAATTGAAACAGCTGTTTTGCTGCAAAGAACGTGCCACAAATTTTGAGCTTAAAAAGGAAAAATTCAGCTGCAAGAAAAAATTGAAAGACCATGAGATCTGGAGGACATTAAACATGCAATTTAGTGCACGCTTAAAAGCACTGACCTATATCTTTCTTTTATTTTCAATGTATTTACTGCTTCGTCAGAATCTTACTACCAAAAAAGCAAACTCTTTCACTTTAACATACCACAGTTTCGAGATTTCATCTCATAGGCAAAAAAAGAATGTAAAAGATATTTGTGCCTCAGTCCAAATAAATTCTTACCTCAGCCCATAAATAGCTAAACAGTTATCTTTTCTTTCATATAATTGTTTATTTGTAGATGAGTAAAGATTGCACCAACTGAGTTGACGATAGGCATATTCACAAACAACAATTTTTTTACAATACTGATTTTATACTTAATTTGTCTTCAAGGAGTAAACATGAAGCAATATTCTGACACAAAAAGAACAAAGCCATTTCATTACAAAACTATTAATATTAACATATGTAAGGTACATTGGTGATTCAAGTTTCTCTAGTTCCATACCTCTGAGCTTAAATACTTGGCATCTGGTTTTCTGGAGTGAAAGACACTGATATTTTTATATTCTGGCAAACTTTTTTTCTTCTCTGTTTATCATGAACCAAACAGTCTGTTAAAGCAAATAACAGCTATTAAGAGGTTGAATTGAGGTTGGGTAATAAAAACACAACAAAACTTTGTGCTAGACTACAACAAGGGGGCTAGCAAAAGATTTCAAATACCAGAAAAAAGTACTCTCTAGCATTTTCTATGCACTTTTGCATGCACATGAACAAATTTTATTTCCAAATTCTCTATGCTGACTACTCTAAAGTCTGGAACAGATGGGACAGGGTCTGGAATAACAAGGATTGTGGAAAATTTCCACGAAAATTTTCTTTTTCTTGATCTTTTTCTTCAATTAATTTTCACGAAAAATAATTAGCAACAGGTCTGGAAATAATGTTATGAGTTGATTTTGACGATGTTTATTCTGACCTTGAAAAGATCTTAAATTAATTAATATTTTGTCTTGTTTAAAACAATTCTACGCATAGTTCACATCGCTATTAATTGGAAAGTTATACACATTGCTTGATCCCTTAAAGCAGAACTCTGCAGGCTGCCTCTAAAATTATTTATATTTTCAAGCAAATCATATTTTTCTAGCTATAGTTGGTTACAATTTATAGGTAATGAAAAATTCCATGTTCCTTAAAAACCATCTTCACTAAAATACAAAAACAATAATGCAAGTGGCTTTAAATGTAATATAATTTTTTTAGAAATGTTAGAAATTGCTTGATTGATAATCATTTGAAACATCATACTGAAAACTTACATAAACATGAATATAATGACCACAATGTTCCATATTCCAATAAATATTCTCAAATGTCTGAGGTTTAGCAAAAACTCTCTGACTTTGTCACCTGGAATACAAAGAGACTAAATATGTCAGCCGATATCATTCAGAAAGTGCTTTATTTAACTGCTAGGTGTTGGAAACCTTGGGCATGCTAAGAATATTCAGACAGAGTAATTTCTTTTAGTTTTCAGGTTTAATACAAATTTTTACATAACATTCACTATTAATTTAGTGCAGATGTTTTTGAGAAAGAAGCATTAATTATTAAGACAGAATAAATAGAATCAAAATATTAGTAATTCAAGCAAGTAACAAAATGAAACACTTTGTGATATTAATTGCCAAATTTCCCCTGGTTACTAAAAGTGACCTAGCTCCTGTTAAGAGCTATTTGAGGTTTTCAAATCACAACATAAATCAAGAATCCTCCTCTGCACATCACTACATCATAGGTACTTTCTAAATCAATTTTTTGCAGCTTTTTTAATTTTTTTAAACCTTACATCAAAAAATAGTTTCAGGACACTTATAAGCTGAGCCTATCAAGCAGAGTGTCCTTGGACCTTTCTGTAATGTGACCACAACTTGTGATTCTTATGCCTGGAATTATAGTTGGTGACTTTTCTGACTCTTTGGTCATGGCTTGGACTCAAACCAAAGGGCCATTCTCATACTCAAACCAGATTGAAAATAGATAAACATTATTTTATCAATTTTACTGAATATTGGTAGATCAATAAGTAGTTCAAAAATTGTTTTTACAAACTGGAAACCTTGTGAGCACCTTAAACCTCAAGGCCCATGGCCAATTTTCCAAAGGGCCATGGCCTTTTGGTAACCCTTATTGTGGGCTTGTTTTTTTGGTGTTTTTAAAATCAGATTGAAAAGAAAACATTTCAGATCATATCCTCAAAAGGTCACCTCTTTGCTCATTTCGTAAAGCACCTAAGCAATTCAAGGGAACTTTTTGGTTATGCAGTTAGCAAGAAGTGCAACTCGGTGAGCTGCGAATGGGAAGGTAAACTGAGTTTTAGAAAAGGGGGTACGTGCCCACTGTGCCCCCCGGTTGCTACACTTTTGTTTGAATTTAAGACACCATTGAAGCCTTGACTGATATATCAAACATATGCAAGCCAATGTTGGTAACAATCTGAAATCTGTTCAGCATGATCATGAAAGTTAAAGGGAACTTTGCTTTGCAAATCGATTCTCGGTTCTCATCAAAATGGAAGATATTTACTTTTGTCTTGCATGTAGGAATCAAGAGATGCTTGAAATCCTAGATTTTATTAGTATTCAAAATATTCATATTTGAATTAATATTGCTCAGAAATCCATTTCTTCGAAAAAGGCACTTTAGTGTCCCTGAGTTGCCCCCACACCACTAGGGCAACAGGGGCAGCTGCCCTTGAAAAATTGGTCCTTTTTTATCATAGTACAACAAAAACCTCTACAGAATACAAAAAATACTCAATTGGCAAGTGGAGCAACTCAATCAAATGTAACAGCTCATATTTCACCTGCATTGGGCTCTTCATTAACAAATGAATCATCAGTTTGCTTTTTCTTTCTGAAAACCAAATGAAATAACAATGCATTTTCATACTTACTATTAGCAATCAATATGCTAGTGAAGTAATAAGGAAATTTAAAAAAAATCTATGACAATATATAAAATATTTTAAAAGGCAAAATAATACAATTTCAAAAGATGCCAGCAATATATATCAAAAGATGCTGGCATCAAAAGATTCCAGCTTTTCCTGATTGGTCATAAATATGGATTAAAAGTCATTCCTCTCATGTTACATTCAATCCACGATAATTTCTTTTTTTAATTCCTGCCCACTTTAACTCAAAATGACACCATAATGATACTGCTTGAAGCTATTCAAATTAATAGCACAGTTGATTTGTAGGTTTGAGTTCTATTAGCATCACATTGAATACATGTATATTATTTCATCAAATAAGCTAAGTATTCATGACTTACAATTTGAAATTAAGAACTGCACAGGCATTGACCATAAGGGTACTGAAAGAAAGCAACAACACATTAACAATTACGCATCTGATATAATGGTTCCTAAGCGTGGTTCCAAACATCAAAATAAGAATAGTCTTTGTTTCATTCCACATCATTCAAAGCTCTGTATTAGCTTAAATTTGTAAAAAGGCGAAGCTTTAAATGTGTCAGCTAGGTAAAGGCATTTTAATAGATTATAGCCGCCTAACCAATACACGTTTACAAACTTTTTATACAAAACCAATATAATAAAATTACGTTCAGAATGACATTTGTTTCTTAACCGCTTGTTCACAAGCACCAGGGCATACCTACTTAAAGCTATTAATTATTTCCAGTTAAAAAACTCACCAAAATATGACCAGATCTGAAAATATTGCCATCTTTTTGTATTATTATCAGTAGCTTTTCGACGTTAATACGAATCAGGATTTACAATTTGCCAACAAGATCTTGAATGAAGTGCATTGTTTGTTGCCTCGTCTTCAATTTCTATAATTGATTTTGTTCTGAATTGAGTTGGATGGTCTTAGGTGATAACTACCAAGAAAACATAAGAGAGTTCTCTTATGTTATCTTGTTATTGCACATAGGAAAATTAAGGTAAATCCCCGAAAAAGGGGCGTAAAATAAAGAGAGGTATTAAAAAATGGGGTGTCAAGGAGCTCTTTAAAAATTTTTTTTTAAACGATAAAGACGGTCACTTTCAAGTGTTTATATTGTGATGTTGTGATGAAAAAAATATTTTCATGGATCTGTTCCACCCATACAGCTTGGGTTTTTCAATCAAAGTCTCCAAATATATACATAATGTTGACAAAATGCTACATGCAAGTGGGTATTAATGGGCCTTGTCATTATGGTTTTACTAAATTTTTGGTTTTACGAAAATCATGACATTTTTAAATGGGCTGGCACCGCTGGCTGTAAGACTTTGGTTGTCAGCTTAGCCTCAATACTCAATGGTTGCAGTTTTGATGATGGGCAAAATAGTCAATATCTTATAAGACACTGTTGGTTTTTGAAGTTCAATATCATCGTCTGTAAATTAATTTTCCGTTATCAAAGATCGACAGCAAAAGAGGGAGATTTTTCTTTTTTTTTGAATTTCTAATGGAAACAAACAAATTGAGAGTGGCTAAACCAGTCATAAATTATCCACAAGATCTTATAATCCTTTCTTAAGAGTGAATATCTAAGGGCACTGCTTGCCCTCTCTGCCCCTCTTCGATGAGGGCAGGAGGGGCAGCCGTCCCTGCAGCCCCTCCAGAGTAGGCGCCCCTGGTTTTAAGGTAATTCTGGGAGGCGCGGATCCGAGTTGGATTCACCATATGGATTAACGGATCAGAGCGTTCATGCGACCCTCCTTTGTTCATTGTCTATGTGGACGATAACAGTTAAAACAGTTATAAAATATCCTTTTCAACTTTATGCACATCATTCTTCAATAGTTTTAGATAATGATTGGGCTCACGAGAGAGGTACTGGCCTCTGAAGAAAAATAAGCTATCTGCAAAGTTTAAATAGCATTAAGTTTGTTTAATATGATCAAAATCATTTGTTGGAAATTTTGGAATTTACTTCAAACACATACATTGGGAATAGAGATGCCTTGGAGAAGTATAGCCAATATTCAATCGATATGCTATAAGACATTGAAAGATGTGAAATTTCATACAAAAAAGGTACTTGCAATAATGATGCATCATTACTATTGAAAATTATGTTAAAATGCGTATGAAGCTGGAGAATTAGCTTAGTGTACTTTACTGGTATATTGGTCTTTCATGTAAAATTTTTAAAATAGCCGAGGGTCGATCTATGAATTTTGCTTTTGCAGCTAACCCATTTAAAAAAAATAAAAAATATCGAACGCACCCATAAAAATGAGTTTGATTTGTAACGGTCTTTGATGTAAAGTTACGAAGTAGATACCAAAACACGGTTCTCACAGGCAAAAATATGTACTAACTTTGAGAGTCATTACAATTAGTGGTTGGTAAAATATGTCTTATAAAAGTCTTGTTAAATCACTTATCACATAAACGATTACTGTCAAATACCCAAGCTTTTTGCATCACCCAATAAAGCTTTCATTTCATGGCTTGGGCTCACTACTGACCAAAATTGTGATCAAAATTGGGATAAATTTTCATCCTTTACTCATTGCATATACTGATTTTTCTAGCAAAACAATAAAAAAACTTCAAAACAACAGACGGAATACATTTGGCTTTTATGCTCTAAGAGTACCCACGAAGTTTGGTACGAAAAGCAAGCTGCCACGATCTTAGGAATACGACAGTCATAACAACGATGACACATAGGCTGAAATTTTGTATTCTGTTGGTTCATGAAAAGTAATATCACAGGAAAAAATGCTACTATAAACAATACACAATCGGATATTTTTATACCTATTTGCCGTCAACATTAAAGCAACAAAAAACACAATTTCGACGCTTAGTAATTAACTATTATCAGCTTTGAGTGTATTGCTCCTAATTCTTACAGAAATTTCTCATATATGATCATAAATGCTAAAGTCTTTTACAACTTACTTTCTGATATATTTGTGGTATACACGTTAAACATTCGGCTCATAAAAACCTTTAAGATTCTTATTCTAGTGAGATCTTCACTACAAATAACAAAGGACATGGTTTATATACAAAAAATCTACAATACAAACTACTGACCTTTGCTGAATAAGATTTGCTACAGACATATTATATGACAATACTCTGAGCAATGACTTAGGACCCAGATATAAAGTTACAATGCTAAAAAATGCATTGTCGATAGAAAACCATGCCAATTTCTAAACTAATTTCACAATTTCTAAATTTCACCAAAAATACGGTTTATCGAGTATGCTTTCTCCTCGTTTTCTCGATAAAGGAAAATAAGGAATTGCCGATTTCATGAAATGTAGGCCGCTTCTCGGGTCTGTGGATAGAAGAAAAGACTCAATAAAAACATGAGAAAAAACCAGAACACAATCGCTACCTATCTCATCCGGAAAGAGGGAAGAAATTGCTTAATTATTAGACTCCAGTAGTGACTTTTTATAGGCACGCGGTACTGATTGGACAACTTTACAGGTCACGTGCTTTCGTTTTTCTGATTGTCCATTTCGAAACTGGGTATGTATTTTTCATGATGTTCTTTTGGACTTTTATTCTGACATTTAATACTCTGAGGAGTGTCAGACGAAAAAGCTTTTAGTATGTTGTAAAATGTTTGCTTTTTTCAAGGCCTTTTAAAAAACTAGATAGAAAACTTAGAACAGTCAAAAAACGGAAAGGAATGCAATGTATCGAATTGATCGGAGCGACAGAAGATGAACAATTGGATAAAAATAATTGAAAGAAAATTGACAAAATTAATTCAGCAATGCACTTACTGCCATTCCCAACACCTTTTCATTATATTGTGAATTTCTTTGGGACAGTTTAGCGGACACTCTAGTCGATACCCACGCTCAAGATCTTCTACAAGTTGCTGTCCTTTTTTGCCCTGCAAAACAATAAGTTGGCATGGAAACTATTTTCACTCACAAGAATTCATTGCTGTAAAATATTCATCTAAAAAGTAGCCGTAAATCAGAAAGACAGGCAGCAATCTTTTCACTATTTCATTGTTCGGTAGGACAAGGTCAAGAAGAAATGGCGGTCATACAATTTAAGAGTGTCTGGAAGGCAGGCAAAACAAATTTAAGTGCAACACCCAATCTTGTTACATCATTTTAAGAAAGTTTCCAGAGCTTGTAGTATTGTTAGGAGAAAAGATGGAAATTTCCCAGCATTTTTGGTATCAATTTATATTCATTACAACCAAAGGTCCTTTACTGAAAAAAACATGAATATATCAAATGTGTAACCTCAAAACGCGTCATACCGAATACGGTTTTGCTCCATAGTTTAGTGCCTCCCACATTGTAACACCATAGCTCCACACATCACTTTTACTGGTAAACTTGAAGTAGAAGATGCACTCAGGGGCGTACCACTTCAAAGGCCATTTGCCAGCACGCTCTGCCTGCAAGGTGAAATTGCTCAACTTTAAAGCATCAACTGAGGCCGTCAAAAAACCATTTTTAATTAATAAAACAACTAGGTATAATCTATAGATATAATTTATAATTTATCAATTAGGGCTGCTACGCCAATTATCAGCTTTCTGACAGATAATCTACCGCCTCTCGTTTAAAATTTTGTTAGAAATAAGCATATATATCTCGTTTCCTTTTTCTGTTTCCCGCAAAAAAATTACAGTGCAATAAAGAATCGGGCTTTATTGTTTGTAAGACAGTTGAACTTCCGAGAAATGAGAGATGTTTATTTGCAGATAATTTCGAAACAAAAGATATACAAACGAAAAATGCCGCTTTCAAGGCGAAATTTTCGATTGATCAAGAAAAGATTATCTAGTCTGCAGTTCTTGTTTTGAGCCTAAATGCTGTTCATAGCTAAGGGAGAGCTCGTAACATGTTCTCTAGCCTGAATCATAGCACGTTGAAACTGGATGGATAGAATGGCGAAATATCAGGTCAAAAACGTCCGGGAAATCAGTGATTATGCAAAGGTAGGAACAGCACTGTAAACAGTTTGTCTCTATTTGACTATTGTCAGTGTTTCAGGGCAGAGAATCATAAGAATGTCCACCCATGACTTAAGATCCAGTAACTTTAATGTTTTACTATAAGACCACACGGAACGATAACAGCAATATCTGTCTAACTTTATACTTCGTCATCATATAAATAATACCGATACGGCACAGAATATGACAGTGCAAGACCGAAAGCGACGAATTGGAATAAATATTAGATGACAGACTGAGCCAAGACTAAAAACAATCGAAAATTGTTAGCTATGAACAGGATCTATGAGAGACGGATCACTAGACGAAGGGAAACATTCTAGAGCAAACTTACTCTGTAATACTCGTTTCCAGCCCCCATCGCTCTGCTCATCCCAAAATCACTTATTTTTACAAAATTTTCAGAAACAACTAAAACATTTCTTGCAGCTAAATCACGATGAACAAAATGCTGTGATTCCAGATACTGCATTCCCTAAAAACGAAATATGACGACATTTGAAAATAAAAAACTGTAAAGTAAAACTAAAATAAAACGAAAAGATCACAGAACGAAGTATATTTAAATATTTTTTCAGGAAATTGAATACAAAAATATGTTTTAAAATTCAAATTATTTTTAACGTAGTTATGTATATATTTAACAAAAGTTCAATCGTACATCAGCTTAAGATCAGCGATAATGTAATCGCTAAAGGTCGAATAAAATCAGTATGTGCATAAAATATATGTGCCATCTGTCCCCTGACATTACGTTTATCGACATGTGACATAGTTATGATAGTGGTGACATGTCTACTATCATCTGCAAAGAGATAAACAGTACAACATTGCGATTAAAGGGGCCCACCTCGTCAACTTGTAGCATCAAAATGAGAATATTCAAAAATGCCATGTTTCTAAAAGAGACGGATTTTCAACTGCATATGAACAAACACAAAAACATTGAAGTCGACATAAAGCAAATCTCGATACAACTTCATTGCATTATTCATAAGTATACCTACATTAATTGCTTGCAATGCCAAAAAGAAGCAACAAAGTATAACAATATTCTTGTGTCCGGACCATCAACGTAAAGCAATGATAATTCATGCTAGTTCAATCCTATTGAGTGGATATCTACTGCAGGAAATACAGGTACTGCCAAACAAAACAGAAAACAAACAAACTGCCAAACAAACGAGTAGCAAACTCTACTTGCAGAAATCAAAAGCTACTTACTTGTGCTTTTTTAAATACTTGTTAAGTGGTCCTTCGGGAGCTAGCTCCATAACAAGCATCATTTCAGTCCCCTGTGTTACACCTGAAAGAATAGGTTTGAGATTGAGGCCATTTTCATTACTTAAGGGTAAGTGGGGTCAACAACTACTGTTGCATAATCAATCTTTAAAGAAGATTGTTTATATTTCATCACCAATCAACCAGGAAAGTTACAACATATGTCGTTGGTTTTACGCTGCAAGTAACTAAGGACTCGAATTTCCAGATCACAGTAGCCGTTTTAAGCTTGATAACTCTTAGCATTACCATGAAACCTTTGCAAACAGAATATATAAATAATTTTATAGGTTACAGACACAATCATGGAAAAAACTCGATACACACTGAAAACATGATGACACAATTGAAATAAAGTTTCCATAGCTTCATCCCTTCTGTGACATCACAAAAGCATAACTTAAACGCCGTGTGCGAGGTACCACGTTTCAAACATTTATAATAAATGAAATAATTTTCTTTACATTATCATAATAGTAAATTACATCTTAAATGATATCTTACAAGCAATGTTATCAATGCAGTGGGTGGATAACAATCTTGACGCGTTAGATGAAATTACATTTGAGCTATGTAAGCACAATGCACATACCTTTATTTATATAGATTTCAAAAATGATATTGAAAAACAATACATAAAGTAAACATACCAATCATTCTAACAATGTTTGGATGATCCAGCTTTGCCATGATCTCTGCCTCGTGTATGATTTCAGACTAAAACACAAGAGTCATGAATGAATGATTCAAATTATATATCTAAAATATTTCTGAAAATCAAGCTTTATAAAACCTCTCTGGTTATCTCTTCATAAACTATCTAAAGACACAGAAGACCTTACAATATCGATATCAAGATATATTGCAATGCAACATGTTTTAGAGGTCACTATTAACATAACGTGATTTGTTTACTAATCATGGAAGAGAAGATAATTGCATGGTTGTCTAAAAGCCTTGATCAGCAAGCCATTGTAATACAATTACAACAACTATCTAAATGCAACTGGTGTGTTATTCTTCTTTTGAAGTATAAAGAAAATTGTCTACTATGAAACTGACGATGTTGTCTACTGTCGATGTTGCTTAAAGAATCTTGGATTCTATGATAGCCCTGATGTTCTGAAATAAATCAAGTCACAAACCTGTTGATTTGGAATATTTTCTTCTTTCAAGGTCTTAACAGCCACAGCAATCGACTTTCCGTTTGGAATCATATAGATACCTTTCATGACAGACCCAAAGTTTCCATGGCCTAAAACCACCATCATTATCTCTTTTATCGTAATTGCGAATTTTACTGCCAAAATCAACAACAAAAGGAATGCAATTTTGCTCGTTCTTCGAACATGATAAAGAGACCTGACCTGCACAACTGCAACGAAATTGTTGGCCAAGAAGGGTCGGAATCTGGTTATCAATCAAATATGATAAAAAAAGTCCAAACATGTGCTGCAGTGAATAAAATTTATGATTGACACATCTGAACAACAAGTGTTCCTAATACACTTCGCTTTCGTTTGATACATTCTTAGCTGCACCAGCGAAAGATTTCTAATTAAAAATCACACTGAAATGCTGTATTGAAAGGCTTTAAAAATCATATTACAATAAGCTACAATAAAAAATAATATAGAACTTTAATAAATGGCGGTCCTCTATAGTATCTGAAACTCACGACTCCCTCCAATTTTTAACAACAACAACGACAACTCATGAACATACCCAACTCTTCTTGTATTTTTAGCCTCTTGATTTCAACAACAAGTTTTCGAGGTTCCTTCGACCCAAGGAAAGGATTTTCGTAGCCTTCCGTCCCTTTTACCTTTATGCTATCATAGATGCCCTCATATTTCCAGGCATTGCTACCATCCACCATGTCGTGGCCGTGAACTCCAACTGAAAATTAATCCGATTAATCAATTCGGATTGCACGGAGTATGGATTACAAATGATTGTTTGAAACCAGGATCATCAAGGCAAGACAGCTTAGCATTGATAAATTTGAATATACTAAAACATTGTACAGGCAAAACCCTGTCCAATCAGCAAGAAGGAGCGTGATTTTTAAAAAGAACAACAACAAAGTTATTTCTTAGCAGGAAGATTTCATAAGCCTCTAGTTTAGAAATGTTGATAGAAGTGAACTCTGGACATACTTGGCGGCCGGTTTGGGCTCGAAGGTACAGGAGGAGGTGTTTCCGCCGTTAAATGGCTTTGACCACCACCTGTAAGAAATCATTGATTATCAACAGAAAAAGCTAGGAAAAAGATTCAAAAAGATTGCTGGTAGCTACTGGGCCATTTTCTCAGAATCCGAAAAGAAAGAGCCCAGAATGCTTTATTCGCCTTTATTCTCATTTATTCTCAGGTTCTAAAAATTTAGCTAAGGCCACCTCTACATAGGCTAGGCACATTCGAAAAAGTGCAGTTTTATCCAAATAAAAACGAATCCTTGGCTAGGTAGCCACGCGGGAGTTTTTCATTTTAAAATCATTGCGCTTTGTGAAGATTTAACCCTGAAAGGCATTTTCAAATGTTTACATATTCAGTCACAGATTCACTATCGTAAAAACCCCCACGGGCATATTTGTAAACACAGATGTTTGAATGGTGGCTTAATCGAGGGGGTCTTGTTCAAGGGGGTTTTTCTTTACCGTACAATAAACTCACATGAGACTGCCAAGTATATTCAAGAGAAGAAATGCGAATATCACTTGCAAAATCATTTGTTACGCAAGAAACTTCTCGTGTCAATTCCATCATCACCAGAACAATCTGCATCAATAAGCTATTCGTACGGTGCAGCTAGATCGACCTCTTTTCGAGTAGAAATAAATGATCTTCAAGGGGGTGGGGGGCTTATTCGCTAAAAAAGATTCGGAGGTAGGGGCGCAATTAGGGAGAAGGAGTGTATTAGTTGGTCAGGGTTTAATCCATGGGTACTTACTTATTCGATGATGGGGGCCTAATCCAGGAGACATATTTGAGGGTGGGGGCTTAATCGAGGATTTCCGTTATCGTTGTTATATTTACGAATAACAAAAATTGAAGAAAACGACTCCCTTTCGATTTGAAAACCTATTCGTATGTGAAAAGATCAGGCGACAACTTTAAACAATATCCATATAAACAAAAAAACGAATTTGAAACCAGTAATTGCAAGAAATGAAACCCGTCCCATGCATTTCTTGTTAAACCTTCAACTTACAGCGACCCTACTTGCAAAAGTCTCAATGAACAGAAATGAAATTACTGAAAGACTTCAACTTGCGATGACAAATGAATTTAAATGTAAGCTGCACGCACCTGGTACAGCAACAGCTGCAGACTTCGGTCTTCTTGGCTTTTGAAATTGCTTATAGGTTGCCTTTGACTTTGTAACTCTCCGCCTAAGCTCTTTTTGAATGTCCGGATCAAGTAAAATATTTTGCTTCTCCGGTAAGATAGGGGTTACCTGATACCTACTGATGTCACACGGCACCGTCAATTTACATAGCAGTCCATCACTTTTTTGTGTATAATAGTCCACAATTTGCATCAAATTAAGGAATTTTCTCCCAGCCTTTATGGAAAGTTTGCCTTCAGCATCAACTGAGAACAGGTAATGATATGCCTTTCCATCGTGTAATACACCTAAAACATACTCGCTCTTACCACCACCTCGTTCACGAAACAAAAAGCAACCATTTGGATTTCCTTTTGTTTCTAAACGTCTATCAGCCTCTTCCCTGGGGATAATTCCATGATACCACTGTTGCTTCTTGTGAAGTATATTTCCAACAAAATCTTCAACTTCAACTTTGAATTTCAAAACAGCCTCTTCACTCTATAGAAGTTAGATATTGATGCCAGTTAGGGATGATTGAAATAAAAAAGGAAAAAATTAAGAAAAGGAGAAAAGAAGAAGGTAAAAAACCCTAAAAATATCAATAAGTTTCTAAAAAGTTGATATATGTGCATATAAAAATGCCTTGAGAAGTAGCTAGACACAAAAAACAAAATATTTTACTTGGTTGTCTAAGTGTTATTCTTAGCCTTTACTGCCTGCCTAGCCGCTTTTTATTTTAACATTAGCTGCTTTTTATTTTAACGCAGAATATGTGGAACAAGCTCATTTGATTCATCTTTCGATGTTCAAAAGATTATAGAGAAGATTTTAAGGGCCTCTCCAGCCAAAACTTGACCCTATCTATCATATGCTTGTCATTGAACTGAACTGGCTGATTTTGAATCTGAATCAATTTTTTATATCATCCTATATACTTTTTAAGTTACAACCTTATTATATTTCCAATAATGAAGAAAACAGTTTAGCTTAGTGATGCCGTAACAAAAATTTTATCTTGCAAGGTACTTTGCACAACCTCACCTCTACATGTGGGGCCAAAATTTGTATGTGGGCCATTGGTAAGATGGACACATCAAGTGATTATAGTTCTGATCCACTCAGGCAAGCTCTAGTTCTTCAGTATTGTTATATGAAAGCCTCTTTCTTTAAAATTACCAAAGTTCTAGCCAAAATATATCAAGAAAATGCCACAAAACTTAGGCTACGGTCAACTCACAACAAATGGCTACAGAGGCTACAATGTATTATATTGAAGTTGGCAAGCTTAGTCTTAAGGCTAAGATGCAGTGCTTGAGGACTTTTGGCCTCAAAATTATTTTTGAGCAAGCACAAAATGTAAGGGGGCAGAAGCTGAGCATTGCAATTAAAAAGCCCATTTTTCAATTTTTTCTCAAGAAGGAACAAATTTTCAGCTTGATAAAGTTATGCATGGGGTTGCCCTGTGTTGCTAGTGGAGTGATTGCTGTGACCGTACCTTCTTGAAAAGCTTGGTGAAATTTCAAAGTAAAATTTTAAGTACTAAGATGTCTCTTCTTCTGACAGCCCCTGTAAGGAAGATTCAATTGCACTGTTGCTTTGAAAACTGCAAGAAGTTACAGAACAAATTTGTGCCTCTAAGTAACATAGCAACCACTTAAATCTACTAACAATTTGTTCTGTCTTAAAAATTGCAATAAAACTTTTGAAGAGCAAGTAACTGCTTACTGCTTAGCTTGTTTAATTGAATGACCAGAAGAAATTGCTCCTGCCCTGACCTAGGCCAGATAATGAATGTTTTGAATTAAGAGTGGGGAAATTCTGTATGTTTAACTGATGAGGACAATCATACTTACATCAATACTTGCAGCCTCCCAAAGGGCAGCTCTTGAAGCTTCTTCCAAATCATCATGTGTTATATTTCGATAAACTTTTGCCTTTACACCCACTGGCTTTTCACATGGGATAGTCAGCCTGGTAAGAAGCCCATCTAGATTCACTTCATGATGATGGATAAGCTCAACAGGTCCAGGAAACCTCAGCCCATCCGCGATTCCTACAGTTCCATCCCTATTCTTCAAGATTTGGTAATGAACAACATTTCCATTATAACAAACTGACAGAACATATGAACCAAGCTGAGTACTGCTTTCCCGCAATAAATATTTTCCATTCTGTGTTGAATGTTCATTTAAAAGTTTTTCTGCCTGTTCTCTAGATATTCTTCCATGGAACCAAGACTGGGCATTTGGATCTGACATATTGGCCTAAAAAACTGAAAAAGGGATATCAATTAGGATGGTGTAGAATATTTGCATACGAACACACCCTTGGGCTATAAAAAGGATAACAAGGCATGCATGAGGGACTTGTGGTCTGTCAAAACATGGAGCTGTTGGTCTTCTAAACAATAACCAAAGTGTTTGATTGCTAGGTAGATGGCTAAGAGTGCTGTATTTGGTTTCGGCTGTTTGCAAATGGTATTTGGTTTCAGCTGTCAAAGGTTCTTTTGTAATCTTTGGAGAAAGAAGATCTGTTGAAGGTTGAAGAACTTGTGTACAGTGAGGCATAAAGCGATAATAAAAATTGACAAGCCCAAGGAATTCTCGCAGTTTTTTTATTGATGTTGGTGTTGCAATGCCGAGAATCGCTTGAACTTTTATTGGAAGAGGTGAGATACCCTCAGCTGAAATATGATGTCCAAGAAATTCTAAAGATTTTTGACCAAAATTGCATTTTGCGGGGTTGATCACTATGCCATATTCGGAAAGGCGCTGGAACAAAGGCGCAAATGTTCTAAGTGTTCTTCTATATGGAGTGTTTTATGGCAGTTTCCTGGGATGATGGGCATGTGATATCCAGAAATTGTTGGAGTAAAGTGTAGTATGGACCATTAGCTGCTGGAATGGCATTAACTGGACATGGTGAAGGTTTTTTGGACTGAATACCATGAATGGATAGGTTTGTTCGGGCATCAAGAAGCTTACGCTGAAAAGCATCAGCTTGCAGTTCATTCGAAGACAGAAAATCGGCATCAAGTATGGGGAAGGGTACGTCTGCAATGGTGAAAATCCAGCGGTATGTTTGTCGCAGTCCAGTGTCTAGAGTGAGAGACTTTTCACCATATGTTGCAATGGAGGTTTCGTTGACAGCTTGCAAACAGAAATGAGCACAGCGAAGTATTCAACACAATTTGGTGGGAGGAAGCTCACTTCTGCGCCGGTATCAACCAGAAAACGTGTACCCCTAATACAATCAGTGATATAAAGAGGCAACTTTGCAATGTCAAACCAGCTGGACTTGTCGCCGCTAGTTGCTGGTCGGGCTGTTTCCTGGAGCGGAAATTGATGGTTCAAATGGACAAGGTTGTTTGCATTTACATGCTCTGTTGCCATAGCAGTGTGAAACTGTGTAAGAGCTACGACGGCTAAATGAGGGACAACTTCTGGAATGACTGCGCGCAGGAGTCTGCAATTACAACGGGATGTTTTTACGTGTTATAAGGCTTCAGTATGGGGGTCAATTTCGGAATTTTACCCCAAAGTGTCAGAGATTCAAAAGACTTTCAGAAACATGTATGATAGGTTATTTTATGATGTTTTGTGAAGTTTCCTCAAATTCTGTTCACATTTGAGAAAGTTATTTAAGTACAATCACATATTTTTACCTGTTAATAAGGTTTCAGTATGGGGGTCAATTTCGGAATATTACTCCAAAGTGTCAGAGATTCAAAAGACCTCCAGAAAATTCTATTCGCATTTGAAAAAGTTATTCGAGTAGAAATATGGGAGTTTAAGGTAGTTTTTCCAGTCGAATGTGTGCTTCGAGTGCTGTGTCGATTTTGATTTGTTTCTCTAAAAATTTTGCGGGAAATTGAAAATATTGCAGGTGGGTATGGCTTAATAATATACCTAATATATGTTTTGTTTTGAGTTTTTTTTCTGATATTGAGTTTGTTCTCTAGAAAAAGAGTTTTTGCTTCGAATGTTCATCAAGTTTCTCGAATGTCTACTTTTAGGCCTAAGTGTGTTCACTGTCACAACCAATATGTTTTCTGAAAATGGAGAGACTTTCCTAGGATTCTTTAGCAACTTAAACAAAGTTCAATAGTGTGGCTTTATTTTTTTGCAATTGGCTATTGCATTACAAATCTACTTTTGCTACACCAAACCAAAACCCTCCGAATGTGCAAACGAGAACGCGAAATTGTAAATCGCGTACCATTTTATTTATTGCCAAATTCCTAAGCTCTGATTGCCCTCTTAATTCCCAGTTCAGTTTAGTGCCAGAAATATTGGTTCCCTATCAAAACAAAGCCCTTTCAGTTGGCTGTTTATTCAGATAAAGTTAGTCTCGTATGCAGTTAGTTTAGAAGAAGCTTACCAAACTGCCTTCTGGTTTACAGAATAAAAGATTTACATACCTAAATCGAGTTCAAACACCAGAAACAGCAAAAGGAGTGCAGTCTTCCAAAGGTATGTATTGAAATAAATTCAGATAATTCCAGCTAAATAAACCTGCATTTCGTCTGTCCACATCCTATCTGGCAGTCCTATTCCTTGTTTCTTCAATTTCAGGACTTTCGTGTGTCATCGAATCCAAGGCGGATGCCAGCTTTTGTTTTCCGCATCGCTTTCTGCAGTGGAAGCGCATGCGTAGAAGCATTTCCTGAGAACATCACCATGGCAAATATCCGCATTGGTAGACGGAAATTATCATAATCATAAAATTATTCAGAAGCTTCTCCAGACTTTTATGACTATCATAGGTGTTAGGGAGGGACTATGAAGTGGACAGGACGATTTTTCTACCCTAGAAGGCAAAAGGACGATTTTTCCAAATTTACAATTTTCGTACCCTAGAGGGCAAAAGAAAAGCCACATTACCTCACACATGCTCACCCCCGTTTTTCCTCCCTGCATTGCCCCTTCCCTGCGTTGTTTCCTCCTGTAAGAAAGATGGGTATTGGGTGACAGTCAAGATAATATTTAGAAGTTGAATCATCAAGGCTGGTTGCGGAAAAAATGGCTTTATTTCTAAGAAGGAAAGACAAGTTCAAGGTGATGGCAGATTTGACTTATTTATTTGACTTGTGGTTAGAAAACACAAGAAGTGAAACATGCATTTCTTTGTTGGATTAAGATTTGCAAAGGAGTTATTCGGAGAATTTGTAGTTTGTAGTTTCGACGCTTGTAGATTCGCAAGACCGCTGCAGAACATTTCTCAATCTTTTTCATATGATCGTCGAGGCACATCCTAGTCGTCGTACCAAACAAAAACGGAATTCTTCATTGTATGTGATGAAAAAGAGCGCAAGAAACTTCGAGGCTTCAGGACGCTCTTATAGAGGCTTCAAGTAAGAATGGTCAGCCTCGAATTTAAAAGTGCAGTTTTGTCACGACGAAGCTCTGGAAGTGTTTTATAGAACCACTAGCCTTGCATTCTGCATTGTCGACGATTCAGAGTAGCAGTATAGGCTAGGTGGTTATTACAAAAAGAACAAAAATCTTCTGCTTTCTAAGGATTTTGTATTAAACACTATTGAGTTACTTTTCCTCTAACCAAGTTGCTAAATTTTAATATTTTGTTGCTGCTAGTGAAATTCTTACAGAAAAAGGATGCAGAGACACCTTTGAGAGAGCAACGTAAATTATTTATTTCTTAAAGCCAGCAATATTTTATATCTGGGCTGATGGCAATACACTAGCTTATTGTCCAAAAGTATCCCTGGTCAGGTGTTTTTTTTGGCAAAGAAACCGGAGTTGCGTTATCACGGTTAAAAGACAATGGAATGATTGCAAGCTTGAAAAATTCCATGCTTTATAGCTCAGAAAAAACCAGACAAATATTAGTGGAGAAAAGATACACATTAATGGAAAAATAATCAAATCCAAACAGAAAGATTTGGAAGAGCCTACCAAACGAGCAGAAATAAGCAGAATTTTCAGAATCTTTAAGAATCAAACAAAAATGGGATAAAGCAGACAGTTAAATTGCAAATGTATGCCTTTCAGTGTAACTTAACGTTCTGATTTAGTTTCTATCAGTGTAGTTATTCTTGCAAAAGTTCATTTACTTTGTTTAAGCAGATTCGATTTTAATCAGATAGTTTTGTATATATGTACATGTTTATTTGTGTATATATTGTTAGCTAACATGTAAGATCGAAGAGAAAGTATTAAGCGTTGATCAGCATTCAGTCTAAGTATGGATGTTTAAGGTATGAAGCAACAAAGATTGATTTACAAATATTTATATATATATAATTATCTACTTTTACTTTAAAGCTCTCTTTTACTAGCTATCTTTCTACTTCTTCTATAGCCTCTATGCAATTCAGTCCTTAACAATTCAATCTATTGAAGACAACTAGGGACTTTTTGAATATGTATCCAAGAAATATTGATCATTCAGCTGGCTAATTCTTCTCTCCATTGCATCATTCTTTTCCTCATACTTCTCAATCTGCAATAAGCAGTGGTTTAGGTTTTCTTCTAACATTTCTTTATTGCTTTCCAGTTCCTCAATATCCACTTCAAGTCTCAACAAAACACCGTTCTTCCCATTCAGCTCATGGCTGACGTAATCCATCTTGGCACTTGCTTCCATCATTCGCATTCGTTCTTGTTCGTTTTCTTTTGATAGCTCAAAGGCTTTTGAAGTCAGTTCCTGCACTCTCTTTTGAGTTTTGAGCAAATTCAAATGCAATTCATTTGACTTCAAAACTGCGTTACGACAAGCCTCCTTTGTGTCCTCTATAATACTCAGAGATTTCTCAATGCGAACGATCAGCCCATCTCTGTGTTCCATCAACTCTTTAAACTCTACTGAATTGAATATCTGTTTTCTGTAAATTAATTTTGATATCAGTTTAGCTAATTGAATCGTGAAACACGGTGCATGCACAAAGCTAGTTGATCAATGTCTCTAAGGCATTTTAACAGGTACAATAATACAAGGACCTCTGAGAAGGGAAATAAAGAACAGGCACTGTGTAGTACCAAGGTAACTTAATATAAAATGGGCGCATTGCCTTTTAAAGGCATTGAGTCATGATAAAATGGATTGGGTATACCCAAAGTGCTAAAATCCGCTGAGTCACGATTTTCATGACTGCGATGCTATTGGTTGACCTCAAACTGGTCACATGAACTCACCTCGTACTGATTAACAAAACAGTTTCCATCAATAGCAAGTTGTCAACAACGGATGCCAATATCACGTGAAACAGCAACGATCACGCCGAAACCAAGTGACCCCCTATAGACAAAGCCTATTTACCATGACTCAATGCCTTTAACTACATATTTTGAAACCTAACTACCAGGTTTACTTGGATGGGAGTGGCTAAAGGCTCCATATTGTTATTTCCAACAGGAATGACTTCGAAACAAAGTCGTCCAAACATTTGTTGAAACACGGGAAACAACTTAATTGGAAAGACAATCGTGAATCGTCGGTGGGTGTTAAAGGAAGTAGGGCTGCATAACAAAATGTTTTATTGTAAATGTTGCCATTGAAATTATTAAATCTAAAAAAAGGAAAGTAATGAAAAAATATGATTTGTATCTCAAATAAAATGCAAAGAGAATTATTAAATGAAGGCTCCAACTGAGGTCTACAAATGAACCATTACCTGTTTACTTCTGACTGCCGTTCGATTTTCGCTTTCTTGTTGACAATATCATTTTCAACGAATGTCTCACACTCCTTGATGTTTTTCAATCTCTCTTCTTTATCAAGAAACTCGTTTTCCAGCCGGCCTTTCTCCTCCATCCATTCCTTCATTTCTGCGCCATATTTCTCCGCAGCCCGCTCCCAGCAATCCCCAGTACTGACATTTCTAGCATCCTTCAATTGATCAACCTCTTTGTTTTTCTTTTCGATCAAACGCTCAAACTCCTTTATTTTTGCTTTTAAGAAAACTCTTCCAAATGATATTTTCGTCCCATGATGCTCTCTGTTTAGAATTCTTCGTAATTCTTTATATACATTATGTCTATTAATTTCATTGATAACATATTCACTAATCTCCCATTTACGTTTCTCTAGGTTAACAAGATCCTTTATAAGTTCATCAGAAAGCTTCGCAAGCTTTTTTACATCTGTCTTTTTATCATGGTCCTGAAAAATTCCACCAACTTCATCTACCGCGAAATCAATTTGTTCCGCGTCCTCCAGTTGGAGGCTGAGGCACTCTTTTAAAAGAGCCTCCTTTTCTACAAGCTCCTGATCTAAAGCTGTTGCCTCAGAATCTTTACGTAGAAGCAGCTCCTTGTGCTCTTTCTGCACCTTGTTGGTCTCCTCTGCTAGATCTTTATGGTCGTTATCCAGATCAAGTAAGATTTTCAAGGTCGATGTATTTGTGGTTTTCAATTTGGGTGCTTTTTCATCACTATCTGGCTCCTTTCTTTTTGGCTTTGAGGAACAAATCTTGCCTCCGTTTCCACTGGTGGCGGCTTTTGAACGTGATTTTGCTTTGGGTGGCGGCATCTTAAGTCTAGGTTCATCAGAAAAAATAGCATAAAAAAGATTAGGAATGAGGTGTTCGAATATCTTGTTTTTAGAATAAAGGATTCGAAAAAATGTCTGGAGCTTGAAGTCAGAAGATTGTTGTTGTGGTATTGTGGTATATTACAAGAACTTTCATTTAGCTCTGCGGTAACATTAGACGTAGAAAGCCTTGCAACAATATATTTCCCCTGTCTATATGCAACAATATTATTCTATTGACACAGACTATTTTATTATGGTGAAAGTCACTGAACATCGAACAGGATACTAGGAACAGCAGTCAAAATAAAGTGCAATCCAATTTCTTCAAGATGGTCTTGTATACATACAAGACCATCATCCTGTACAATGTGGATACAGTAACACTCATTGTGATCTGGTACGGCATGATGAAAGTGTAAATTTTTCCAGAACATGTTTACGTTAAATTAATTTCCTCTAAGTAAAACTTTTAGTGGAAGATCAAAATGTTTTGCAGTGTATCTGAATTAGCTAAATGTATTGAACGTTGAACGTCTTCTGGAAAGCTGCAAACGATCTTTGTGCAAAGACAGTCAACATAATAGGCTTGTGTAAAACGCTAGACTAATATAAACCAGAACTAATAATATCAATTCTTAAGTGATCTCTAGATGGCAAGACGATTAAGAACATGGATATCTCTCTGCATGTTAAAAAACAACAGTACTCATAATATCACCTTGAAAAATATTGAGGCAGATTTTACTGCGAGAAGCAGATCAATCATTATCCTTCCTATTTTCAAAAATTGATTAAATGCTAGAACGGAAAAAATTGCAAATGTAGGCTCTGCAAAATATACATTTTAAAATTGTGTATCTGACAGGAGAGGCCTTAACTTGTAATTATCTTGTATATGTGACAATTTCAAATTAACATTACAACTTTAATTGGATTTTATTTTAAATAAAGTGTAAATAGTAGGCCAGCTGTAAATAACTTCTGTAGTTGTTTTTCTAGTCTGCTGTATATGAATAAATTGCCGAAGATGAGCAGACAGGACGCTCTTACATTGATTGCTAGGTTCACGTCAAAAATGCAATCCATCTGGCTTAGTTTGTCATATTGTTCTGATTCATATCAAAATCTATTTACAGGATATTTGTGCTTAAATAACATGCAATACACAATTTATATTTACACAGAAAAAGGTAGAAAATGAAATATTTTACTCTAAATTCAAGGTTTTCTAGATTTAACGTATTCTAGAGTTTACTTTCTATACCCAACCAATGGATATAAACGCTTGTCCAATAAGTTTTATTGAATATTTGAAAAGACAACCTAATTAATACTAATTTTATAAACAACTCAAGGTAATGCGGCAAAATTATTCTCATTCAAATATGTCAAGGTACATTGTAACCAATTTCATAACAAAAGCTGCCAAAGGACGGTAGCACAGTATCAAATTGAAAATGCAAAACAAATCTCAACAGAACCATTAAGGGTCTAGAGTCTTCCCCTTAGTAAAAACTTCCAAGCACATGAATGTTAAACGGTTAAAAATATTATCTTTTTCATTGTTTTGTACATTTTAGGGCTCAAAACATTAATGTTTATAAATAATTCAAATATGTAAATACAAAAACGCAATTTGTTTGACTATTAGGTTTCAAAAGCAAAAGCTTTGAGTAGAAATGTTGACTCATGGTTGCGAAAATTAAAAACTTATCTGCTGGTTTAGGTCTTGGCCGATTATGTATGAACCAAGAAAATTACGTTATGGTGATAATCACGGTAAAAAGTCGATGTGTTTCGGTGCTCACAGACGTATTCCAACTACTAACATAATTAGCTAGTATGGTTATACATGGACTGCTGTATTGATTGTTGATTGAGTAATCAACAATGGTGATCGGTGACAGTGATTAGAATGATTGTACAGATTGCTTAGATCGGTGGTTTAATACCCACAGCGACACCTGCCCCACTCTTACCAACCGGCATCTTTGATTCGATCACTTCCCAGGAATCTCTTTTTTGATTGTATATTTCGATACTCGGCAGAAAATGTTCACCGTCATAGCCGCCGAGTGCGTAAAGCTGATTGTCGATCAGCGCTACGCTCAATGCGCTACGGTGACAATTCATAGGAGAAATAATTGTCCATTTGTCTTCCTCTGGGTCGTAGCATTCTGCGCTGTTAAGTTGAGTTATCCCGTTATATCCACCAACAGCATAAAGTTTCCTGCAGGGAGGAATGGGTAAATGATGAGCTGTAGCGCTTAGCGGAGAAGTCGCCAGAAACAGCCTTCGTTATGGCGAAATAACTTTGATGTCAAAAGTACAACTATGGCAAAGAAGTGGCAGAGCATCTTAGTTGCATCTTTAAAAGCTTCTATTTTCCAACTTTCATCACAGTATGAGGCGTTTGGTGATAATGAGAAAGGGACAAGGTTTACATTCATACAAAAATGGCTGGAAAAACGGAGACAAAATATCTCCATTTTTAATTTCTGTCCTGAAGTTTGGTTTTGTGTTAGAAATACATGTTAAGATTCCCTTGATTTCTAGGAATATGGAATTGGCAATTGATAAACATGATTTTTGGAGATGCGTTTTAAAATTGCACTTTTTACACACTTAAGGATACACAAAATTGGCTCACGAAACAGAAGTTCTCTTTGAAGAAATAAGGTTTACAAAGCCATGAAAGAAAATTTAAATATCTGACTTTGAGAAAAGCTGAATATAAACTGAGATGTCCACAACAATCATTCCGATCGTAAGAGAGGGAATTAGTATGGTGGGTTCAAGCAAAGCAAGTTGTTACGACCATACCCGTGGAATGCTGCAGCCGCGGCTCCACTTCTAGGTGTATTCATGGAAGCAACTAGGAACCACTTGTTTGTATCAGGACAATAACACTCAGTGCTGCGAAGGCGGTTTTCGCCATCAAATCCACCAATGGCGTACAAAAGACGATTTAACACCGCAACCGCAACACCTATCGATTGAATAAGATAAAGGGAGGTTAGAATCCTCATGAGGCTTGAAATTAATAGATGATTAACATGTTTCTATCATGGGAAACACAGAAATCGAGTCCAGCCGGTGTGTTAAAGTTTTAGTTGATACTGTACTAACTGAGACACACCTACCAGCAACTGAGACACACCCACTTAAATGTAAATAGCTACTTGCAAGATGATGCTGTCGGAGCCGGATTCAATGCATTATTGTAAAGGTCTTCGAATACCGTTAGATCTTTGAGGAGACCAAGGCGTGTTTGCGTGGACAGTTTATGTAAAAAATGGTAGATAAATCCTATGGAAGACGTTTCTGATGTTTTATTCCTTAAAATGCGTAAGTAAATAAATACAAGCGATCTAAGCACGATAATACGCAAATTTCACAAAGTAACTAGCAAAGGATACTTTTTTAGAGATTTGCTTTTCAGAGATGAGACTTAAAAGCCAATTCCAAGGTATCAACATATAAATTAAGGCTGGAGGAAGGGACTTGGGTACATAGGGTTTCATCAGGAATTATTGGCGATGAAAGTTTTACCTATTCGTTTCGTAGTCATGGGTGCAACTTGAGTCCATCGGTCTTCTTCAACGTCATAAGTTTCTGCTGAGTTCAAATGCATCATGCCATCACTGCCTCCAACAGCATACACAACGCCATCCACAACACCGACTCCTAGCCTGTTTCGAGGAACAGTTAAGGATGCGACCTGCAACCATTCGTCGTAAAACGGGTCGTATCTCTCCACTGAATCCGAATCCATGTTGCCATTTGAAGAGTTATTGCGTCCTCCAACCAAATACAACTGACCACCTTGTAAAGAGGGAAGTGTTACCAAGGTAACTGACAGTGACAGGCTAAGTTAATTTTTGTCTTCAATTTACTTTGAGGGATAAGCTAAAAAATTTTGGATGAAATTCCTAGCGACCATCCTAGATTATATCAAGGTATTTGGCTTGAATATAACATTGATTACAATATTGTTGTAGCTAAAAACCTTCCTAGCTAAAAACCTTCATTGCCAGCCAACAGGAAAACACATTAAATGTCTTGCTATTTGGGGGTGGAACCAAGAAAAATATCTAAGAGAAAACTAGTCTTAAAATGCCCCTATTTGTTGGATGTTTACATATTTGATATGTCATAAGACAGTGAAAACATAATGGTAAATTTTACTCACATTGAAACCAACTTATGCCTGAAATTACACATGCAACCATGCTAAGGATGCAATAAACAGTCACAACAATTCTCAGCAAGGATGCCTGCAACAAGGGGGCATCTGAGGTATTGGCATTTTTGCCCCTTGCTCTTCTTGAGAGCAGACTCTCCTTGTTCACAGATTCCATATTCTAGCTCTAGTGAAGTTTAGTCTAATAACCTAATGTGCATCTATGGATTGAAATCCAGATTGCCATAACTCACCCACAAAAGCAGCACCAGCTCCACTTTTTGGGTTCGGAAGCTCCTTCAGTGTGTGCCATTCACCAGTCTCAGGATTGAAACTGTCTAATGCACTTAAAGAATGCTTCAGGTAGCCTCCAGCTGAGTAAATAACAGTTGCTCCCAGTGGCACTCGCCTTTTTTGTGTTATTTCAACCTTGCTGGTTAGGTCCTAAAGACAAGATATAGGTGAGAAATGTTACCCAAAAACGGTCTAATGTCATGCTGACCTATTTGGAGGAACTTGAAATACAGTGTCATTTACAAACACTAATTTTGTTTAACTTAAGAAATGACAATTAAGACAACAGTTGTAAATAATTGACTTTCTAGTTTAGCAACTCTTAGAAAGCCATTGGGAACTTGGGCAAGACATCAAGTATCAACAATGTAATCAAACTTTTATTTTGGCATGCTCAGGTGTTCATTGTTTTTTTTATTTTTCTACATTGCTGTAAGCAGTTTTTAAAGTCTGTTGAACAGTTTTGCTACCATGGCCTTAAAATTATTTCTATGTAATTCACCAATGGAAGCAAAATAAATATTTAACATGCTTTCCAAATTAAATCACTAGAAATTAGTTGTTAGCATAGAAAATAGCATGAAAGATAATAAAATACTTTTTCCAATACCTTGAGAACATCTTCAACTGCAGTTCTACAGCCATTTTCAAATGTTATAAAAGGATTGCTGTCCAACTGACATTGTAAGAATGACTTTGGTAGTAGGTATAATCTAATAACTTCTAAAATTCTGTTCAAAAATTTTCCTCTCTGAATTGGGCTTTGCTGGATCCACTCCATACCAGCCAAGAAAACCTGTAAAAATTAAACTTGCTACATGATATCAGGCAGCTTAATCAAAATGAAAATCATTGCTAAACCGTATGGCTGTGAGTTGCAACTTTCAAGTTTCATGCTTGCTAAACTTGTCTCCTGCATGTTTTTACCATACTCTCTCCCTTTTAACTCAAAAATGTAAGTCTAACTCAGGTTTCTTAAAATCGGCGACTGATGATGAGCTTGCATCTGCACAGTCTCTTGAGCTATGTATACTAAAAAGCTTCTTCTACCAATCAAATGGCTTGCAAATAGAGTTACTCCCCATGATCTCTTGTATGTAAGAAATGATATTGGTGCACCTAAGATCTTACAGCCTTCCTATTTCTAACACACATGGACTGGTTAAAGACGAGACAACTTTTTACACCTAGAAATCACCTGGGAGAAATCACTTTTTTGGTCACTTGAACTTGGTATAAAATGGTCTTGCCTTATTGGAGATCTTAGGAAAAAGTGCCAAACTTTCCAGTCTGGCATAAAAACTACCTGACAGCTGCTAGTTTGGTATGCATTGCAATTTCAGATTCTGTAAAATCAGAGGTGGCACCAGAAATCTTCCGACAGAGGGGCTGGAGCTTCCGACAGGGTGGCTAAAATGACTAAAATAAGCAGCTTTTGAATGTTATTTTGTCAAATTTGCTCCTACAATAACCCAAAATTTCTTCCAATGGGAGGGCTGGATGCTTCTGACGGAGGAGCTGTAGCCCCCCTTAGCCCTTCCCTTGGTCCCACCACTGTGTAAAATACATCAATTTCTCCCAAGATCTGCAGCATGCAAACAGAAGCTCTATTGTTTTAGGGGCTATAATGATTTTTTTCATAAAAATCTCAGGCATGCAAGTGCCCTATTAATTCAGACTGGATACCTTGTTGAGGGCAGGCCATAACTTGGCACTTGGCAAGTCAGAATTTTTGTTTGCTTGTTTTGTTTTGTCTCCATTTAAGGAGCATGGCCAATTATGACAAGATGTTGGGCATTCAAACACCCTGCACCTAATTTACATCATAAAATACCAGATGCGCCATCACTATCAACCTTCCCAGAATAAAGTTTAGTAGATCTAGTTTTAAGATGCACCCTCAGCCTCTGGTCTAGATTTCATGGCAGTTTTCAACAAGATCTCTGGAGTGCGAAAGCTATTACCCAGGAGTGCAAGAGTTGCCTCATGATAAGTATGCATCAAATTTACCAGTGATTCTTGAGCTTGTGTATGTTTTTCTTTTGGTGCTCATCCACCCTATATCAATTTTTCCCCTCATGGGAAAATTCAATGATTGAAAGTTGAAACTTAGCTTACCTACAACCACATTAGGCACTGTTATTAAAATCATAAGGTTTAGCAAGAGAAGGAATGATTTTAGATTGTTTTTAAAAAAAGAATTGATAATCCTAATTGATGACTTCAAGCTTTATGTTACCAAGAAGGGGACAGGGGGCACATTGCTTAAGAACCTTGAGGTCTAGGGGACCTAAAAATGGCCTAAAATGGTAAATCATCTTAAGAATTGCAAGAAAATGACTGCAAGAATTATTTTAAAATTTATTTCAGCACATCTTTCAGTTTTACCTTGGCAGTCTCTCACTGGACCACTCTCTTGAGGGTCACTCAATTTAGGATGACACTTTTTTCCATCTCTTTTGCAAACAAATTTTAGAAAGCATTATGCAAAGTTAAAGAAACCTGTAAACTTAAGCCACATCCAAGCCATGCTCTTTTTTCGGCTGTGCAACAGTGTATGCCACATTTCTAATTTTGATTTCATGTCATTTAATCGGTAGCCCTTCAGCAGTGGTGATTTTTGAAGGAGCCAACTATTAAAAACTTTCATTACAGCATATAGGCCTAGAGGGGCCTTCACTATATAAATGAAATAAACTTATTACAATAACATTAAACTTTAATCAAACCATAATATTAAAAACGTAATTACAAACTAAGAATTTCTATTAAAAAAAAATAATCTCTAAAATAATGAACACCATATTTACCTCATTTTCTGAACGGACACAAAGTTCACTATGTGACAAATACCAGCAAACTCTCTCGAGAGGCAAGGATAAAAACTCCTCATGCTTAATAACTTTCGCAAAATAATTATCGCAGTAATTTCTCGCATTTGCTTTTAGGTCAAGACAGCCATGTAGTTCGGCAAAAGCGTAAATTCCTAGACAATTGGTGGCATCCAGTTGTGCCTTCAAAAACTCGCAACATGCTTTTTGGACTCTGGTCATTTGTAAAATTGTTGCAACTGGAAGCAAAGTTTGGACATTATGAGATGATACGTTTAAATTAGCAGTATAAGCAAAGTCAATCAATGTTTCGACTGCAGTCGCATCCATTCCTTTCAAAGTTATTTTGGTCTGCTTGCTCTCAACCAGGTCACTGGTGAACATTGCATAAAAATACGGAATACTGGATACAAGAACTAGTTTGTGAGCGAAAATCTCACGGTCATCAATGGAAAGCACTATGTCACACATCATCTTGTCTTTTCGAAGATTATTCATAGTTCTAAACGCTCCTTTCATGTGCTCGTCCGTCAAATCGAATTCCATTTCGGCAACAACTGGCGACGGCGCCATCTTGGCTGTGTTATGAAAAACAACATCCACAACAATAGAGAGCTCCTGTGCATCTGCGTTATAACCGCGTTAGCCACAAGCATCTTACAGTGAAACAGTAAACATATTTCAAACACAATTTTACCAGTTTCGATGGTTATTTAGTATAAAATACAGTTGTTTTTGGCATTGGAAAATAACTCATCTCCGGTTGAAAATTTCGGTACAGTTTATTGCAAAAAAAATTAACAGATACAGTTCTACATCTTTGTCTTGTTCTCTCAAATTCATCTTTACAAAAGTGATTAAATGTTAACAAGAATTTCATTCATTTTGCGGTACCGGATTGTGATTTACGCACAACCAAGGTATTTTGTTGCGTCATATTGGTTTGAGATTCTTGCCCGCGTGTAACCGCGGTATTATACAGGAATACGGATACGGGGACTCCATTGCCACGGAAGGACACAATACTATTATTGCAATGCAAACGAAGGGAAATGGCTGCATGAATGTAGTTATCGTGTTGCTCCGTTTTACTCTGTAGAAAGCAGCAAAATGGCTGCCTGTGATTATCAGTTTTAATGATAATGGAAATAAATCTATTCGCGCAACAAAACACTCGTAACGATGATGGACAGCATTGCATTTCCAGAACAGGCGAAGTTTCTCATGGGCTCGGATGATGGCGGCGATTATTGGTCCGAGCTTGACGATGACTTCAGTTTTGCAATCCACCGTGTTCCATCCGATCAAATAGTTTACGAAAGACAAAGAAAGAAGGCAAAGATGGTTGGAAAATATTTGATGGGTGACGAACTGGGTGAAGGGTCTTACGGAAAGGTAAAAGAAGCCTTGGATACAGAGAATCTGTGCCGAAGAGCTGTAAAAATAATGAAGAAGAAAAAGCTGAGAAAAATTCCACGAGGAGAGGATAACGTCAGAAGGTCTGTTTATGAATGTTTATGAATTTTTTTTGCTATAAACTATGGTGCGATTTCCAAGACTGTATTGTTTGCCTTTGAATATGCAAGACCTTAAAGAGAACCCTATCCTTCTCCTGAAGTAAATATTTTCTTTTCATAGTGTTCTTTTTACTTGACAATCAAACAACAGCAAATCAATACATTGTTACCCTGTTTACGGCAATCTGGTCTTTTTTGTAGTTGGTATGGAGAGTATTTTAAACTTAATGTTCCTCTGACTTCAAAAATGCTTTCCTCTGAATATATGCCATTAGTAAATGTTTGTAAAAGTAGCTTGTGAGCTGGGAGTTTGTTACCTTTCTATAATTAAGATATTCAGTATTATGAATGCATAGCTATTATTGACTGTAAACATCCATTTTAAGGTTTCAAAATCAAAGAAATATTTTATGAGATCATGAGCCACACCCCCTTGCAATATTTCAACTTGTTTCTGACAGTCTTGTGATATGTTGATTAGGGTAAGCCTCAACTAATTCTTCTTTATCTTGTAGGGAAATCCAGCTGCTAAAAAGATTAAAACACAAAAATGTAATAAACCTGGTCGATGTCCTTTACAGTGAGCCAAAAGAAAAAATATATCCTTTTATATTGTTTTGAAAAACAACATATATTCACTTTTTGTGCATGTGAATCAGATATCAGAAATGTAAAAGAATTCACTGTAATTAACAAACATTAAAAATAATATGAATTGACTATAATATGATTATCAACATTCTTTGAATTTCAAAGAAAAACAGTTGAAGGAGCATGCTGTCAAAACAAACTGAGATTCGTTATCAATTTACATCAATTTTATTTGATTGACCAAACAAACATCTTGCAGCTTAATTTGATGGGTTATCTTTTTAAAATGAAAATTCTTTATGTAAGTTTAATATTTGTGTCACATCCATGATATTGAAAAGGTACTCTTTCTTAACTCTTAATTACGTATATGGTAATGGAGTACTGTGTTTGTGGTATGTTTGAGATGCTAGAACGACTCAAAGAGAGCAAATTCCCAGAGTGGCAAGCACATGGGTAAGACATACTGTGTATAAAGTTCCCGTATCATTAGACTCTATATAGCCATTACCAATATTGCTTGAAAGACAGTGATTATAAGCAGCGTGTAACTGGAAACAGGTCTTCAACAGATTTACTTTTTATGGTCTAATTTTTTTGTCACTTTATCCAGCAAAAAGTTGCCTTGGAACAATCCTGCTCTATACACCAAAAGCATGTACAACTCTGCCTATACGGCATCAAACATTTTATGACAGACAAGTAAACAGTAATTTTCAACCTTATGGATATAAATAAGCCAAAAAATTTTACATTTCCTTCGTTTTCAAGGTACTTCGGGCAATTAATTGATGGCTTGGAATATCTACACAGCAAAGGCGTTGTGCATAAAGACATCAAACCTTCAAATTTACTTATAGCTACTGATGATGTTTTGAAAATATCAGATTTTGGAGTTGCTGAGGTTTGTTCCAGAAACTGAGATTTTCTTACTTTATCCATTCAACTTGTTTCTCGAATAAGAATAAACTGCTGCACATTCCTCTAAATTGAGTGAGTTTGCAGATGAAATTTCCAGATGAAAAAAATTGTGTTAAAGAATTTTCATCATTTTAGTTTACAGATTTTCATACATCCATTTGATAAACCAGACTTTACTTCTCTTGCTTAGTAATAATTCTATTTTGTATGTCACCCTTTCAAATTTCACTTGATTTGCACTCCTGAAGCTGAATTTGTTTCTAGCAACTTGATGTTTTTGCTGCTGATGATACATGTCATACAAGCCAAGGATCCCCAGCATTTCAACCTCCAGAGATTGCAAATGGTGCTGATAAGTTTTCTGGTTTTAAAATAGACATTTGGGCATCTGGTGTTACTTTGTAAGTTTGGCAACCTGTTCTCAATATTCAAAACAAATATTTGTATATCGCTAGAAATGTCATTAAGCTCATGAACTCTATTAAAACAAAATCCAATAAAAAATGTCAGGTGCATGAACTTCATGCAAATAGTGACAATATAATGAGTAAAAAATTAAGTATCTAAATGAAAAGACTGTTAAAAACACGATGTTTTGAGCACATTGACTTGGAAAGAATCATGACATATTATCAAGTGACTTGAAAAGAATCAAGCTTAGATAAAACAGGATTCAACCTATAAGAAAGAAAGGAGCTGTGACAACTAAAAGCAGTATATTTCCCTATATGGCATTTGTGTATATTTTCAAAAGGAAACACAGAGGTGCAACGAGAATTAAATTTGATAGCAATTGGACTTATATAACAAAGTGGCAGTAACATCTCATTTCAATAGGGGTGGAGTTGCTGATGCAACTAAAATGTGACCTATAAACCAAGCCTCATTTGGATATGCCTGGATACTTAACACAAAAATAATTTTTATATTTCTAGGTTCAACATTATAACTGGCAAGTATCCTTTTGAAGGAGAAAACATTTATAGGCTTTTTGAAAATATTGGTAAAGGCGAACTGGTTATACCAAGTGAAGTAGATGAAACACTAGGTGGTCTTCTTAAAGGTATAATGGAATTATGTTTGTGTGTTATTTTGTTTAATAAAGGTATTTAAGTAAAAGATTTCTGAAGGCTAGCAAATTGTCTGTTGATTAATTGTCTGTCCGACATTATTTCTTAAAGACAGGTGTAAAGAGCCCCAATGAGATATTAGAAATGTGTCTTATCACAATTTCCTGATATTTAAGTATGTGACATCAGGAAATGTGAAATATTTGCAGAAAATGTGTGAAAATTTATAAATGTGAAATTCTAGATGTGTAAAAGTTTGCAAAAAATGATATTAAAATGAATAATGTCAATAAACAAGAAATAATGTTAGACCATTATTTTGATGGAAGAACATCCAACTTTTAGTTTTTTTAGCTAAGCATTGTACAACTATAAAATGAATACCATTATCATTTTAATATCAACATTTGTCTGTAACTTTTTCTTAAATGTTCTTCCTTTTTTGTGGTATGTTTAATGATACATGAGAAACAGTATTAACAGAGCAACAGACCTGCATACCAAGTATAGATAAAAGAGTGTTAGCACAATATTGAATAGAATGTGGGGCTGTTCCAAGAACAGCATGATATATATATACCCATGGATTCTCTTTCAATTTAATGCTCTAAATTGAATTGTTATATAAATTTGAATTGAACTGTATATCAACTTTATTTCATCTAAATTTTATTCCTTGCCTTGGAACTTTATTCTGAATTTCTCCTTAGGAATGTTGGACAAAGATTATGAAACTCGCTTTAATATTCAAGACATCAGACGTCATTTGTAAGTGGAGATTTTGTCTTGTTTTATTTATGTGTATTTGAATCAATTACTGCTGGACTAGGGGCTTCTAGTTAGACATAAGACGTCATTTGTAAGTTAATATTTTGTCTTGTTTAATATATGTGTATTTGAATCAATTACTGCTGGACTGGGGGCATTACCTAACACATAGCTTTAAACTCTCAAATATACAGCCCACAAGAAACTCTACTGAAACTGAAGTTTGCTTCTAGAAATTCAAGTTTAGCATTAACCATTATGAAACTGCATTTAATAAGGTACTGCCTTTAATATTTATTAGATCATAATATTCTGAATGATAGTTTATGATAAGACATACCACCCTAAGAACCAAAAAATTTTAACCTACAAAAGGTTTTAAATTTTATCAATAAAATAAATATTAGTTTATAATTTGTATATACAATGAATTTGTTATAAAGGATCATTGGTTTACAGCGTATCATACAACATACTTTTTAAACAATTTTAGATGGTTTCGTAAGAAGCCCACTCGGACCAAAGATAAAGTACCTTTTCCACCATTAGCTGGATATGAAGAAGACCCAAACCGAAATACAACAGTTGTACCTTATTTAGAAATCTTATTGGAAGAGACAGATGATGAAACGGTTTCTTCAGATGATGTTTTGCATCAAGGTTTGTATATCATTTTAATAAACCAAAAATTCTTTAGTTCAAAAAATTTACATATGCTTTTTCAAAAAATAGTACAACCTCCTGAAGCATATTCACAAGAGTATTTATTATATTCAAATGGGTAATAGGTCCTTGTTAAAACTGTAAGGTCTAAATTTAATGGCTCGTACAGCACCATAAACTTTGCAAGAAATGAGATTACCAGCATGCCAGCAGATTTTGTTATACCTGGACCGAGACTGCCATATTTGTGAGCAGACAAAACACAACCCAAAAATTGGCTTTCCCATTTAAAAATTTTGCAAGTTTATTTGTCTTCTTTTTCAGGAGAGAATGGTGAGTCAGTCATCATCCATGAGCCAAGCAATAACACAACACATTCAAAATCCAATAAGAAAACTGTCAAAGTTCGCAAGTTTACGCCAAACAATTGTAAATCTATGTAAAGTTTTACCTCTGTTTATATTCAAATTAGAATTGTACAAATTTAACGCTTTTAGACATTTATAAGTTCCAAATGACAAAAACTAAATTATGGCTTCTGTTTTTATATGTTTACAGTTAGATTTAAGTTTAAAATGTTGCTTTGCCAGTTATGTTAGATATCTGTTTGGAGTTGGTAAGGTGTGTGCTTCTTAGATCTTTTGTATATATAATCAACTGACAGCTTGTATCCATACTGTATCCCAAAATAGATTATTTATATGAATTGACTGTTAATTGGTGCTGAACCATAAACCCTAAACTGTCTGCAACCAAATCTTTAAACAGTGTGATGATGTTAAGACCAGCTAAAGTGATCATTTAATAATGCTGGTTCATCTGTAAAGGAATGATTTAACTTTATGTGCTGGTTTTGTATGAAACAGTGAGTTGTTGCTTTGTTAGGTTGATTTGTTAGTAACTTCGAAGTTTATGCAGCATTTCCACTTGATTTAAGATTGGCCCTGGTCTCCCAAATAGTTTTGCCTCAATTCCACCCAATTAGCAGTTTCTCCTTCCGTAATACAACAATTCAACTTACGGGCTGGTTTTGGAAATTTCTCCAAACTTGATTATACAACTTTTTAAAGCTCAGATTTGGTTTTAACACCATAATTTTAGGCCGTATTTAATATTGTTTCTGCTTGTACTTTAGGTTTTACAGAGAACAAAGTTTGCAAACTCCGACTGCAAAAATCATTCCGGGTGAAAATTTACCCCCCTAGTCGCCAATCACGGTCAAATCCCTTATAAAATTTCTATCTTTATGTTGTCATTAAATCAACATCGTGAGCAAGACCATGATGAAAACTTCCAAGTATACTAAAATCATTGCTATCAATCTGAATCTGAGGTCAAAAATTTTACAAAAGAATTTGAAGAATTTTTCAAAATGAGGCCGTAAGTCAAATTGGTGTATATGCCCTGAATATTTCAGAAGTAAACTCTAGAGCAGTTTTTGTACCAACGATACAGTCAACCAACATTAAAAGTGTGTTTCTCATTGCATATAAGTCTTTCCAACAGAACATGCTATTTTTAAAGCCCAAAACAGTTAAAGAATCTTATACAAAGTTTTTCTGGATTATTTACAAGCCATTAGCAAACAAATTTTAACAAAATTGAAAATGACAAACCTTTAACAAACACCAAAAGAAACATCCTTGTTATCACTGGCAGAAAACCTCCCTTAAGCTGGCTGAATTATATATTTCCCTCTATTTTCTATTATTTTCATGACTTGCATGGTTCCAGCCTTGGCAAGTGAACTGTTCCAGTGATAATGTAACTCAATAGAACCACAGCAATAAAGCAGCGTAGCGTAACTCAACCAGAGAAATATTTTTGGATGGTGAAAACCCAAAACAAATAAAATAAACTATGGAACAGTAAGCTTTTTATAGCAGGTATGTCAATTTAGGGGGTTTCCACAGTTATTTGTGATAAAAAAAATTCTGCTCAAGTGCACTAGCCTAAGATGGAGCTAAAGCCTAAAATGAATGGTCTTAGCAAGAAAACAATATTAGTGATTGTTTTTTCTAAGCCCTAATCAGCCTGTAAAATAACATCTTCCTTCCCATTTCAGAAAGTGCTCTGTCTATTAAAGTGGCACGCAATATGAAAGGTTAAGCAAATATGGTCTCGTCAGGAATTTGACCTCTGTTTTATCTATCTAGATGGTAAACACCTTATTGGAACCCAACCCAACAAATATTTGAGCTACTCTAGATCATGTTATTTCTACGTTTAAATTTGTTTCTATGAAAATAAGTTCTTCCTTGCATCATATTTTGTCTATCCTGCCTTTCAACTAGCTGTGTTGTCCGATGACGCGAAGCATTTCGTTCCTTGATTCTTTTCGTTATCTCTTCAACTTTTGTCAAATTCGGCTGATGTTCACGGTCATTGTTTCCTAAAGTTCTCACGATTCGTTTCGCTGGGTCTGGCGATATTTCTGTTACGTTTCTCGATTGCAAATGCTCAAAACTGTCGGTTCGCTCTAGTGAAATACGAAAGTCTCGCAGTTTAAACTTACTGAAAGTAGTCACACCTGCATCTTTAGCATCCAAACTCCCATCCTTTTGTTGGATTGTACTTCTCCCATTTTGCTCATTCATATCTTCAAGGTTTTCTAGACCCGTTTTCCAATTTTTCCGTTCATTAAAAAGTGGAGAGTTTGTATTCACCATCCCTTGGTCACGATTTACTCCATTTGCATGGTTCTTTTCCGCTATTTGAACGTGTCGATAAAACTTGTTAACAGGCATCTTCCTTTGTTTCTTTGCATTTGGGCCTACCCCAGAAAAAGCATTATTATTTTGAAATTGAGAAGCTTCGCGCTTTCTAGAAAAATTCTGAGAAAAATTATTCATATCGTCAGCCGAGTTTTGAAGTTTACTATCAGCACCCAAAAAGGGTTGTCGATTTGGTTTCTTGGTCATTGCACTACCGAAAAACCCTTCGGGTATTGTCTTTCCGCCAGGTTGCCGACTGTTAGACCCTTGCACAAACAAACTTTCTTCATTTTGATCTCTCTTGGCTTTCTCCATATTTTTCCTCTTCTCCGCAACAACAACAAAATCCGCATCAAACGTTTGCTTGCGCACGCCGTCTGTTGACACTCTTATTCTGTGAATTTCATCATCAATATTTTGCATGGTTCTTCGCTTCGCAAATCCATCAGCACGACCGTGACTCTGATCAATAACGTGTTGAGGAACCTCACTACCATACATGCTTTGTCCGTGGTCTGCATGAAACCCTTTCTCGCCATTTCGTTGAACAACTGACCCTTTATTATGTGTATTCCAAATTGTCGTACTCTGTCCTTTTTTTACATCTTCCCCATTTGTAAACACAATGGGGACATCTAAAGATGCTGCATCATAACTCGTGTTTGGATTTGGTTCACCTCCATCGCTGTATGCCTGTGTATACGTATTAGAGAGGGGTGCAAATGAATTCCCGGTTTTGGGACCCCCTTGCTGTTGAAATTGATTTTGCAAATAGGTACCTTGCTGTACATTCTGTATCGCATATTGGTTGCCTTGCACTCCTTGCATATTTTGTGTATAATACCCATTATCATGCACTGTGCCAGTCTGGTTATTGGCAGACCATTGAACATATGAATTGTAGCCCGCATAGCCTTGTGAGACTTGGTTTTGTGTCTCAATGCAATTATTGCGCTTTGCGTATAAGGCAGCCCGCAACCGCAACTCATTCTGAACATTGTTGGACTCATCTATGAAATTAATACCGTTCTTCGAGTCGCCAAAACAAATTTCCATCGGTGTTTCTTGGTCATTGCTGCCGTCATCACTTGGAGGCAATGGTGGCAGATTCTCTTTGGCGGGCTGCTGAGTTGGGGGTAATGGTGGCAGATTATCTTTGGCGGGCTGCTGAGTTGGGGGTAAAGGAGGAGGTGCATTAACATCAGCAGATGTCTCTGTAGGGGCCGGTTTTCCTGTGGTTACTTCGTTTTCCAAACTCTCACTGTCTGCTTCGCCTTTCTTCTCAGTTTTAGAAGATGGAGCCTTTTCATTTGCATCGCCATTCCGGTTATTCTGAGATGCTAAGGCCGGCTGATTAGAATCTGCTGAAAAATCCTCTGGGGATAAACAGAGCTCTTGAACTTTTTCTGTTTCTGTTTCGCGGTTATGATCTTCTTGCTTGGATAAGGCAGACTTAGCAATGCTTTTGGTCATATTTGCAGTACTAACTTGTTGCAACACAGTCGTAGGTACACTGTCGCTTGCAGTTGAAGACACAACGTCCATTTTTACTTCACTTGTGCTCGATTCTGCTTCTTGCTTCCCTTGGTTGCAACTTTTTAAATTGCCCGTTTGGATGCTCGTTTGAGCACCCTCTTCATCAACTGGCCCTACCTGCGCTGGACCCTCCTTAGCAACTCTAAGTTTCTCCCTCTCTTCTAAGCGCTTACAACTGGTTTCACATTTCGTTCCATCCCCGTGGCAATGAGGTAGCTTAAAGTATGAAGACGACGGCTTTGTTCTTAGTTTTGAACATTTCTTAATACACTCCGTACCATCGCTATGTGTATGTGGAAGTTTTTTGTATCTGGCAACTTGACTTGCATAAGCGTTAGGGGAAATACCTGGGGATACAGATACCTTGGCACTTGTTCCTCCTGCCATCTTCATGCATTTGTCAACGCATTCTGTGCCATCGCTGTGTTTGTGAGGAAACTTGCTACATCTGTTCTTCCGGGCTTGCTCAGCTTGAGTACCTGACATTTCACCGTCTTTAGGCGATGAAACCCCTTTGAGACACTTATCTTTGCAATCAGTGCCGTCACTATGGCGATGTGGAAATCTTACCTCATGTCGAATATGACTTCGTTTCCCGAGGCTGTCACTATCAGGATCCCTAGAGGTCTGTGACATTAACCTTGGTCGGCTGTCATTACTAGCCCCAGGGCTACGACCTCGGTGTGCGGCATCTGCTTTTGTCCTTATTCGTGGATCAGCAACTTTTGTGACCTCGCGATTCGGCTCGTTATTATGAGGTAGTTTATCAGATACGTCTTCATCACTGAGGTCCTCATACTGCAATGGAGTTGACGCAGCATCAAATTCCAATCGGTTTTCTTCAAGGTTGCTTCCAGGAGTTTTTGATTTATTGGAACCTTCAAGACGTTCATTTGCTGTCACACTCGAAAAAACAGCAGTCTCGATTTGATCAAAAGAACTTATATTGAAGAAGAGGCCTCTTGAACGTGCAAAGTCAATCATGTCTTTCCAATCTTCGTCAACCTAAAATTTAAAAGATCAATTAAGATGATTTTGTATGGGAATCAAGTAAAGATCATCTACAAAACGACAACACTATTTAGCTCTAAGCATAAGAACATCAGTCAGCCATTGCAGCTTTAGCACTGTACTAAAGTTTTGAAAATAATTTCTATCAATGAAAGCAAATTTCTCCTCAGAGTGGGGCAATAAAAGTGGGTCTGCAGTAGAGAAGCAGGAGACCAAAGAGTGGTAAAGGAACTATATAAATGTGATAGAATTGTGACATTCAAAAATTGCAAGTCGTAGTGTTTTAAGAAATTTTGGAGCATCCCAAATATCAAGATATGAAGTCTATTTAATTTTTCTGAACCATGAAATGTCTAAAGTCCGAAAAGATACTCAGGCTTCGGACCCGCCTACTTGCAGCCTATTCTCATAAAATATCTTGGTAATCAAAATCTTGGTAATCAAAATCTTCGAAGATGATGACACTGAACAGCATATGCAGATAAAAACAGCTTTGTAACTCTGATTATTTGTCCTACTGACGTTATACCTAGCTAGAGTTTGAAAATTAAAGGCACATGATTAAGACGAATTCTATAGCTATACCTGCAAAGAATCTGAGTGAATCAAGACGATCAACGAATGCTTTGCTCTCGTCAAGGCGACATTCATTCTTTGTGGGTCTTGAAGAAACCTGGAGGAAAATACATTTGCAACTGAAAATGTCATATTGCCTGCGGTGTATCAGCTATGGCAATTCTAATGCAGAAACAAAATTTGTTCTCATAGAATTGAACAAAAACAGAACTTTACTTTAAAATCCTGAACGTAAAGTTGTTAACTTTGGTAAATGCAAAATTGAGCAATGCTTTCTTAACAGCAAAGGCCGCATTTCTAAACTGGTTTTGTTCAAAGTGTAAAATCATAAGATAAGGCTGGTTACCAATAGTCAAGAAAACATTCAAGTCAAATAAAGTCAGAGAACAATTAAGTGTGATCAAAATCTAGCTTTTAAAATGCTTTTCTTACCCGACTCCGGTTCTCACTTTTTGAGCTCGGACGCAAGATAAAATTATGATGTCTTTTTCTCTTCCCTGAAAAATAAAAAGGATACAATGACTGCAAAAGAAGTGACAATTAAAGTGAAAAAATAAAAGATAAATGCAAACACCGTTTGATGAGGGAACAAATCGTGATCAGCGTGACAATACGTGCTATTAATACTTGATAATACTTGATAATCAAGTCTATAAATAGCATCTAAGCTCACCTGGAAGCCATCAATTGTATTGATTTCAATCTTTGACTCTTGGCTAGAAGTAAAATAAAATAAAATTTGTGTTTTCGGTCACTGGCTTTTTGGGCCAAGGGTTTTAAGAGATCCCGTGTGTTGTATGAAAAATTATACTTAGGTAACTCGGTACATTTATAAACCATAATTAAAAACATACACACACGATTAAAAATTTTTCTTAGAATTTTCGCTGCCCTTCGGCAGCCTCCTCAGTAAGAATTCAATGAAATCTTCACACGATCAAAAATTCTAAGAAAAAGTTTTGATCGTGTGTGTGTTTTTATAAATGGTTTATAAATGAACCGAGTTACCTAAGTATAAAATAAGATTTCATTGTGTATTTGCAGAATTTAAAACGAGTGAAATGAAACTGGCACTTCATACCCTTGGCAGTTAAGCTCTGTATTAAAATTGCAATAGTGCAGCCTGAAATTCTTACCCGATGCTCATTTCTGATTGCAATTTCTGTAATTGCTTTCTGTATGGGGTTATCACTCCAACTTTCTCTGGCAAGACAATGCCTTTCTTGATAATCTCTTTGGATATGTACGTGACGTATTTTCTCTCTTCTGGATTGTGGATGGCACTGCAAAAACAGAAAGTAGAAAAGATGGATGACTCATGACGAGGAAGTTTAATAAAAGAAATGCCCAAGTGTTAAGAAGATTAACGAATAAACTCAAGGAAGATTAACGAATAAAGCACTTTGAATTACAAAACCGCTTAAAAATGACGCTTTAATGGTCAAAGACATTTTTCTGCATCTTCAGTCTATTTGATTTAACTTATTTCTGGGAATGCCGGAACACTTGATTGGGCATGCTAAAAAAGATGCATGCTCATAAATATGTATTCACTGTGGTCGAAACCTATAGCTCATACAGGCCAGCCTGCTGGAGCTCAACTTGTAGGATCAACTAAAGCTGTTGACAAAGTCCATCGTCAATGCTAGCTTAAAAAACCATCCGTCGAACTTCTTCGGTAAATACATCGCTAGGTTATTCTGACGTCATCTGTGATTACAAATCCAAAGTAACGAAATACCAGTTTAAAGAAAGTGATAATTTACTGCATAAATATTTAGCAACATACCCTTCGGCTTCTCTAGTCTCCTCACTGTCACTGATGTTCAAGACAATAAAAGACTTTATGCCCGGAAGTATTCTTCTCTGAACCACTTCCCTAGAATTATATCATGTACTCAATACTGTGGACAGGGGAAAATTAAAGGATTCAAATAAGGCTTGAGCTGAAAATCAAGATATAGGAATGAAAACTTTCTCATCAAAAAAGACATTTCGGGTCTTTGGAAAAGATTGCTAACCGTAAGATTGCTAAATATAAAAATATTCACACAGTATCAAAGCAAAGATATTTACATCTGCACTTTCTATTTATTTCAAATAGTTCAACTCTAAAGATAAACTAGAGCCTGGATCTTCTCATTACCGAATTTCTTTGAATTGTTTACGTGTAGCGTATACAAAGCTCTAAAATGAACTTCAGTTGCAATATATCTTTATATCTTACAGCAAGAAGGTTTCTTCTCAGCCTGGTCGTTAATACACAGCTACTTCTTTTAAAAACAGAACACACAGATCGGAAATTACCGGCCTTTACCTTGCAGTGATAAGATTGCCTTGGTAAAATTTCTTGGAAGGAAATGCACAAATGGCAGGGTGCATGCGATACTGCTCTTGCAATGAAAGGACGGGGGATTCTAGAAGAAGATAAATCACAGATAAATACTAAGATTGTTTTTCAGAAAATAAACAAATGAGGCATGAAATGAAGCAACTTTGCAACACTGTGAAAGGCATCAAAATGTGACAATAATCACGTGAGTGATAAAAATACAAAAAAGGAAGGTCTTTTTATCTTGTATTACAGCCACTTCATTTGAAACGGTTTATACATTGGTCATAAATGTTATAAGAAATCTCCTAGCATAATTTCTCAACTCCGAACAGTGAATCCTTCAGACCTTGGTGCAAAATAAAGGCAGTTTTCCAGCATCGAAGATCTTAGCGTTTCGTTTACTTACCCACAATCATAGATTTCGGGGAAAATAATATCAAAGAGACAAACGGGAGAACTTAGTGATTTTTTATACTTCCAGAAGAGTTGCTTCAATTTCAGAAAAAAAGCTACAAAAGTTTCTTGTAAACAAATGGATGAAAATAAACAAAATGTTTCTTCCCGGTCTAGCCACGGAAATGTTTTTCTTAGATATATATATAGAGTCGTTTTGGACATCTCAACAAACTGATCGCGAGATTTATATTGATCAAAACTTTAATAAGCGTGTCAAATCCAAATTCATGCCAATACAAATAAAAAAGTATGATTGAATAAGTTGTCAGCATGTCTTAGGTTTATCTTTACCCCAATAAACTATCTTTAATATTTCTTAACTTCAGTGTGCAAGTTTGTATGATCACAATACATGTTAAACAGCACACTAACCTGAGTGCTCGATTAATGCCCTGTGGATTCGTTCAAAGAGCGACTGTCCATAACCATATCTTGACGCACGCTAAAACGGCAATACAATAACACTTAAACGGTTAAGTTAACATCGTCTACCATCCTTGCCATATAAAATCAACATTTCGCCCTTGATTTGACATCAACAATGGCTTGTTCAAAGTTGAGGAATTTCTAGGGATACATCTCCAAAGACAGAAAATGTGAGCTGAAAAACTTACAGGGAAAAGGAGAAAGATTAAACTAGGATTAAGCTTTCGAAATGAAGCTTGAACACAAATACAACCATTTTGTAAGAAGAATATGGCCTATGAAAAAATGTCAGACACTTCAAAAGTGACCGATACCGTATGTGTTTTAGAGCTGGTAGCAAAAAAGCTTACAAGAGCCATACCTGCGATAAGATGGTTGCTGGAAGTTGAGCTGGGTCTCCAACCAGAACAAGCTTAGATGCTCCATACTGCATGGGGATTAAGGCATCAGGCTCACAACACTGACCAGCCTAACATGAAACGATAACAAAAATAAAAAATTAAATTCCTTGAATATACATACGCTTTGCTGTCATGTATTTCAGTGTGCAAAAACAATGCAAAGAAGCATATTTTTCAGCAGTTTAATGGGTCTCTATGTGCAAAGGATCACACAGAGCAATATTCAAGTTGTTGATAGCAGAAGTGTTAAACCCCAAGTGCTTAACAAAGTTACCTTAAGAGACCTTTCGATTAGCTTGTTCAATGAAAAATGCCAATGAAAACCCACAATTCTTGCTAAAAAATAGTTGGAACGCCTTCTCTGATGTCATGTTAACAGACAAGGCATGTATAGGACTTTTTTCTCGATATATTATATATGCTTCCAAATTTAGACCCTTCCCTACAAAAAATACTTTTCTCTATCCCTATGTACAGCTTTCAGTGACAAGCTTTTCCCTTCAGCATCGAAACGGTATCATTGAGTGCCGTTTTAATGGGGTGTACGGGGAGGGAGAGATTTTTCAAAAGATCTTTAGCTTTTTGCAAGTTTTCTCAAATTTTGGCAAGAATTGCAGCTTGCAAAGAGAACCACTGCACCTATGATCGCGAATTCGGCAAACTGAAGTTCATCATCAACAGAAAATGATAAAACTGTAGTTATCAAGAATTTACTTTCTAAAAAACGAGTCTTACCTCATCAATTATAACGCATGCAAACGGTGCTACCCTATAACAAAATAAGAAGTTAGCAAAATTGCAAAATCAAAATTTTTAAGAATTTCTCATCCAGCGACTAACACAACTCTTTCCAATCTAGAACATTTACAAGATAAATTATAAATTACCAAAAGTTTCCACACAATGTACAGCGCAAGTTAAAAACTCTTTTCACTTGTTTCCTAAGAATCTATTTACATGGAATTAGAGTAAATAATTTGCTAAAAAAGCAAAGCTTCCCTCCAAGGACATCATATCCTTAATAAACGTTTGTTCGTCCAAAACTACACAACCTCAGGGATGAATATAAAACCTATGCTAATAATTGAGTAGATTTCACAAAGATTCGTACCTAAAGTTTGCAAAGACTGGCACCTAAAAAATTTTGTAGACGCTAGACTGGAGTTTTAAAACTTCGCTTTCTGGACTATATCAGGTCCACTTTCAAACTTATAAATAAACGTCTTCTTCACCGTTTCAGGCCTCACGAAAACAAAGTTGTGGGTAACCTTTGTTGTTGACCCAAATGACGCCAAACAACAAGAGTAATCAAGCTTCAAAGCCCTTACCTCATATCATTGTCAGTTCTAAACGCTTTAACCATGTGTTTGCTACCGGCTCCACTTAACGTGCAACATATTATGTGTGCATTTTTCAAGAAGTAAGCTCTCGATTCTCTTTCTACCAAGCGCGGGTCTTTTCGTTGCCCCGCGTTTTTCAGTTTTCGCTGTAAGTATTCGGAACATTTTTGCTGACGCTCCCTTTCAGCCAGTTTCTTTTTCAGCTGTGAAGTATGAAATATCGAGTCACATAAATGGGGTAACAAATACTGCAAACAAGAGTTTGCATATTCACAATCCATAAGATAATGAACCGCAAATCCTAGAGTTGCAAACCCAATCCCGGGAGTGAGAAATTTTAATAAGCCCTCATTGTCATGTCAAATAAACCACCTCTCTAACATGACAATTTTCTGAATATAAACTTTTTTACTCAATACAAAGGACATAATCAACCGAAAATTGATTTAAAAAATAACGAATTAGCGTACTACACGCTACCTTTAATTTGAAGTTTTTAAAGTCTTGAAAGATTTTTGATTTTACGAATAAAAAATCCATAATAAATTGTGGATTAAAAATCTCGAGTACCTCAGCATTTTTAGTTCTATCCATTGCCATCTTTAGTTTCGTGCATTCTTTATCGAGTACCTTCAATTTCTGCAAAGTTCTGTGCAGCTCTTCTTTAATGATTGCAGGATCGCTGAGTTTCTTCTGCTTTTTAAGTTCAATTTCAATAAGGTTCTCTAACGAATATCTGGCGACGGTATGATTCATCTGGCGCGAGTCGCCAACGCGAAGAAGATTGAAATCCCCACAATTTGAATGTGCTAGAGGAGCAGATAGAAAATCAAAACGTTACACATGTATGCTATTCTGCAGGAACGTAGGGACTACATTCTTAATTTTTGCATTCATTAGCCTAAGTCTAATTGAACCGATTTGTTATATTACAAGTTAAAACAAGATTAAGTGGAAACAATGAAATTACTGTTTTCCTGTCAGTCATAAAGTGCTCTATGTTGTATAGGCAGAGCTGTGCACGCTTTTGGTGTATAGAACAGGATTATTCTAAGATGCTACTTTGAGTTTCAAGATCAACAGACAACTGTAGAAATTACTTCTTGTATCGTGTACTTCAGCACTGAATATTATGCTTTTAGCATGACAAACTCCTCTCTGGGGGGGGGGGGGGGGTTTGGGGTGGCATTGTTTGATTAATTCATTACCCCTCTCCTTGTCGCTGTTACCTTCATTAAGGAGCCGATTGTTGTGGTAGAAATAATCATGTATGCCTGCTTTGTTGGGGATCCAGCTGTAGCTAACTTCAACACTGTTTTTAGCAAAAAGAATTGACTGAAGGGCGGGTTTAATGAAAATAATGTACGTAAAGACTAGGTGTTTGGTACTAAGAAAATACGAAATAAGCAAACAATTACATATTGACAGAAAATAGGGGGATTTCAAAATCGGATCAACTGACGAAACATGGGAAGTGTGTTTGAGTCTAAGACATATCGGCATATCGATCAGCATATCGATGGAGTAACACACAGGAATGAAAATTCGATGCATTTGGATAAAACCACGAATAGGCTGCTGCAACCATTGCAAAATACAGCAACTTTAAATGCCTCGTGGTTTATTGCTGGTACTAACATATTTCTTTTTTCGTATGATACAAAACCTACCATGCTTCTTGTAACGCGTTGAAGAATTTTGCTCCAGCCGGGGGGGATCTTCCAGCAACCTGACCAGTAAACTATCAATAGCTGCGTTTGAAGGAGTGCACACTAATATTCGGGGGTTTTCTTCGTTTTTCGCCAAAGACTGAAAAATAACAATAATACAAACGTTAGTGTTTTTGTGAAAAAATGGCGTAACCTGTAAAATAAAATTTGATTTGTATATCAGCCTCCTATTGGAATCGTTTACAATGTTCTAAAAATATGTTATAAATCAGTTCAGGAGACTATAAGTTTGCCTATAACAGGAACGTTTTAATATTATGAGGCTTTGGGAAACTAGCCCGAAAAGGTACTAATTCAACTTAGTGATGTCATAAGAAGAAACCTCACCTTCAAAATATTTTTGATAAGCCCGAGCAGAGTATGGGTTTTTCCTGTTCCCGGCGGTCCTTGCAATAGTCTCACCTTAGGCAAAGGGTATGCCTCTGTAATTGCACTGGTGATTGTAGCGATGGCACTGGCTTGACCTGGGTTGTACTGCAAGACAGAACGGCATCCATAATATAAGCGGTGCAAGCAGCCATAGCAAACATAGCAGCCATAGCATAAATGTGCTTTTAGAAAATTGATTCTTAACATACCAAAATATCACGAATTCAAACCAGAATCATTTTATAACATGGGTAAGCAAAGAATAAAAAAGATGCGATTAACCACTATTTGTGAATTTTTTGCCCAAAATTCGAAGAAGCTTTATAGGAATGAGTTATCGTATGGTAGTTGTAGCAAGTGAACGATGGTTGTCACTATAAGAAAAATGTTGGTTCGAGTGAAGGAAGGGAAAGGGTGACTGCATAAATTATTGACTTAGAGGTGTGCAAAGGAGTATAGATGTCTAAATGAGTGGGCAATTTTGACGAAGACTGATGACATTTAGGCTTCGTTTACACGAGCAATTTTGAAACTGTTCCAAATGGAACAAACGGAACCTGTTTTGGTACGGCTAGCAGTTCCATTCGGAACGGTTCCGACGGGTCCCGTGTAAACGGGAGGTCTAACCGTGCTCATTTTAGTTCGGTTCGAAATGAAACCGTAAACGCTTTCTTAAAGGGACATTGAAATGCTTACCGTGAGGCCAAGCTCATCAGAAGCAGTATTATTCGCTGATATTTCAAAAACCTGCTTCCTAAAAGGATTCAGTATATCCGGCGCGAGCAACGACCGTCGTATCCCCAACAGGGCTTCCCATCTTCTGTACAGTGAAACCATAGATGTGACAACCTCTATCTGCACTGACGACATCCGGACTGAAGGTTGTAAATTTGCAACTTTAATTTTCAGGCTCACCAAAGTGAATGAGAAACTCCCACTGTCATCTGTTGGTTAGAATGGTATATCATAGTTTAGCGTTACCATCTTCCGAGATTACAAGAAGAAAACATTCAAATCTGTTTCCTCAACATAAAAATAAACACCATGTTCAAAACATAGACTGTGAAGAAAGAATGGGCATATTCAAGCTTTGCTACTCAGACAGTCTAAGCAGGGACCGAGTTACCGGGGGTTGTGGGGTGTAGGGGATGCAGGGGGCGTGGGGGGGTGTAAAAATGCATTTCTTGGTTTGAAAAGTTTCTTTCTTTGTCTTCTTATCTTTTTCATCTGAAAGTTAAAGACTGAGTTTTAAAATGGGCATTTCCGTCAGTTTCCAGTTACCTAAAGGGTGTGGCACGAAGTCCTATCAATATCCAACACATTCCCGCCCCCCCCCCTCCCCCCCAATCCTTGTCGCTTAAATCCGTCCCTGAGACTAAGTACAAGTATTACGAAATATTGCAATGTTATGATAGAAAATTCAACAAATGAAGTCAGTAATAGTGTTACCTAATCATTATTAGCTGTAAGCAAATAGTAATTGTTAGCGGGCAAGAACTAAATACATCTGGATGTCAGAATCAAAGGAGCAGGGGGTGTTAATAGTATTGTTGCTTTCAATGAAGAGATAAAAAATTGAGTTAACTGCAGAATTTTTCAGTGTTTAAACAATAAGAGAAAATTGGAACATATGAGAGATATTTAGGTCCCATGTTTGGCGTTTTACGAGGGAAGATTTTAAGAAATGTTTGTGTTCTTGATAATGAAATCTATTCACGCCCTTTTATAATTTTATCATCATACCATTACGTTGTAGAAATAATAGTGGTGTGATGTGACCTATGAACAAACACTAAAAAATGATTCCCAAAATGGAGAAAAGGCCAAAAGCGACGAGGACTTGTATAAAACTTGTATAAAGTGGTATAAAACTTGTATAAAGTGGTAACCAAGTTCGAGAGGCAGACCAAAAGCACTCTACCTTCGTCATCTCGTAAAGACGTCTTCTCGACTTCTTCAACCACACCAAATGTCTCAGTGATGTATTCGTCACCACCTCTTAGAATAACAAGATCATACTCGTTTGGCTCTTTTCTAGTGCTCGAATCCTTCTCTCGCAGACATCCACAGTTAACGATACGAAAGTTTTGGGAGTTCACATTTGGCTCAAACGACTTGAACTTGTAGTCCAGGGGCTGTTTATCACGCTCTTTGTAATCACGTATCATCTGGAAAGGAGAAAGAAATAATCATCCATAAATGTGCACGCTTTTCATATATTTTAGTACAGACAGCACAAGGACCTAGTTATAGTGACGCTACAGCCATTATTGCTTCAAAAGTGAACGGTCAAGTTTACCTTACTTCTTAGTAATTGAAAGAGCTTTACGAATCATATGTCTTGTAGCATACTTTCATAGCTTATCTTTTTTAGGCTCGAGTGAGATAGAGAATGATTGAAGGTGGCATTTCCACTGAATTCGAACAAAATCTTACAATTACCGCCAGCTTGAAAAGACCGATATGGATTAAAATAATGAATAAAAAATACAGCGAAGAAAATGACACAAAAAATAGGCACAAGAAATATGACAATAATTTGGGTTAGCAGATCAGTGCGAATTACCGAAAAAAATTGATACTGAAACGGAGCACGAAAAATACTGCTGGACTTCAAATACAAACCTGCGCAAAAAATTCGATGAGAACGAGAGGCCACATGGTCATCATGTAATCATCGTATGACTGATAACGGTTTGTGATTGTCCGTGGTTCACATGGCAACATGATTGACAGCTCATCTTCCTGTTCATTGCCCAACCAAACTGGGTGCCAGGCTAAAATATATCTGAGTAAATGGTCGATTTTGTAAACCTTGGATTTCTTCACGTCTGGAAGGTGTTCTTGCGGTGCCCTCTGGTCATTTTTGGTGACTATAAGAAATACAGATAACTGATTTGGTCTGTTTACAACAAAATATTTGTATCTCAATTGAAACTAATTTAAGCAATCAAACGATTACTTCCTAAAATTTTAAAATATTTTTATTAGCTGGTCATTGAGTTTCTTTTGCCTTGCTTTAAGGAAAATGTTAAGACAATATCTCATCGGCTTTGTTACGCTCGATGATCAAGATAAACTCTAATAAAACAAAGAATCTTAGTTGGGACAAAATCTCTCATAATCAGGCTGTAGAATTCAAGCTCTCTGAATACAATTATGCGAAAAATCGACCACGAAAAAACAGTACCCGAAAAATCAGTCAGAATTTCCTTGCTAGGTGCATAGGAAATATACCCAGTCATTTCTCACACAGCTTTTATTCCCTAAATGACAATTGCTCTAGTAACTCTGGAAAACTTTCTTCCGAAGGGACATTAAATGACACTTCCCAGGAAAATTCAATCAACTGGCCTTTCCCCTAACCATTTCTTTCTGTATTTTTCTAAAACTTATCCCGTGATATTTTGTTTGTAGAAACTTTGACATCTTGATTTCACTTAAGAAATTATCAATAAAAAGTTTTCTGTCTGCAGACATTCTCTGTGACAGCATTCAATGCAGGGCTTGTCAGAGGACACCTCTCCCTTGACAATTACTTCATGGGCATGTTGAGATGCGATTTTCACTGAAGACATTATCAAGGAAAACTATTCTGGTGATATTGCATGAATGGAAACTTCTTTGAATGGAAACAATATTAGGGATTTCTTTGGACCATAGGCATTGTTAAGGAAAACATTTCTGTTGATCTTTGATCAATGGGCATTCCCTGGACAACACTGACAACCACATGCCCAACTACAGGTCATTTCTCCCGTGATGTTTCTTACATGGGCGTGTTGCGTTGCAAATTTTACTAGAAATATTATCAAGGAAAACTATCCTGTGGTCTTTCATCAACGGATATTCACTGGGACAATATTAACTGCAGACCTGATCACAAGACACATTTTCCCAGACATCTTTTTTCTTAACACTTTTAAACCCAATTCTCTCGTGAAACGTTATCAAATGAAACTTTACTGGCGATCCTTCTTCAAAGGACATTCCCTGGGACAACATCCACTGCAGATCTTATCACAGGACACTTCTTCCGTTACGTTCCATTTCTAAACACATTTGAACACATTTCTCTCTGAAAACGTTATCAAGTGAAACTATTCTAATGATCTTTCATCAATGGACATTCCCTGGGACAACATTCACTGCAGACCTTATCACAGAACACTTTTTCCGTCACGTTCCTTTTCTAAACACATTTGAACACATTCTCTCTGAAAACGTTATCAAGTGAAACTATTCTGGCGATCTTTCACCAATGGACATTCCCTGGGACAACATCCACTGCAGACTTTATCACAGGACACTTTTTCCGTCACGTTCCATTTCTAAACACATTTGAACACATTTCTCTCTGAAAACGTTATCAAGTGAAACTATTCTGGCGATCTTTCACCAATGGACATTCCCTGGGACAACATTCACTGCAGACCTTATCACAGGACACTTTTTCCGTCACGTTCCTTTTCTAAACACATTTGAACACATTTCTCTCTGAAAACGTTATCAAGTGAAACTATTCTGGCGATCTTTCACCAATGGACATTCCCTGGGACAACATCCACTGCAGACTTTATCACAGGACACTTTTTCCGTCACGTTCCTTTTCTAAATACATTTGAATACAATTCTCTCTGAAAACGTTATCAAGTGACACTATTCTGATGATCTTTCATCAGTGGACATTCCCTGGGACAACATTCACTGCAGACTTTATCACAGGACACTTTTTCCGTCACGTTCCTTTTCTAAACACATTTGAACACAATTCTCTCTGAAAACGTTATCAAGTGACACTATTCTGGTGATCTTTCATCAATGGACATTCCCTGGGACAACATTCACTGCAGACCTTATCACAAGACACTTCTTCCGTCACGTTCCATTTCTAAACACATTTGAACACATTTCTCTCTGAAAACGTTATCAAGTGAAACTATTCTGGCGATCTTTCACCAATGGACATTCCCTGGGACAACATTCACTGCAGACCTTATCACAGGACACTTTTTCCGTCACGTTCCTTTTCTAAACACATTTGAACACATTTCTCTCTGAAAACGTTATCAAGTGAAACTATTCTGGCGATCTTTCATCAGTGGACATTCCCTGGGACAACATTCACTGCAGACTTTATCACAGGACACTTTTTCCGTCACGTTCCTTTTCTAAACACATTTGAACACAATTCTCTCTGAAAACGTTATCAAGTGACACTATTCTGATGATCTTTCATCAGTGGACATTCCCTGGGACAACATTCACTGCAGACTTTATCACAGGACACTTTTTTCGTCATGTTCCTTTTCTAAATACATTTGAACACAATTCTCTCTGAAAACGTAATCAAGTGAAACTATTCTGATGATCTTTCATCAATGGACATTCCCTGGGACAACATCCACTGCAGATCTTATCACAGGACACTTCTTCCGTCACGTTCCATTTCTAAACACATTTGAACACATTTCTCTCTGAAAACGTTATCAAGTGAAACTATTCTGGCGATCTTTCACCAATGGACATTCCCTGGGACAACATTCACTGCAGACCTTATCATAGGACACTTTTTCCGTCACGTTCCTTTTCTAAACACATTTGAACACATTTCTCTCTGAAAACGTTATCAAGTGAAACTATTCTGGCGATCTTTCACCAATGGACATTCCCTGGGACAACATTCACTGCAGACTTTATCACAGGACACTTTTTCCGTCACGTTCCTTTTCTAAATACATTTGAATACAATTCTCTCTGAAAACGTAATCAAGTGAAACTATTCTGATGATCTTTCATCAATGGACATTCCCTGGGACAACATTCACTGCAGACCTTATCACAGGACACTTTTTCCGTCACGTTCCTTTTCTAAACTCATTTGAACACAATTCTCTCTGAAAACGTTATCAAGTGAAACTATTCTGGTGCTCTTTCACCAATGGACATTCCCTGGGACAACATTCACTGCAGACCTTATCACAGGACACTTTTTCCGTGACGTCCCTTTTCTAAACTCTTTGGTTGTAACTGAAAACGTTATCAAGTGAAACTTTTCTGATGATCTATCATTAATGGGCATTCCCTAGGACAACATTCACCCAAGGCATTGTAACATAATTCGTTTCTCGTTACGATTCTTTTATAGAAACATAGAGATGGAATTTCCACTCAAAGCATTATCCAGTAAAACTTTTCTGTTGATCTCCCATTGATGGTCATTCCCTTAGAAACAACATTCACTGTAGGCATTACAACAGAACACTTTCTATGTGATGTTTGCTATTCGGACATTTTGTGATAAAGTTTCGCTCAAAACATTATCAAGTAAAACATTTCTCATGATGTATCCTTTGCAGGCATATTCAAAAAACATTAATACAATTCTCTGTTAAGACATTATCAATTAAGACTTTATGATAATATATTATGGAAGGGCATTCCCTAGGATAGCATTCACCGTAGGCATGGCCATATGATACATTTCTCTTTAGTCTTCTTTTGTAGACACTGGAAGATGCAATTCTCACTCAAGTGATTATCAAGTAAAAGTTTTCTGATAACCTATTGTCGAAGGACATTCCCTGGGACAACATTTACCCTAGGTATTGTCACATGATAAGTTTCCATTAAACTTTCTTTGTTAACCCTTGAAGATGCAATTTTCACTTAAGACATTATCAAGGAAATCGTCTCTGGTGATCTTTCATCGGTGGATATTCCCTAGGACAAGACTGGCCACATGCCTCACCACAGGAAACATTCCAGTGCTGTCTCTTTCATTTAAGTTTTGGATATGCAATTTTCATTAAAAACATTATCAACGAAAACTATTCTAGTGATATGTCTTCAGTTGAGATTCTCTTGGACAACAATCGCCGTAGTTAGGTTATCACAGAACACTTGATGATATTTCACTATCACTGTGATGATATTTCTTTCCTGAACTCTTAGAAATACAATTTTTATTGAAAACGTAACCAAAGAAAACCTTTCTGTTGGCCATTCGCCAATTGACATTCCCTGTGACAGCATTCAATACAGACAGGGCTTATCATAGGACATCCTTCCCGTTATAATTCATTTATGGACATTGACCACATGCCTTACCACAGGTTACTTTTTCCGTCTTCTATTCATTGGACATTTTGCGATGATATTTTTACTTAAAACATTATCAAGGAAATCGTCTCTGGTGATCTTTCATCGATGGAAATTCCCTAGGACAGCACTGACGTCATGTCTTACCACTTTTCCAGCGATGTTTCCTCCATGGGCACTTTAGATGCAATTTTCACTCAAAACATTATCAAGGAAAACTGTGCTAGTGATAATTCCTCAGTGAAGATTCCATGGGAAACATTCACTGCAGGCCTTATCAAATTTTCCCGTGATGTTTTTTTGGAAAATATTCATGAAACGCAATTAAAACTTCAGATAAAATCAGCTCAATCTTTTCTGACGATCTTTCATCAACGAACATTTACTGGAAAAACATTCACTGCAGGCATTATCACAAAACACCTTTCCCGTGATGTTTCTTTTATGGATGTTTGAGACCTTCGCTGGAAACGATATCAAGGGAAACCATTCTGGTGATATTTCTACAGTGGAGATTCCCCTTGAATAGCATTCACCGTAGATATTCTTACAGAGCACTTTTTCTGTGATGCTTTTTCCTAGACATTGTGAGATCAAACTTTCAATCAAATTATTATCAAGGAAAACATTTCTGTTGATCTTTCTTCAATGGGCATTCCCTGGGGGACTTTTATCTGTTGATCTCTCTTCAATGGGCATTCCCTGGGGAACATTCATCACATGCCTTATCACAGGATAGTCTCTCCATGATTTTTTGTCTCGAAGACATTTTGAGATGTCACTTTTCATTTGAAATTATCGAGGCAAACTTTCCTATTGATCCTTTTTCAACAGATATTCTCTTGACAACTACTCTGCAGGTAGGCATTTCTAAAGTAATTTTTCGCTCAAGGAAATAGCTTGGTAGACCATTCGGGTAAAATTCCTTTCGTGGAAGTTTTGACTAGCAATTTTCACTGAAAAGACAATTTTTATAGGGCAATTTTCTTACACATATTCCATCAATTTTCAGCCACCACTTCACAGATAACAGTATCTTGGTTAATAAATTTTTCCTGCCAGTATACTATGTTTTTCATCTTATGCAAACAGATATGTCTTCCCAATCTTGCAGAAATCTGCATCAAATCTTCACCGAGGACTGCGTTTTCCAAAAGCAGAAAAGTCAGACTTATTCTGATATAACAATTAATCCTGAGTTCGACCCCTGCCAGTGGTATCTTCCATCATTCTTGAAAAGCCAGACCACTGTCTCTGTAATATGACCCAATAACAATATTAGATCAACTTCGCAGATTTTGTTTTCAAAATCGACCCTCCAACATGTATGTCTTGGGACTTGTAATAAATCTGTCTGGAAATAAACAAGCCAACTCACGTTAACGCACTAAAATCCGATCGTATATTTTTTTCTAATATTAACATTGAGATCATGTTCAACTGGCACTATAATGAGTATGTTGATACCCAATTCAAAGTATCTGCAGTCAGAGCTCTGTTTCGTAGAAGAAATATCATTAGATACTTCAAGTTATAATCTTTCTCTCTATATGATATCTCTTTCAAGGCCAACTGTATCGTAACATGCTGGAACTTTTCAATAATCATGGTCAGTTTAGAAGTTACCACGAGACACGCATTTTAAAAATCCGCTACCTAGGGAACGCTTATTGGAGAAACTACTGAATCATCTTTCAAAGACCAAGATCATCTTTCCTGGGAAGCTTCTCCGATGTGCAATCTGCACAACAGAACAGTTTTGCTTGTTAAAGCTAAACACTGCTGTTAAAGGATAAAACCGATCAGCAAGACTAGAAACTAGGATTTTTTGACTTAATTAAACTGCGTCGAAGCGCTGCGTGGAATTTGGGAGAATATCTCATGGCCACCTGTATACTGTATCTCAATCTTTAAGGTTGCAGATTCTCTCGTTCTATGATTCAGCCATATTCTGGGTCTGCTTGCTCAAATTACATTTCCTAAGGACCCTTCTTACCAACAATTTTTTAAAACTATTTTTTACTGATATTATGGGCTACTGCAGGGGATGTTTCTTGGAGAGCCCTTTCACACAGGATATTTTCTCTGAGTATATTTCCGTTCGCTAAATTTCTAGAATTTTTTCTCTGGAAACATTTTTGTTCTTTACTAGTCATAACTCTCTCATTTGAATAGTTCCATCTCCATCTCTTCCAGGAACTTTCTTCTTTCTAGATAAACAATTCTACAATATCAACTGTTTCTTTTATCTGTAAACACTATCACAGGAATCTACTTTCGCCTGGACACTTTTGCAACAATCTTTGGCAGAACAGCGAGAATATGGCGTTTTGACTAGCCAAAACCTTAGTGGGAATTAAGCTGAGAATATCACCTTGACATTTGAGCTCAATTAAACTACCAAACATTGCATTATTTCAGAGTCAATTTGAAGTTGACATGGTGACGTTGAAATGATGACACTGAGGTGACGACGTTGACATGAAGACGTTGAAATGATGACATTTACATTATGACGCTAATATATAAAATTATATTACCTGTTTCTTCATGTTCCGCTTCTACATCAGAAGCATGAGCACTAGCTGCAGCCCCTTTGGAAGCCTCGTTTCGTTTCTCTAAGGCAAGAAGCTCCTTTTTCTTAACAAACTGCTCGTACAATATACTTTTCCTTTTTTGAAAAACTTCGTTTGATAAGTTGATATTCTCCGTTTCTCTGCCCTCTTCATTTGAAACTTCTTCATTAGTATTCTCAACAGCTTGATCTGTTTCTTTTAATTGACTTTCCAGTTTAAGATCTTCATCTTGCTCAGCATCAAGTGGTGATTCTAATTGTTCTGAAGCTGAAAATTCTACGTCATTATGATTTCCATCACCTGGATGATCTCCAGTGATCTCCATTTTTCGCAACCCTGTAAGGAATTCGAAAGCCCCCCTGCTTTCAAAAGGCGAGCGATGTTTGGGAGGCTGAGGGTTTGGTATTTCTTTTGCAGTAGATACTTCAAGTGACATTGGACCTGTGATTAAACCGCGGGAACTGTTATCCTCGGCTTTATCTTCTGACTCCTCTTCCCTTTTCACGGTAACTGTTTCTGTGGAAATTTCAGGGAGTAAATTGCTTGTCTCCTTCTTTATCTCTTTATGCTTCACAAATGCATTATATCTAGAGGAACTGTCGACAACTTCAAGTGACTGTAAAAATGCTAAGTCGTCTCGTTCATTTACCGCAACTTTCGCGCATTTATTATCACTATTTACCGAACCTTGCTCCTCATACTGATCATAATCATGATTTTCCTCCTTTACCATTCTCTGTTCACTTAATCCAACTCTATTCTCAGAAGACTTATCAGCTACACTGTCTAGCAAAGATTTGTTGCTGCCAAACAGGCTTTTATCTTTTGCTGTTCGACTTTCACTTACATTCTCTTCCTCCACGGTTAGGCTCGAGCCTAAATTCCTAACATGATTAGCAGCTTTTCCATACGTATATCGAACTGGAGTTTTCATCTTCAGAACAGGGCTCTTTGCATCGCTTTCACTGTCAGTTAAAGTTATAAGCTCTGCCATAACTGTTCTACTTGAGAATGAGTCGGCGTGACTCCGTTTCTGTTCCTTGCCATCATTTGATGTCCGTGATGTAGCAAATGTAACTGGTATTTGATCAACGTTTCTTAAGGGAGACATTGCTAATTTACTGTGCCTCGGTTTGGTATCACCTTGCCATGGCTTTTCTCCATCAATTTGCCCTTCCATGTTTTCGTCATCAGATGATGCATTATCTTGCTTTCCGGTATACGACTTTTTCAAGGGTAACTTGAACACCCTATGAACAAAAAAATCATCAGCCTCATCAATCTCGTCATCTCTCTTTTCTTCTTCACATTCTGAATAATCAAGATCATCAATATACGAAATCGGTTCAAATACACTTTTTTCCGGGCTTGAATGCGGGTAGCTAGTAGTCTCTTTGGCAACAACGTCTTCATCACTGTCAGATATGTAAATAGGCTCGTTTGAGCATCCTGGCTTTGGACTATCCGAACGATCTTCAACCGACTTGCAACTACCTGCACTAGTTTTCATGTTGTCTTCGCTAGAGGCTGAAAATAATCTGCCTTGATCGTCGCGTATGCTCAATGCAGACAAACTCGGGTTGCTTATTTCTGTTAAATGTTTCAGGATACGCTGTAGATACTGCATTAATTTCTCAACCATGTCAGGATCGGATGAGTGGCCTAATTTTTGGCATTTTACCCAGTCTAAGAGTTTTTCATAGTCTTTCCTCGATCTATACTCTGCAAACGCTTCTCCTTGACTCAGCAATGACACCAAAATGGTGTGAGACTTCATCGAAATGCGATTCCAACTCTGAGATAAAGAAAGAGATTACATAATTATCTTTTATTAACTGGGAGGCAAAATTGTGGCTGAAATGCTTGCAAGCCTAAAAGCAATACTTTCCAATGTTTAAGGATACCATATCAAATAAATTGTTTATGACTGAAATTCAGTGATTGTCTTACTGTTTAAAGTGTTTTAAGTCTTAAAAGCTTGACGAAGTATGCAACTGAGCAACAAAAGAGCAAAACAGAACGTTTTCAATCATAACCACTTTCTCTTGTCGGCCACTATAAGTTTTACTGATCCATTTTAGGCCCATACTTATATACTGATCTCATTGGAAATGCATCTCATCCAATCAGTTATCACACGGTGTTATACCACGTTGTCGACGATTAGCATTATCCAGTAGTCGATTATATAGCTGTAAGCTTACCGTGTATGTTCCACGAAGATGAGAATCCAATGTAATGAAATAGAATTTTAAAATAAATCGAATTTAACAAAATGTAACTTTATAACAAGTTCATAAAAATCCATCTCGAGTACAAAACAATTTATTTTACCAATTTTCTACAACACAATCTAAGCTAAATAATTGGACTGTATAACAATTTGAATTTTTTCAAACCCGAGAAAGAAAATTTTCTTTCTTTAAAAAAAGTTTGAACCATCGGGAATTGACTGTTTTTGTCGACCCTAGTTTCACGCCCCCCTTATCTGCGAATCGAAATACGCACCTTTGACTGAATCTTAGCAGCAAAATCCGACCCTTCGAAGCGGAGATGACGTAAAATCTGCAGCCAATTACAACTGACACCTTTGATCAAGCACAAAAGGTTTTTGTCCACGAGATATTTGATCAAGGAAAAAAGGCATTTAAGAACAGTGACATCTAGCATTGTGGGAAAATCATGTGACAAAAACCATTCACCTGCAAAAAAAATCGTTATTAGTTATATACAAAACAACATTATGCAGCAAGGTAGCCGCTTACATTGAAGTAGAAGTTAGGTTGGGATTTTTTCTAATTTCTTCTCGTAATAATCCTCATCTTGGATCCAGGTTCCAGTTGAAAAATTATAAGCAACAATTTCACTGCACAAGTCGAATTTCTAGCATCTTTGGAAAATTAAAAACCTTAAGCTACTGGTGCTTTTATGAAAAGTTTTAAGAATTTTTTGATACCCGAGAGAGCCACCAACAGACGCCAAAAATGCAGGACATGTAGAAGCTATACACTCATTTTTATAAGAAACAGAAAATTGAGGTTCATAAGAAACTTAATCAATTCTTAAATTATTAGGTTTTAATTAAAGAACACATCTCCAAAGATCAAAGATTTTTCTGCATCATCCTATTTTGCTGCATCTTATGCGGATATTGTTTTTAATAACATTAACAGAAGAGGTACCCTAATTCGACAGGAGACTAAAATATGACTTACTTTTTTCGACTAACAGAACAAAATATGATACCACTTCTTGTGTGACTATGTCAGCGATATACTCGAAGTCAAGAACAGCTACAATGTAGGGCTGAATCCAGAAGAAAGGGTTGAAATGCCGGCTTACATCTTCTCTGTCGTCTATAAGCTGACTGAGTGCTATTTCCTCAAAGGATGAATCGTTTCCAACGCTTGGGTTTTCACTCGTACTTATTTTCTTGACAGCAAGAGATTTCAAGTAGGCCCTGTTTCTAGGATGTTTAAGAACAAGTCTAAAAGTTGTTCTAGGCGCGTCATCAAGATTCATCAGAAACCAGAAGGTTGATTCCAACTTTTGCATAAGTATTTTCAGGCAGAATAGCAATGGCCAAAAAGCAGCGATGGCATCTGCAGATAGAATATCATCTAGATAGAATTTCAAGTTTTCTTTACAATAAAATTGAGCTAATAGTACGAGACTGCAGATTATCAACTCATTAACACGTTCTGACGACCGTTGACTGTTGCTTAATATGCACAGCAAATCAAATGATTTTTAATCTACAATCTAAAAAGAGCCATAAAGGAATTCAACCAAATATTAGCATGCTTTGATCTTCAGTTAAATTCTTAACCTTTCAAGAATTCGCAGCTCAGGACAATTTCTAATCGTCACATCAACTTATAATGGTAATCAATCGTCTGCTTTGCATCATTCTTGACTAAAAAATAAAACATGTATCGTCCAAATGCCGCATTCTTACAAATAAATAACTCTTTACTGTCACAATTTGGATGAGCAATTCAAACTCTTATAAAACAGCAAAAAGCGAAAAACATATTTCAAGGAACAGAGGGACACGTGATCAGCCTTACGTGATCGTGTACAGCTTAACAGCACAGCTGCTGAATTAGTTATCAGATGATACTTCACAATACTACAATAATGTGGAAACCTGCTTAACCCAGATTGAATGATTCTCAAGATTACCCTCTGGCTACAAAACCAATCAAGCAATTTTAATGTCATAATCACTAAAAAGCCCCCTTATTCCTTGTCCTACCTTCTTCCTCGCTCTCCAACAGGCCTTTCAAGATTCCAAGAACTTGACTATTTCCTTTCACGTTCAATACCATGCGCAGCACGTGTTCATCGAGCGAATTGAAAATGGCGCCCAACCCAAGCCACAGGCTTTTCTTGGATAATGGAAAGTACAAATGGGGGGCAGGGTTCGTTTTTTCAGTGATCGAAGTAGTTGGAATATCGTCTGTGTTGAAATCTGACTGATCCATCAAGCCGTACAAAACGACTTTAAGAATACAGTTGATAACAGGTGAAAGTTCGTTGAAGTCCTCAATCGAAACTGTACCAAGCTTGTTGGCACTTTGCAATGCCCATTTCCGAACCTTGGTGTAAAAAACAAAAAGTAGCTTAAACAAGATTCAAGGGTGAACTCATGGCAAAAATTTGATCTCGTAAACAACCTAGCCTATTATCCTTGTCAGAGGGCATCCTTCTTTTGAGGAAATCACTCTAGCTTTGGTAAAAAGGGAAGGGGGAGCGCAAAGTTCTGATAAATTTAGGGTTAAACTGCAAAGTTAACTGTGGATGAAAAATTTAATCACTAATGTCATGATCAGATTATCGAACTTGCTTCAATTTCGTTCGATTCCTCGAATGGAATATTAATGAGATGTGGCCTTTGCTCATGCTCTAGTGTAAATGTTGACGTTGTGATGTTTTTGTAGCCAGAATTTTTTCATTCATAAATTCTGAAGCAAAAAGAAGGTATCCATAAAACACGTACCCTCAGAAGGGGGGCAGGGTCCAAAATAGCGTACAACCACGTGCAGGAGAAGAGGAAAGTTTCTCGAAAAAATTTACGCACACCCTCAAATTTTTTGATTACACTTTAATATCAAATAAACAAAAAAGGGCTGAAATTCATCATCAAATGACTAAGAAGTATAAACAACATCTCAACGTTTGTCAACGTCTTTTTTCAAAAGCGTACGAGCCTGTACGCAAGGGGAGTGAGGGTAAGAAAATCACGACACTTGGGTGTATATTCTTCGGTTATAATTACCAATCGTGTCGTGTAGAAGCGAGCATACAAATCCGGGAAAGCTTACCTCCAACCGAGGGTTCAAGAGGAGCAAATATACACCAGGTAAATGCTCATCAATTTCGATGAATTTTTCATTTTCCACCAGCAGAACAATACAGTCTGTAAAAACTTTCATCAAATCTTCGTTGAATAGCAAATACGGATACTGCAGCATCTCGAATACCGGCACTTTCAAAAAGTCTTCAAAGTCGTATGCGAGGTCAAAGCTGTGTGACTGCATGTCTTTCTTCAGCGTATCGAGGAAATGATTGTGAAGTCTTTCCACCTCGACTTGATATAAAATCTAAAAGAGGGCATGCGGTGAATTTAAGCAGTTAGATATGAACCTTAATATCTAGAGAGATAGCATCAAAACATGCAAAACAGGTTTCTTTAAAATACAAAGAGTGTGGTATAAAATCGTTTTGATAAGATAGGCGGCAATAGCACTGCGTCATTCGACATTATTCGACACAACAGAAATAAAGCAAAATCTTTCTGAAAGTAACAAAAATGTGAATAAAGATTTCTGCTCGCGGAGGATCAAATGCCTTGATTCCGACTTAATGCATAAAACAAGAAGGAACATTCGGCGAGAGATAAATTTACGAGGTAGCATATAAAATATCTTGTTAAAAAACTTGCGCGATATCGTATTAGCAGATAGCTTTAAATAGCTCTTTTCCTGGCTCAACATGAAACATGAAAAATTAATCAATATAAAAAAGGGAAACGGATAAAAATGAAACTGCCTCGGAAAGAAAGGACTAGGTTCAGTGTGAGAAGTGTGGATAGGCGTAAAGAAATGGGCCTAAACAATTGAAATTATGGCGTAGTGAAATGTTTGTGAAGTGTCGTGTTGAGGAAATGATGGTGCGAAATTACTGTGAGAAAAATAATTTGTTTGAATGTGAATGACAATACAATAAGAATAAAAGAAACCACTACAAGCTGAGTGGCTAAATAAACCAAACAAAAGAAAGCCAAAAAATGTGTGCACAATCAATTAAAGTCGACGGTTCAGGTACATTGGATTTTTACGTAGCTGATTCTTACGGTTATAAAATAAACGCCCACGTTCATGAGCTATTACCTTTTCGTGGCTGGGATATTTCTTAATGAACTCTGCTTTGAGCCGGTGATACTCCCGTACACACGGCGTACAGTAACATAAATCAAGGCTTGCTTCATACTTCCAACTCTCCTTGCCGTTCTGCTCTGGTTTGGACAGCTGCAAAAGAAGGCTGCGGGCAACATCTTCATCTTTACACCAGTAGCAACTCATTCTTCATTTTTCGCCAGAGCTATATGATATGCTACCAGGCGGTGCAAAAATACGGATCTGCAAATAAAAAGAATAGTAGATTCAAAAAGAGCTCTTGCACTGCTCCAGAATGCCGTTTCAGTTGTTTGGTCAGGCATGCACAACACCATTATTTTCTACAAGACTTTAGGCACAATATTTTTTCAACTCTTTGACGCAATGTGCCATACTTGCGAGGGACTGGGGACAAAAGACCTTATGTGCCAACGTAGTGTTTGCAAGTAACACAATTCAAGTTATACATGTTCTTTGTCTGTTTTAATGCTGAAAACTTAGTTCAATTTGCCTAAAAAGAGCAATACCAAGAACTGTACCGCGTAAAGAACCACACCATCCGAGGAAACTTAGGTTTTTAGGCATTCAACACTGAAGGCCACTTGATATTTCATACTGTTTCAGTCTTATTCACTATGTTCCTATCCACTTTTTGTTAAAATGCTTGTCTTGATCAACATGAAGCATTGATAACATGAAGCATTGCAAAGGTATTGCAAGTGAACGTTATCGTATTGCTTGCCAAGCTGTTACCTCGAAACAGTGTCTGCATGCCCTTTGCCATCTGGCTACTTATCCGTAAAAGAAATACACAACAAAAACTGTTCAAAAGCTATCAGAATCTACTTGCGAACTTTGCTGTTACTTTCATGCTGTCTCTGGCAATCGTATAGTCTGGTTATGCTTGTAGACGTCATACCTGTACCTCGGTATTCATATACCGTTTTCTGTTAATATTACTGACTCTATTATAATCATCTTTGCTGGTGATACTACCAGCCTCGCTTCTGCAGTACAATTTCAAATTCAATCATCCTTCAAAGGTTAAAATTCTGCCAGCAATGACGTTCACGAATGAAAATATGTTGTTTGTCTGATGACATAAATACGCTAGGACAAGGAAATTCGTCATCTGATTATTTTCTTCTGCATTCTAATATTATTTGTGACAGTATTTGGGTTGGTAAGCTATTGAGATAATTTTGTGGTTTTCGGCACCTGTGTAGAAAATCTTTCTGGTACAGGTCTCAAAATTGAACTCTTCTTGGCTTTACAGTTTAAAATCTCTCGATAACAAACTCTTCAAAATACTTTTTTCCTCCTGGTATCTTTGGAGCAGGAAATGTACTTCCGAAATCAGTTTCAAGCAGATTGACATTATCTTGCACTGACGTTAATTAAACATACTTCTTCACATTTAAAAGCGTCAGCCTCTGCAACGAAAATCAACAAGGATGATAAAAAGTCTTACAAATCTGTTACGCCAAGTAAAAGAACAGCTCAAAATGTAGAAACCTAGCTTATTTTTAAGCTTCTCAGTATAAAATTCTTTCCATGGAAATTCGTCCCTGTGACAAACAACCATGGCTCTGGTGAATGTGTTAGCGAGCAAATATCTGCTTCAGACTTCACTGCAATGGCTCTATATTCAAATCGTTGTTGTCTTCTTCATGATTGTGTAATCATTTCAATTTCAGGGCATCACTACTTGGCATCTCAATCTTTGTTCCTAAAATAATTTTCTTAGTGATGATAATTTTTCTGCTCTTGATGATAATGACCTTTTAAACTACAAGAAAAGGAACATCTCTGAAATATCTACTTTCATATTTCGTTGAGCATTCCAGGACGAAACTGTTCACAGCATTCAACAGCTGCAATGATAAAGTACCTTTCATGTACTGAGCTATCTGATGAAACACACAAATTTGGTAATACTGAGGTTTTGCTCGTAGCAAACCAATTGTTTACAAGTGTGCTTGTCTCAAACTAACTGATCTCTTTTCTTTTAGGGACATTGAATGTCACCAGTTAGCTAACAGCTATACTTTCATAATGGCGGCCAACAGGCTTCGAGAACTGGTAAATTCTAATCACACATTGGTTGACTCTCTTATGGGCAACTGGAAACCTGGTACTATCCTCGATAGATAGTGAAGCTTCAAGCGTGCGTATAACAAAACCATGCTGCCAATTCCTTACGATGAACGGGAATCCCGCAAAATTTTCAAATTTTATGTTGTAGGAGCAGTAATGGTCAATTAAACATATTTTAGCTTATAGAAATTGGCAGCAACCCAGGCTGGCATTTGATAAATTGTCGATCCTACAAGACTCATACCTATTGGGCTCCTGGCAATATTCGACAATGCACAACGAAGATATTCAAGAAGGAGGAGCCCTGGCAGTATATGCTTGCCGAGCTATTCGTCTTTGTTGTCTGCCGAGTCTGAATATTATATCCTCTGGAAGGTTCTGGGAATGTCTGGTAATCGCATAACAGCTAATAAATGCGTACGATTACCATGTTTGGCTGTTTTCAGGGCCAGTCATGACTGATACACCCTCAACCATACTCACACAATAAGATCGATCTGTATTATATTCTTTGCTCTCCGTAATTCTTTATTCGATCAACAGAAAAAGAGGTTTAAAGGTCTTTTTCAGTTTAAGCATCTCCTCTAAGGGGCCATACATTAGATAGCAGTGTACAAAAAAGTAAATCTTTGGACCCCCCCCCCCTCCCCTCCCTTGCCAGGTATCATCTTAAACCAGAGACTCCTCTTTCCAGCATCAAATCCATGTATATAAATACATGGTCATAGTTCTTTGCTCAGCAGCTTCTATTTCCTCCTCAACATCCATTGCCGTCGCAGTTCTCTTCACTTTGAGATATTTTGTGTTGTTGGACAAAATTTGTGCAATAAATTCTACATTTATTTACGGACACTGCTTTTTGCATGGACTGTCGATATAAGACACGCGACATCCTCTCTCTCTTGTAACACGTCTAAAAGTACGGAATTTAGCCTATACCTCTCCTCCATTCTTGCTACGTCATTAATGAATGACGCCCAAGCTTGCTTCACGACATTTTTCATTAACACGTCCCAGCTGACTTTCTTTCTGCACAAACATCGCATTCAATCTTATCAAAACCTGATTTTCGTAATTTTACTAACAAATAAAATCACTATCGAAATTCTCTTCCGGCATACCCATGAGATTCTTTGCTTGGCTCTTTTAATACTTCATGGAACATTAACCAAGAGTATACAGCCTTCTCATAGCCAGCTCGCAATAGCTCGAAAAGTTCTCTTTGTTCTGTAGCTAAATCTCTGTCTACTGTTTTGCGTCACAAGTAAAATAGCAAATGATCTGAGTTCTTTGAAAATTATTGTCACCATTGTAGACAATATGTTTCGAACATCAACTCATAATTGCATAAATTCGCTTGTATCTTCTTCATGTTCATCTTTCCGTGTGTCGATTGATAAAATCCAACATTTGGGCAATGTCTAAAGCATTTGAACGTATAATAGCTGGTCAAAGGCTTCGCATCAAATGTAAGATAAATGAAACTTGGTGACGTAAGCGGGTTATGATCAATATAGCTTTCAATTAATGCAAACCAAGAGATACCAGTGACGGTGCTAGAATCATGTCCCCTCTTATCACACAAGGTTATGTGCAATGATACGGTTTTGTTTTCTGCTGCTTATGTAGGCTTATCTGGTAAACTGTTGATCCCTTTTCAATCACATGTAATAATAAAGATCACTTCGTTAGCGCCCATCACTGAAGTGATCTAAAATCGTCATTTCAGCCAACGAAAAATTGACTTGTATACTATGATTTTTCAAAATTTCTTCACTTGAGTATATAAGAATACATACATCCTTTTACTCCAAATCACAATACATTGTAAACTTTGATCTTGCATTTTGTCAGTATATTTGTGAATCTGCTGATTGTACTATTTCATCTTCTTGAAGCTTCATTATCTCTCTTTTCGAATTCTTTGCTATTTCCATGGACCTATTTCGTGCTACCATTGCTTAGACAATGCTTGGAATCTTTATCTATTGAATTCAAAGTGCTTCTCTGAGTAATTCATGCTGTAGAGATGACTTGTGCTTTACCTACAACATTTACCTACCGACAATCAACTGTGGGATACCAAATAAACAACCAATAAATCTCCAAATAATCCTGGTTGCTTAAAAAGCAACTCAAATTCTTCACAAAGGACTTTGGTGTATTTCTCTGTCATCATATGCAGTTTCTTCAAAAAATTTCATTTTCAAGATTTTTTCTTAGTTTTATCTTAGCAGCTTTTAAGCCCCAGGATGCCCACAACCTTTAAAATGAAGGTGTTGGAGAAGCTTTTGTAATACTTGCCAGATAAATTGCTACAAATTTTTGCCAACATACAATGACTTTATTCTGCAGATTTCCTCAAGCTCAAATGTTATCCATAGTAATTGTGAGGTTCTAAGTTCCATCTTTTATCAATACCATGACCATGTCCCTTGAGGCTAAATTGGCCTTGTCTTAAATAAACCAAGAATTTTTGCTTCAAAGCACATCTGCCTTCATTTGTTGCTAACATGGTTTGGCACATCCAAATGTGCAAGTGAGTAGAGCAAACAGGAAGACATTCCAATATATTTCTTTCAAAAAATTCTTCTAAACATTATTTCTTTCAAGCAGATCTTCTCCTAAATTCTAGACTAGCAATGAAAGCCAAACAGCTTATTCACAGCTGCCTAAAATTCATCTCAGACCAAATACAGTACAGGATTGATTTCTGCTTAGCTTGCACTTCAACTCTTTCTAGCTCTTTCTAGTACAGTTGAAAATACTTGTCTGACACTCAGGATGGGCCTGAATGATCAACACTGGCTGCATAAAGCAATGGTAGCAATAATGCTCTAAAGAGAAGTCTGCCAATGCTGTTCCATGAATCGCTTTCCAATGATAATGATCAGGAAGTTTTGCTTTCACAATGCTGAGATTTACAACAGTTTCTCTGTTGTGCAGTTGAGCACAAATCTGTCTTTCTTCGAAAATCTCTACTCGAGATTCAGATCTAGTTATAATTCTTTTTTCTTGGCCATTGATATTCTTCCTATCTTTAACTCATTGGTAAGGTCAATACTAAAGGTTGACTATTTGAACCATATGCTATTTTGCAAAGGTGATGTCACAACACTATACTGTAATTTGTGTTGTTGTCTAGCCCCTAAGCTGTATCAAACCAAATTTAATCAATTTTGACATTTTGATCTAGCAGTGTAGTTTAAGAGTTGTCCTATTTTAGTATCATATACAAAGAGAACATAACATACATATTTAAATCTAAATGATATATGTACAAGTTAACTTTATTTGATATACTAAACTGCTATATGACATTATAATAAAATTTTATGCATAGTTTCAAATATATGTTATGAGTTTTTTTTAACAATCAATAATTAGAATAGAAAACAGTTACTGTAGGATATTTCATACCAAAATGTAAGCTTATAGTAATGTCATCATTTGGCACCTTTAAATGTCACTAGAACAATTAATTTAATCTAAACAACAAAGTGTTTTGATCAAAGTAGCAAAAACCAGACAAAAATTATTTCTTAATAAAGAAACTAATTATTTATCATTAACTAAATGTTAAACATACATAAAATATTGCATAAATGTAGTTTTAGGGATGTGGGATACAAAAAGAAAAAGTATGAATTTAAATTATTTCATGAACTTACACTCACAGATGGTTCTGAGTTTTTTTACTGCTATATTCACGAACATTAAACGTTTGTTATTGTTTTAAATGAACATTAATTTTTTCATTTTATTGTAATTGTGGAGCAAGGGATGCATTACCTAGAAGACACTGTTGGATGTGCCCAACTGTGCCCAACATCAAAATGCCAAAAACCTAGTCCTGATATACCAGTTAAAAACATTAAAAGCTATCAACTATGCATCTGTTATTCATTTCAATTAAAAAAACTTTATCAATTAATTATTAATCAATAGAGTTTGCTCTTTATGGTTTTACTTTGCATGAACAGTTAGAATTAAGCAATTTCCAAGCAAAACAACATAAAAATTATAATATTTCATAGTTTATTAAGGTAAATTATAATAAGCTAATTTTAATGTTTACATTTTAGCCTAAGTAGAGTTTCAGTCAATTGATTCTTGCCATTGCATGCAAATTTGAAAGTCCTTCCAATTGGTACTGAAGACAGAATCAAACAACAGCTAGAATCTAATTGGTCATTTTAGAACACAGCCAGTTGTGTTGTCTGCAAAGTTTTCTCCATTATAATTGGCTGTAAGAACCGTGCTTCAACCATAGAGATGGCTTTAACAGGACCACGTGAGCAAGTATCAAATTCTGAGTTCGGGCGGCAGCACACGAACAACGGTCCTTTTGGCAAACTGTGCTGGAATGACGTAACCCCTCATGAGAGCAGAGGCGGCCAAGTTTACGTTCCCAAAATTGTCGTTGATCGACCCTAACTCGACAAACATCGCTCAGAACATTTCAATATTATTGCAATAACAAATTCAAGATAATATCTTTCGTCGCGTATATCATGGATACCAAAACTCTCTTGATAACGGTCCGTCAAACACTGGCGATAAAGAAGGTCTTCCCCTTGTCAGATAGGCCAAAGACGTGTCCGGTAACTTACCTTCGACTTCCTATCCTTTGCAACCCGCAATGGGTTGAAACTTTTCGAGAAATTCGTAGTGACTCTTGTTCGAAGAAGCGAATTCAGTTATGTTGTTCTTGAAAACGTGCCACTTGCCTCTTCGTCACATTCCTTTACAAACAACCACATGGAATTTCCAAACTCGCTGGTTGCAAGTCTTCGTTAACAGATTTTCCAAGAATGCAGTTTAATGCATATGTAAATCTAACGAAAAACAACGCTCTATTTAATTCATTCGCTTTGTGTCCTAAAACTTGTCTTCTTTTCCACCGCCAACTTCACGGCCCTTGTTTTCGAAATGCTGTCTCAAATGATCAGCTATCACAGGGTGCCTCGTGCAACGGACGTCATTCTCCTTTGTTTAGTGATGCCGTCAATGTGACGTTTTTGTCTTGCAATGCATGTGAGAATAGCATTTATAATAAACAAATATAATCATTTAAACTGTATTGTTTACATTTTCAGTAGCAAAGGGTATACAATTTCTCATATCTATAATTGTTTCTAAAAGATAGATCGATAAAATAAAATACATGAAGACAAGATGGGCGTAGCTCTGTGCAGAATGTTTCTATATTCAAATTCTGTCACAAGAATATTTTTTAAATTCTCTTATCTTGATCTAAAGTCAAGCCTGTTGTTTTTATTAGGTCCCCCCCTTTTTTCTAGACCCCACTTTTCTCAACGCTCCGTGGGACCTGAAGTGGTAATACAACAAAACAAGACATAAGACATAAGACATAAGAGTTTTCATTTCAACCAAAAATAATTACAATTTAAATTATGAATAATAAAAAATAAAATAAAAAGTAGAGTCACTTCGCCCCTTATGGAACGATTTCAGTAAAAATTGTTTCCTCAGCTTTTTGGTATTTCCTTATAAAATAAAATTACTACAAGCACATTCTTTGCTGTATAATTTACATGCTTGTGTAAAGACAGTCTTATCGGCTTTTATCTCTTTCTGCACGAGCAACATTACTACAGGCTACTTTTCTTAGTGAGAAACTTAGGCCATCGCCCCTTATGGAACGACTCAAATTTAGGCATGCAGAAAAGCGCACAATGAAGAAAAACCGGGAATTATGATCTGCCTTCTTTCCTTCTATCCAGGGGGGCACTCTGCCTTCTTTCCTTCTTTCCAGGGGGGCACTTGGCACAGACATACGGGGGGTCAGTCCGATATTTTTGGGTCAAATGTTTGCCAAAAGTGATATTTTTGGGTTAAATATTTGTCAGAAATGATATTTTTGGGTCCTGCGAAAATAGTAGATACAATTCTGATATTTCTAGGTATCAAATTTAGAAACATTGATATTTTTGGGCATTCGTGAGATTTCCATATCCGAATCAAATGTATTGTTCATGGATCTAATTCGCTGAGGTTTATTTTACCCACTTCAAGTCACGTCGGGAGTCATGCTACCATACTCTTTGGAAATTTTAATGCTACTTTTTGTACTCACTGTAAACTTTATATGGCACGAAATATGCTAGAGATAGTTTCAATTGTTGTGAATATCCAAATTGAACATTTGCTCCATGTGTGGTAATGGCAACTGCAACTATTTACGGCTTTTTGAATTGCAGATCTTATAAATTACAGCTATGTCATATTATCTCACCCAAAATTCCAATTTGTGATATTTTTGGGTACAAGATATAAGTAAAACTGATATTTTTGGGTCTTATTGAAAATGAGCTGATATTTTTGGGTGGCCTTTAAATTTCTTGGATTTACCCCCCCCCCCCGTATGTCTATGTGCAGAGTGCCCCCATGGGCTTCTACCTTTATCTTTCGGCAGTATCAAATCAGACTTTCGTTGAGCCATTTTCGTTGAGTTTGGTTTTTATACTTGAATGAGACTTTATCACGTGTCACACGTTCAGCCACTCACGAATTGTTGAGAATCACAACAGGGAGCCCGCCGTTCCATCGAAGAAGTCACTAGGCCAATGAAAGTGCTCCTGATAAAAAATCCCGGTGAATGAAAATTGTGCAAGCTATTGTTTGGGTTTCAACGAATATTCGTTTTTGGGAGATGAAGAAACACGTTGTGGGGGTTGATTTTGTTTTAGCTATAAAACCGACCGAGGGAATGACCAAAATAGTTGAGGTGCAGGAAAAAAAGAAGGGTCGAAGGTCTAATGACAACTTTTTCGTTTACATTCCGCTTACTTTTAAAATATTATCCTAGCTTTTAAAAACAAAATTAAACAATGATAATTAGCAAAGGGTTCAAGTAATGTCGTCAGCAAAATAATTTCGCGCGTTTATTGAAGATAAACAAACCTAAACTCCTTCATATCTATTTTTATCATTGCACAGTCAGAACTCATGAAAAATCGAATCGTTCCATAAGGGCGACGTGACTCTACATGAATTGGACTAGGTTTACCATAATTTATGATACCAAGTGATTAAATTAATGAAATTGAAAATTTTAAAAAAGAACCAAATTGTTGGGAAGGGATCTTATAGCAGAGCTAATTCATAGACCTCTATCCGGCTGATCGGGCCGATTCAGACGTACCAACTGATACCAACTGAGGTTACTAGTTATTAAATGTGTAATATTTTTAGTAACAAGATTGCAAAAAGAATGCAACGTTTCATTTTGCCAAAAAATTACCAAATATGAAGTAAGTTAAATTAGAGATTTCTATTTTTAGCAACAATTGGTACCCATGCCACTTCATACGCGGTTTGGAAACAGGGTTCAAAGGTTGCTCTATCATATAAAGCTAGGCCCAATTGTTGCGTAAGTGTGTCATGTAATTGGAATGGTGTAAACACGTCGCTGTGACAAACCCAAAGTCGCACCAGAAATAATTCTGAGATAGAGGGGAACATCTTTTTCAGTGTCCCAAAGAAAGGTAGGAATTATCGAATTTCCCTTTTTTTGTTCCTCGAATGTTCTTCGATTTGAGACAGCGAGTTAGGAAAATGGTTTCAGGTAACAAAAAAGAAGGAAGTTACTTATAGTCTTGACAAGATTAAACACGACAAGACAATGTGATGAAACAGTTGGCTGGTGAATGATCTATGAAAATTATATCTATGTTTTCATAAATTTGATCAAAACATAAATGCATTAGAAGACAAAGAACAGAAGATAAACTCTTAACATATATGTTGTACAGTCTAAATAGTCAAATGTCATAAATCATCAAATACTTTAAAATATTTTTCTGGACTTCTCTTCCAAGGCATTATTAACACCATAGAATAAAATTGCCAATCTAATTCAGAGCAATGGAAGAAATAGTTGTATTCAGCTTTAAAATTTATTCTTTCAAATTCAGTTTCAGTTTCCGTTATCATATAATTTTAAAATTCCACTACATACAATCCAAAAAGACAAATTTTAAATACAATTAAATATAACATGCTTAACTAATTAAAACAAGATAAATACTACACAAGAAATCTAAAAGAAACAATATATGTTATTACATCAAGAAGACAAATAAATTGTACGTAGGGGAATTTCTTAAGGAGGGGCTCTCTCAGTAACTAGGCTAATCAAGGAGAGAGCACCCCCTATTTATAATTGACTAGCTAATTCTTTCAAAATTTCTTTGAACAATTTATGCATCTAACTTCGAACAGAGGCTAAATGGGGACTTTTCATGATCAGTATTTGTTTCCAAAGAAAAAAGTTTTAAGTTTGCAAGGAAAAACTTAGTAAATTTGTATTAGTATTTGTTGCTACCTAGCATCGGAAGGTAGTTTTTAGGACACTCAGAGTGTTCTAGTCCTTCCTCTTGATGTGACCACACCTCATGATTCCTAGGCCTGGAATTACAATTCATACAGTTTCTTTTCTGGATAATATGCCAGTTAATGTCACTGAAATGTAAATGGTGAACTTTTTATCTCCAAGGGACTGTTATTCCAGCATTTTGCTCCAAAATAACGAACTAACCTAAGGCCATATTGAAGGGTATTTTTCTGATTTAGAAAAATATCATTATTAGTTGCTTGGCGTGTAGGATTTGAATGAACAGATTCAAGTAATTGATTAACAGATTGTGACACTTAGATGAAAAAGGCAACCATTTTATAACCGGCTTTTTCTTTCTCAAGGTTTTTACAATGTCTGCAGAAAGGTGGCCAGAAAATGTTGGCATTCTTGCAATGGAAGTTTACTTTCCATCAACATTTGTTTCACAAGACAGACTTGAAAGGCATGATGGTGTTGGACAAGGAAAATACACTATTGGTTTAGGGCAAAAAAAGATGTCATTTTGTGATGATCAAGAGGACATATATTCATTTTGTTTGACTGTTGTCAAGGGTCTACTGGAGAAGAATAGAATTGACCCAAGAGATATTGGAAGGCTAGAAGTAGGAACTGAAACAATAATAGATAAATCAAAATCGATTAAAACTGTTCTTATGCAACTGTTTGAGAAATCAGGAAACAGTAACATTGAAGGGATTGACACTACAAATGCTTGTTATGGTGGCACAGCAGCACTTTTTAATGCACTGAATTGGATTGAGAGTAGTGCGTGGGATGGTAAGCATGCAAAAACATTCATAATAAAACAGCCGTTCATAATAAACCATTGAATGTGGAATTATGAATGGTTCTAATATTATTCCAAGCCAGGAAATTTAGCAGTTTATTTGTAGCAAAAAATGAATAACTGGGATATTCTTAAGGGAATCTCTTTTTGAGGCACAAAGACAGGTTCCAGTATGCAATGCTCAATTTTTTAATGTTGGGTTTTGTTTCTTTATTTGTCATTTCAGTTTAATGATACCTCATATATTGATTTTGTTGCCTTAGTCTTAGTCATTATGGTACCTGGAGAATGGAATTAAATGGGAGAAAACAACCTTCAAATTGCAATGAAAAAACCTACAAGGTTGTTGAACTTTCTGAAAACTAACTTGTTTAAACTTCAGTTTGCTACCCATGTGGAATTAGAAACTTATAAGCTTATGTATTCGGCACATGTTTTCTTATCAGATTTTTCTTAAATACCATAATCAAAGAGGTGAATATTAAGCTTCCTCTAGAATATATGGTCATAACAAACTTGCTCTGATAGGGAGATATGCAATTGTGGTGATGGGAGACATTGCCATTTATGCAGAAGGAAATGCACGATGTACTGGAGGGGCAGGAGCTATCGCTTTTCTTGTTGGAAAGGATGCACCCCTTGTCATTGATAGAGGTGAGTATTTTCAGTTTACCTTCTTCTGCTCTCATTTAAACTATCGTGTTTCTTGTTTTTGTCAACTATCTCTCTGTCAAGGGATGGGAAATTTCTTCTCTCAAAGGGCCTGATACAATTCTTGCAGGGGAAAGTGCAAGTAGGCTGTACCACTGATTGACTTTCAGACTGCATAAAATAATCAATTCTCTTTTCTTGTCTCCAGGACTAAGAGGTACCCACATGCAGCATTGTTATGATTTCTACAAACCAAATATGGTCTCTGAGTATCCAGTTGTTGATGGGAAGCTGTCCATTCAATGTTACTTCACTGCTTTAGACAAGTGCTATCAGTTATACAAGAACAGTTTTCGTAGGCAACATAAAGATCTGCAATGTGATCCAAATATGGAGTCTTTTAATTACTTCATTTTTCACACACCATTTTGTAAAATAGTACAGAAATCTTTTGGAAGATTGATGCTACATGATCTGTTCAGTTTGAAAGATGGTGAACTAACAGAAGAGCAAAAGTCAAAATATAGCAGTCTTTTGGAATACAGGTACATTTGAATGTGTTCCGACTTCCTATTATATTAGCCTAATTTTGTGCAAGTTGGCTCATTTTTATTTGTTTGAATAAGCACCTGGACAAAAGCAGTGCAATTAAACTTTGGTTACATGCGATCCAGAAATTAAATGTGTCATAGACATTTAAATATCAAAATTTGACAATTTGTTCTCAAAGTAGATATCATTCCAACATCTTTGACTTCAAGATCTTGATTGAAGTATGAATATTTTAGTATAATTACCATGTAATGTTTTAAATGAAAGTAATTTAAACCAGTTTGAAATAAGTTTAATTTGAAGAAAGTAAAAACAACATGCACAGACAGGTAATCAATTAAGCATTGAAAATTTTTTATCAGCTGTTATTTGTTGTAGGGAGATGAAATTGGAAGATACTTTGACAGATCAAAAATCAAGCAAAGAAATAGAAAAATGTGCAGTGGAGTGCAGTAAGGAGCTTTTTAAAAAAATGACCAAGCCATCACTGCTATTGGCTGAAAACACTGGCAACATGTATACACCATCTTTATATTCAGGACTTGCCAGTATCTTAATCAAGTAAGTGACACATCATAATTTGGTCATTAAAAGCTCACATTAGCAGTCTTTGTAATAAAAGGCGTGGAAAACATCACACATGCAAAAAAAACAATTTTCAAAAAATTCAACTGTCTTTAAGGTCCAAAATTATTTTAAAGATTTCTAAAGCAGCAGGAAGTCAAATTTGCAAAATTTGAAGGCTGTTCTATCAGTTTCCAAGGTTTTGAAGTATTCTAATTCCAGATTTATCAAAGACATCCCAAAGTAGTTTTGATTCTATGATTGCCACATTATTGTGAGAAGTAGGCTGATTGAATAGCAAGGCATGTATCACTCGATATGGCGATAAAGGGTTTTTCTCTAAATGGAAGGAAAGGCATGTGCATGTTCATATAATAATCAAAATATCGCTCTAGCCAAGAGTATGTATACCATATTCTGTTGCTGCACATTATTCTGTTGCTGCACAATCAACTTACTGCTTCTACTTAATCAATGGATTCAAACTAAATAAAGGCTACAATGCCTGCCAAAAGTCCTGGAACACTGATGTCAATTTCCAAGGTCAAAATCAATCATCCCCCTCTCCCCTACAGAACAATGCAGTTTTACTATCAAACAGGTTAGGATTTTTGGAAGCGATTTCTTTGCGCTTCTTTTATGACATTTCTCTAAATTATCAACATTGTTCTAGGGAAAGCGGCGCGAAGTAGTAATTTTTTTCAGAAGAGGAAAGAAAGATATAAAATGCAACGCAAATTGCTGGGTTTTCCAGGTACTTTTGGCAGGCATTGTAGGGATTTCACCAAGACTTGATAGGGCTCCAAAAACTGATGTTTCACTCTATTGCAATAGCTTCCACGAACTTCTAAATGAAAACACAATTTTCTACATAAGTATGAAATACATAAGAAAACAGAGTCAACCAAACATGGGACTAACCTTACATTAATTAATTGAATGGCCAATTTTAGTTGGAAAAAGTTGCACTTTGGCATCAAGTACAGACAGTTTTAAAGCATACAAGCTTTTGGTCACTATGTCTTAATTTTGCAAGGAAGAATCATGAAAATAAATTACCTGCTGCATGCTTTTTAAAATCAAGCTGCAACCAGTTTTTCTGTAAACTCTATTCTTTGTTTTTTTAGTATTGATGAAGAGGAACTTGTAAAAAAGCGAATTGTTTTGTTCTCATATGGATCTGGCCTTGCTTCGACAATGTTTTCTCTGAAAGTTTGTCCTGAGGAATATCTTCGTCCAAAACTTACACGCATAATCTACCAAATGCAGGCTGTGAAATCACGGCTAAATGAAAGAACAGAAATTGAGCCAGAGGACTTTGTGAAAATTCTAAAAAGAAGAGAAGAAATACACCATCTACCAAACTACACTCCAGCTGCAACCACTGATTACTTGTGGCCAGGAACTTACTATCTAACCAGCGTTGATAAGGAGTTTCGAAGGTCATATTCTCGGAAACCAAGAATAAAGCTATCAGAATCATTAGAAAAATCATGTGAATTTTTATGATTATCATTGCCTTGTACCTTTACTTATTTAGATTAAATAAAATTATTGGTTTCTTTTGCAGTTTTGTACTGAAAGAGTGTTATTTGTTAAATCCTTGTAGTTTATTAATATAATTCAGAGGAATACTGACCTTTTTTCGGACAGGCAAATCTTGTTGTCGTGTTTCTCTTGGCTGTACATTACATAAGTGTAATATATTAGATACATCCTCAGCAAAAATGCAATGTAGTTTGGAATTGTAGAGACATGTTTTTCAAACTTTGGTCGAATGTCAAAAGACAATGTCAAAAACTGACAAAAATCGTTAGGCATGTGAAAGAAATCGTGACTGGAGAGCAGAGCAAGTGTTGTTTTTTCGATCTAGGACCTGATCCAAGATCAAAGGAAGCCCAAAAAAGAAAAGAAGATTGCTGTATAGTGCAAAGTTTGAAGGAAAATAGAAATATGCGAGTCAAAGGGCAAAATAAGGCAAGAAAAATTAGACAAATTGATGTTTTGACAAATTTATCATTGTGTTTTTGACTATTCAGATGTTTACAAACAAGGTGAATCAGCCTGTCAATTTTATTATGGTTTGCATTCCATTTTCCTATTGAATGCCTGTATTATTCATGATATATACTTATGAACGCTCTACAATAAAATTATAAATTAGTGTTAATAATTTAGAACTATACAACCCCGAATTAGATTAGTTATTTACAGAATTACATTGATCTAAGTACAGAAAGCTTGTCAAAAATAATTAGTTAATTATTCAATAGTCCACGAAATAAATTATGAAGAAAACTAATGACTGATAGTGCAGAGCCAGTGACATAACATAAGGAACTGGCCAGATATCGAAAATGTTTAATTTGGAAGCTTTGAGGAGCCTGAATTCAAAAAATTCACATAAAACTTTAAAGCCTACAGCTTTGGGATGGTTACAACTATCCGAATTGGAAAAGGAATTCACAATGCCCTAAAACTGTACAGACAATATTTTCTTGGAATGCACAAGCTAGTAAAATATTACGTGAGGTTAAGGCTATTTTGAATAACTGGCCAGTTCAGCTCTATACTTCAGTTCAAAAGTTTAGTATCTACGCATCTAAAAAATGTAATTACAAACTTCAAACGATTTCAATGAGGCCTCAAATTCGCCCACGACTACAGTAAGAGCGGTGTTGGCTGCAAAAATTGCAAAATCAACATGTAAAAAATTTTTCCAACCATTTAAACTGAATAAACAAACTAATGAAAGGCTAAAAAGTGAAGGGAAAATAAAAATCCTTTGCTCCAATCGGTAGTGATGTGGTCTACAGTTTAAAAAATGAAATCAAGAAAAGTTGAACAAATGAAGATTCCTGAGTGTGATAATTCAAAAGATCGCATTCCAAAGAAATTGGCAAATGCACACTTTTAAAAATGAAAAAGAAACGCGAGGTAATACCGAAGAATTTTACATATATTCACAAGTGGTATTGCTGGAGAAACTGCTGGGTGGTGTGGAAAGTTGTAAAAATGCATCATGGGGTGTGATTTGATACTGATGTCAGTAGACACGGGTTATTATATCGGAAAAAGTGGGGCCCCTTCAAATTATCAGGAGCAATTATCAGACTATTAAATCATACAACTGTACAATTTAACATAAAATATCGATATATGAATTAAACTTTTTATTATTTATAAGTAGCACATTTATATTCTTTCAACGTTAATTCTTACTTTACAACTTTTGTTCGCGTAGATTTCCAGAAGACTTCCTCTTTAAAAAGCTGAGAAGCTTTGAGCTGGAGGTTTTCTTTTGAAGCGGTGGGTGTGGTGACTCAACCGAACGGGTTCGACCATGACGCATTTTTCGGCTCGGCATGCTGTACCGACGATCGCGAGGTTTCTCGGTAGACTCGCCGATACCGAGCTTATCTAAAGAATCGACGGAAACAGCGAGTGCCCTCGCAAAAGATGCTTCTTGAGGAACGTGTGACTGCAAAGGGAAAGATCGGGCCAGCGTCTTTGTATTTTCGTCAGTAACAGTCCCTGAATCTACATCTTCAACTGCACTAGGTGAGCGTGGACTGGACACCGTAGAGCTCGATGCTGAAGGGCCGCTATCAAAGTCATCATTGCTGTAAGACATTTTGCGTAAATCGATTTGAGTTTTATGCTCCGATTTCCTTCGAAATTTACTTAATTTTCGGTGTTTCTCGGGCTTATCTTGTTTCTCGCCTTTATCGCTTTTGTCAGTCCGCGTTGGCGAAACCCCCATACCGGCAGGGACCGACGCGACATCATCATTTTCACATCCAACTTGCTCTGCTTTCAGTGCGGCTTCAGTATGACTTGAATTTGGTGAAAATAAATCATGTAAACTCTTTCGCCATCTCCTTTTAACATCTTTCGAACGGATTTTTCCTCGCTTAGATTTGAGAAGGTTTTTGAAAAACCTTGGCAATTTACCGGGAGTATTATCAACAAGCTGTGATAGCTCGAGAGTACCTTGAGATTCATTCAATAATGCGCCAGTAATGAACTCGTTCCTTGGTGAGGATGCACTGTCTTCATTCTTCAGGGGAACTACAGCCTGTATCGAAGTCCCTTTCTCTGATTCAACCTCCGAGCCTTTTTCGTCTTCTGTACCAATACCCTGACCTTTCAAAATTCTTCCGCCACAGTGCGGGCATCTAGCAAGTTTGGATTTTATAACTCGTCGCGATGCTCTCATTCGGACAGACCCGAAACGATCTTTAAAGTTTTCAACCCCTAGCGTGTCGTCAATAACCTCGCCCTTTTCAAACGAGCGACACGTGCACATGAGGCTGGCATCGATGACGTAATCAAAACTTGTTTTGTCCTCGATCTGTGCTTCTTCGTCATTTTCGATGAATTTGTCAAGAATGATATCCAATGCCTTCACAATATTTTGAAATGATGGCCGCTCCTTGGGATTCATCTATCAAAGCGGAGTTTTGATATCATGCTTATAAAGTAGCACTGATAATTATATACGACGGTTATATCAAAGAAAATTGTAGGCCACATCCAATAAACTGGGTGGATCAGTGACTCAATATGGGGAAAAACGGGATTTATGAGCTCTTAAAATTGTTTATCTTCATGCAAATCTAGGAGGGGAAGGGGAGAGAATGGAGGGGTAACGGGAAGAGGAGGATAACGGGAAGGGAAGGGTAACGGGAAGAGAAGGGAAAAGAGAAAGGAAAAGGGAGAAAAGAAGTGTCTGCTAATAACAAATGTCCAAAAACATGTCGGAGCCAGCATTGTTAGAATAACTGGTTAGACAACAAATGGGAGAAAATTAAATAACATGTCTAAAAGCTCAAACAAAAAGGTGCTACTATTGGAAAAAGACACCGTTTTTTCAGCAAGCTGACTGAAACAGTTAGTCTGAAATGCGCTTGAAGAAAATTTGATCAAAACAAAAAAAGAAAAGCCTATTAAATACCTGACAGCATCTGATGGTCAAGTCAAGAAATTTCGACGGACAGTCAGCAGCAACTTCTGTAAAATTCTCCACAGCTAATCCAAAGTCCTACAAAGGAAGAGAAGAAGTAATAAATATTTAAAAAATTAGTTGCTTGTAAAAAAGGTTAGAATCTATTTGTGAAAAACATTTAAATGCAAAAATCCACTTATTTTGAAGTTATTCTTAAAAAACGCGAAAGCAAGAACCATTGGCGCAAAAAATCTTTCAGCCATTAAACGCAGCTTCGCTATATTCCACAAAACATTAGCAGCCAATTCAATGAATCTTCGTGAACTTAAGGTGTTTAAAAAACCCCTTACTCCAGACTTGAGATTTATTGATATATTTTACTCATAAATACATATTTTCTTCTATATTGCTCAACCGTTAATACTTTAAAATTTCTTTTTTAATTAACAAAGCCAGTGTACAACAAATATATATCCATCTAGATGAAAACCACGTATTTTTTCGTGTGCTATTTTCAATGTTGATTATCAGGCTCCCCCTTCCTAGCGTTAGTCACAGGAGTACGAATTTAATGCGCACAAGAGTGCAAGCAGTCGAGGTTAATACACCTCTTGTCTTTTCCGAGGCTAATCTAAGTACCCTACCGTAGGGCCACTGGCAAGCCCGCGTAGCGGGCTTCGTAGGGGAGCTAGTTTAATTACTAGAATTGATTTAATTACTTTCGCTATTGATACATGTCGCACAAACCAAACGAGAACCAACTTTATTCTAGCCACACCTTCACTGCAATGGAAACACAGCCATTTGATTCAAAAGCTCCGGAATCAATGTTGTATCTGATTCTGATTTAACTCGTTTAACTATCGATCAAGCTCAACGGTGCGTGAATTTCACTCCAGTGAAATGAAAGTTGAGCACAATAGGGACAGACTACTTTAAAATGCTATAATTTGAAGCCTTATGCATAAATTAAAGTAAGCAAGAAGGCTAGACTCTCCTAATATTTCAGAACCCTGGATTCAACTGTGTAATGTACACTGAAAATATAAATAAAAATGAAGACACAATATATACAAAAGAACTCGGCACAAAGTAAGTATGCATTACATACATCACTTCTAGGGACATCATCAGGATCTGCTCCAGGACACATCGTAATCATCTCACATAACATTATGCCATACGAAAAAACATCAGCCTAAAATAAGAATAACAAATTTATATCAGACAGAAAGAATAGCAAGCGTAGCCTTTTAGAGAAGCCTCGCTGAGAATTTGCTTATTAGAGCAAAGAGGCCTTAGGTGTAAATCGTTCAGAAATGGGTAAGGTTTTCACCTAAAGGCTTTATCGTCTTAAAATAATGCAAAGAGGTCTTTGAAGTACAATATAAAATGATGCTATGGAACTTTTTAAAGATCTCGGCAAAAGATGGATGTTTTTTTATCAGTTTGTAATTAATAAAAGAGTACAAGGCTACAAGTAATGTTAGAAAAATAGAGGCATGTGTTATGCCCCTCTCGAATGATAGGGTGCATTTGGTGCATCGAAAAATTCTCACGGAGAAGACATAAATCTATGGATTAACATTAAGTCAGAAACCACTCAAAGAGCAGACTTACACAATATTTTTTAATTGCGGTCATTAAAGACTACACAAAAGATCACAAAATCGTTAGACGTGAGAAAACGATTTCAAGTAGCTAGAGATCGAATCAATAAGTTGAACTTACTTTCATGTTGTATGGCTTGTCGTTCAAAACTTCTGGTGCCATGTGATAAGGAGATCCAACTATTTCAAAAAAATATTCGTCTTCGCTGGAATAGAAAGAGAATAGAAAGAAATATCCACACAAGGATCGTTTCGAAGGTTACCAAAAAAATTCTCATTCCAAGACAAAACTGTTCCTTCAATCTGAGTATCTAAAACTTAAAACTCACACAAACTGGTTGTACTTTCATCATTTTAATTCTAGCCCGACATGCCAAAAGCAATTTTATTATCATAAAATAATGTGATTCTGCTGTTTTGTGCAATGCTGGAACTTTGAATAAGAATAAATACATTTGATAAAGAGGAAAATAGCTTGACAAAATTCGAGTGATTTTCAGTGCTGGTGGATTACCTTGCTTTTAATTAGTCAATGGAAATCTTGGAAAATTTGCATGAAAAGCTTGGCAAAAACAGTTTTAAAATATGGGGGCAAGGGTCTAAATACAAACTAAAACTGGGCTAAAGAAGTGCCGATGATTAAGGAGAAATTTCCTCATCTGCCATAGCTTATTGTCTGTGAAACCACCATCCTGAACCACAAAATAAAATTAAAACACGAATCCTCTCCCAACAATTCTGATAAGATAGTGCACAGATGACATCTACTTTCTGGATAAACCAACACTTTATCTAAGCAAATTTGCACAAAAAAAGCACAAAAAAGCATAGGGCACCTACCTCAGAGCCAATCCTGCAACTGTGCGACTGAGGCCGAGATCTGCAACAATCGCTTGCAATCCAAAATCGTCTTTCTGTCTAATCAAAATGTTCTGCAGGGCAAAACAAACTCTATTGCTATATCTGCAGACATCAGACTGGTTTTTACAACTATGGCAAATGCTTGGATGACTAAGAATGTAAATCCTTACGATTTTCATGTTAATATTTGTCGATCAATTGAACGTTGATCGATCCTTTATAACAAAATGCTATTCAAACTGCGTCAAAGAAAAATCTGTCTAGCCCTGCAATTTTAGCAAATAAGAACCTTGAAAGCATCAACTTTGCAATGTAACAGGAAACATTGCATAACTGTAGACGGTATTTAAGATCAATATGCAGCCACTGCCATTAAGACAAATATTTCATAGTTGCAGGTTAACGGAAAAGTAATTAATGTACAGAGTGTTGTAGATTGAGAAAATTTAAGTATGTGGTGACTTGTGTGACGAAGTCAGCAGTCATTCGTATAACTAAATTCACCCCTGTAGCATTCAATTCACACATGCCAATGCTTCTTTAACATAAAAGTTTTTGGTGTGCCTTTTCATCTTCTAAGTTTTTCGAATGTACTGGGAAATGCAGTGTATCTGTAGCAAAAATAATGCAATTACCAGTTGGCAGCGCATACCAAAGACTGCAAACTGGCAGCGGGCTCGGAGTGTAAGTTGCAAGGTGAAGAAAAGAAAAACTGGGAAACTTCCTCCAGGGGAGGGAAATTTCTGAAATAAAATAACTAATTTGGAAATTTTTAGTAGCGTTTTGTAAGTGGGCCTTGCGTCACTCAATAATTCGCCAATCAGATATCCACGAAAAGAATTGATTAGCAATAAATACCTTCGATGCAAGATCTCGATGAATGACACCCTGTGAATGCAAGTAATGCATGCCACGGGCAATTTCGAGCGCGACGGATAACTTCGCCTGCCAAGTGCTTAATAAGGGGCTCTTTTTTGTCAGCAAATCGTCGAGGGATCCACCAGTAATGTACTAAAAGTGAACAAAAAGGAATAATTTATTCAGTTGAGAATCGCTTTATTGGCATAGAAAAAACTAAATTCAATATTGTCAGGAATTTCAATTCGTATACAACAGGGTGAAAATAAAAAATTCATAAGATAAATCTATCGTATTTAAATCATGTTACATTGTATTTTGTACTCGTTGACTCTCACGCAGAGCTGCCACTGCTCGCAAATGCCTAAGAGACTTATTTCCGCAAGGACACAATTTTTGAGGGATATGGTCGGTGCCGAGGTCTGTACAACCGACGAAAGGAAATGCAAATAAGATTAACAGAGCTTAAAATGATATCTATATGCAAATGCAACCTTATTATTATCAAGTTTACACAACATATAGTTATAAGGTTAAAAAATCAATATGTTGGTAGATTTATAATCAACGGTGCGGTGGTAAAAACAAATTTTCGCTCCTAGTCTCCTGCAGCAGTCAGGGACGCCGGAGAGGGGTCACGGGGAGTCAACAGCCCCTCTTGTCCTTTGATAGAAGGGGCAAAGGGGCCAAAGTGCCCTTTTCATAGAAGTGTCCTTGACATCGGCCTTTTGGAATTATCAAAGAGATTCATATGAAATCCCAACTTTAGTGTCGTACTCATGACCAAGTTTCTCAAAACTTGCAACAAAATTTTCAAGATGCCTACAGAAAATCGAAATAAAATGACAGCTACAAAAGAATTAGTTGAAGCTGTGAATTTTTTTCAAATGCCCTTGCCCATTGGTCGGCGTCCCTGGCAGCAGATCACTGTCTTTCTCGTTAAGAATAGCTAGGTGAAAGATCTCAAATGCGAAATCGCAACGAATTATACTTACTTCAGTTAACAAACATAGGCTGTTCTTGTGCCATGCTAGCCCTTCGCATCTGAAAAGTTAAAAGACCATAGAGAGTTACAGAGATAGGAACTACAGATGTATAACGACAGCCTAGATACATTCAAAGTCAGTTCATCTGTGTATTCCACAATCACAGAGTTGAAAACGTTAAGAGATCACAGAGAAATACTGATTTATAGGCCGTAACATACACAATTATCCAAATTAACTTTATAAGAGAAACACTGAAGGTAGGAAAAGTAGACATTGAAACACATGGAGCTTATATGATCTGCGGTGAATAAGTGGGCGACTTAAAGGTTTGTTAAACTTTAACACGGACAGCAATGTGGGTGCAGGTGATGGGATTGGCAATTCAAAAACCACGCCCTCAAGGTCAATACACGCTGTATAGTGTGAATAAATAGCATTAGTGCTACCAAAACAAAAAGAAGATTTCAAAAGAAACTAAAATTAAGAGTTTTCAAATTATAGACTTATTTGAAAAAAAATTCGTCATGCCGAAAGACAGTCAGCTGTCACGACTTCTTTAAAGTCAAAACATCCCATCAAAATATTTACGTTTAGCTCTTTTTCTGTCAATTTTTCGCAGGTAGTCTTTTAACACTCAACAAAAACTTCTGGAGTTTCAATATACTTCTGAATAGTCAAAGTAAATTAGTTTTAACCAAATTATTGGTGATCTATCTATGGTTGATTCTCGTGAAAAAAATTGATTACGTTTTCAACGTTCTATATTTTCCATTCTAAGGAAAACAAATCCAACTAACATACCAGCCATGGGCACAGCACCTGGGGAATAGTGTGACCCTTAGCCCCCTCCATAAGCACCAAACTTGTGGAAATATTTCAGAAGCTGTGGTTCTTTGACATTTAACCCCTTTAAAAATATACTGTCCCTGTTTTCCTGGTACCATGAGTCATATAGGAATTAATAACTACATAGTATAGGGTCATTACACTGAGTCTCAGCAACACTTATTAAACCCACTGAAGAATGTTCAAAATGTTAGTGAAATAGATGCAATATCCAAGCCTGTATTTAAACTGAAGAGATTAGGCTTACAATTCAAGTGCTCAGCAGACCTGAAAAGACCTAAAAAAGGTCAGTAGACTAAAAATGGGGAAAACAGGCCATAACCAGGATTTTTTCAAAAGAGTGAAATTCGAAGCACTTTGTATTAGAAATGACACATAATACTTTTCAAGCCGAGAAAATAATTATTTTTATTGATTTCAACAAAATCGATTTCAACAAGATTATTGAACATTAATTAATGTCAATAGAAAGGGAGAAATTAATCAGTGTGAATGGAAGCTTTCTTTCCTTTTACACTAAAATTTTTATTTATTGAACTTTTTGGTAGTGCTACCGCACTGACGAACCCTCTAGTTATGCCACTGAAGAGCAGAGGTGCTGCATTGCACAGCTGTTCTGCTCTTAACTGTTCTGTCATCAAAAAACAAGATTATTTGACAATACTAATCTGCAGACAAAATCAAACAACTGTTTTTCCTTATCTAAACAAAAACCTTTTTCTTTCCTTAAATAAACCAAGCTGAAGACCTTTGGTAGAATGAGATCTTATCTGCACTGGATAGATTTTGTTTGATCAAAACTGGTTAACCACAACCAAAACTAAACACTGGATATTTGAAAATCCTGGTTTGTGGAAGATGGAAAGATCATAGATAAATTTATAAAATAATGGCCTCTGGAAGCCAGATATATTTCAGTAGTATAAAATTATTCCTATTGCAGGAAGGCTTCCAAAAAACAATGCAATATGCACTATTTAGACTCAAGAACCCACTCAGGGTTCGAGAACCATTAGAAACTGTTTGCAGTTAAGAAAGCTTAGAAAAGATATATATTTTCTTATTCTTCTTTGGTGGCATACGTAACATTTTCTTGTGTAGCATACCTTCTTACACAAAGGTAGTCCAGTGCCCTCTCCCTGGTGGAGGAGAAGGAGCTAACACCCCATGAAAACAAGATATGTTGCTTTTAATGCTAAACAGAATGTATCCCAGGGTACCTTTGCTGTTTAATCAAGTAAATTCCATAACCTGCTCAAGTTGATAGACAATACAACTAGCAGACAGTGAATCTTTGTTGGAGGTGAGGAATCAAAATGTAGAAAAATGCAAAAAATTCAGACATGATATGCTTAACTTAGATTGATTTCTTAAACAATTTTGGGTGGGGCTTTGGTACCTAACCAATACACTTAAGGTTTTTATTGCTCATTGAAAAGCTAAATGTGAAATCACTAATATGTATTGTATTTCCTGGAGAATTAATTAGAAAAAACTTGATACAATGAAAAGGGTTTAAATTGCTTCTTGATACAGCTCAAGAGACCAAATCTCTTTCCCAGGATGATACAGAATGTTTCTTAACTATTCATTTGGCTGTTTAAAAATGTCATAAAGCTCATAACACCTATTTCTAAACAATCCCAACAATGAGATATAAAAAACATGAAACCACATACTTTAACACATTTGGATGACAAAGTCTGTGCATTGCTTTTATTTCTTCTGAAAACATTGTCTTATGGTCTTCATCAGTTGTGTTTTTCAGTTCCTTTAACACTAAAACCTGACTTGTTAGCTTATGGGTTACCTGTGAAAAGAAAATAAGGGAGAATGAGAAAAACAGTGAAAACATAACCCATACTGTTGTCTCAGACTACCAAAACTTTGACTTAAGTGTGGATGATATTGTATGCACCCAAGCTAAAAAAATTACAAATGACCATTTATATACCCTTTTGGTAAATAGAACAGGATGGTTTTAATTTACTGCTCTGAGTTTCATGCTTGATGTGATTATTAGACAACTCTTCCTAATGCCTGATGATAACGCCTGATTGAGCATGGCAGTTTCATTAAACAGGAAGCTCAGAGTAACAATTTAGAACTGTCTGTCCTGCTATATACACCAAAAGCATTACCTAAGCACTGCCTATATGACATCAAGCACATTATGAAAGATAACTAGACAGTAATTTTCATAACATACAACTTTAAAAAATATGTATATGTACACATGGGCAGCTAAACAAGAGAAAATCCTACGCAAACATTCTTTTTATCCAAATTTAGAGGTGATTGGAAGCCCTGCAAAATGCCTCTTCTGTTAAACTCTCAGTTTTCTTCTAAGCTTCAAAATTTTTTGAACAATCTCTAGTATTTCCCATACTATCTCATCAAATCTTAAGATGAACATTATCAAAACTCTCAAGAAGGAAGGTATCTTTAGTTTTTGGGTTATGCCTTGAATTAAAAACCTATTGCTTCTTATTTGCAACTGAGAAAATTAGCAAAATTGAATCTCATCTTGTAATCTAGCTGAGAAGAGTTCATGTAATCTCCCCTTTCCAGAGCTTCAAAACCCATTCTTTGTCGAATAAAAATTCCAACAAAATAAAAAACATTCTTCGGGAAGACATAGTATCTCTTTGAAAATTAGCGTTTCAAGTATCTCTTAGGCCTTATCTACAAAACTTTTACTTCAAAATATCCACTACCCGGTGATGCTGTGGGCAACTGATATAGATCTTTACAAAAACATCCTCAAAAACGGTTTCAAAAGATTGGCCCTCCATTCCTAGATTTGAAATTCCTGTCTATCAATAATACTACTTGCAAACTCAAAGCACAAAATTTACAAAAAGTTGCAAATAGTGAAACGATAACATTTTTTCATTATGCCTCCTTTTGTCTGGCAAAGTTTTCACAAGAAAACAAAAAAAAATTAATATACTTCAAACCTGGCACAGAAAGCTATTTTGGTTTGTCCAGGTTCTGCTGCTTGACAGGGGAATACAAAATTAATTACGGTATGGAGGCGAAATTATTAAATTTTGGTTGACTCAGGCACTGTAACGTATACGATATTATTGGAGTCTACAGTCCAAAACAACGAACGAGAAAAGATATTATTGGAGTTTTTCACAGTTGTCAGCTGGTTAGTCGGCAAAAATTCCTTTACACTCACCTTGTACACATTGCCAAAAAACCCTTCACCAATTTGCTCAAAAGAAAAGTCATCATAATTCCACATATGTGGATTGTGAAGCAATTCTAAAGTCTTAGCGGGATCTGCCTTTTCCTCTTTTTTATGCATATCTTCCATGTGGTATATTTGTTCTCCATAACTTGTGTTGGAATTGCTCTTGGGAGCAAGCGAGTTGGAATCTGTTGACAAACCCATCGTGGATTTGTTGTCGTCCTGGTCCCGGCTGCATAAGCCAGTCTGGTTTGGATATATCAACATCATTGCTAGCCCTATGAAACATATCAACAGCTCATTAATGCAAGGATGCGGGTAAAATCCCCGATAGTATCAGATAGGTCCCCTTAAGACGGACAAGCGCTTTCAGTCTTCCTTCAGCACAGACCACATCTTCCGCCATGCGACAGTCTTAAGCCGAAGCAGGAAATCAAACTTTGTTTTGACAAAAATACAGGGGACCAAACACGATTAAATCAGCCAATCGGATTGTCATTCTCTTCAGTTCGCTTTTGGATCCCTATGGCACACACATTTTGGTTGGCAATCTTTTCGTCTATTCACTCTTACAAGTATTAATTTGATTTTGAATTCATAAGGAAGCATAAATAATCAAACGACATTTGGCCGGACATATGACAGTCATCGCCCATAACAAACCGCCTTTATGGAGATACAATTGGTTGCTTTTATGATTTCACAACAATTTTCCACCATTCGATGTTTATAACGCAGCCAAACGGATATAAGATGCTGCTTAATTTAGATCATCATACTTCAAAACTTCTAAACTTTCTTTGGTTGTTTCAAATAACGGGGCAGACGAGTAGACTAAAACTACATCAATTTTTATACCTAAAACCTATAAAATAATTTTTAAAAATTTGGTGCCTCATTATCAAACTTTTAATGTTTGATTTGATTTATCAAACTGTATCTTCCTCGTGCTTTCGAATTGTTTCCTGAAATAAGGAATTTCAGAGTTGTTATTTCTATATATAATTTGGGCTCCTACGAAAAATGTGGCGGTGGCGGTTTTTTACTGTTGACTCAATGAATGCTAAATAATGCTTTAAATGTAGTGACTGGCGGTATAATTAGGTCTTTGTGTTTATACAGTCGCTAAGAAACATTTTGTATCAAAATTTGGTAAAAAATTAAGGAACTCATGTGTCAGGATTTTGCAAAGTGCCTAATAAAAATATTGTATATTATCATGTGTAAAGCCCCTTCCCTTCAGGCCTATCTAAAAATAATCTTGATATTCCGGAGAAAAATTAATTCATAAATGAACACGTGCAATAGAACTTGCACCATCAAATTCATTTGTAAATTCGTGCTAGAATGTCCGAAAATGCTTTTCTTTCCACACTGTCATTTATACCACCTCAAAAAACGACTTACGCTTTAATTCTTAAAAGCCTCCATAAAGAAAAACATGGGCTTAAATTCATATCCAGCTGCTATGCCTCGCAACAAGCTAAGGCATATTATATGAGAGTCCCTGTGCTCAGTGGCGGTTTTGAGGGGGTCCAAGGGGTCCCGGGGGCCATGGCCCCATGCCCGCGCTTATGGTAGCCAAAAGGGCCCCCAAACCTAAAAAAAAGATAGAAAAGAACAAGGGCCCCGCAGATGTTTTTGGCCCCGGGCCCAGCAGTCCCTAAAACCGTTGCTGCCTGTGCTGTGTGCAGCGAAGTTTTGAATGAATTGAAAACCCTAAGCAAACTCTCTAAGAAAGGAGCTGAATTTCGTTTAATGTAACACAGCTTGCCGGCGTGACAATGTCTATGCATATAAAGATTGTTTGTTTTCTTGATGGACTAATTTTTAGATAATCATTCATTGGATAATATTTCATAACCAAACATATTTAATTCAAACTGAAAAACGAACTAGTTTCAGAATTTGCAGCCAAAGCTTGTGCCAAACTTGACCAACAGGGGCCATCAAATTATTTCTATATCCATGTCATTCAACTGAAGCTTCTATATCTCAGCTTGGGCTCTCATTTTTTACATCTGGCTGTGTGCTTGACATGCTCTATACAGTGATGGATGGAACTTTCTTGCAATACTTAAATATGGGTCTCGTCTCAGTTTTTCCTTAGGGTCCCAGATGAAGGGCCGCTGAGAACATTACAGATGAGGGGGTTAAAACGTTTTAGGGCAACTTTTTGCTAAAAATGCTGAAAACCGAGAGCAGAGCATCTTTTTGTGTGGTTTTAAGTACATTTTGGAAATTATTGGGCGGGAAGGGGGGCTAAAGCCTCTTCAGCCGCCCCGTTTCCGTGATCCCTGCCCAGATGCCTCCGTTACGCCGCTGGTATCAAGCAGGGTCAACAGAGTCGCAGCTATTAGGATAGGGCATTGACCCCTGGATCCCCCCCTCTTGGTAATCTTGATACAGCTCCTGCTGCTTTCGAATTAAGAACTTGCAAATCGAGACCAACACACAAAATATTCATCAGGTAATCGGAAAAATAGAACGTCGGCCACTGCAAGTTACTCATATTCGTTTCCATGAAAGTGCCAACTGCAGAAAATTTAAATTGACACTGGAAGTTCCAACCAATAAAGACACTTGTAAGAAAGTGGGGCTACTGGCCCCGCTACCCCCTGACACAGGCGCCTTGACTCTACCAACGAGCCTACACAGGGTTGTTGGTAAAGGCCGTTTGGTGCGAGTGCAAGCGCCCTTCGTTGAGTTCAATTGTCCTTTTCACTTGGGCATTGCTTTCGAAATTTGTGCAGTTTTTAATTTTTTTTACCATAAATAGGCTATCGATGATAAGATTTCAGGGCTTCGCAGTGATTCCCGGGTTGTGGCAGCCCATACTTGTTTGTTCGAAGACTTTGATACTGAAAGTGACAACTTTGGCGCAACTAGACCCATTATTATAAATCCAGAATCACCTTTTGAAATCCCTATAACCCCTTTGTTCTAAAAAAGCGAATCCTTTACGTAGCATATTGACATATGAACTGACCCATAGATTTACCGTAGATCACGTTTAAATCCATGTTGTCCATGTGAGAGGGTAGCTATCACAAAATATAGGGTGTGGCCATAGGTGTGGCAGCTAAAAGAATGCAATAGCATAGTCCAACCTTCTAGCTAGGACGAAACATTTGACAAAAATACGTTTAAATTTTATTTTTATATATCTGCACATTTGGTTTTGATCTCCACACTCAGGCCGCATCCCGGACGTCAGTTACAACGATCTCTGTGGGCTTTCTATAACATCTGCTGGCTTGAAATCGTTTTGCGTTTGTTATTAGTTAGGCCTATAGCAAGTAACGTTCTGTACATAAATAAACAAATACAAAACGAAACTAATAGAAATATCAATAGATAATTTTGCCCGCACCAGAATCGTTGATATGATATTTGAAAATGATCAGCATAGACAGAATAATGATTAGAGACTATGACTTCGTTGTTGATAACCCATAATCATGAAGAAAGTAGGCATCCAGTTTGCAAATACTCAGCAAGGTTCTTGTCTTTTTGACTGATCTTACTGACGAGTAAAGATTTTACAATATCAAAAACTGAGACCGAATGGGTTGGTGGGTTTCCTGAGATTTATCAAAGTCTGCATCTAATATTTCTGCTTCCTGCTGGAAACAAAAACCAAAAACAACTTACCATAAAACTGCGTATAACTTCTGAGATAGTTGGTCTTTTCTTTGCGTTTCCGTGTAAAACAGAAGAAATGTTCTGCCACTGTTGTTTTTCTCGTGTCTGGATTTATATCTGCACCAAATTGAGCGCGTTTTATCTCACCGATACCATCGATAGTTTCTGTCAACGACAAGTGAGAATAAACAATAGCACCAATTTCACCTCCGTGTTGAACGCGAATTCCGACTGAGGATTCAAAGCATGATGTGCAGAGGGCCACATCTGCAGCAGTTTAGATTGCCCTAAAACTCCTTGTGGTTTTCTCACCTCGTATTATTTTAATGAACTCCTTAAAAATCTGATCGTCGTTGCAGCAGACATTTGAGTCTAATACAGACCGCTTTTTATTTAAAAAGCAAAGCTTCTACCTCAGCACACAGTTTAGCTTTCTGAAGCCCTATTCAATGCATCGAAAAGGAAATTGTGAGCTCCTACTGTTTTCCGCATCATCCAGGGTCCCATGGTGGTTTACATCAATCTTTCATGATCTAATCTACAAGAAAACCCGTGCAAATAAATCAATTCTTGATTGAGCAAAGTTGAATTGGGGCTAACCCAGTGTTGCTCAATAACACCTGTCGCATTTTGTATGTGAAGAGTAACTCTGGAAAAACCTAAGATTGTTTCGCTTTTTAGATCATTCATTGTTTTGTGCTATTTTTGATAAATATGAGTCATCTACATGATAAGAGTAACCTTCCACAAATGAGACAGAAGATCTTTCAAAATGAGCTGAAGCCTGAATGGGCTAATTACATAATACACTGCGAGGTCTTTAAGTAGATTTTAGTAGATTTTTTGTCTTTGGCACAGTGTTTGTAGAAGTTTCTTGCAGAATCGCATTCTGCCAAGATTTTAACGAAGAACTTAACCAAGAGTCCACGTCCCTACACTCAATCAGTTTATAAGAATACCAAAAAGGTTTCCAGCCTTAATGTTCTTAAACAATTGTTCTATTTAAGTCTAAATAAATTGAAAGGAATCTTGTTTCTTTCCAATCTGGTATGATTTAAAGGCAATCTGTCTCGTTCTGGATTGGTTAACGAGAACAATAGCTGGAACAATAGCCTAAACACGATTCCAGCGCTCCGCCATTTTTTTTACATTGTCAAAAATTGATGGAGGACTGGAAACAATTAAAAATCCCTTTGTTCTTATAATCAATCATCGTCGTGACAGATTGCCTTCAAGGGCAACATAGCAGTAAGAAACTTTATGCCATAATGAGGAAATGGACGCACGAAAGTTTTTTAGCAATTATAGCAATCAAAAAATTCTCATAACATTTTAAAAAAGAGCAAATATTTTAAATATGTGATCTGGGGCTGAGCAATTTCGAGTTGAACAATTTCGAGCATGATTTTTCCAATAAACATTGTTCTGATTTCCAAAGAACATTATTCTGATTTACGAGAATAACAAAGATGCCTAACAGTCGCAGAAGAATTTTGACTGAGTACAAAGGCAGTTTTTTCATAAATTTACTAGTGGTTCAATTTTTTTTAAAAATTTATGTTATCTTTCAGCACATTTAACACGTTTATTTCTCAGAAAATCGAAGATTTGGAACGAGCTCTAATATATAGTTGTTTTTAGCTTAAAAAATATAGGAAACAGTGGCTTTTATCAAAGAAAAAAATCAGTAGTTCAATCGAAATGCTACGGATTTTCAATAGAAGATTTCCTAATTACTGTTTCTGGAAACTTCTACCCGTGCGCCGAATCATAAACTTCCAGTCAAGTACGATTTTTTCTTTAGGTCCCTCTATAGATTCCGTATTACAGTACAACCTGTATTTTCACCAAGAAAAACCTTTATTGCAACAATATCCGTATCTTCTATTATAAGTTGTCATAAAGGGGTGATTGTTTTATTGCGAGCCATGCAACAATAAGGCCCTAGAAAGTAATTCCTGGATAACGTCATCTATTGGGCAAGAAAAATTGCGGGCTCTTGCAAGACAATGTTTGGTCATTGTCATTGCTGGAAGGATGACGAGTGACGAAACTAGTACTTGATTCTTTCGGCAAACAAGACGACTGAAGTGAAGACGGCTCATGGAGGTCTGGGTACTAACTGAGTTGAGGCACGCCCATTCGCGTGTTCAATTTAACGGAAGACGACAAAATTGATTTTGCATCGAAAATGGAGGAGGAAATGTTAGTTCTCATGCACGATGACGAGGTGATCGATGATGATGAATTCCTTGTTTCTCAAGAGGCAAATAGACACGGAAATCTGCATGTTGGACTTCCATATTGGAAATATGAACGTTTTGACCTGGATGGGATGCAAGAGGATGAGTGTGAGGTCAAGTTTCGGTTTAAATAACAAAAAGGCTCGCTGCTGCATTACACATTCCAGACGTTTTCAAGGGCTCAAATGGAGTGGTAGTGGGGCCAGTTGAAGCACTGTGTGTTTGCCTCAAACGTTTTGCGTACCCATGCAGGTATGCAGATCTGATACCAAGGTTTGGTCCTGTGGCTCCTTTCCGTGCTATAATGCTCCTCCAAATGGGCTGCCCCCGTCTAAATATCTCTAGACATGAAGCTTTTTTGCTGAAAATTGCCTCAACTTTGAAAGCAAGGTTTTCGCAGTTAATAGGGCCTGTTCCTTTCCTGGCTATAACGTGTTTATTGTGCAATGTCTAATCCTGGTGTATTTTCACACTACCTTAAAACCCAAAGAGCTGTGTATATCAATCGCTAGAAAATACAAGAAATTTGATTTTGATACTACCTATCCGAAACCAATGTAAGTTGCCTGAGCGAATTAAAATCTAAAATCCTGGCTCATGTTGTTGCCAAATGTGTGTCTTACTCGGCTAGTACAAATGTTGTTTCAAAAGATGCGTTGGTTTTTTCTACTAACCACGAGTTCGGAAAATGAAGTGTTTCACATACAAAGACAAAACATATTCAGGGTTAATCCTTTTTAAGAAGTTGAACGATATAAGTTATATGAATACGAGGAAGGACTATACCTGGCTAAGAAACCCAAAACTCCACATTTTTTCTTGAAATTAGATAACGTAACCAAAAGAAAGTGGCCACAAATATGGGATTTTCTCGTTTAACTAATTTCATGTTCGACAGCTTATCCAAATTAGGTCAAAGCGAAAATAGGAAGCATTCTTAATTTAGGTCACCATATTTTCCAAAATTTAAGTGTTGTTGGTATTCATTTGTAAATGTGCTGAAATTCAATAAAATCGGTCTTCGCAGATATGGAAAACATGACGCTGCCCATGATACGCCTCCGCAGTGTCTTTTTGTTGATTGGAATTCATACTTTTTGGGAGTTTTAAAGAAATCCTTTCAATACTTTAAGCAAATTAGGCAGAACAATCCTATTTCTACACCTGCTATTCTCAGACAAAATATATTTCACATTTGCAAAATTTCCTGAAAATTAAAATCTGCTTAATATTGTGCCATTTAATATGCGAAAAGTTCGCGAAACAGCGATGTGTTCTTTATGCCATCAAAATACAGTCTATACCTTGTACTTTTTTCAAATCCCATCGTTTCTGAATATTGTACACGCCAACAAATCAACATTAAGGCGGAAAAACTTTAGTCGAAAATCTCAGGGCCAAGAAGCAGTGAGAAAAACTTCATTAAAGCGAGAAAAAATTATCGTACCGCAATATAAATCTTAATAAGATCTTAATAGGAGGTCTGACAAAAACGTAATAAAAGCTATTGATTCAACTCTCTTTGGCTAAATTTGAACGCTTTTAATTGGGAATGGAAGATGGAGACGAAGAGTAGATCGTGGTGAAAGAAAACTTGCCATGAAGAGGGCTTTTCTTGGAGGAGGGAGGCATTGCTTCAAAAGGTCACTTTGAAAATTTATTCATTAGCTTATTAAGGTTAGGGGGTTGCAATATGTGACAAAGGTGCCTACAAAAAATATTAAGATAAATAATTACAAAACACATGGCATTACTTAGGGTTGCATAAGTAAATAAATGACCAGTGCCAACAGAGATGTTTGTGCTCACTTGAAGGTGGGGGGGGGGGGGGGGGGGGAAGTCACGCCAAATACTGTCTAAATCATATGCGCTAAATCAAACTACAGGTTTAACGGAGTTGCTTTTTGCTTCAACCTTGATTTCTAATGCTTACACACGACCCAGTTAAAAGCTTGCATTGTTGAAATATTCAATTAAAATTCATGCTTGACATCTGACGTGTTTTTCATCTAAAGCAGAACTCAACAAGACCAAGTTACGTTCTAGACTAAGAAAGAATATACACAAGCATGGAAGACAAATCTTTCTATTGGGTTTGCTTTGCCTGTTTTATCTGCCTGGTTACCTTCGTATGCACCTACCTTTGTCATACACTAAGCAACATGTCTAGTGTCTATGCTAACCTATCAATACCGCACAAATAGTGTCGCTTATTGCAATTTCAAGTACTTAGCGGTTTTTATGAAAAAGATTGTGCTTATTCACAATTCCCGTGACGTTTTTTCCGCATATGCATTGTTTTCTCTTTGGAAATTTCACGAAAAATCCATGTTCAGTGAATCGATTTTCAACACATCGTCTTTATTTGCGCCTCTTTTTCGGGCGATTTGCACCTGAAGATGAAGAAGTACTACTCTCAAAAGAGCTGCTATAGTCCCTGTCACGTGTCTTTGAAGACTTTGTCTTCTTTCTGGCGTCACTTCTCTTTGATTTACTACCACGCCTCCAGCGTTCAGCACTAGAACTGCTACTGAGTGAAGAATGACTTGCAGATCTTTGCTTGGGTGAACGACTTCGCCTGTGTTTCTTTCGTGTCATATCTCTCGAGCGCCTCCTTCTACTGCTTTCCCTCTCGGATGCAGAACTACGACTATCACTACGATGACGATGACTTTTTCTTCTTGGTGGTGAACTTTCTCTGCTCGCACGTGTTTTAGCGCTTCTCTTGCCACTTTCATAGCTTGTACTATGCAAGCGAGAATCTCGCTCCTCACTGTCCCTAAGTTGTCTTCCCTTGGTTTCCCTTTTGCTGGGTTTTGCATTTTCATCAGATGACGAATCATCAGAATCAACACTTTTACGTTGCTTGTGAGCGCGATCTTGCAGTTTCACTACGGCTGTGCTATCTTCTGATTTTCTGACATGTTTTCTTTTTCTTGATAATGCTTCTATATCAATGTCTCCATACAATGAAACGTCACTTGAGCTACCAGAATCTTTTGCCTTCTTAATTATCTTAACCTTTTGACTAATGATATTGAACCCATCCTTTGACGATGGTAAAAGTATACTGCTGCTAAGTGCATCACTAGAATCCTTTTTAGTTGCAAGCAAGCTCTTATCATAGCTGATATACGGATCGTCTTCATCAATGTTTGCTTGGCGTATTTTGGGTGCAAGCTTCCGACTTGTCTCTCTACCTGCAACTACCTCTGATCCTATACCTTGACCGCCACTTTTGGGCTCTTCAACTTCCCTTGATTCACGTGTAACATCCCACCTCCCACCACGCTTCAGGGACTTGCTTCCATCGTCAGCGTAAAATTTTGAATAGCTGTTCTTGGCTTCTGCTTCGAATTTTTGTTCATTCATTGGCTCATTAACCTTTTCGAAATCACTATCACTTTCATATTTACCTCCATCCCCTCTCTTAGGATTCCTAGTCTTATTCTTTTCCTTACTTATCTTTTTCGTCTCAATTTCATTATCTAGATCTTCCAGGCCACTAGCTGAGCTCTCCCTCTTCCTCCTAATCTTCTCTTTAGGTGCTTTATGGTACCTACTCTTCGCTTCATCTCTGTACTTTTTCTGTTCTCTGTCTTCATCATCACTTGAGTCCCCATCTGAGTAATGTCTCTTTTTCCCTTTGCTGTGTTCTTTTTGTCTTTTTACCTCCTTTTTACTACTCCTTTTGGCTTCTCTATCGTCATAATCTCTGTGAATTAAACCTTCACGCGACTGTTTTTCGATATTCCTCTTTCTTGATGCTTGCTTACTTGACCCTTTTCGAGATTCATACGAGTCTGATTGTTCATTACCACTCCCCGCATCTGTGTTATTACTAGAGCTGGCAGTTATTTCCCTCCATACTTTCTTTGTGTCTTGCCTTCCTCTTCGCCTGCTACTGTAATTCTCCTTGTCTTTAACTCTCCTTGTTTCATCTTCTGATTCACTTTCAAATCCCTTACTTCTCTTTTTCTTGGCTACGGACCTCTCATCCTTTTCTCTTGATTTTCCTCCCCTCCGAGTATAGCTACCTCCTTGCTTGCTAGGCGCTTCCTCGTCTGATGAAAAGCTCTCTGAAGAATCGTTTTGATATTTACGCAATTCTCCCTTTCTGTTCCTCTTCCCCTTTACTTCAATCGACTCTGAAGATGAATAATCCGAGTTGTGCTTCTTTCCTTTTGATGTTAGACCGAGGGAACTACCAACCTTCTTCTTTCGCGTCTCTCTATCACTACTATGAAAATCATTGCTTGCGTCCCTGTGCGCCTTTTCCTTACCGTATTCTTCCTTTTTCTGTCTGCGATTCCTTCTTGCTACCTGCTCTGTTTCTTCATCAGAGGTAAAGCTGTTCTGATCATCGTCCATCTTGCGCTTTCTCTCTTCCTTCACTTCTCTTTTCCCTCTCTTTTTGCCAATACTTTGTCGCGCTATTTGATGATATTCGGACTCTGACTCTTCCCTTGAATCTGACCTTTTTACAACTCTCGCTTTTCTTTTCGAGCTACTCTCTTGGTTTTTTCTGTCATTCTCTCCTCGAGCTTTTGAGCGAGATGTCCTTTCCAAACTATTTTCTTCCCCACTAGCTGAATGATCCGACAACCTTCGAGAATCTTCGATACTACGCACATAATGCTCTTTATTTGAACTTATGACCAACACTTCAGAATTATCTGAATTTAATCCTTCTTTTCGAGCCGACCTACTCAATCTGTCATTCTTTCTATAAACCCTACCTTCAGAGGCATTCAACTCTAGTATCTTTGTGCCAGCCAACTCAGGGCTTCTTTCCATGTAACCAACAATGTGCTCATTTTTCTCTTCCCTTGCAGATTCATTCAAATGGATCGAGTCTTCATTATTCTTCGAAAACGCTTCCAGATTCAAAACATTCTCACTCTTCAAAGACCTTGAGCGGTTCTTCATTTTCAATTTGATACGTTCTCGCATTTCTGCTTCAGCGTCCAGTGAAATGGAGAATCCTGGCTTCTGTTGATCATCCACCGGATTTGCCAATTCCTGTTCTTGTTGGATTTTCTCTATCCTATTCAACTCTGCAATGGCTGCTTCTGTCCGTTTACTGTCATGAGCTGTATCACCTGCAACAGGATCACGTTCTTTATCAGAATCAGCACTACCACTGTCTTCCTCTTTTCTCTTCTTGTGTTTCTTTTTCTTCTTCTCCTTTTTCTTGTGTTTCTTTTTCTTTTTCAATTTCTCTTTTTCTTTTCGAATATCGTTATCGGATTCAGAACCTACATCTTCCCCCACACTTCCAACCCGATTCATGGAACTAGGATGTTCACTATTTTCTACAATTGCAATTTCTTCTTTTTTTGCACCCTTACGCTTCGAATCATAATCTTTCTGAACAGCCTCCCTAGGTCGATTGTTGGTCTTTTTCTTCTCAATATATTCATAACGCTTAGAAATATCTCGTCCAAACATGTCAACCTTCGCTGCTTTCTGCTGCATGTTTTCATCTTCACCATCTTTCCTTTCTCTAACATATCTACCCTCTGATGTATCTAGCAATTTTCTTCCGGCATCTTCGTCATCATCCTCATTTTCATCCCATCGTCCTCTGAAAGATTTTTCCTGAGCCTCGGTTTTCATTTCTTCCCTATTTATGTCTATTGTTTCTTTTTCCCTGGCATCACTCTTCAACCCCATAAGATCTCCCTCACTTTTCTCAATTTGATCCCACCTCTGGTTAGGTCGTTTAGCTGACGTATCACCTTGCTTTTTCTCTGTCTTTTCGCACCCTTCACCGCTTATAGCCTTTCCATCACTTTCAAACCTTCCCTTACCCTCTCTGCTACGGCTTCTCTTATCTGCTTTACCTCCTTTATACTCTGATTCAATAGGCCTTCTTTTCCTCTCTGTGGCAATTGGCTTGTCTTGACCGGCGTGACCAGGTCTTCTATTACTTCTTTCTTCAACAGGGTCTTTTCTACCATGTCTATTAGCAGTTTCACCATCTTTAAGAAGGGCATGTTCCTGGCTTTCACTTCGACTTCTTCTTCTATCAAAGCGTCCAGGAAGTCTCTTACGACCAGAATCATCAGCTTCATGACTTTTTGATCTGGGCCGCTCTCTTCTGTCTCTTCTTTGCCTGCCCTCTTGACGCCTAACATCTAAAATACTTCTTTGAAAATTTCCCCCAAAATTACCTCTTCCAACTCCTCTTCTTCCTCTACCACGAAAATTGCCACCAATCGGTCTACGGTTTTCAACTCTTGGTCTGAACCTTCCTTTTTTCCATTTTTCAACAATATCATCTTTATCATCATCATCTTCATTGGCTTTTTCATTGTCATTGGTCTCTTCTTCTGGTCTGATAGCATCTTGCTCTCTGTAAAATTGAAAATTGATTCACTCATAAGCTTTAAGGTTAGGCTGGGCATTTTCGTCAGGATTACATCCCCCTTGCCGTCTCTATTACTCGTCACAATATAAATCACGAGTAAATGACACTCTTCGTCATCATCACTTTTCGAATAAAATTTCTTGAATGGATACAAAATCATTTTCGTATTCCCAATTCCATTCACATTCACTTACAATCCGGGCCATGAGACCAACAAATATTGAAACCAATCCTCTTCCCCCAATTAAAAGTTGAAAGGGCAATCTCAAAACCGTCTTTCTGCAATTGTAGTTACTTTTAACAAGTATTTTTTACTAGCTTAATTTTCAGCTAGTTCAAGACATTTTGCTACAGCGCTAAAATATATTTCAACCAAATCAATTGTATGCAAATTAACAGTTTAAACGGAACTAAAATGCATCATATATTTTTCTATCTTTTCACCAGTCTGCGTGATCTCTATTTCGAAACTTTCAACATTATTACCTCATCGTTTCAAACCCATACACAAAGAAAACCACGTAGTCACTAGCTTTATAGTCAATGGAGAAACTCTAACTGGTTTCTACCCACAAGTTTACATTGATATAAAAATGGCAGATCTGACTTACTCTGCACTGTCAAAATCTCCTGGATAAAGCTCTTTGAATCCTGAATGTCCCCATCTAAAAACAGACACAGTTATAAAGCATTTTGTTGCATAGATGCACATCAAAAACTGAGATAGAACTAACAGTGAAAGAAAACATTAGAAATTAGCAGAAAAAAGCAAAAGGCAAAATTTACGAACTATTATGACTTCATAGGGTACATATTATTGATTACTTTTATTTTTTATCTAATCATATTTTTTTATCAATATACATCAAGTCCATTTTGAACTTTTCAAATCAAGTTTTTCAAATATATAAACGTGCTATAATTTACTAGAAAAAACGTCTTTTAACTTTCTACATAAAAATTAAAAAAATCATACAGACTAAGCGTTGATAATGAAACTAAAATGTTAAGGTGCAAAATGCAGTCTCACCTGTCTGGATCATTTTCTTCAAATTCCATTAGCCTTTTGGTCCAAATTCCAGCTTTTGTAGGTGCAGCAATTTGCTTTCTATCTCTAACATCGTCACTGTACATCCTACCTCTAAATTTATCATCTTTCTTAATCTTGCGACTTCTGTGGTAATCATAATCATCATCGTCACTCCGGTCTGCATTTTTACCCTTCTCGTATTGTTTCCACATTTCATCTGTTTCTTTAATCTATGCATGGATCGATTTTAAATGTTTACAACTGGATATCTGATAACCCAATACAATCGTTGATCAAAACATCAATAGAATGAAAGGCAAATAAAGGTTGTTGCAACAAATATGGTTGTTGTGATTTTGCATATGATTGTTGACAAAAAATAGAGTTAATCAAAATGAGATTTGGTTAAGATTCTGTTTGGAGTTCTAATATTCACAAAAACTGAGGAAACATCACTCAACCATTAAACAATTAGGATACAGCTATTTTCCCTAAAGTTCCAGAAAATAACGTTTTCCATAAAATTAGTAGAGTTTGTCTTTCTCTCATTTCCAAATGAAAAAATACAGCCGTCAAATTTTCAAAATGAAACTGGACGTTGGCAAGCATATTTAAGTAAAAGAATGGCAAAGTAAAAGAGTGGCTATGAACTTAATTTTTAGGCAATGACATGCAGTTCTAAAAAGTTTCTAATAATTTATAGGTAACATTTAAACATTTTTTGTTATTCAGTGTGCAGATTTTGAATCAATCTTAGAGGAATTCCCAATCATCATAAGATTTCCAAGGATTCCTAAGAACTAGTCTGCAAATTGATCTGATATTTTCAAGAATTTATCAAAAAACTTGCAATAAGAGAACTTTGTTAAGGAAAATAAACAAGTCTAATAATAGAAGCCATTTTAATAAAGCATAGAATAATATAAGGTGTTTACCCGATTGTGTGTATCTGTGTGTTTCACCACATTTCTAAAGGCAGATTTGTCTATTTGCATGAGCTTTCCTCCAATTATTGTTGTCATTTTTAAACCACATCAGCAAAAGGGAATACTACCAAATCTAGAAAACGAATTTAAAAATAGGCACTAGAATTTGACAAATAGCATTGCTCCAAATTGAAAACAGGTATTATTGAAAATGCAGGAAATTTGAAGTCAGGGCAAGACAAACAATTCAAAACAACACTGTAAACAGGTCTTGCCCTCAAGCAGCTATAGAGAGGAATTGATTGACCCCCCGAAAACGTAAAATAATATTAGCATCAAACAAAATAATGCTTTGAAACAATGTTTAAAAAACTTAAACCATCTTTGCAGAGATAATCAATACCATTAATTTTTTGATAACATGATATATCTGCTTTTTAAATTAAAACATTTTTTTATGAACTTTTACTTACGGTCTACATAAAAAAATTGGTAGAGTGCAAGCCTATTGCTTTGATAAGATGATGTCACATTTTCCCATTGTTTAAAGGGTATATCTGTGATGGAAAACACAGAACATCATAAGCTCTTTGAGAGTGGAATCTTTTGAAAATGCAATGATATTTGAGTAGTTGCAAAATGACCTTGAATTTGTTTTCATTAAGACAAAAAGCAACATTTGCAGAACATATCTGTGAAGACATAGCCTCAGACCCTATTCACACGATACAGTATTCAAATGAATACACAACAATATGCAGATTTCTAATTTGTTAATGCTACAAGAAGCCAATTTCTACTTTTAGTATTGTTTTTGAAACATTATTTGAGTGAGAGCCCCACTTGTTCTTGCATCCCTGATCATACTGTACTGTTTTTTTGTTTATTAAAAGAAACTAAGACTACTATGTGAAATGTAAACTACTTTATGTTTTGTATATGGGTAAACAGGAAGACATTCCTACATATATGCTTTGTGATAACAGCCTCCTTGTTGTGACACAAAAAGCCATGCATTTTGATAAAACCAGGAGTGATAAGGAAAGAGTTTTTCAAGTGATATGGGCCTTTGAAAATAAAAAAAGATATCTAGAAAAATCTACATGTCTTTTGTGAGTTAATGTTTCTCATTTTACAATCTGGTGCTTTTTGGTTTTTTAATTGAACTTCATTGAAAAAGCAGGCTCTGACTGCAAATAAAGTAAACAGCAAAAATTTTGAAAATGCAAATAGTTTGCTCTAATGCATAACTTCAGTACAAAATTGAAACATTAATTTTTTGCAATGTTTTGGTTTAAAAAATTTATGCTAAGAACAAGGTATTTTTGGAACACTAATAGAAATTAAAATGGATCAAACAGAGAGGCGCATAGCTAATGTAGCCTTATATGTTTCTAATGACCTTAAAGGCTTAACTTGACTATCCTAGAAGCAGTTTGCCACTACTTTCTTTCAAAAAAAGATCTGCCTAAGGTTCAACATGGTCTAGTATAAAGCATGTAAGAAATTATCTATCAGGTTTCAGCCATTAACAGCTCAATTCATTAACTGGGACAAAATTACTCGTTAAGGATCCCTGAGTTGAGATGGGTTGCATCTTGTGTTTTCTAGACAGTACATTTAGAAAATATTTGCATCTTGAATACATGACATTCAGGCTGAAAACTTTGTTGCATGCTCATAATTTTTTGCCTGTGCACACATCTGTGTGCCTTTTTGCCACACACAAAATCTTTATATATATAATGAAAACGAACAATATTAACTCTAAAAATAGCTAAGAATGATTTCAGGCCTCAAACAAAGTTTGAAGTTTGGCATGTCATTGCCATAGAGCCTTGTTGAATATGAGATCATTGCAAATAAGACCAAATTTAGACTTTCTATGTCCCAAAGGCTCTCTCTAGATTAGTTTATCTATATAGAGTGCTCCTCCTTAATCAATCTATCTTATATACAATCATGTAATGTCTGTTTCTTTATTTAGTTTGTAATTTTGTAAGCATTGTTGTATTTAATTTTAACATCGTAATTTATTTAATTGTATTGTAGTTGTGTAGAATTGAATGTAGGATGGATTGATAATTATATGAAACTTGAAACTTATAAGTATGACGTCTATTAACTCTAGGTACTGTACCAAACCTACACATTGACCAGACTGCAGAGTATGACAGATGCAGAGTGTGAGATCAGTTGGTTACCCACTCAAAAAATTTGAAATTGCAAACCAAATGAAAGGAAATAGGTGTCCTACATGGGTAAAATGTGCCTAAAATGATCATGTATACACGGCAAGCTTGGTTAAAATGGCATAGGACCATTCTAGAATGTGTACAATCAAGGACCTGTGGATGGTGTGAATAGCCCCCTCACGCTCCTGGTTAAATTTGCAGTAAAACTACAATATTACCCTCATTCATGCTCTTCATGGGGTCACACTGTCAAAATATTTATTATTCATATTTTCTTTTATCTTATTTTGTTTTCACTACTTAATTAACTTAATTATACTAACATACTAACCATTGTACGTTCCCCGCGCAATAACTTTTTGCTCATATGCTGTCCACGCATTTTTGCAAATTTAGATTTATCCGAGCAGTTAGAACATGGACTTTCGTGTGAATTCCGTGCATAGCCTAATCTTGAGCCCTAAAAGTACTATTTAAAAATGAAATCCCGCAGCTTTTAACCTGTCATTTTGCAACATGATCTGTTCCCGCGCAAGCGTAAGCGACAGAAAATAATTCCCCGCGCACAAAAAATACTTTGCACTCTGGCCTATTTATAGGTTAATGTACAGTAAATAATAGATAGATAGGCCTATCGTCTCTAGCGTGCAACACAATAGCTTAAAGGTACATGCGTGACCAAATACAAAAACCGGGACATTTAAATATACGAAAGAAGCATATAGTTTTGATGTACCGAATAAGTTCCAAGTATGCTGCCATGTTTTGTCGATTAGCATGCGGACAGATTATTCCGGAACAAGGTGTCTTCTCTGTTTAGGTCAATCAATCTGTCTTAACTATGTTCCTGTACACAAAATGACTTAAAATGACCTTATCCCTCGTTTGCAAAAAAATGTATAATAAATTTTATGCTTAAATGCTTAAGGTAAAACTGAACAAGCTTACCATGCAAAGCTGAACCCAACCAAGATCGCACGCCATTTTCGGATATCAGTGGGGCCTGAGCAGCTGAGAACGAGGTTGAATGGAAATGTCTACCAATTCCACATAGGAGCAGGTGAGAAATCGAGATGTCCAGGGAGATGTCCAGGGGGTTGTGCGGAGTCCCCTTATAAAGCAAAAATTCCAAGCTGCCTGAATTTTCCGTAGAGAGAATAAACAAGAAACTATTTCATACACCCGCTTTTTCTGTTTAATTTAGATTGATGCCCCAATTTTCTCATACATGATCTTACAAGACCAGACCACATTTATGACCAGGCTACAAGCCCATGCATCCTCATTAATCTTGCTGAATTCTTCATTACCCTTATTTTTCCTGTTAAATGTTGAACTGCGTCTTTAACATTTAGAAATCTGCGTTCTTTTGTAGGGAGTTTAAATTCTCTACTTTTTTGAGTTTGATGATGTTAAAAAACACAACTGTTCTGGGATCACTATCTCCCTTTTATAGAGAAGGGTATTTAGAATAGATTTATGTCTAAAATCCATTACTTCCTAACCTTGTAGCAGAAAGTTGGATGGCTCGAAAAAATTCCAAGAAGCTAGCAAACTAATTCATTGAATGCGTAAGATGGGCCATACAGAAATTACAGATAACCCAACAACAGCGTCCTGAGATAAACGGAAGTCCAATTCTCAAAAGCCATGATACTTCCAAAAACGAAAAAATTTGTGTGGATGGGGAAGGAAAATCAATGAACTTTGTAGTCGTTGATAGATATTTGATTGTAATTTAGACAAAAATATTCCTGATTCTTATATATTCACATTTATTATTAAAGATGACATTGCTCACTTCCACAAGGATATAGTGTGTGACTACGCATTACTTTCACAGAGCCTCTTACCCTGCACACCCTTTCTGGCTGAATGACTCATGTTTTCAGCAAAATTCAGATGAATTCTTTGCGCAATCGAGCACTAGAGTTAACAAAATAACTGCTACAGCGACAGCAAATGAATACATCTATGTGCAACTCAACTGTTAGCAAGAATGAACAGACACCAAGGGGAATATCTTAGAAAAACGAAACATATCAGGAGAATGATGAAGAAAATAACAATCCTCGCCCATTCTCAGGTTAGTTATGGTTGTTAGGTGGACAACTTCTTCTAAAAACATCCAAGGAGCTCATTTCAAGGAATGTACTTGTGAAATACGGTTAATTTGCATAGGGTGGCTTACTCAAAAAGCAGCCCTCTTTAGAGTTTTACTTGTATGTTATGTTTGACTCTTCTGATTCCGTGTGCAACTACATCTTCATTCATTTTCATTAACTTTAAAATCATCACAAAATTATCGAAAATTATTTTTTTTGAGTTACATTTCATCGATGTAAGATGAATGCAAAAACACCTTCTTAATTATAAAGAGGTGGCTATCTTAATTTAACTTCTTAAAATCATTTAGAAAAGGTACTAGAAACAGGGGAACCATCCATATCAGGAATGAAGAGAGAGCAATAACATAAGAAAAAGATTTGGGTATTAATTTCAAATGTTCAAAATAGATAATATACATAAACAATTTACATCATGGTGTGTCATCTCTAAATAATATATTACGAACTAGGCCAATATCGCTTTCTATAGATTTAGTTTGGCAGGAGCTTGTTAGGAGCTAAAAGAGGCAGCATACCTTATTTCCAACTATGTGACACCATTTTCTAAATCATTGCACAGTATCAATTTGACTAGAGCTTGTATAGGTATAAGAGAATAACTTGTCAAGCCTGAACCCAAGAAGGATCGAAATTGTCGGCTCTTTGCAGCTTATATTATTCGAGTGAATATCCATGAAAAATTTTTTTCACAAAGGCAACCGGCCAAAAAAGTTTCTTTGTTCAAAATTTCACAAACATGCTGTTAATGTAAGCATAAAAATTTATCACATCTTTCGCTGTCTCACTACAATATTGTTATTAGAAGTTATCTCGGCCTGTATACCTCGCAAAGAAGAATAACGACAGGTGCCCTAGGTATTCCAAGTTGTCCCGCCAAGTAGGAATTAATTCGTGTGTCTATAAGGCCTAACAAAAAAAATTTCATTATAAACTTGCACCGGTATGCTAAAAAGTACGCAAAATAATTTTAAAAAAGCTAAAAGTCTCTATTAACATTTTTACAACAACAAATGTACACACACAAAACAGATTAAGCTTAACGCTAATGTTGTATTTTAATATCAGAAAGAATTCTACCGTTAACAAAAAATATGCTTTAGTTCAGTGACATCCAGTTTGGCACAATTCATTTTAGTCAACTGACTTATACTGAAAACAGTATTATGCAATAATTGCTGTAGCAGTCTTAAAAATTCAACATTATAAGCACTGTTATCGTATCGCTCGAAAGTGACTTTGAAATACACGAAAAAGTCATTTTCTAAATAAGATCTTTTCGAAATATAGTCACCAAGCACGTTTTCAACAGAGCTAGAAGCTATGGAAAAATTGAAGATTTCTGATCAAAATATTTACATCGTGCAAGGTATCTTATATACACCTTTAACATGCTGTAGAACTCTCGTTTAATACGTAAACATTCTAAATACTTGTCTTTGTAGAGAAAGCAGTGGCGTTCAAAAAATAGTCTTCTCTTATTTCGGTATTCTAAACTGGAATGCTTGGCCAGCGAGCTATTACAGGAAGAGAAAAAGAGAAATGGTTCAGTATAACGCTGAAAGAAAGATAATTTGGAAATATTTGAAACTCTCTATCTATCAGCTCTTCAAGTATATTATCAAATATCGAATCGCACTTATCTATTATTGTATAATATATCATTAATCATATAGCATACATAATAAAATATAATATAATATAATAAAATAAAATATAATATAATAAAATAAAATAAAATAAAATAAAATATAATATAATATAATATAATATAATATAATATAATATAATATAATATGATATGATATGATATGATATGATATGATATGATATGATATGATATGATATGATATGATATGATATGATATGGAGACATGTGCAAGCAACGATAAGCGTTTATTTTTTACATGGACAGACGAAGAGCTGCTAAAATGCAAAATGGCGAAGACTGGGAGACTGTTATGTCAATCCCTATGTCTATCCAGAAACAACAACAGAGGGCTTTCTAAATAGCCAGGATAAAGAAAAACTTACAAAAGAAAAGGGGAAAACGAAAATAAACAAAATGATGACAAGGTTCACAACGGAACGGTTGTTTATATAGTTCATACAAGATTCGTTTTGGCCATTTGCGTTGAACAAACGACTGCATATAAAAAATTAAAACCAGAAGGAAGATTGGTGTAAATTTAGATTATCTACTTCGCCTCCTCTTCGCATCGAGGTTACTGTGTTGAGCACAATTTATTACGTTCTGATAGGAGATATCTTCCAATCACATGATTCAACCCGCTATTCAAAGAACAATAGGTTTGTAAAGGTATATAATACCCCGCTTACACCATGCACTCAAGCTCAGTATTTTTGAGCGCATCTTTTATTCCGCTCTCAAGATGATTTGCAACGTAAACAATTTTCTACAAAAAGACCTTGTTCCAGACGACATTTCGGCGAAGTCGAAGCCATACCAGGTCTGACGTTACTTCATGTGCAATTCGAAAGTTTTATGCATTAGACTACATTTGCGAGCCGCCACTGATTATATTACATTACATTAAAGTTATATTATATTATATTATATTGTATTGTATTGTATTGTATTGTATTATATTATATTATATTATATTATATTATATTATATTATATTATATTATTTATATTATATTAATAATTAATATTATATTAATATATATTATATTATATTAAGTTATAATTATTTAATTATATTATTTATATTATATTATATTATATTATATTATATTGTATTGTATTGTATTGTATTGTATTGTAATGTATTGTATTGTATTGTATTATATTTTGCTATTATTATGTATTCTATATAGTAAACTTTAAATGATGATAGCTACATCGCAGCAAACAATGTTATTTACAAACATCACAAAGATGTAAATACACGCTCTCACCATTCTGAACTTTGAAGCAAGCACTTTTCCGTACTCCTCGGCGTTTTGGTCAGGGGGGATGATGGTGGCAAATCTTTTCGACTGTGCGACGTTTAAATATTTGTTACCTCTTGGGAGAAACGTCTTTCGAACTGTAAGCTGTCAATCAAAATAAGACCATCTTTAAAGTTTTAGTCCACTGCTTTAAGAGTATTGAGGTAGAAATGTTCTAATTCTGACAGCAATATCAAAGAACCTTGCTATACAGCTATCACTTTTTAAACACAATTTTCTAGTCTGCATGGATGTCACTTATTAATTTAAGACAAAACTACGATGAGGTGAAAGGCCTTAAAGTAACACAGCTTCATAGGCTCAAGAGCATTTCAAATCCTTCAAATTCATCTTGTAGTTCAAACACAAAACAAAAAATTACAAATTTACAAGTTTACAAGTGTATGTTTACAATCTAGAAAAACAGATGCCATAAGCAAAAAAACTTCAATGATATAATTAACTGAAATTCACATATAATTTGCAAAACTGCATTCCAGTTGAGGACTGTATCTCATTTAGAGCAAATAGATCAATATATTTTAAAATTCTTGCGTTAGTTTTCACGCTTTATTAATTATGTAGTTTATTAGGCATAAATCATTTTGTACTAGCCTCGGATTGAATTTGGGGGTTAGATCAGGGCACAGAATAGGAATTAGGCAGAAGGGGAACTCCTGCCTCTCAGGCGAAGCCTGAAAAAACTAGCGTATGCGTTAACTTATACGAGGCTTAGCATGTATCTGTCGGGGAAATTTTGAAAAAGAATGAAAGTAGACAACTTTATTTGGGACGATATGCCCCATGATAGTGAACAAATTCAATTATGTATCATAATTCGTTTATATCTGATTAATGAATGATAATATGTCATGGCTAAGTTCGTCTAATGAAATCGAGGTTAAAGGGGAATAAAGCAATTCTATTGTTGACTCAGGCACAGAATAGGAATTAGGCAGAAGGGGAACTCCTGCCTCTCAGGCGAAGCCTGAAAAAACTAGCGTATGCGTTAACTTATACGAGGCTTAGCATGTATCTGTCGGGGAAATTTTGAAAAAGAATGAAAGTAGACAACTTTATTTGGGACGATATGCCCCATGATAGTGAACAAATTCAATTATGTATCATAATTCGTTTATGTCTGATTAATGAATGCTAATATGTCATGGCTAAGTTCGTCTGATGAAATCGAGGTTGAAGGGGAATTAAGCAATTCTATTGTTGACTCAGGCACAGAATAGGAATTAGGCAGAAGGGGAACTCCTGCCTATCAGGTGAAGCCTGAAAAAACTAGCGTATGCGTTAACTTATACGAGGCTTAGCATGTATCTGTCGGGGAAATTTTGAAAAAGAATGAAAGTAGACAACTTTATTTGGGACGATATGCCCCATGATAGTGAACAAATTCAATTATGTATCATAATTCGTTTATATCTGATTAATTAATGATAATATGTCATGGCTAAGTTCGTCTAATGAAATCGAGGTTAAAGGGGAATTAAGCAATTCTATTGTTGACTCAGGCACAGCTATTTTGTGATCAGGGTCGGAGTGCAAACATGGCGTTTTGTCATGTGCGCTCTCTCGGTCGCAGCGGGTACTAGGCATTACGTACGCTTATACAACAAATTACAATTTACTTAAGCCTGTGATTTGAGTTTACCACTGCAATGATCTTATAGGGGAGCTTCTTTTACTAAGTCAGTAGAGAAAACTGCAAAGAAGTTGATCTTTCTAAATCACAGGTTTTGCAAGGATAATTCTCTCTGTTCCAGCATTTATTCAGTATTTGAAATAGTGTTATGTAGTGGCGCTTTCTGTAAGATATTGCCAGATCTACTCGACGTTGCTAAAACGAGGAACAAGCGGAACAACCTAGTAACAAGCGGAACAACCCAGTAACAACCCAGGAACAAGCGGAACAACCCAGTAACAACCCAGGAACAAGCAGAACAACCCAGTAACGAGCGGAAATGTGAAGTTATTGTTTTGTAAATAACACATGGGGGCGTTTATAAGCCAACTCTCTAAAGTTCGTGTGGGCTAGCACGTGCACTATCAAGAGGCCGTCAAACACTTCCGTTATGTAATTTTTTGGCAGTTCGCGGCCATTTTCCCTCCTTTTCACACAACCGTACATAGTTTGATGGATCAGAAAACCTGTCGTTGTGGTTCTTCACTCGAATCAAACACCGACATAGCAAGGCAAGGGCTGGTACACAAAAAGCCCAAATTGAGGGGTCGAAAATTGAGGTGGGGGATAATATTTAGAATATATTAATGGCAACCGAAGGGGCAAAAGGACCGGGGGGTGTGGGGGTGTCACACCTCCCCGATAGTATCTCAATGAGAAATTTCAGGTAAAATCTCAATAAACTAACAACAAATGTTGCCAAGTTTGTACGAGAAATAATCAGACAAGGCAAAAAATTGGAAATTCTCCTGTGAACTGAATCAAAACTCCATTTCTAGGCATAGATTTATACTCATTACTTTTGATTGTACACTATTAATTGTCGCATTTTTTATGTTGCTACTGTTGTTTAATCTGCTGCAAATTGTTGCTTATTATGTTTGTAAGAAGAAGCACTCGATTAACGTAAATAGCTGATGTAAGAATGGCTCTTCAACTAAGTGTATTTAGATAAATTAATTTTTTATGATGATGATGAAAACGCCAAACATTGGTTGCGTGTTTGTCACCTTGCCATCATTAGTTCACGATACTGTGCCATTCAATCGCCTGGGGAGAAAATGACATTGATGTGCCTACGAGAAACTGATGGTTTGCCCAGAAATAATCAAATAAAGGCTTACTCTGAAGTTGAAAACTGAAGAGGCCCTCTTCCTCGTTTATTAATTTTTGAAAATCTATCTTCATCCCAATAGACGTACTTTTTAAGATTGTTATTAACTCACAAGAAACTCGGAAGAATCTCTACTGAAAATGTAGGTTTATAGATATCATTCTATTTTTTTCATTTTTGTGTGACTGTATTTTGAACATAAAAAATGCGACAATTAATAGTGTACAATCAAAAGTAATGAGTATAAATCTATGCCTAGAAATGGAGTTTTGATTCAGTTCACAGGAGAATTTCCAATTTTTTGCCTTGTCTGATTATTTCTCGTACAAACTTGGCAACATTTGTTGTTAGTTTATTGAGATTTTACCTGAAATTTCTCATTGAGATACTATCGGGGAGGTGTGACACCCCCACACCCCCCGGTCCTTTTGCCCCTTCGGTTGCCATTAATATATTCTAAATATTATCCCCCACCTCAATTTTCGACCCGTCAATTTGGGCTTTTTGTGTACCAGCCCTTGCCTTGCTATGTCGGTGTTTGATTCGAGTAAAAAACCACAATGACAGGTTTTCTGATCCATCAAACTATGTACGGTTGTGTGAAAAGGAGGGAAAATGGCCGCGAACTGCCAAAAAATTACATAACGGAAGTGTTTGACGGCCTCTTGATAGTGCACGTGCTAACCCACACGAACTTTAGAGAGTTGGCTTATAAACGCCCCCATGTGTTATTTACAAAACAATAACTTCACATTTCCGCTTGTTACTGGGTTGTTCTGCTTGTTCCTGGGTTGTTACTGGGTTGTTCCGCTTGTTCCTGGGTTGTTACTGGGTTGTTCCGCTTGTTACTAGGTTGTTCCGCTTGTTCCTCGTTTTAGCAACGTCGCAGATCTACTAACCTTTGAGGGATCCTCAAGCTCTTCTCTTCTTCTAGTGTCACCGATTCTAATAAAAATGGATGCACCATCCACCAGTTTGATCTGGAGACAAACAAAGATCACAAAGCTTAAAAAAAGTTAAGGCAGATCCCCACTAGAAGAATGTTAAGATGATCAGGGACAGATTTACCGGGACGGGGTGTAGGGGGTGTGACATCCCCCATATTTTTTGTCCTTCGGTGATCAGCTTCTTATCTTCTTCATCTTGAAGTTAGAAATATAATTTTAATAATGGGCGTTTCCATCATTTTCCAGTCACCTGAAAAATGTGACACCAAAATCCAATAATAATCTATCACCCACCCCCCCCCCACCCCCAATCCTTGCCTCTTGAATCCGTCACAGAAGACGATCGTCAAGAAATTGCGTAGTAAAAAGAAACTTATGCGTAGTAAAGACGCGTAGTAAAGAGAAACTTATTGTTTTGGTGAAAAGAAGAACCGACTTAAACTTGTAATACTCTATATGTTTGGCCATGCAAATCTCGTGCTAAGACTTTCACCAATTCCATTCATTCAATTTCCTATCCATTCAGTCACAGTCGTTTATCAGCATTTCTTAGTGATGTTGCCCCACACATGTAATCGCATCTTTGTCAACATACGCATTTAGGAAGTACCACTTTCGGATAATTAGACACATCCTGTATTCATGTTATGATTCGAGCACTGCCCTTGACATGACGTAACCTTATGTATTTGTATTACCCTTGTATACATTGATGTATACCGTAAATCCTCGAATTAGCCCCGTGGGGGCTTGATTATCTTTGATATTTTTGAATGGGGTCTTATTCGAGGGGGCTTATACGAGGGGGGCTTATACGAGGGGGGCTTATACGAGGGGGCTTACAAAATTATCGTAGACATTAAGAAGACATTAGTAAAAGACCTTGTTTATTTTAGTGGAATTTTCTTTACGAGCATTTAATTAATTACTACCAATGTAGGAATTTGTTGTGGTAATTCAATGAAGGAAAATGAACGAAGAAAAATGAACGAAGACAGCTTTTGAGGAAATGACAAGAGTTGGTAAAATGGGTAATTCATTTCCTTGGCATTTAGGTAAAACAAAATGGGGAATATTTGTAGGCCTTTAGTACTACGAGAGGGCCTAAGTAAACCAGATAAAATATTGACCTTTTGTGTGTGCTACACTTGTTACTTTTAGAAAACATGTACAATGCCTGCCAAAAGTACTTGGAACACCCACCAATTTACGCTGCATTTGATATCTTTAATTCCTTTCATGAAAAAAAAAATGCTACTTCCGCCCCCTTCCTCCTCAAACAATGTTGACGATTTAGAGAAATATCAGAAAAGAAGCGCAAAAGAAAGTGCTTCCTAAAATCCTAACCCGTTTGATAGTAAACCAACATTGTTCCGTGGGGGAGAGGGGGATGATTGGTTTTGACCTTGGAAATTGATGTCAGTGTTCCAAGACTTTTGGCAGGCATTGTGCGTAACATAAGTAAAAAGCATAAATCTTTTGTGTGGAGAATACGGCACTGAAGGGACACAGGGAAATGAGCTGAGGAGGAATTTTACTAGGGTGTTCCGGGGGCATGCTCCTCAGGGAAATTTTGAACTTTAAGGCATCTCCTTTGGCTCTGCTGGCCTCCTAAAACTCTAATAACCAGACAATTCGGCTGTCTAATTGAATCTTTCTACTTTAGCCTTTATTGAATCTTTCTGTCTTCTCAAGTCACGCCCACGAACGTAGGTGCATTAGACAACACGAAATAATGCTAAAACAAACTGCATGCAAAGCTAAAACTAAATGAACCCTACCTTTACGGTGTTTTTAAAAGAGGATAAATCAGATATGGACGTTGCATGTGGTACTTCATCCAAAATAAGGAAAATATAGTTAGCAAATAAAGTACTAGAATGAAAATATAATAGTTTGATTGTTAAAAACACAGTACATAGTTTTAACAATCAAACTACATATTTTCATTTTGGTACTCAATTTATTTGCTAACTATATTATCGATTAATAAATTGATTACAATAATACATTGACTTCATGTTCAAGATAAGAATAACTTTCCAGATAGTCGTTTCATACCATAGATCTATGTTTTGCACTAATTTGTAGAACGAATAACAATAAGCTCCACATATTGGCAAGGACCGACGCGCCTGAGGCCGGACTATCCTCTTTGACAATTTTTTCGTGCTTATCAATGGACCAACATTCTCTTTTGCCTATAACGTTCCATTCCCAGAGCAGTAGAAAGGACCGACTTTTCACAATTACTTTTAGTCTGGTTAGTCAATGGACCAACATTCTCTTTTGCCTATAACGTTCCATTCCCAGAGCAGTAGAAAGGACCGACTTTTCACAATTACTTTTAGTCTGGTTAGTCAATGGACCAACATTCTCTTTTGCCTATAACGTTCCATTCCCAGAGCAGTAGAAAGGACCGACTTTTCACAATTACTTTTAGTCTGGTTAGTCAATGGACCAACATTCTCTTCTGCCTATAACGTTCCATTCCCAGAGCAGTAGAAAGGACCGACTTTTCACAATTACTTTTAGTCTGGTTAGTCAATGGACCAACATTCTCTTTTGCCTATAACGTTCCATTCCCAGAGAAGTAGAAACGACCGACTTTTCACAATTACTTTTAGTCTGGTTAGTCAATGGACCAACATTCTCTTTTGCCTATAACGTTCCATTCCCAGAGCAGTAGAAACGACCGACTTTTCACAATTTCTTTTAGTCTGGTTAGTCAATGGACCAATAATCTCTTTTGCCATAATGTTATAACCCAGTTCCAGAGCCGTAGAAAGGACAAGCTTTTCACAATTATTATTTAGTCTGGGACCGACTGGTTGGAAAAAATTGGGAGGGGTGTGATACCCCACGTCCCCTAATTTGCACCCCTATTCATAAGCTATTACCAAATCTACAGTGATAGAAAATACAATTATCTTGTTCCAAATATATTAGAGAGATCATTTCTGCTTCTCTGAAACTCTGAAATTCTAGAAATGATTCAATTGCCTGGCCCTGTCTTGTGTTAATTGTTTTTCAGAACATGTAAAGTTGCTACCTTCCTGCTTCCCTAGTGCGCTCAGGTTATCTTCTCATAAAGCTTAAATCAGCAAACTAGACCCTGGCTCCTAAAAACATCCTATTAGCCAGTAAGCATCAAGTAAAAAGTGAAGGCACTTACGATCTTTTTTCGACGCAGGTTCGTGATGGTCTGAGCCAATGGTTCATTTTGAATCTGGTCGATGATTGCCTGTTAAGAAAAAAACATAAGAAATAAATTTTGATTCGGTAATATCTGCTATGACGTTTCAGATGAATATTGCAGCTACAATACTTGGCAAAGTAAATTCATTTAATCATAACAGAATTAAATTCATCAACATTATTCAGTATTTGAGTTTGGAAACAGACGCGCTTGTGACGATCGACCCCTTCCCCGCAAGTCAAATGTCACAAGGCATCGTTCCAGTATCTATTAAGAGGGTGGGCCTAGAAACAATATTTGCCATTAAAACATTGATTCAACAAAACGGTTTTATTTAGAACGAAAAAGTTCAAGCAAACAAAAATATGTTAAATCTAAATAAAATATCTTGATGCCTAAGCACAGAAAAGTCCTTTGATATCAAGCCCTCATCACATTCCAAGTTTATTGATTTTGCCAAAATTTTGGTATATTGAAATAATTGCGTGCACAAAAGTGTCTATAATGATTAAAATTACATAATGATCATTGTCCTTAAAGAGACAAAGGGAATTTTTTTATTTTTGATAGGGAACATGGGGACATTGGTTGGTTTTTCTTCAATGGGAATACGGGAACGAGTATCAATCCCTGGGAGACCCTCAAAAGATGCACTTCTCATTTTCAGTTCATCCAAAAAGATACAACCTTGATCAAAGTGAAAACATGATTAATTATGATTACAAAGAGCGGACATTTTATAATAACTTTATATAACAGTTGATATAAATGTATATGTTTGTTCGACCCAAGGTATTCTTATGACAGGAATAGGAACCATAAAAACCACTTGCAAAAACAAGTAGAGGCCAGTTTTGTAGCTTATTTTTTTCAATTAATACCTTACATATATAGGAAAATAAACCCGATAATTGGATAATCCCTAATCTGGTGTAGAGTAAACTATTTTGAAATGTAAATGTAACTATCTAAATTACAATTAATCAAAAATTTTAATAGATATTATAAAAAAAATTTCCCGACCTACTGCCCCACCATAATTCAAGAAACTCCAATACTTGGAATACCCACAGCTCAATTTCGATTGAAACGAGGAGAAGCAAAAAATACCAAGTCGATAAAGAAAGGTGCAGTCATCATTTCTGTTGACAATGAATTACAAATGCACCTATATCTGTTTTTATATTGTATCACCGGCTGAGAAAAAATGCATCCTGCGCAGAAAATAATACGACATAGACACGGCAACAACTTAATCAAAGGCGCCTTCATCTACTTATGACTTAATCAACGCCTTCATCCTAGGCCAGTCAATACAGGATACAGATGAAAATATGGTATGACATTGATGGGCTCACTTCCTGGATAATCTTTTTATAGATGCTTGTACTACGTTACCCTGAGTACCAGACTCACTATTATTTTATATAGTTAGTCTGGTACCCAGGGTAGTACTACGTTAAAGCTAAGCCTGAAGGTCGATCCGCGTTGAACACTTTTGCGGCCCCTATTGCATGGCAATGTTCCTGGTATCTTCGTAATTTGAATCGAAAATTTATATTCTTTAGGCATCATAAAAAACAATTTATTATTAAAATTAGATAGTTAAATGTATGTTGCCTATTCGCACTGAAGTCTTGAAAGAACACTCACGTTGGATGGGGCATCGTGGAAGATTCCTACTTGAAACAAGCCATGATAGGTGTATTCCTGGTAGCAAACTGGAACAACGGTCCATGCCTTGAAACAAATAGATATCGAATTCAGAGATAATCATTGAATAAGAACTCATATATTGCTTTAATTGAAGCCTATTTGTATTCGCTCGGGTCTTTGGCTAAAAATCATACCTTTATTTATTAAGTTCATACTTTTATTTACTCTTTATTGAAAAACCACAATTATTTGAACAACCATAATTGCAACTATACAATCTTTTTTAAAAGAACCAGTAACTTAAATTTCAGGCTGGCTGTTCTAAGTTTTTCAAAACTCTTGTAGACAAGGCTGGATTGTTCTTGATTAGTTTCAAGTTAGTTGTGTGTAAGCAGCGCAATAACTAGCTTTTAGGCTCAAGGGGAATGTTAAGGTCCAATTTGCTAATAAAGTGAAAGAAGGATCCTTTATTTGCCGAAGTTTGAAAATTCATTGACAAAGCACCTCTAGATGGCAAAAAATAATCGAAGCATCTAATTTGAAACTCTAGACACAGGCCCTCCTCCTCCCCCCCCCCCTTGAGCACAATAGCTCACGACGGGCCTGTCTAGACGTAATGGTAAATTTTATTAGAAATAGTTTTTAACTAGCTCCTATCCAGCCCAGTTTGGAAGATTTTAAAGTCTAGAGTCGATTTTATTAGAAGCACATTATCTCTAAAATGCTTAGAATTTTGCACAATGGAATTTTTCAAAATAATATATCCTATTTTTCTTAATAATTTTTCAATCCTATTTTGATTTCTTATTCAATGTAGAAAATTCTTATTGAACGCGCAGCACTAAAACGGTTATTCTAAAACATTGCTATTTGCATTTTCTAAGACCTTTCCTATTTCATGTCTAAAATCGCTAAAACTGTGGGCCATAGTCATGAATGAAAGCTTGAAAATATTGCAACAGATTTTCCTTCGGTCAAAATCTATCTTAGACGAAGTTTTTAGCCACCCCAAGAATGACCACGAGAGCCACCACGTTTCTCAATATTTTCGTGGTCTTCAATAAACCTTTTCACGCAAAGGCCGAGATACAACTTTTTGTTTAGGAGGGGGGGGGGGGGGGCAGCCCTGATAAATCAGTGGAACAGCAGCCGGTATATCGGTCCTTGTTTCCACGTATTTACAATTTTGGCCCTTCAATTTTAAGATACGTTTCCCTAAATTTTTGAAAAATCTTCCTTTAACTTCCCAAAAATGCACGACGACCTTTTTGGTAGAAAATGATAATCCTGTTATGTATGGGCCTGGTCGGCTTCCTTTGCTTGTTGCATAGTTCAAAGCAAGTCTTCTGTAGAGGAAATTTCCAATGTTGTCTACTCTGCTGTTTCTTAACATGGCGATTAACTTATCGTCGACGAAAATCTCTTTGTGGGGTAGATCGGCGCGTTCCAACAAGATCACTACACAGAAGTTATTTATAGTCGATCGAACCATATGTTCAGTGAAATGATGAGATCATTTTAACGGGGCTCTAAAGTCTGGGTGTATGATATCAAGTTCCTTTATTCTACCTTTGGTTATATGCGTCTCATACCGGTTTCATAGTGACAACAAGTCCTCAACAGGTATTTTTTCTGAGCGACAAATTTACTCTTAAAAAAATAGCTAAAATATTAAAGAAATTTAGCTAAAATGCTAAAATCTCCCGTCAGTCAGTTGTTCAGAGTTAACAATTGGCTTTGCAACGTGTTTATCATCGAGAAAACATTGAGATTTAGCCTTACATTTACGATTGGATACGTAATAATAGGTCTATTGTGTAATCCAACCAATGGGAAATTTAATTGGCCAGCAAAGTGCGTCGGGACATAGTGCCTTTAAGCGACAAGCAGGAGTTACGCCCTTGCGTACCCCGTGCACAATTGTTCAATAAATGATCCCAATATTTCGTTCAGATTCGGTTAAAAAATATTAGAGGACAAACAATAAATATAACAAAACATACTTCGTTATGTGATTCTATCATTTTGAAACTGGCCTTACGTGACCAATAAATTAGTGATGGGTGTTCTCTTTTAGAAGAATTAGGCCATAGCCCTTTTTCTGGCAGTATCTGGCCATATATCGCCCAATTTTAAACATATTCAGCTTACTTTGGTATTTCATGATGTTCTTTTAGATGTGCGCGAAAAGTCGAAGATTCTATCAATATATTTTTATGATGTCTACCCTGGGGGCCAGAGGCACAAAAATTCGAGCACATATGTAGAGGTGCTAGGCGCTCCTCCGCCCTTCCTCTCATATCTTCTATTCCCGTGACGTAAATGCGGCATGGCTTTATAAGGTCGAGTTTTTGTTGAACTGAAAACGCTGGATCACATGACTATGCAAAGACCGGCAAAGTGCGCATGTGCATATCACATTTGGCAAACGCTCGTTGCTTTGTTGTGTTGCGTTGGTGCAACTCTGGTGTTCTCGAAGTTATGTTGGACTTGACGATGAAGCTAGTGCAAATGAATCACAAGGAAGTTCTTAATTGATTTGATAAATATTAGCTAGTCAAAAATCTAAGTGGAAGCCGAGAGATTGGGGAGTGATTGTGAGGTGCATCAGGACATGTTGATTGTTGCCTTACAGATTTATGGCGCCAAAATTTGCTTTTCTTGTGACTATTTCTCTGCTGAAAATACAAAACCGACGCTACTGTCAAGTCTTGATTAAAAGGAGCCATGTTTGTATTTGTTTCTCTTCAAATTTGGCGCAATTATCCGTAACTTTGGCGGAAATTGAATTTAACGCGGCATTTAAAACACGTTTAAAGTGACTGCTGCATTCATGCCGCTTTTATGCCGCACTCATTGATTTAATTTCGACGCGACCTAAATGCGTCCGTATAAAATCCTCCTTACAGTATTTAATCTTTCTATCTTGTGCATTGTTACTTCAAGGGTATGCACACACCTAAATACCAACGGCTCTGCATTCATGGCAAAGCAAGTTTACTAAAACTCACTATTCTGGGCCGAAAACCGATTCTGGGAATTAGTTAGTAATTGCACTGTTAGTAATACCGTCAGTGTTGCAGGGTCATAGCACATGCGCATTACTAACAGTATTCCCACAGCTGTTCTGTCTGGGAGATTACAACTCTTGAACTTCCCGCCAGGGTTTGATTTGATTTGATTTTTAATTATTTATACAGGGTAATACATTCAGTAATGAAAAGATAACAACTGATTTACAATGTGTCCTGTCTGAAAACCTAAACTGAACCAAAATTGATATACAAGTTATTCTGGTAAGGTAAAAAATAAAAAAATAAAATGTTTGATGCTGTACAAGAACTCTCACACCCTTTGATTTTTCAAAGATTGTTTCAGCAAACTTTTGAAAGTAGCCAGTAAAGGGGCATTTTTTATTTCAGTGCTTAGTTTATTCCACACATTCACACCTCGATATGAGAAACTACGTTGCCCGTAAGAGGTTGCAAAGCGAGGAATTCTAAGATCCGTGTCTGTATTACGGAGAGACCGTGAACTGTTTTCCGACAATTTTGTAAACACTAGCTGCATATATTCAGGAGCTAATCCCTGGAGAGACTTGTAAACTGCAATTGCAGTTTCAAATTCAATCCTTTCTTTTATAGTCAACCACCCTAGGCTTCCAATCAATGGAAGGGATGATGCATCGTTAGAACTGTTAGTAGTGATTCGTGCGGCACGGTTATGCAGCTTTTGCAGCTTATCGAGCAGGGTTTCTCCACAACAACCCCACAACGAGCAGCAGTTTCTGAAATGCGGTTCAACTATACTTGTATACATGTTTTTTACAATTTCCAATGGGAGATATTTTTCAACATATTTAAGCATGCCCACTGCTCTGGAAATCTTGCCTATAGAAAAAATTAAATGTTCTCTCATCTTAAGTTCTGAATCAATCTGAATGCCCAGATACTTATTTGATCAAATCATATCTAGGTTGTCCTCGTTTATGTGGAGATTGATCACAGGATCTCTATTGTCCATATGATTTTTTCAAATTACTCGAGGAACCAAGGATCATGCTTTGCGTTTTGGCTACATTAAGGGAAAGTTTATTACCTTCCAACCAAATCTGAAGCCTTTAAAGGCCTGAATTAACTGCTTCATTTATCTCGGCTATAGATTTTGATGAGTACGAATAATGAGTACTATTTTTCAATAAGCACGTCAAAACTGAGTGCAGGGCTCTGAAGCCGGATTGATGTGAATAGAACAACTTATTAACCTCGAAGAAGGCGTAAAGTTGGTAAAAGATTGTGTTCTCCACGCAAAAGTGTTCGAGTGATAATGCGCATGTGCAATGACCCTGAAACGGGGGCTAGTGTATGTCTGGAAAACGAGCATGATTCATTTCCCGAACAATTTTGGAATCATTCTTTCAAGAAATCGCTTCATTTCAATGCACATTCATTTCTGCAGAAATGACAGCACTTCCCATTTGCTTGCCTTCCCTTTGAAAGAGTTTTGAAAAGATATCCATGATAAGCAAATTGCCCTAGGAGGCCTGATAAGTAATGAATTCCACTTTAGGAAAGCCATTAATTAAACATAGCTAAAGTATGCCCGAGAAAGTATAATATTTAAAACGAAACGATTGCAAGAAATGACTCAAAGAAATGACTGCAAGAAATGACTGCAAGAAATATTCTGTAATGCATTTTAAGCTTATCTGAAGGGTGTGGTCACAAACATTTTCTGCTCCCTCCTCTCGCTGGGAGCCTCGACTTTCGGCCGTGCCCTTTGCCCTTGGAACTCCGAAACATCTCTGCTGCCCTGATTAGAAATTATGCAAAAACTCTCACCTAAGGCACAGAATATCTATTCTGTGCCTAAGATACAGGGACGGATTTAGCGGTGGGGGGGGGGGGGGGTGGGGGGGGGTTGTTGGGTGTGGTGGGCTACTAAATCATTTGAAAATTAGCTTAAAACATTTGTCTTTTAACTATCCATCGAGGTTAAAACAATGCAAACATCTAGACAAACTGGGACAAACTCGTTTTCAATAGGACAAACACGGCTTTTTGCCTCACTTCGCAGTACGATATCAGCATGGGTTGATAGTCGCTAGAGTATTAATTAAAAATAGAACGAGGCTGCGTTGTGGGTATAAATGCTGTGGTGCCGCCTGGTGTAATTCAGTTTCCAGAGCATTCAGGAAAAGTAACAACAGAAGCACCAAATTGTTGACTCTCAAGCTAAGCGGCAAGAAATGAAGGTCATTATCTCTTTACTATTTGTTATGATCCTGATCAAATGCAGAACTGCATTGCAAGAGAAGCCTACTTCAAGCTGTATGGTTAAGACAGTCATCTACTGGTACAGTCACAGGGAGAATGGCTTACAGTGCAAAGCTCTCATACCGGTTACGGCTTGCCAGGGCCAATGCCTGACAGGCTATGACTTCAATAACGGATACACATGCAATGCATGTCAGCCTAGGAATATTACATTCAAAACAGTGCGTGTTAACTGTTTACAGGATGGTAATACGGTGAAGAGAATGGTCAAACTCTCATCAGCGACGGCTTGTGAATGTATGAAATGGAAGTGCGAAAATACAGATGACGGTATAGAGCCAAGCAACTAGCGGTATATGATGGAGTCAGGCAAGATGTCGAAGAAAGAAAAACATAGCGGAAAGGAGTGGATTTGTACATTCAGCCACGGTAGATAATTATCTTGTATTTTAATGGCAGAAAGTAACTCTATTTGATCGCAAGTAGCGAACATGTTGCATTTACCAACGTTTCTAGAAATAAAACATTTTATTGAAAACCAATAAGCAATGTCGTTTGTACCCGAAGCACTTGAAATCAAAGTAGTCACTCTCATCATATTAGGTTAGGTTAGGAAACTGAGTCGCGCCCACAGGTTCGCTCTACTTCTGCCTTTTCTGTTGCCTATCAACAATCCTGGGATCAGTTTCGATAATCAAGTTAATTTATATCAAGATAGCTCCTCCAGAATTACACTAAAAAATTAAAAACCCATTTTCTCTCGTTTAAAGATTTCAACAAATGGCTCCCTGGGAATTCACTTTTCCTTTCTTTTGAAAATTTTAAATATGTAGACTTGCAAAGAATTACGAAACGCTATTCAAATCTTAAGGAAACCTTTTAATATTCAAACCTAATAAATTTGAATAGACTTTGGTTGGAAATTACCTCTCTAGAAACTTTTCAAGCTCGTTATCGTGATAAGAACTTTTGTTAACTGTTCTAAGCTAATGATGACATTTGCTTTACAAAGTTTAATTTAATTTCACCATTTGGTTTATTTAGAAATAATCAATTTTATTACTTTTTTCCGTTCGATTTAGGCATCATACTCCAAGTCAACTAATTTGTCGTTCTTTCATTCATTAGTTATACTTTACTTTAATTTACTTTACTTTACTTACTAGTTTTCATAAGTTTTACTTTTTCGTTGCTTGTAATTCCTTGTAATTCCTTGCTGGTTTAAATGAAAAATTCTTATAGCTTATGTCTAGAAACAAGCATATTTTTTGCCATTTAATAAACGGGAATTCATAAATAGCGGTTTCAGACGTCGAAATTCTCTATCAAAAAACATTTGTGATGCGCTCAGTTGAAACTGAAATACATCATCAGCACTTGAACACCATTGCTAAGAATGAAATGAACCCCCTTTCGTAACAATATTTTCAGTCCTCATTCTCATCTCCAGTTAGGGGCCTGTGAATTGAAGAAAACCTGCACACAGGCTTGTTGGCATGTTCAGTACAAGAATTCCTCTCCCCTTTCACCTCCCCACCCTTTACCCTGCCCCTACCACTCTCCACTGTCCCTCTCCCCGCTCCTCCTCTCCCATTTCCTTCTCACTCTATCTTCCTCACCTTCTCCCCTATCTTCATCGCCCCCTCCTCTCCTCCTCACCCTCCTCCCATTTATTTCCTCCCTTCTCACCTTGTTATAAATTATGGATATGTTTTAAGAATAGCAAGTTCATCAATGTTGAAGCAGATCGATGTAAAAAGTTTCACAATCGTCTGTCTAGCACTTTAGCTGTCTTAGAAATCATAAAACTGATTAAAGAATCTGTAGCTTCAATAACGAATATATCTATCTATCGAATTTATCTAAAATTAACCATTTAAATTGGCTAAAAGCTTTCTCGTCTGACACTCCTCAGAGCATAAAACGTCAGCATAAGGGTCTGAAAGAACACGATGAAAAATATATACCAAGTTGTGGATCGAAAAAAGACCAATCAGAAAAATGCAAGCTAGTATAGTTGACTATAGTTGACCAATCAGTGTCGCGTGCTTAGAGAAAAATTACCATTGGAGCCCAAGAGACCAAATGAACTCCTTCTGTCTACACAATGGCGGCATTTTCGTTAGTTCTGTACCGCCAAAAAACTGTTCACTATTTATATTATTGTAATTGTTGGTTATGATTTTGTACTTTAATTCCAACGTTATATCTAAGACAGTCGTCTATTTGAACACATTGAGATATCTGCGTGTCGTGGCCAGAACTAAGGCTGATATAATGCCTCAATCCCCTCCGTATTCTCGTGATAAATAAAGTGGAGAGGTCGAAGACCAATACGAAGCATTTTAATTCCACAAATATCACGAAACCCGGTGATGTCCATGAGATCTGATGTGACAAGGCACTTCACCACGACTGAATAAAATTCCAACCAATATCCCAGTCACGGCACAACTAAAATTGTTGCTTGTGTCAGAAAAAGTAAAGACTAATAGAAGCGCCATCCTAAAATTTATGAAGGGTGAACCTTCTTTGAGACTTTTCAGGCGAAGCTTTCGTGCTCACACACAACTCATCAGCTTTATGACAAAGGCCCTCTACCACAAAACAATCTATGACAAATTTATAGCCATAAAAGTAGGCTAGCTCACTTAGTAAAATATTTGCTTGCGAGAGGAGTGGTGGGTGCCAATCATATCCGAAAATGTAAAAAGGGTCAAGTACCATTCACAGCACTGCAGTTAGCTAGCATTATTAATATCTAAGAAAATAGCATATTTGCTTGCTTGTCAAAGCTTGGAGAATGATCACAAATAAAAAGGCGAAAGTACCAAAACAGGTTGGGCATTTGGACTAGTCTAAAACAGTTTTCCGGTCAGTTCATTCCACCTTTGGTACAACATGGCACTGAGCGCGCAATGGGCACAGAACAACTAGAATCTCTACTTTGATTGCAAAAAAAATTTGTTGCTCTTTTTAGGTGAACTACCTTTCATACGACGCCCCTCTGTCGTGCCTCGTTGGTGATTATGTTTGCAAAACTTTGTCCGTTTTAAACTGGCAACAGAGAGGAAATATTGCTAAAGATATGCAAATATTTAAAAAGAAAAATAATTAGGTCATTAAGCTACAAAGCACAGCAGCCGGAGCCAGGGGGCTCGGGGGCACAGGCCCCCCTGTTTGCAAAAAGTATAAACAAGTGCCCCTTTCTGATAAATAAATTGCGTGTATTTTTTCAATGCCAGATATTCTGCCTTAAGAAACTAGGTGAAACAACATAACTCTGGGCATTGTTGGAGGACCATTTACTGAATTTCCTTAAATTTTTACTTGGTCTTGATGCAAAAAACTTAAGTTCCTGTGATGAATGATATTAACTGCGAAGGAGACTGCCATTTTCGCGAGAAAATTCCCTTGGCATGTCTTCAGCAACAAACGCATTAGTGAAGCTATACAATTAATTATGATCAAGAGTGCATGGTCCCTAAATGGAGAAAATAACCATGTCTACTTTCAGCGAAGATAGCTCTCACCATATCCACCATGTGTCATTATTTTTATCAATTTCTAAATTACAATGAAATCTGTACCATTTTTGGCACTTACTAATATTTCAGAAAAATAAATTCGTGCCCTTTTCATTCGTTTGACCCCCCCGTTCAAGCCTGCGTCCGGCGGCCCTGCAAAGTGATGTAGAAATAACAAATACGCTACCTGAGCTCCGAAGGAGAACTCAATACGACCTTCTTTTTGTGAAAGCACCACTTCATAAAGGTGGACGATTACGACAAGATTGCTATGAGACCTTCTTCTTGGAAATACCTGCAAGAAATTCAGTATCATATTAGGTAGCATAGGCGATGTCCTAGGCAGAGGGTCAGTGGTTTTGGCCAACAAAAAGCTCGTGGGTGGAAAAATGATGTCTATCGAAAATTTTTAGGGAAATTCAACGGAAATAAGGATCTGGCTGATAGCCCTTTTTAAATAACACTTAACAGATTAGCCGTGTAAAGACATATCACCTCATAGAAATATTTTGCTTTGAGTGTTTCGTCGAATAAAGTTTTGAAGGAAGATCCTCTCCCTTTAAGGTACAGTATTTCAGGCCCATCAGTGAAAACATAACCCATAAAACTAAAGACCTTCGTGAACCGAGTCATAACCCCACTTCTTCAGAAAATGTATAGCTGGCAATATAGGTTACAGGGCAATAAAGGTTAAACCCTAGGTGCCAACTGCGGATGGAATCGGCAAAACGGAGACAATATATTGAATAAGCAATTATGCGTCAACAAAACCTAAGAAGACAAGTCCGGTGTTGTAGAACATTTCTGCAGCCCAGCTCATACCATCAACGACCTTGCCATTACACCATTACTTCAACTTCAACGACAAACGAGAGAGTGTTCGTCGAGCTAAAGAGCAATATCTCATTGGCTTGGCAAACACCCTCATCCCCAACGACATGAACAGAACCACTGCCGGTAACTTTGTTATGTTATGTTATGTTATGTTATGTCATGTCATGTCATGTCATGTCATGTCATGTCATGTCATGTCATGTCATGTCATGTCATGTCATGTCATGTCATGTCATGTCATGTCATGTCATGTTATGTCATGTCATGTCATGTCATGTCATGTCATGTCATGTCATGTCATGTCATGTCATGTTATGTTATGTTGTGTGTTGTGTTGTTATGCTTGTATGTTTTTACAACGTTGTCATAGAGGCGTACAAATCGGTCTGCTGTGCAAAGTAACCTTTACTGATCATTTCATTTAATATTATTAAAAATCTAAGTAAAGAAAGTATTGTGAAGAATGGAAACTTGTCAAAAAAAACAAACTCTCTAACTGGTGCCAAATGGTAGCTTGATAACAGGGGGAAAGATTGTTCGAGAAAGATGATTTTGCCCACTGAAAGCTACTTGGTTTGAGGACAATGTACAGCAGGGTTACCTTGATTCCATCCGCCCACTTTGGGAGTCGAATGCATCCATCCAAATCGAGCTTTGTTACAAGGACCGCCGGGTCATCGAGTTTACCCTGAAATAACCAGATATGCGTGCTTTACATCGAATGCAAGCGTTAGAACATAAAATCGAAAATAATGCAGTGGTCTATCACATGGGGATCAGATGGAAGACCCCAGAAACAATTTGGCCTTGTTAACTATTTCAAAATGAAATTATGGCCTAATCCTATTATGGCCTAATCCTATAGTCTTTAGGTGGTGCATTTCATAAAATGAGCTTCAAATCAGGACAAATATTCCTGGTCATCTAAACCTTGTGTTGGAAATATGGCCCAATACCAGTGAATTAATAGGAAGACAATCTTTACGCTATATAGAACAAACGAGGCTGAAGATAGGGAAACAATTTACTATGAATATATCTACTTGATCTAAAAAATTTATATAAAAATAACATCCAAAACATTTTCTAAAGAATCGGGGCACTTGTGAAAAATGTGCTTTCCCTGAAATTTTCCCTGAAAGAGGCTAAAATGACATCATTGATGGAATCGCTTCATTTGGTCGAATTTAGAACCCAGCTTACTTTAACTGCAAATTTTAAGTGCCTTGGAAACGAAGAGTAGAACATTTGTAAGGAAAAGTAAGGAAAAATTTTAATTTTTCATAGACAACTTTCCTAAGTGAAATTGATCATTACACAACTTGTATTTGGTTGCCTTGTGTAGAACTGTGACTTGCGTGATTAAACCGAAGGAGTCCATCAGTTCTCCGGACATTACCCCAAAAGCTTTGAAACCTACTTAGAAAACTAATGAAAACTAGGCAGGGTTTGATTTTAGTTCACTTATACAAGATTACTATAGAAGAAGACTCGCTTGCTCGTAAATCATAGATGATCCAGCTTAAACAGTGGAACCAATTGAAATTTTTTAAGACATCACCTTGTAAAATGATGCTGGCGGTGAAAAACAGTATGTCGCAAAAGTGAATCCAGACCAAGGAAGGTTTTGGGCGCTGTCCACTGAAATGACGACACCATGTTTGCTGCTGTATTTTGCTAAATACATCAAATCCGCCTTTGGACAGTTCTGGCAATTCTTCAGCAAATTCTAAAAAGGCAAGGTAATTGGATACCAATTCGAAAAAGATAATTTTAGTTAAGAGTTGATTTGCTAGACAAAGGGAGAACGAGGCACCGAACGAACTCGAGAACAGTTGAACGTAAGGAAGGTAGAATCGTGCTTTAAAGGTCTATTATTCTGTATAAATTTCCTCTGTTAATTGTGTTTAAAGCTTTTGAATCTTGTAGAACATAAATTTTCTTCGTTTGCTACATGATGATCAGGTTGTAGTGATTCCATTCATTCTAATTTTTCCTCACCTATCGCCATCCATTTTTACTTTGTTTATTTTACTTACAGTAATTTCTTCACATCACTACCTCATCACTACACTCTACGAACATATCACTATGTCAACATTTCCTCTCTTTTGTTTAGGCCCTCATCAACCCTACACATCTACCTAAATCTCAATTCATAAACTATTCACACTTAGCCTAGCCCTTCCTATCCTTTGTTTTCCTTACAGCATTAGTGTTAATTCATTTCTGTATATAAGCATGTTAATTTTTATGTAAGTTCAGTTCAGTTCAGTTCACATCAGAGTTACACAGGCAACACACTGTCTCTCTCACTGGCTCCGTGTTCTCTGCACGTAAAATAAGACACGCTGGGTTTGGAAATGACACGTTAGTCAAGGATGATTTTATTAGTGAACGAATCGCACATAACAAGGCTCAATTCTCGTTACACTAAAAATGGTGACCACGACGTGACCCGACATGGCTAAAAACAACATCCTTCGACGTTATCTTCAACCCAACTCAACTCAACCGAATTTGTCAGCTACATTCACTCACTCAACTGGATTGTCACACACTCGAGCTCAGCTAGACAACACAGCACTCGGACACAAGTGTCTCTATTCGCCTCACATCCTCGGCAGCTCCACGGCACTCTCCGGTGCTCGGCAGTGTCTCACGCTCTTCGCAGGTTCTTGGTTACCCTACTCATAAAACCTTGGCAAAACAACTCTACCGGTTCTTGGTCACCCAACTCACAAAACCTTGGCAATTCACTCATCGCAGGTTCCTGGTAAACCTATTCACAAAACCTTGCACAACATCGGACTACGTCGCAAATTCAAGGCAATTTTCATCGCTGCTTGCAGACCCTCGCAAGGTACACGAAAGCAAGTCAACGAACAAATAGACATTCGAACATTTAAGTAATTTTTATACGTATATTTCTATCGTCTTAATTATTCGCAGCTAACCACATACTAACACTTATCGAATCCTTCGCTATCGCTTGCATTCTAGGGGGGGAGCTATGTAGTGATTCCATTCATTCTAATTTTTCCTCACCTATCGCCATCCATTTTTACTTTGTTTATTTTACTTACAGTAATTTCTTCACATCACTACCTCATCACTACACTCTACGAACATATCACTATGTCAACATTTCCTCTCTTTTGTTTAGGCCCAGTGGTGGCGCCAGAGGGGGGGCAGGGGGGGCTACAGCCCCCCCGTCGGAGGAGGCTAGCCCCTCCGTCGGAAGATAAATTATGCTTGAATTTTTTTTGTCGGAGCGAATTTTTTAAGTTTTGGCGGAAATAGAAATTTCTAAAAGGACTGTTATCAGAATTCAGGAAGCTCATCCCAAAACAACTCATCGACACATCAATTTCATGGTAAATAATAATCTGTTATAAGAAGTTTGAATTGGTTGTTTAGATGTTCAGTACCAGGTGTTTTCCGCATGCTGTTAAATTTGATCTTATGTTATGGATAGTGCAGTTCGTCCAAATCTTGCTTGCTATAACCAACCTACAACATCGGAATATTTTTGTGCGATAGCGATATGGCAACAAATGTTACCCGTTTCAGTGTTAGATGTAGTATATGTAATGACGTATTTAACAATGATTACGCTGCCCGCCACACGAAGTCCAAGCACAAAGATTTGGCTGCAATGGGAAGGACTGCTCCTACGACGGCAATAGTTGAAACGGACTCGCAGCAGAGAAAAATAAAAACATTTTTTCAATCAAAAGGCGGTACTTTTCCAAAGAAACGAAAGGTTAATGATTTTGAAACTGAAAGAACAACAGAAGACCCCGAAGAACAAGAAGTTGAAATTTCGAAAATTCAAGACGAAGAGCAAATCGAACGTGGTATGTTATACGTTTTAATATTTAAGTCCTTTTAATACGATTAATACGTGCCCTTAATAATATGTCAAAAAACGTAGTAAAAAACACGATTACACCATTTTGATAGCATTTTTAGCCAATCTAATGGGTGTAGCCACCAAAATTTTCCCGGGGGAGTACCCCCGGACCCCCCGAATTTTCGGCTCGCAACGCTCGCCTTCGGTCTCCAGTACCCTTACAATTCCTTGTCGCCCCCTAGCCCTATCGTTCTCTAAAAAAATTAGCCCCTCCGTCGGAAGTGCTAGCCCCTTTGTCGGAGGAAACCTAGCGCCACCACTGTTTAGGCCCTCATCAACCCTACACATCTACCTAAATCTCAATTCATAAACTATTCACACTTAGCCTAGCCCTTCCTATCCTTTGTTTTCCTTACAGCATTAGTGTTAATTCATTTCTGTATATAAGCATGTTAATTTTTATGTAAGTTCAGTTCAGTTCAGTTCACATCAGAGTTACACAGGCAACACACTGTCTCTCTCACTGGCTCCGTGTTCTCTGCACGTAAAATAAGACACGCTGGGTTTGGAAATGACACGTTAGTCAAGGATGATTTTATTAGTGAACGAATCGCACATAACAAGGCTCAATTCTCGTTACACTAAAAGGTAAATCTATTTTTAAGACTATCCAGAAAAACCCTAAAGTGGATCCCAAAGATGCTTCTAACCGTTAGGAGATGTTTACAGTCTTGTTGGCGTGTCTCCGCAAACGAAATTCAGAAATATTAGAAACTTAAACACATTAAAAAGTTTCAAAAAAGGACAGGATATTTCAGGAAAGGAAATATTCAAAACTGCGAGGTACAAAACATCGGAATTTACGCCGTGTTGAGCAATCACTATTTCAAAAAGTCACGATATGTCTGCTTACTGTCGAAACACTCTTGCTAAAGCAAAGAGCCTAAATGTCGCTTCATAATGGACCTGAATAAAATAACTCGTAGTTCACCGTCAGAATATTCAAATAACCGCTTGTTCTTTGAATTTTGTCGTCGAACTTTGTTGATAACGATGGCACGTTTCCAAAAACTTATTAGAAGCTTGTTTGAAAATTTCTAAAGAAAGATAGTAAATATACAAGATACCAAACACCAGGCGATAAACAAAAAATGATCGGAATGGACATCTTGCGGAGCTAGCCTGGTTGAAATTAGCTTGACCATTCTATTGCGTTTTTGCTGGAAGGTTTTTACTGTCTATTCTGTCAACGTCAGCGATATAAAAATCATTGAAAATAACCTTATTCTTTAATTTCAATAGTTGGAATGTAGGCACAATAAATCGATTGGGGAAACCTCGATGTTATTGGAGAAAGTCTATGTTACTGGGAAAACAACACGATTAAAAAAGCTAATGCCATTGGGAAACCTCAGTGGTAAAAGGAAGCTCGACGACACTGGGAAAAGAAAATTCGGGCAGCTCGATGATATACAGAGGAAACTTAATCAGATAATCATGGAAGGGAAGCACAGTTATATAAGGGAATGTCAATGATATTGGGTAACCTCAATAATATGTTGGGAAAACAATGATAATGGCAAGACCCAATAAGATTGGGGAAACTCAATCCTAATTGTATTCGGAGAATTCAAATAATAGGGATACTTGGTGATATCGGGGAAAATCCATGATAGTGGTAAGGCATTTTCAGGCATTGCAAAGATATTACAACGATTGCACTATTGGGCTGCGTGTCAAACTAGAAGACAGAAACTGCAAATAATTAAAAGCCGCACCTTTTACTAAATCTACTAAGACAGACATGGAGCTTAAAATATTTTTCTCACATCATTGAGAAGACATTGCTTCGATCAAGACTATCCAGGTCATATTCTCTGGTCATATTCTAAATTATTCTATAGCATGGTGAATAATTGAATATTGCAAGAAAAGATAACGAGTCAAACAGTTTAGCGGCAAAATAAGGCCCCTGGCAGGTTATCATTCAATAGATTTTAACTTATTATTCAAGAAAAAAAAGCAAAAGAAATTCCTTTTTGAATGATAAGATTAAAAATAAATCTTCACTACATTTTCTTGCAGCAGATCTCTCCCAGTTTTGAATCTCCAAAAGGACAATAAATCGCTAACTGGTATTTCAATATCAGCGCATCTTCCCCCTTATCTGCAGTTTTTTGATATTTCAAAATTGGAAATAATTTTATATCATCACGCCTAGATTTCAAGACACCCATGTTGAACTAGCCAATCACATAAATGAATAAAAGTAGACGCTAGGTAAGGTGTCAATGCCACAGGGTTACAAAGTTATATGACCCAGTCCTCCTAGCAGCAACAAATCTTGCCCATAATTATAAACTAAAGTTTAAAACTTAACAACCCAAACTCAATTTTCACAGTTTGCCACATTTTGAAGAAAAATGCACTAGCCACAGCAAAGAAGCTAGTACCCAATTGCTGCTTGTTCTGGGAAAAAGATCGACGAGTTAGTGTCATGAAAACAGGGACTGCTTCGGAAGATGGGATTAGCGGAATATGATTTGTAGCCTTTTACTTAAAGCTAGAAAAATTTTTTTTTAGATGCATGTTCCAACTGCTTACTCTGCAAAACTAACAGACGTATTTTGTACGGAAACTGCTGGAACTCACACCATTATTACCCTGGGTACCAGTAATATTCTTATATAGTGAGTCTGGTACCCAGGGTACACCACTATCTACCTGAACTTTAATAATGAAGAAACTCAACATATCATCTATTAATTGGAAAGTAATGTTTTGTCAACAATTCTGAGATTATTTACTTGTTTAAGTTTTGAGATTATGCCCTGACTTTCAATAAAACTGTTTGTTATGAATGCTTACCTTTATGCGTGTTCTTTATAAAGTATTTTATAAAAAAACTGATTGGAATCTGTTGGTCAGGTATCTTGAATCCTGAGGTGATGGTAACAAGTGGATTCTATAAAGATCAATCATAGTTTTGTTTGTATCTGGATTATGTACTGATAAAAAGAAAACAAGGAACTAATTTTACCTTAACAGTGTCAATAAGACCTTGGTCATTCTTGGATTTCCTCCCTTCAGTAATAAGCTTCATTGCTTCTCTTGTTGATGTTGATTTACGATTCAAGTAAGCGTGCAACAATCGGCATTCAGAAAGGCTAGGCTTGCATTCTTTTGACTCATACACTCCTACAAATAGATTAGGAAAAACTACAACGCTACACTTAATTTTACACTATCATTTCTCTACCCTGATTCCAACTTCCTCTAAATTCAAGCATCAGAGATTGTGGGCCCTGAAAAGACAGGTAAACGTCAACACGCGTGACTCATTTGTAATGACTGTCAATAGTTATCCTTGAAAATGTCTACAAAGCAAATGGCTAGCCCTGGCCATTTGCTTTGTAGATAGCTTCCGAAATATGATTTCAAGTTTAAAGGATGAAAATTCATAAACCAAGAAGGTATTGAAACACGGACAATAGGCTGCAGATCAGTATAATTCATATTCTATCACAAACTACAAAAATTAATTTTCTTAGATGATGGCATGCTGCACATACCACATGCTGCACATACCAATTGCCATCGATAAAACGTCGGTTGTCATCAACCAGCAATGATACTAACAGGAAAATAGAAAAATAAAAAAAAAAAAAATACCGTCGGTGTATTTTGGCTTTGGTACAAGTAGCCCTTCACTTTCCCACTGGTCCTCCAGAAAATCACTGGCCTACGGGGTACGAGGAAGAATGATTCATTTGTTGATAACAAGCAAATTCGGTGGACATATGCATAGGTAAGATAAAGGGAGTCCAAAATTTATCACTGCAGTACTGCAAATAGGATGTGAGGCAGTGCGCTGATTAGGTGACATGAGACAAAAAGGAAAGAGGAGAGGCTAGTAAAAAGACAAGGCTGTTTCTATATCATTTGATTTTAAAATTAAAAATAATCTGAAACTACAGTATGTATGGATGCAAATGCTAGGTAGAAAAGGTAGAAAGGTAGAAAAAGCAGGAACAATTTTATCAACAATCACGTACTTAAAGGCAATAGACAGATGCAAAATTGCTTAAGCTATCTGTTAGTCAACATTCTTGACTAAAAGATGGCTTAAGCCCCTTTAGTATCTGTCGACTGCCTTTAACATGGCATAAAAATGACCAGCTGGTAAAGCATAAAGATTACTCAACATACCTGCTTTGGTTGTCCATCTGGATAGGATGGGGCTCGGAGGATCCTGACTAATAAAGAGGCACACGGAACAGGACTATGAAAGCAAGATAAAATCTTTCTTTACGAAACGAAAGGCTAGGCAAATGATTAGGCATCATTCTAAATAATGAACATCAGCTCTTTATATATTGTTCAACGTCTTGCATTTAAAAAATTTTGCCCTCTCGTTTCTACTGTGACATTTTGCAGTTACTTACTATACAAACTATCATGATCTGACGAAACACTATAGCCCTGTTCACAAGTATGCAAATATATTTTCTAAATACCCATGTCAAGTGTCACAGAGATAAGAATTAGTATCGAAGTTTCTTCATAAGTATCGAAAGTATCACAATAAGTATCAAAAGTACTACAATGAGTATCACAATTATCACAACGAGTATCACATGTAACCAAATAAGTATCAAAAGTATCACAGTGAGTATCATAACAATCACAGTTAGCATCACATGTTTCAAAATGAGTATCACAAGTATCACAATGAGTATCACAATTATCACAACGAGTATCACATGTAACCAATAAGTATCAAAAGTATCACAGTGAGTATCACAACAATCACAGTTAGCATCACATGTTTCAAAATTAGCATCACAGTTAGCATCACAGTGAGTAACACATGTAACCAAATAAGAATCACAAGAACCACAGTTAGTATCACAACAATCACAGTTAGCATCACATGTATCAAAATGAGTATCACAAGTATTATAATGAGTATGTTAAGTATCACAGTGAGTAACACATTTAACAAAATAAGTATCACAGGCATCACGGTGAGTATCACAAGAACGACAGTTAGTATCACATGTCTCAAAATGAGTATCACAAGAATGACAGTTAGAATAACATGTTTCAAAATGAGTATAAAAAGTATTACAATGAGTATGACAAGTATCACAGTGAGTAACACATGTAACCCAATAAGAATCACAAGAACCACAGTTAGTATCACAACAATCACAGTTAGCATCACATGTATCAAAATGAGTATCACAAGTATCATAATGAGTATGACAAGTATATCAGTGAGTAACACATGTAACCAAATAAGTATCACAGGCATCACAGTGAGTATCATATGTTTCAAAATGAGTATCGCAAGAATCACAGTTAGAATAACATGTTTCAAAATAAGTATCAAAAGTATTACAATGAGTATGACAAGTATCACAACGAGTATCACATGTAACCAAATAAGTATCACAAGAACCACAGTTAATATCACATGTTTCAAAATCAGTATCACAAGAATCACAGTTAGTATAACAAGTAACATAATTGGTATCACAAGTACAATAGTTGATATTACAGCGAGTATAATATGTGTCACAATGAATATGACAAGTATCACAATGAAAATCACAATTAGCACAATGAGAAACACAAGTATACGGTTTTCATTGTCTATTAACAGAATTAAAATAAAGCTTTCTTGACAACATAATGCTCTCAGAAAATACAAGCATGCTTTCGTATGTGGAAAAGAACGGTTCCAAGTTAAAATTCTTTGATGCTTTTGTTGTTGTTACCCGTTGTTGTTGCCTACAACTGTAAGCGTGAAACTGTGGAGCTGCAACCAAAGCGTGTACAGCTTTGCTTGTACGGCATCCAACAAAACATAACAGAACTGCAAAGAGTATATTCATTAATTCTACCAACAAAAGAGATACTATCATTTTTCCTACTGTCTTTGCCTCAGACCATAGAGCGAAAAGGTGTCCACAAACCTTTCTACAGCACTCCTTGTAAGTCGGTCTACATTTTTCAGTTCATTATAAAGCTTCAATTGGAAACATCCTTCGTTTAAGCAAAACTGGAATGAAAGTAACATGTCAATATTTCCCAAATTCGCGGCTATATAGGATGAATAAAGATAAATATGCAAGGTCCAAGATATCGGGGGGAGGGGCGGGGGGGGGGCCTTGGCTCCCTTAAAAAACTTAAGTAAAATTTGCAAAATACTTACTTATCAGGGCTGCACCCCCACCCCAAAGCAAAAGTTGTATCTCGGTCTTTGTAAATAGGATATGTTTAGCCATTCTTGAAGACTTTGATGAAATACTAATAAAGCTTCATGAACCAACGACAATCCTTGCTAGTGTCCAATTAATGTGTTATTGCCTTCCCAATATGCTAGTTTCATCCCGTTCCACAATATTCTACTCTAATAGCGCCCGTCCACGTTACTATGGCAGTCTTTTTACTATGAAACGGTAAAAAACATATACCTTCGAATCTAGGTCATCAGCTCTGTCAAAAGTCCCGGGTTTTACAAACACAGGTAAAACAGCCATGCCAAGTCGAAAAGCCTGCCTGGTGACTGAGTCTATTATAAACACCTGGAAAGAATAATAAAAATCAATTGCTCCAAATTCACAATAATTCTTCTATAATCTAATATATAATATACTATACTATGAATATGTTAAGCAATGAATTACTGCAAACATGATATCCTAATAGTAGTGTATAAGGAACACCGCAACGCGACGAGAATAAACAACGACTTACAAGGAACGTTGTGGACACCTTTTCGCTCTATGGTCTGAGGCAAAGACAGTAGGAAAAATGATAGTCTCTCTTTATTTGGTAGAATTAATGAAGATACTATTTGCAGGTCTGTTATGCTTTGTTGGATGCCGTATAAGCAAAGCTGTACATGCTTTGGTTGTTGTTTATTCTCGTCGCCTTGCGGTGTTCCTTATACACTACTATTTTATCGTTTTTTCGTCGCAAGATTTCCTCCGGAGTCCGTCGAGCAGCCTGCTATCGTGGCCTCTCCTTTATTCGCACATGATATCCTAAGATTGCCCAGGTTTTGACTTTTTCACATGCTCATGACAAAAAGGTCCTCAAAGTTTGATTGAATAAACTTTCATATACACAGTCAGTTGAGCATATACACATCATATTGGCGGAGGAAAAATGATGGAAAAATGATATGAAGCGCCGCAGAAAAATGACATGAAGCAATATTTAAAAAAAGAGCAACACAAGACGCACACCCTCTTTAAAATGTGTTTTTACGGTGAATTTTACAATATCAATATAGCAGTAAATCAAATAACCTTAAAGAGCATCGTTGTTGTCGGCGGATAACTAAACTCCCTGAATTCAAACTTCAGATCGAATGTTGGATTGTACGGATTCAAATCAAGATCAATATCCGTATCATATTCATCTTTGAGCTTCGTGTACTTGTTATCATACAGCTGGCATAAGACCTGTTGAGCAAATGAGATGAAAGAATGCAACATTACTTACTTTGGTTTACTATAAACAAGGTCCTATGGAATCAACGATATTCCAGACATATTAATGCAATGGATAGGGTGGATGGAGTCAGTCTTGAGAGCTACATAAGTAAAGAACAAGTTTTATCTTACGAAACAAGGAAGAAGTCTTTTAAAAGCGGTGCAATGGCTGTCGCTTAAATAAAACTATACAAATACGAGCCCAGGCTCACTCCGGGAAAAATTAACCCTAATTCACCCCGGGTTAAACCAACCAGGGCTTGTTCTGGGTGAAACTAATCTAGGTTAGATTTGGCCTAACTATGGTGTAAGCGTTGATATGGGGTTGCTTATTTCCTTCTTGTTTTGACCCAAGTTTATATTTAGACTCCATTTTTACAAAATAAGTCAGGACGAACTCATCAGAAGATGCAGGTAAGTTTAAGCTGGGTAAAACCCGTAATAGTTGCGTTGCCAAATCTAGCCTGGGACACTTTAACCGGGAACACAAGCTCCGATTGTGTGTAGTGTAAATACAGCTTATCAAAAGTTAAAATATGCTCATCAATTAGTTAGCCAAAAACCGCTCTTTAGATTTCTTCTTTACAGAGTCTTTAAAATTAGGATATTAGATAGTAGATAGTATTGTAGTATCGTTAGTAGATGGTATTGGAAAATCAAGGCAGTAGAGTTCTGAACAAAAGCAAGTAAAAGATCGAAAGACAGATTGAATCAAGTTGTTAAGGTAGAAAAAGAAACATAATATGTTGCAAAGTTTGAAGACACTTTGAGGTTATTCAACTGAAAGTCTAAAACTAAATTCAAGGGCTATTTAAATACTCTGTAATTCATTTTTGTAATCCTATCTATTATTAGCTATATTCTAATTGTAATAGCTTTTTTAATCTTCAAATACATGGGTCAACTTGAGGAATGTGAAATTAATTGACAGATATCACATGGCCAGATCGAAAATGCGAAAATCACAGAACACGCAGAACACACAGAACACGCAGAACACGCAGAACACGCAGAACTCACAGAAAACGCGGAACAACATACATGCAAAATGCGCATTTTTGCTTTGAGCTCGTAGAATACAAATATAACTATTTTGCTTTGAGCTGGTATATAAAAACACAGCTTAAAGCCAAATACGTGATTTTTTTCATGGCCTCTAAAGTGCTCTATGATGCCATCCTACAAAATTTAGATAAGGAGTATCTAGAATACCTATCAAGCTAGGAGACATAAAAATTAGGACCACATAAGTCTTATCAATTCTGACGTATGGCGGGATAGTAGGCTGGGAAAATACGTGAACAGATAGATAATAGAAATAGAAAATGAAAAACAACACTCTTGACTGAACAATGAAAATATGTCTAGCAAAAGCTTGAAGTACTGTTTTAAAAAAGGAGGAAAAACAAGAGATAGCCAGTCAGTAGACAAAAAATTACAGCCACTTAGGCTTCAATGATGTCCACATACTGCACGATTATAGGCAAGGCAAAAAATTAAAAACATTTGAAATCAATAATTAAAGGTGGATTTCCAGTTCACGGTATGGATGGAACGAGGAAAACGGTAGTGCTAAAGGTTATGCTAAACAATTTAATGATGCTTTTTCTTCTGAAAGAAGGTTGAAAAGTTAAAAGAGAATGAAATACGAGAAGCGCATATGGATGAAACACGTTTCAAGAAAAAATAAAAAAGGAAAGTTCCACCCAGGGAACTATGAAATTAAAAGTGTTCCTATGTAAAATACAAGAGGGGCCTTCTCGAAAAATTTCTCAAATAGGATAGCAAAAAGTAGAAAAGGGTTCATTATTTGCATTTACAAGGGGGGGGGGGGCTAAAACTTGCCTGAATCCACCGATAATAGGTAATACTATTTCAAGTATTTCAGAATGATTGTAACTTATTTCGAAGCACAGCTTGTTGCTAATGTTATGACTTAATAATTGATTGAGAGGTCAAACGGTACGAATTCTGTGGCAAAAAGTTGCCTTGATATGACTTCAACTTTCAAAAACGGAAAGCGGTACGGTAAGCGTACCGTTCTTGAATGCCAAAATATCTTCTGTGCATGCTTGTACCGTATACCGTTTTCCATTTTCCGTTCATAGCGTGAAGGAGAAATCTGCCTTAAAGCCCACACTGACTACCTCGCGTCAGCAGTAAATTACTTAGTATTTGCCCCACCAGCGGATCATTAAATTCGTGGTTTCAAAATATATGTGTCGTTCCTTCGCAGCCCAGATCAATTCACATTTTGGAACGGAACGATGTGGAAGGGTTCGCAACAGTTTCCATGTGAACTAGCCCTAGTTTCTTGAAACACGATAACTTTATAAACAATCACCTTGACAAAGGCACAATTGTCAGGGAAAAATCTTCCAGCATCTATATAAAGCTCAAATCCATCACCATTCTTGTAGGGTGTTTCTAGAGGCTCTTTCCGTTCGCTAGGTATCCATGCACTCTAAAAATGTATCAGAAAAGATTCATGTTACAACTGTTTTTCAATCAATGCATAAATTACTTGTAACAATCATAAAATGAATTCATATTCAGTCAAGAGGTGTGGAAAATGCTTTAAATTAGGACATTTACTAAAGCTTCAATTTTAAATGCTGAGCTCTAGGACAATTCAAGACGGTGGTTAACTTTGCTATCAATAAGAAATTTTTCTGATGCAGCTTGAAAAGTAAAATTTGTATGATTTTCTTGCTGTGTTTTTGCTAACTAATAGGCATATAAATTCTTAACACGACGATATAATACCTTCTAACGATTCAAACCTTTTGATTAGCATTTCAAGACTTTTCGTCTATCGACGTCACAAAAATCCTGAATAGATTTTTCAAACATCCTGGGCGGAAAAACTCTTTCACATAACGAAAGCTGCAATCTTTGAATAGATTTTTTGGGTCCAAAATAAGATTGGGTGTGACTACCAGGGTAGTGTGGGGATGTAACACCCCAATTTTTGACAGTTGCTCAGTAGTTGGTATAAAATGGTCAAACAGACAAAGCAGAATTTAATAAGGGGCCAAAGATTGGCTGAAACGATATAAAATTAGGATATCGAGCCTCTAACAAAATCCTGGCCAGTCTCCTTAAAATTGCAGTCTCAGAAAAGTTTATGAAATAGTCGGTTGAATCGAAAGAAAAGATTAGTATATCGTGCCACAGAATAGAAATGACATTCCTATTCTGTGATCGTGCCTCTAACAAAATCCTGGCCAGTTTTCTTAACGTCTTATAAAGTTAACGAAAGTAATATACAGTAGTTTAAATCGAAAGAACAAAAAAGCCAAATGGGTACCCTAAAACTGTATGTAGTTCTTTAACTTAATCGGGAGATTCCTCTATTTGTCAGTAAAGGCAGTTTACTACGAATGCATCATTCTATCAAATCATAAAAAGAAGAAACGTGCCTTAGCAGCCTTTCCAAAACTAATATCAGACAAACTCCAAACAGCAGTTATTATCCAACTAATTTTTCTTATCCTCTATTATGTTGTTATCTGATTTTGCAAAATTTAGACACAGCTTAAGCACAGTTAAGAAAAAAAGAAATTAAGAAATTAAACTCGATTAAAACTGGTTCATCTATCTTACATTTCTGGGTGTCTGCAAGCAGTCTCATTCTTGAGACAAGCCTTTTTAGGGGTAAACAAGGTGCTTTCCACAAATATTTTTTTAGACAACAATTCTATTTTTAAAGCAAGATATTTCGCCTTTAGACACCAAGTAAAACAACTTAAATCAAGGCGTTGCTCCTGTGATACTCCTGTAATTCACAATTTCTAATAACATTTAATGCGAAGCAGACTGTCTCCGGTGGGAAAAAATTTTTCTCATTATCTCGATAATTGTTTCTCAGCCGGTTACACACCACATTCTCTCTAATGAACATTTGCAAGATTTCAATTTCTTGTGAGTCGGAACCCTTGTCTATCTGTATATGAACTGGTGTTGCAAATTGAATATCTAAATTTTCAAAACCATCAAATGGATTTTTGTTTGGTTTTGTCAGGATTTGAAGCAAACCTTTTTCAGCTCAAACAGCATAGCTTCTCTTAAATATGTTTAGCTGATGACTGACTATTTCGAGGATTTGCTGGTCTCTATCTGTTTCCATTATATTTGGGAGGGCGCTCATTGGAGAGGGACGGTCATTCGAATTTTTGCTCTAAAGAGAGCGTTCATTAGAGAGGGGCGTTCATTGGAGAGAGAGCGCTCATTAGAGAGATACGGTAGTTCGACCAGCGTACTACTACGCAGTATATGTAATCTCGGAAATTCCATTGTTCTAAAGATAACAATTTAGCTATTTTTTGTCTTGCTAAACTATGGAAGAGACCGAAAACTCATTTTGAAGTAGAAAGAGATTGAAAATTTGCTTTGAAATAGACAGAGCCTGAAAATTCGATAATTCCTTTCACTTTTGTACATTATATTTTTCATTTAACTTGTTGTTACTTTTATATGAATGATTGCATTAATGTGGATTTATTTTTCTTTGGTATGCTGCAATTAATCTGAATATTTACCCAATGTAATGAACCTGTCACAAATATGGGGAAGGAAGGATACTCGGGGAGGGCATGTATATTAGTCGGTTCTTAACCAATCAAAGTACAAGCAGGTTGTCTTCACCAATCAAATAGTTAGATGGATGAATTCATGTCAGCATTTCATCAGCGCCTTCAACGATCGTGCATGAAACTGCAATCAATAAAAGCACACTGCTTTTAATCCTTGTATTTAAAATCCCAGTGTGATAGCTGGATCGAACCAGACGTCTATCATAAAATGACATGACAAACACATACATTTAGTGGCGGATTGGCTCAGAATTTTCAACCGTCCGCGAAGAACTTAAGGCCATAAAATTAATTAGTTGATTCTCATCAACGCCCGTATCGAATTTTGGTGCCACCTTGATTTATTTTTATATTTATATACAAAAGTACTGCCCGTCTTAGATTTATGGAAAAGTAAAAAATTATTATTTAGTAATACTAGATTTTAAGAGAATTTAAAAGTCCATCCTTCCCCAGTTGCTATTTACAACATAAACAATGCGCAAGGCAAATTATCTAATTTTTGAATTATCTAAGAAATAAATGATCAAAGGAATATTTTTGTTCTCTGATCTTATAGAAAAGGCTAGCCAAAGGCTAAAGACTGAAATCTTGCTTAAACCAAAGCAAATAATAAGATGTGAGGATTTTCAAGCTGTACTCCCGTACTACTGCGCAGAAAATGAAGATATCTGCATACTTTGTGGATTGCATTTGGGGGCATGCACCCTCAGAAAATTTGAATTTTAACGTGTCTTCTTTGTCTCTGCTGGTCTCCAAGAGACCTAATAACCAGACAAGTCGGTCGTATAATTGATTCTGTATCAAACCTTTTGGAGCTTTTGACGTCTTTTACAAGCTTTTGCGCCCCTATAAAAAGACAGCTTGGGGTTATGGCCCCTCCCTGCCAGGCCGCAACTGCCTCTATTGACTTTCACACTATGACAGACCTGTTCAGTCTTAAATGGATTCAGTTTTTATATTGGATAGATAGTAATGATAAGAAGTAAATCCGATATTAAATGAATCTGGTAAAGTGTGGATACGGCCTGTTTAACCTTACTTGTGACATATTGTGAGATGTCCATTATTAGTAATGGAACATCAAAAGGAAAGCCTCATATTTGGAAAAAGGGGCCCCGGTGGGCCAGTCCGCTACTGCTTACATTGAACTTAACTGATTTTTCCAGACATTTTATCGTCTGACTTTAAAAAGGTACCAAACTCTCGACAATCTTTCGAAAATATAGACCCGCCGGACAATTTTCTAAGACAAACTCTAGACAAACATCTTACCTCGGGGCATTCATTTTCGCTGGAAACCTGAGGCAGGTCGGATGGCAGTGCTGGTGGCAATACCTGCTTGTTGAAGACGAAGAAAGTTATATAGGCAGGACCAAACTGCTCGCAGCTATCAAATATTTGAGGATTCTACGATAGAAAAGCGATAGATCTTGTTAGAATGAAAATACATAGCATGATCAAAATATAAAATTTCGCATCAAGATTCTCTGCCAGTTAATTTGTTTCGATAAACTTTTGTTTTTGAAACAACAGACACCCATTTTCATGACGGGCAAATCAAAGTCAAAGAGCCCAACATTAAACGTTTCAACATGACACAATCCAATCTTACAAAAAAAACCATTTTCAGTACACAAACGAATAATTCTTGTTCATAAAACATTTGAAAAGACAAGCAGCAAAATGTTTTTGTTTTGAGCAACAAGATCCAGATTTATCGTCCCCTTATAAATTTTGCCATAACTTTTTGATATTTTATACTATACGGCAAGTACAGTAAACTTGCACAAAACTAAGGGCCAGTTATTTGTTAAAATGTGTTCAGAAAATAGCTACAATCCTTGCCAAAATTGTTGGAACAATTGCGCAAAGCTGAAGCTTTTTTTGAAAAATCCCCCCCCCCTACCCCCCATTACAATGTTGCTCAATTTGGCTGTTTTGATCCTGAGGGTAAAAACTTCTCTTCACTGATAGCTGTATGAAAGTATTGAGTAAATAAATCAACATTGTACGGGGGGAGGGGGCCGAAATTTGTGAAGCGGCAGTCATTATTTAGGTAAGGTAGTTTTAGACTTGCTTTGTTTATTTGCATGCTGCAATGGGAAGGCGTTCCAGTTATTTTGGCAAGGATTGTAGCTGAAAAAACTAATAGATTTTGCAACAAGCCTCCAAGACAATACGTAGTAGGTAATTAACTTTATTTTTAAGCAGATGAAAAGGACACTCGTTTGAAAAGCCTAAAGGCTTTATTCTGAGAACCATACTGCATTGCTAAATACGATAAATTTGTTTTGTGTTTTTCTACTGCAATCTAAATAGAAGCCTAAAATAATTTGCCATATTATAAATATGAAATATTCATAATAAAAATGCATAAAAATGCATAATTTAAAGGATTTTTGCCCATGTAACGACAGGGTTCGTACTCACCTTGAAACCTGATAATATTTGCCGTGGCTCTAACACAGGAGGGCTGTAAAGACCTACTTCGTGCATTCCGGTGTTGGCCTTCAATTGGTTGTAAGTCTCATTTTCATCTACACAGTTAAGAACGGAGATCATAAAATTAATCATATTTCAAGAAATTCAAAAGTTATTCAACAGCAAAAAAAATTGTGAATAGCAAATACTCCTGATTGTTTTTACATCTAATTATTCAATTAATTTTACATCCATTTCACCAAATTATATCAGTATAAGATAGGACACTACGAAGAACAAAGGCAAGCCGAAAAAAGAAGGAATCATGAATATGTATCAATCCTTTACAGGTTTCTTGACTTTCAAAGGACTTTTTAGCTTCTGTTGTTCCATCTATACTGTTTTAATACATTCTCCTAAACGTATATAGCATTTTTTAAATTTAGATTTTGTAAGCATCTATAACCTAGGTTGAGAAAGGCAAAAAAAGAAGGTAAATAAACCCATTTTTTCATAAAATATAAAAACTTTGTATGTCATCGCTAAGGACAAGAATTTCATCGAATTAAACTGCTAGAAAAGGCTAAGTTTTTTAATTATTCGCAGAAAAGAGCAGCGAACCTAGCCTCGATGCTGTTGACATTCGTGAATTTCGCGAGGCCTGCTTTGAAGTTGCAAACGGCTGGCACAAAGGCATGAATGTCCAGCAGGCAAGTTCCTCTGGATCATCCTCTGCTTGCGTCACAGCGAGAAAACCTCCAGAGGCAGTTGTGTAAACCTCAATTATTACGAAGCTTTTAGCATCAAGCGTGAGCTCTGCAAACTGCACCTGAAAATGAACGAAATCTTTAAGTCACAATGATATCACCATTATGGTAGCAATTTCGTAGTTACACATCTTTTTGATGGTGGAAAGTTCAAACGCGTCGCTTATAATCATTCAAAAACAGCTCTTCAGCAACCCAAATTCATTCAAAACTTTTGACACGGTATATGAATAAAGGGTTTCACAGATGAAATGACAGTTTGAAATGAAAAAATGAGATGCCAAAATCAAATGTTTGGTTATCATTGGTCTGAATTATTTTCTTCAACAGCAAATGAAAACTAATCCTCAAGTAATATTGTAATATTTCTATCATATACCTTTTTTGCTTTTATCATTGTTAATCATACTATTGTATTAAAGTTTCTTTTTCCTGTACTTAAAAATTAGTATTCTCAGTAGTAGTATGATATATGTGAGCAATTTCGGCCTAAACACAATTTGATGACAAAAAAATAACTGACAAAAACTAAAATATACTTAAAAGCATGTCACCAACATCTCATCAATTCCCAATCAATGACTTACCGATTGCTTGAAATTGCCTAACAAATGCTAATAAATTGCTTACCAATTGCTCATTAATTGCTAATCAATTGCTTACTAACCACTTGTTAATTTCTCACAAATTACTTATCAATGGCTTACCAATTGCTCACCAATTGTGCTCATCAATTGCCTTCTAGCTACTAACCAACTGCTTACAAGTGCCTATCAACTACTTACAAATTGCTCACAAATTGCTCATCAATGGCTTACCAATTGCTCAAAAAATGCCTATCTACTAATTACCAATTGCTCACAATTGCCTATCAACTACTTACAAATTGCTCACAAAATGCTTATCCATTGCTCATCAATGGCTTACCAATTGCTCAAAAAATGCCTATCTACTAATTACCAATTGCTCACAAATAACTAATCAAATGCTCACTAATTGCTAATCAATTGCTTCCCATTTGCTTACCAATTGCTTACATCTTGCTTAGCAACGTAACAATGGCTCACCAATAGCTAACCACTACTTTGCATGCATCTCAGCTATATTTCACATGATAAAAAACATTCCATCCACAAGCCACCTTTATCTTATCGTCTCACCATTTGCTTTCCCATGTCTTGTCATAAGCTCGTCTAAATTTTGCGTATGCCACAAAACTGTTTTACCGATAACTAATTATTGTCTTTTATCCTGAATATAACCTTTTTTCCAGCTTAAATGGTTCTTACATATTTTTAACATGTTATCACTAAACATTTGGAGATGTGAAAACATTGTTAAAAAGTAGATTCTTTTCTAAACATTTTATTCCAAACAACATTTTCGTTCCCTAAAAAAGTTCTCCAAGCACCGCCTGCATAGTTTCCATCTTCATTTTCAACAGAGATAAGCCTCGTGTTTCTCGTATGGATACTTTTAACACAAAAACGTGTATTTCCTTGCCAATAGCTTACCAGCTTACCCAGCACAAATAGTCAACCAATCATTATACAATAGTTAGCTTACCCTTCATATCATAGTTGCTTACCCTTAACTACAACAACCTTACACACTATTTTAAAATCCGACTACATGTTCCTGACCCCTGAAATGAAAATTTAAAACACCACAGTACTGATCACCCCTAGCCTCGAGAAACTGCTCGAACTCCTTCTATTAAAGAAGTGGAGTGAAATGGTTCCTTATGAGGATTAGGCACCGTTATTCTGCGAAAAATAAGTGTTCTATATCATTCTATCTTATGTTTTGTTTTGTGTTCTGAACGTAGCACTTTAGCATTTGGTATTTAGGGAACCTTTAAGAAACTTTTAGTACAAAAATCAATAATATTCTGAGCTCGGGCTAAGTTTCTCATAAAAATGCGGGCATATCATACAGAGCTTGAAGATAGATAACATGAAATTAGCGTTAATTAACAGACTGTACACCACCGACGGTGAAAGAGTAGTTACGCTGGTTCCGCGATTCAGTAAAAAACATTTCTGATGGACGTTCTGAACAAAGGAAAAATAATAAAAGGTCGACACCTCGGGTCGTAAAAAATACTGTTACATAATAATTAGCCAAATATTGATTCTGTGCCCTGTATAATTAATCAACTTGAAAATATGGCGCCCTTTTTCCAAACTGAACCAAGGACCGGGATTCTAACGCAACCTGCCGGTAGCGAGAAAATTCTATGAACAGAGGATTTTAAATGCTGGAAACATCATTATGTATTCAATGAAAACTTGCAAAATTGTGAAAAGGCATTCAAGTTGTTAGCAAGAAGTATTGATATGTTTTGGAGGAGTTTGCCCACAACGGCTAATTGGCCGAAGCTCTATGCAGATTTACTGCAGTTATGAAAGAGTAATCAATAATCTGCCTGGTAGGGAATTGGTGATGTCACCTTGGTGAAAGTGGGATCATCTCTTCTAAGGAAAATTGCATTGAGCTATATCTATAAGGAGACAGACTCAAGTTGCTATTTGCATAAAGGAAGGGTTAGTAGCAACAGGTTTATCTCCAGCAGAATATAAAGGTACAGAAAAAACTCTCTTCGAAATCTTCATCAGAACTGCTTTACGATACCTCACGACGACTACCCCCATGATCCTATCATAACTTTTTATTGTCCATACATACTCCTTGTTTTCATGTAAAAATTGTAATCTATCAAAAAAGCGAAACGTTCTACAGTCATTGTGGTAGCATTGAAGACAAAAAATGTGCTATTTTACCTACCGATAGACGATTTTACTGACAAGTAAAGATTTTGTAGACCATCTTTTGTAGACCATCAGAGATTCACCTACCTACACATCGATAATTTGGGGGTGTCACATTCCCTAGCACCCTCTGCTGGCTATGCCCCTATCTACAACTGTCTAAATCACACCCGACTTTGATACGTAGAACTTTTATTTTATTAAATATAAAGTAGATATTTAGCGAAACAGGTATGCTAATTTCTACATCCTGAGTTTTTGACAGAAAGTCCGGTCGTTTCGGGAAATTTCGCCGAGCAAACCAAGAATGCTAAATTTTTTTTAAAAAATTTTCATTTATCGCAACATATAATGTTCGCAACTTTTTGAAAAAACAATTATTGCAAAATTGAATTTCCGCAACTTTTTGTGATAAATATGCTTTTTTTGTATTGCTCTCTTTTTAAATGAATATTTAGCAAGTGGGGGGTAACTGCAGTTCACGAGAAGTGACGTCACTGGCAATATAATACAAAGGGGGTCAGAAAGCGGGTGACACACTGGTGACAGGGAAGAGGGGGGTTAAAAATCTTCAAATTTTGGTGACGTCATTTATGTATGACCCCTACCTACATCTGATCTGCAGTAACCACCATGTATCGCCCAAATTACTTCTCACTAGGATCCAAGTATTGATATCACCTTATGCATACGCAGGCTATTTAGGCCATGGAACTAAAATTTTTACCACTTTCTTGGTTGATAAGAAAATTAATAATTAGCACCTCATTTTAAATTAAAAAGAGTCTTAATTTGTAGAATTAACCTTCTTAATCTTCATTAATCCAACTTTGAAAAAGAAATCTAACTTGTGGGTTTTTCAAAAGCTCTGTGGTAAGAAAAGATGATTTTATTTGAAGTCTTGAAACATCTGCAAGTAACCAGTTTGATAGCCAACTCTAAAGAAACTTCATATATGAGGATGGTGAAAGAAAGTCACATGACCTTACTAACGGCTAGAGCAATGATGTAAAGAAAGAGGAAGTCCTTCTTACACAATGCCAACTAACAAACTCACTTATTCGCATTCTGCACAGAAAGTAACAGGTACTTGAGGTAAAAGAGTAACTATAGGCAATGGAAAACAACCTGTAAACCGATACAGTGCTGACTACGCAAAACATACTACGATAAAAAGTAGTATTGTATCAAATTAGATTGTTTTGTTAATAAAAACAGTTTGCAGTGCAGCTTGTCAAACTGTATTATACCGCAAGGCATTTTCTTCTGCTGCTTCTTTTGATATAAGTCTATATGAACTGTTAACTTACTTTTTCAAATATGATATTCGGCGTGGCCTTGATCAGAGTGTCTCCAAATGAAAAACTAATCATCTTAATTGGCCTCAGTTTTTGCCAAAGAGGCCAAGTTGACCAAGCCAACATTTGGCTACATTTAATTCAACCCCCAAAGAGATATGGTCTGGGTTCGTGGATGTCAATTACCCTAAAATACTCTGATAGTCTTGTCATGAATAAAAATATTGATCAGAAAATAACATTTTTATAAAAGGCACGTTTAAACTCTCTTCTACTGCAAAGACGACATTGAACGGCTAAAATTCTCGTGGTGGCGTGAAATAACGAGCGATTCTGCATAGTATTCTGACAACAGCCACTCCTCTCCGGACAAAAAGTCATGATACCACTTCGTGGAAGAAAAAATAGTAATCATTAGGTTTAATATTAAGTGATTTGCTTGCATTTGTAGTGGTTTTTAACTACACGACTTATACAATTTCATGTATAGATATCATGTAAAGATACCCATAAATATATGGATATACTTCTGAAAATATTCATATTAGCAGGCTTGGATGATTTGAGCAATGACTGGCTGTTCATAAATAGAAGAGAATTAAAACATTACGTAAATGGATAGGCAAGAAACGAGTATCGGTCTTTGGGTGATTAAATATTCAGCAAGAATCAGACAACAGCTTCGAATGAAATTTCTTATTCTGAATTCATTTATAATTTACGAGAATGAGCAGCTACAGGTACTAGCTCATAACAATCCACAATTCCAAAAGAAAATCGTTTCTTTCCAAAACAATCAGCGTGTACAAAGGCTGATCGCGAGGTGAAACACAAATTGTGAAAAGTGGTAGCTTGTCGATCTAGGGTATGAGACAAGAGACATTTAGCTGCTTAGTATGGGTCATCACTGAACGGCAGCAGCTAAAGCTCAGCATAACAACAGTGTTTTAAGTAAACTGGAAGATAAACCAATCAATGGAAACAGACACGTGAATGATCTTCAGAGAAAGGTTTGTTGTCGATCTTCTTTTTAAACCAAATAGCTTCAATCGATATTACAACTAAACAGTGATTTGAATCGAATAGAGCAAGTCTGAGATATGGAAGCTTTATCACAGGCAGTTAAAAAGAAGTTGATTCAAGAAACGAAAAAAAAGGATGATTTGTCGAAACAATATGGAAACAATGTGTCGAAAATATATTAGATTGTATTGAAGATCCTAAAACATCGAGAATCTGAGACTACAATAGCAGAAAACTCAGCTGGTTATGAAAATAATCAGAAAGCTACTAATCGTAAATATCTAATAAGTGGGCTTGACAACATTGCTGGACCCTTTAAAGCTATAAACGAAGCAATAAAAGGTTGTCTAGTGAACAAATATATAAGTGCAATCTTTACAATTATACACAAAAATAAATGGGCGAAGGGAAAATTAGCAGCTAACATTCAGAATATTATTTAAAAAAAGTTACAAATGGGTCTATTGAAATAAAATGGTATTAGAGAATTCTGAAAAAGTTGGAATTAACTAGCAATTAGATGCTGTAAGTAACTGAAGATTTATGCGGTGGAAAATTGAAATAAAGTTTATATATGAATCTAAGATTAAAATTGCTCTTATCGAGCTTTGAATCATGATAAAAAGCAAACTTTATTATCAAATTTAGATAAAAAGTTAAAAAGACTCAAATCTAAAAAATTAAATACTGATATGAAGATCACATATAGCCGTTATTAACTTTAATTAAGTTAGTAAATGATTGAAGTTAACGCTATTTTGTAGAAGAGAAGTTTCAGGAAAGACCTCATGATCTTGAAATTATCGGAAGGGTTTTTCTAATTAAACGGTGGCGGTAATTGGTGAGGGAAGGTTTGAAATAATAAATAAAAATAAAACTTAAGCTCATATCGCAATATCATTACTGTAATAGTTAGGTATAAAGAACATCTTTCTTTAAAAGAACAAATTCTGCTACCAGGTGTCCGGAGCAAATTTAAGGAAGCCGGAAAAGAGATTGGAAACAGGCTTACGTTTTTGCACTAAGATTTTAGTATTGACCCAACAAAAACGAAACAAAATATATGGAGATTTCTATATGAAGCATCTTCATTTTGAAGAGCGATGGCATTTGAAATTTAACATAAATTTGGTTGCGCCCACTGTATCAAGATGCTACATCGCTAGGGTGCTTCTCATCTGAATATGTAGAATTACGTCATCAAAATAAGTAGCGAAAAAGAGCTGGCCGGGAGGGCCTAGCAGGTCATGACCTGCACTTGTTGGTAGGATTGCAAAATTAGTCAGAAGGATGAGAGCAGGTGTCGGCATACAGCATACAGGTTGGCGGCTTGCAAAGCTCGAGATAGCTACCCAGCGACTGCATAAACAAATGTTCAGGTGAAGAATATTTCGAAGTTCGGCAAAAGTGTGTCGAAGAGTTTTGATTGGAAACACACATTTTGAAATTGCTGCTATAAAAAATACTGGGTTGTTGTGTTGCTAGAGATGAGCTCTGACAGCGATTCTGGAAGGGACGTTGCAATAAGCGATTTCGAAGAAGCTCATAAGCGGCGAAAAAGTGTCAGTATTTATCAATATACTGGCGAAAGAAACGATAACAAGGAGCGACATGGGAGAGGTAAGGCCTGCCTTTCGAATGGTGATGTTTACGAAGGAAGTTACGAGCATGGATTACGGCATGGCAAGGGGAAGTATGTGTACACGTCGCAAGACAAAGCGATGTACACAGGGGAATATTTGTTTAACAGAAAAGATGGCAAGGGGACCTTTTATTATGCTGATGGGTCAAGATACGAGGGGAACTGGAAGAACGACATGAGACACGGCTTTGGAGTGTATTATTATAAGAACGGGGACGTGTATGGGGGAGAGTGGAACAACGACCAAAGGCATGGGAAGGGGAAGTACAGATATGCAGCAAATATGATGTCATACGAAGGGTTCTGGGAAAAAGGAAAGCGTCACGGTAATTATAATTATTACATTTTACGACTACAGTGAAACAAATGCTAAAATAGCCAATCATATTGCAGACAAAAGATAAAATGGTCTGATTTTTCTCAAGGTCTAATCGCCAGACCAATAGACACAAGGAAACAGAGACCTCTGTTCACCGGGCAGGAAATCTGGTCCAACAGGTGTCCTGGGCAAAATATGAGGTTTCACTGTGCTTGTTTGGAAGTTAATTATCTTTTGAAAAAAATGCCGAAATGCATATCAGCAATATGTTTATTTGGGAGATATCCAGGCAGTACCAGTACTTTTGTAAATATGTCATCAAGATAAAAGTTAAGGGTGAAATGGCAGTTTTTTATTTATAATTGAGAAACGGGTAAAAACATTGTCTATCAAAGTCATTAGTAAATGTCCCCAGCAGAAAATGTCCTCAAAGGTTTTCTAAATATGACAAAAAATAGGCCGAAAGAATTTTGAAAGGTACATAGATAGACGCTGAAAGATTTTGAAGCAGCAACTTCGATAACATTCTTAAAAATATGAATATATACCCTCACTGAAGGACGTTTTGGGATAAATTTGCGTAGATAGAATGGCATTCACTGGAAGAAGAACTTAAAAAAAATTTCTTCAAAATTGCAGGTGAAGGGAAACTGGTATTTGATGGAATCACGTACGAAGGTCGGTTTGTAGAGGATGAAATGATTGGACCAGGAACTTACACTTTTGAGGATAATAGTAAACAAATCGGTGAATATGTGAAAAGTAAAAAGATTCTTGACCCAAAAGAAATAGAAAAGAATGCAGAGGAGGAAGATGAACAGCAGAAGTCTGAAGTTGATGAAGGTTTGGATGGCAAAGGTGACGAAGCAAATATGAAGAAAAGCGAAAATGTCGAGGCCGAATATAGCGCGGATTATGAGAGCGAAACCGAGTCTGAACGTCACTCAGAAGAGGCTGGTCCAGAGGATATGAGCCGGGGAAAGGAGAAAAGGAACGCCTATGAACGGGACGAGAGTGAAGAGAGCGACAAGGAGGCGGAGGATACAGAGCAACATAGATATAAGAGTGATAAAGAAGAACAAGAAAATAAAAATGAAAAAAACAATAGAAATAAGCAAAAAGATAAAACGGCCAATACAGATGAATATATAATAACATGGAAATGTCATAAAAAAATTCGTGGCTATGGAGGAAACAAAAATGAAGAAGATGAGCCATCAATATAAATCTAGAGTCATTCTTATGCAATTCGTAGTTATTTGATTCGCCTTCAGACATGACACAATTTAATTGACTTGGTAGCATAGTGTTAATCTTTGGTATTGAAAGGCATAAGTTACTAAAAGTGGTCCTTGAAATGCCGAAGGCTGGAGATGTAAACTAATAAACCTTGAGAAATGACATAGAGGAGAGGTGTGCTTCAAACGCATTGGATCCTAGCTAAACCTTTGCGCTAAGAAAGATAGCCAAGGGCACACGCGCCTCTCGTAAGCAGAAAACAGTAGGTGCTACGCTCTTCATAAAAAACTTGTTTTTATTTTATGCTCGTCGAGGAGGCGCTTCTTTCGAAACTACAGGTCTTTAAATGACAAATTACTACTGATCGAGACTTTCTGATGTGGAGATACCCCGATGATCGAGATTCCCTGATGATTGAGATTCCCTGATGATCGAGATTCCCTGATAATCGAGATGCCCTACCAACCGAAGCTTCCTAGCAAAAGAGACGAAAGGAAATAGGAAGAAAAACTCTTTCAATAGCGATGATGTTTTAAATCCGATCCGTTATAAATCCCGTTCATATGAAAATGCTGACAAATAAAGTGGCCCATTCAATCAAACCTGCAGTCTAAACTTTGTTTTCAAAATTATCGATACTTGTATGTTTAGTGCATTTACAATAAAAAACAATTTTAGTTCATGATCATTTACTAATTCATCTCATTTTTCTGCACCGCAAATGCAGTGACCAATTGCGTTTTTAGAATTAGATTATACAGTACCTAAAGCTGAAACAAATAGTGAAGAAAATGTAAACAATAAAGAGGCTTTTGATTTACCATAAATAATTTCCGCTTACTAAATTGTTTATATATATGAAAGAAAGAGATAGAGAAATTTAGGGGTGGCCTTATCGAATCTCTAATAATTTTTATTTCCGTAAATTTATTAAATCAAGGCTCATAGAAGAATCAATCAAGATACACAAATTTCTGGACGAAAATATGCTAGCGGTACGATTAGGGGCACCTGGTTTAATCGGGTTAATTCCGTTGAACCCACTCAATTTATTAGGTTTAAAACGCTGACCTTGTCCAATGCTGTGACATCTCTGCAAAGGTAATTAAATTTAAAGGGAAACGTACAAAAACCATCTGGATGCACAAATGACAGCAAAGGGATATCAAATCTTCACATTTGACAGACAAGAACTTTAGGCAAGAACACTAATGCGTTTTACATACTGTTTACTTGCTAACTTGGAATCCTTAAACTTGACACTCTTTACTCCAAACGGACTTAACAAACAATCTTTAGTAACCCTATACTTGGTACTCTCATTCCAAATGGACATAACAACTATCTTTAATAATGTAGCTATACATTATAATTTATACTATTTAATGTATTTGCTTTCCCCCTCCCCATCTCTTCCATCTCATCCTTACACTCTATGCCTTATTCTCTCTGCGTTATATATATGCTCTCATTCGAATCTACCCTTCTGCTCTCTTTTTAAACCGTTGCTCTTCCTACACTCTTTATCCAATCAAAAGAGTTTTGCTCGAAACGCCATTTAAGAGGCTTTTGAACCGTTGCTTTATCTATTCTTTTTACCTGTCAAAGAATTATGCTCGAAACATCATTACGATATTCAATTTTTCTATGTACAAGGTCACATTTTAAGTATAACAGTTTGTGTTTATCTCATTCGACGTACTACACGCTGAACAACATCAATTAACAAAAAAGAATGGTGATTTGTGGCTTTCCCGCGAGACACACAAAAGCATATGTGGCTTTCCCGCGAGACACAAATGTGCGAGGAAAGGAATAGGGAAGAAGGCAGAGCAAAGAAAGGAAGGATGGAGACAAGGGGAAGAAAATAGCAAAGGGGTAGAAAAGAAAAATTGAGGAAGGAAGGGGGAGAAAAAGAAAGGAAAGGGGAAGGAAGGAAAGAGGAAAAGAAAAAGAATTAGAAGAAAGAAGGAGGGTAGGAAGAGGAAGAAGAGGGGAAAAGAGAGAAAAGAGAAAGGAAGAAAAGACGAATAAAGAAATAAAAAAAAGAAGCGGGAAAGAGGAAAAAGTTGGAAGGCAATTGTAAAGAAGATGTGAAGAAGAAAGTAAAAAGCAGTTGTTGCACTTAGAATTTTTGATAGAGATAAAATTTTTGTAAGTGGAGCCTGGACCTGGCCAATAAGTTTACACGATGTCAGTACATCCCCTCAATGCATCATGGGCGGAGTTAATGCAATGTCCGGTATTTCTTAAAAATCTTTTTCATTTCCAATAGTAACAGACTTAAAATTTTTAGAAAAGGTGTATAGAAAAGGCATATGTCATATTATGAGAAAATGTTAGTAAGGCCAAAAGAGATTCTGAAGAAAGGTTCTAAAAATCCTTTTTAGCAGGAAAGCTGAAAAAGACGTAATTTTTTGTTTTTTATCTTTTCCATTAACACAAGCAAAAAAAGCTTCCAAATTATTTAGATTCAAAGCTCCAGCTTAATTCTTGTCAGCTCCAAGATCTGCTTGTTGATATTTTGAATGCAAAACGATTCTTTTAAGCGAATAGGTAGCAAATTGTAAGTTTCTATTTATGCATATTTAATGTCATTCTGGTACCTGGCTTACGTTTGCCATGGCAACAACACATTTAAGTCTACCACGCCTCGTATTCAACGAAACTGTCACATGTTTTGGGCTTTCTTTAGGAGAACTAGCGTTGTGTTTTTGTCATGGCAACTTTGCCTTGTAACACTAATGCAGATGTTCTTTCACAGATGCTAATACCTGTCAATTTTACAGAATAATCAAGACTCAAGACAACAACAAGATAAGACTCCAAAACTGAAGTACCTTTAACTGTACTACAAGGCTCCGTAAGCTGTTGAACCGAGCAAATACAGATAAACGATATGATGCTATCAGCTTAAATTCAAAAACAGTTATAAAGCAGGAAAAACATTTCATACTTTAGTTAATTTACGTTGAAATTTCATGTCATGGATAAGAGTTCAGATACAGATGATCTAACCACTCAAGGAGGCGAAGGACCGCACGTAAAGACGTACAACTACGAAGGAGACAGAAACACGCAGGGTGAACGCCACGGCAAAGGCAAGGCAACATTACCCAACGGGGATACGTACGAAGGAACATATGAGCACGGCTTGCGTCACGGAAAAGGAAAATACGTGTTCAACTCGCAGAACAAGGCGGTATATGTTGGCGAGTATCAGTTCAATCGGAAAAACGGACGCGGAACCTTTATGTATCCGGACGGGTCAAAATATGAAGGACACTGGAAAGATGATAAAAGGCATGGATTTGGCGTATACTTTTACGGCAACGGTGACGTTTACGGAGGGGAATGGGTGAATGACCAAAGGCACGGACGAGGGACTTACAAATACGCCGCGGATATGATGGTTTATGAAGGGCTATGGAAAAACGGAAAGCGGCACGGTAAGAAAAAATGTGTAGGTTGAGATGTGCTAACAACTTAACTTATTGTTTCTGTGCATGTGCGTGTGTATAAAATAAGATGAAGGTTGATATAAGTGAGTACCAAACGAGGCTCAACATTCTGCCAAGGAACCTCGAATTCACCCACGGCAAGTAAAGTGCAAGACGTTGCTATTAAATCATCTAAGATGAGACTTAGCATTCGTGGACGGAGGCATGAAAAAAGTAGAGCCTTAGTATGATAGTATGTATATGCTGGTAGAAAATAGAATGTTTGTATGAGTACTGGAGATTGAGGAGAAGCTAAGAATAAAGTATTAGTAATCTTGGCGTCACTTGCAACAATATCTTATTGAAATGAATCTATAACATATAAACAAAAGAAAAACAAACAAAACCTAGTTTAGATATCTGAGGAAATAAATACAATAAAAATGAGCAGTTAATTCGGAAAGTTTCAAGAAAATATTAAACAAAAAAGAAAATTTGTTGCAAGTGGGGCCATACGAAACGTTTTTTGCGAGGGTAATAACGCTGAAGTTAGGTAAAATGGCTTATATACGGTTAGATAGAATACGGTGATATATTGGCCTTGTAGAGGCAGCAGAAAAGACTGCCTTGGCTGTCGAGCTGAGAACCGACCCGAGATACAAGATTTATATGCTTTGTTGTGAATGAATTAAATGTGAATTGTGCCTAATCTTTCCCCCTGGTATATAACTTGTGATCAGGTAATACCAAAAAAAACGCCATTGAGTAATACCAAATAAGATTTTGCGTTTGCCTACACAGGTGACGGGAAACTGATATTTGGTGATAATTTCTATGAAGGCCAGTTTGCTGAGGACAAAATGCTTGGACCAGGGCGATACGTGTTCAAGGACGGTAGCCAACAAATTGGTGAATATCACCTTGAAAAGGTAGAATCGAACAACTCCAGCATAGAACAAGATGAAAATGGAAGAACAGTAAAGAATAGCAGAGAATACATAACCAAGTGGAAATGTAAGAAAAGGATTCTCGCAAATTCGCAGAAAGGCCTTGTACCTGAAGAGGTGTAGGATTTGTGAAGGGAAAAAATGGGGAAGAGAGTTATGAAGTATCATTTGCAGGCTGCTTACGACATCAATACAATGCACGGTAGCACATCCATCATTGTCATTGACATCTTAATGAGGGGTTCTAAACACCTTAGGCTGTAATTTTTCCATTTTTCCAAGACAGAGAAGCATTTAAAGAAATAGTTTTGTTTGTTTAAATGAGATAGGGGTTCGATTACAATAAAATATCAAACAAATTTATCAGCAATGCGTATAGTTTATTCAGTTCTTTACATCAGGAGATAGAATCAATCGTCTAGAAACTGTTGCAATGACTCGGTTTATATCGGAATGAAATATAATCTTAGTTGCATGTTTTGAGCATTTTCAGTGTAAGTGCAACAGGAATAGCCTAAATAGTCATTGTATGAGTAAACTGCATACGCACTTAGAAGCATTGATGCACTAAATGACACTTTAGCAATATGCTAAGCATCGAAGAGATATTAGTTTTGCGACGAATATTGAACTATACCATCTTCCCTAGAAATTAGTCAAGTACTTTACTTAAAAAACTATTGTGATTTAGATGGCAATTTTTTCAAATAAAAAGGACGTTTCTGATATTTTACTGATTCTCTGCTAACAGGCCTATTTATTGGCCCAAAGAAACAGAAGGGCGTTTCTGTTATAAAGCACAAAAACGTCCCTCTTATTTACTAGGTTAAGTTTCGGGTGCATTTGACAAATGCATTGGTTGTCGGATCATGCAGAATTAGCTCGATGCCATATTTGTGAGAAGGGCTGGCCTTGACCCGAGGCAAGTGGTGACTTGCTAAGTTCACTTCAAAGCTCCCTGTTATGTATGATATCTAGCTAACAGGGTTTGTGGTTTGAATACAATATATCCCGGTCCAGTATTGCTGTTGGAACTGTGCAAAGTTCTCAATGCCCGTGTTGCTAATGCATTACTGTTGTTTTGGCCTAGTTAATAAATCAGAACCACTACCAAATTACAGCGATTTGATAGAGAGGACATTATGAGCCCATTTCTAGGCCAATTTGTAACAAACCAGCATGATTTGCCACCCTTGGTGATATTTTATAGAGTACATATTCATAAACATTTCAAAACACTAAGCAGCTCTATTACCATTTCAAATCTAAACAAGACATACCTCTTGCAAGGCAAATGCCAATACTGATTTCAAAAATGGAGTTCGGCAGTAAAGTGTACGTTTTGAGGCGGAGGCACTTTCAGACTTTGCAACCTAGAATGTAGAAGAGAAAGTGACAGGGGATTGTAGCCTAAATGTGATTGCCAAGCGAAAGAAAGGGAACGCAGAGTAATCTAAAGCGGATGCTCAATTTGAAGAGAGAGATAAAATGCATTAAGCAGGTATTATTTTCTAATTCATGTTAGCTGATAAACGTACACTTTTCCAATAGACCTTTCCCCTTATTACGTCATGGTGCAATGAATTCTGGTACTTGTAATTAAACCCGCGAACATTGGATTATGTTTTCTAAGACTACGGCGATGGTACATTCTGCCGTATTTTCCATGATTTGTTTGATAATTTGAGCAAAGCGCGTTGAATAACAACAGAGCTTCGTCTGATCGCCGTAGAAAACATACACAAATGTTCGCGGGTTTATCTACAAGTACCAGAATGCATTGCGCCATGACGTAATAAGGGGAAGGTCTATTGCTAGGCAAGAAGACGACAGTATTGAGACATTTCAAAGCTAAGTTCGTTCATAGTCACAGAAGAAAATTGATTATGATTTGTGCATAAGAAAACTAAAAGTCCATGTCAGTTAAGCGGTAAATAATTCACTTGTGTTTATCTGATCGCAAAAATCTTGTTTTAAGGCTTTTAAGTCTTAGAAATATCAAATATTAATAATAACGTCATGTAAAGAGCTCCGATTAAAAGCAAAGTTGAGGTACCTTGCCATTTCCTCCAAATATGGTGATTTGCAATCGAGCAGTGGCTTCATGCACATCATACAGTTTATCGAATTGAAAGCCAAGAAAATATTTGTCATTGGCTTCATTCTCGCTAAAAAAGGAAATGCATTACGCGTTTACTGATTAAGGGTAAACTGGTACAGGAATTGGGGTATTTTTGGCATTCAATTTGTTTAAATTCGAACTGAAATTCATTTAAAAACAAAATGACATATTTTAACTGCAATAAAGCTTATGGACATAAATAGCTCAGAATGTGTTGGGCAACCTAATTGCTATATCTGGTAATGATAATTAATGCAAAACGAGTATTCAATGAAACTGGAACAAAATAGAAAGTTCGTTTAACGATCAAAGCATTATTTAGAAGATACTAATTAATGCTTAATGATAATTAATGCAAAACGAATATTCAATGAAACTGGAACAAAATAGAAAGTTCGTTTAACGATCAAAGCATTATTTAGAAATTACTATAAGTCACAATTGTGATAGCCATCATTCGGAAAAGTAATAAAAAGTGCAGAGTTATAAAACATCATGAACAAGATAATTCATTCAAAAAATCCAAACTAATCAAATACATTTTTAAAAAGAATGCTTTGCAAACATATTCCTGGAAACATTTCTAAATATGCCCCCCCCCCCAATTTTTTAATCTGTTACGCGGAGAAAAATGGTCTACCTTTTTTAACGAAGTGACAATTAAAAGACGTAAAAAAACAGGATTCTCAAACACAGTGCTCATCAAAATTGAATTTAGACAGCGAAGCAGATATCTTCTGTCACTATATTTGACATCACAAATCAAATTGACAGTAAAACTAAACTTTGCAGTAAGATTTTTCAGCAAGAGGGTTCAGATTGTTTCGGGCTAGTCTGCTTCGCTCTGTTAATCCACTGAGTTACAAGATCCAAAATCACGATATTTTGGAGCAGAGTTTACTAATTTTGTGAATGCGGAAAGAACGTGTTAGTTAGATGCTTGTCAATATTGTATCATTTTGTTCAAAACTTTCGCAGTGCAAGAAAAAAGACAAGAGACATTTTTGGAGCAATGGTGGCGATTGAAACTGGGCCTTGAAACTGTTTGACCTCTGGAAAGAATGGCATTCTCTTCGAAGAAGCTCAATTCATTTGAAAAATGACATAAGAGGAAACTGAATTCTAAACTTTCCAAATATTTTCAAGTGAAACATTCAGTCTTGTGCTTAAAATACAATGAAAATTTAGACCAAGAAGGTGACAAGGCAATTATTTCTCGAAATATTTTTCAATCGGTCCAACTCTGTATTGCATTCCCAATTTTGTCGTCAGAATATATCGTATAAAATTACCTTGGAATCTCAGGTACTTCTTGTTGTGGAGATGGCTCTGATATGGGGGACGGATGCTTGGGAGTAGGGTTTCGTACCGGCAGAGCAGCTGGGGTCGGAATTGCAGGTTTCGGTGTCGGGTCTCTTCTTGATGACGCAATTCTTATAGGTGATGATGAAACTGGCAGAGGAGTGGCGGGTTCAGGAGACTGAACAGGAGTCTTCGGCTTTTTCGCTTTGGTTTTCTTTCGCACCGGGGGACTGTCTGCTCTTGAGATGATGGGTCTTCTGGGCTCAAGGGATACATTCGAAAGTGGAACGACTTTGTGATCCTAAATTTAAAAAAGCTGAAGCTTCATCTATCTATATTGTATTAAATAAAATCAAATCTGGAACACATAAAGGTGCATCTAGAACTGGTATTTTGGTACAGGTCAATTAAACTCCATGGACATAAGGATTCCAAAGTGAATTGGAAAATCTGTTCACATTTTGGTCATTATCATTGTACTCTGAGGAGTGCCAAACTTCATAAAGGACAATGTGAATTTCTTTGAAAAACTTTCCCACTGCTGGGTGCCATTTTAAGATATACGTACCAAATGAGGATACTTGTAAGCTTTTGTTTGTTGCGAGGCTAGTACCAGGCCTTCTTGTGACTCTACATCTCTTGCATTAATTAGTCGATAGTACAACTCACACCCATCCAGCTAAAAAATATTGTTACAGATGATTGCAAAGAAAGCTAGTGATACTGCTAGCAATATTGCAAGCACATTACAGTTAAATGTATTCATCAATATCAGCATAGAAGTCACGTAAAACTGAATAAGCAGGTGGCTAGCTGAAGAACTTTTGGAAAGTCATGTTTCAAACAGGCGAAAGCTGCATTGCATCGTTGCCATCAGTAAAGAAAGTAAATCGGACACGCTTTGCTCTTTTGTCTACCTGATTGTGCTTCACTGCAAAGACTTTGTGATATTTCCGCTTCAAGCTACAGCACTCATTCAGACTAACTATAGATTAGATTAAAAGAACCTGAAGTAGGACAGTTGGAATCTGTAGTTCAGAGGGAATCTCTACGTGATAGCCTACATTTTTACCTTATATACAAATCTCTACGTGGGAGCCTACATTTTTACCTTATATACAAATCTCTACGTGAAGCCTACATTTTCACCTTATATACAAATATTTACGTGGGAGCCTACATTTATATACGAATAAAAATTGTAAACTCATTAGTAATAATACGGCGAGGCAAAACAACGTATCCATGAATGGAAGGGTCATACCTGTTGCACTGCATTTAGTTGAGCTGCAGTCAGCTGTGGTGCCACTGGAGGCACTCTTACAGGGATCTTCCATCTAAATGAAAAATCTCATTAGAGAATCTGGAAACGCGAGTATAGAATAAGATCTAACTCAGATGAAAGAAGGATTTTAAGAAGACCCATTCAACCTTTTATAGAAATTTTTTAAAAGTGATACCAAACTACATTAATTTTTTGTTGAGAAACAAAGCTCAAGATTATATTTCAGTTTGTCAATATTTTTGTTGATTTTAGTACTACAAGTTTCTTAAAGGATTCTTAAATACCAAATTCTTAACAGCAAATCTTAAAAACACAAAAATGTAACAAAATAACATGAAATAGAACAATGAATCGGTCGCCAAGATTTCAATTGAACAAGAAATAGGTGCATGATCGTTGAAAAGAATAATTTCCATCCTGGCTTTTCGAGTAGTTTCTTAAGGTCAAGGGTAAGAGCTCAATTTCTTATAGACAGTTGTTTATAAAACAAATGCGTGTAGGACAGAGCCATTACTTTTCCTGCAAAGAGTCGGATTTTTCTTGCTGGGTGCGTTTTTATTCGGAATGATAAAAGCAGCTTCAATAACATCAAGATAAAATAAAATATCTTTATCTTGTTACGGCAAACCATGGTTTAATAATCAAATGATCACTTAATCATCAGAAGTATGATTAGCATTCTTACACATTTCAGATACAGAGACATTAAGCCCAACTTTTGATAGACTGTAACGGTGTTCACAAGCCTCCTTGTCAAAAACTCCATTATTTTTTAATAACTGCATTGATAATTGTTATGACAACAAAATAACAGTAGAGCTTCTGACCTCGTGTGAAATGTAGGCATTAAAAAATCAGGGTTGAATGATCATTTATGTAAAAAACATGAAACAAACTTAAGGGGACTCATTAAGCTCATTGATCGGTTGGGTGATAACGAACTGACCCATAAGACGTACTACTTGCACAAGGGTAAATAGGAAGTTGATATGTTGAAAGTGAAGCCAAGGCCAAGAGAAATGGTAATTGTTACATTTATCTATAAGTGCAGAGCCTCTGTTGTTGTTTGGAAGGGAAGGGGACCTTACAATTCAGAAGACGATTACAAAATCATATTGACAAGTGTAAATGGCTAAATTGTTTGCACATGAAATTTAATTTTGGAGCCTTAGAAGTGTGGTCGCAAGAATTTTTCTCTTGCCCTAAGACACTGACACCTAAAGAACCGTTGGGCAACGCACGTCAGAGTGGAGAGCCACCTTTCACAACAGGTCTATTTTTAATACGAGTTGCTAACAACAAAACAGTTATACTGTTCCTTGAGCTCACGTTCATGACACAAACGAAGTCTTCAAGTGGGCTCCAAAACCCACAACACCTACTTATATTGGATATAAAACAGTTATTACACATATCAACTTCTGCATTTGGCAACAAAGCCCAGAGGGTACTAACCTTTCTCTTCAACATGACGTATTTGAAATATTAGCTGCCTTTTGAAACATTCTGAAGGATCTTTTTTCACGCACAAGCATAAATCCATACAATGCTTTAATGAAATTTATTTTTGCAGTGATAGTCCTATCCAAAGGGGAAACGAACCAGAGCGGAACGAAACAAAAAAGAACAGGTACTAGCAAGAAAGTAAAGCTTTTAGAAATTGCACAGCTATTGCTGTGGCTTTGAGCAGAAGATACCAGAAGTAAACGTTTCGCAGTAAGCAGTAACCTCGGCTTCGCGGTAGCTCACAATAAGTGATCTCAAACCGAGGCTGAGAATTCCTGTCAGATTTCCTGACACCAACATTTAGTTGTTGCCTTTGTTTTTTTTGCCTTGAGCATGATTTGGAAAGCCCATTCGTTTGCAAAAGCAAAAAAAAATGCGTTAATTTCTATTCAAAGGCATATTCTTGGCAAATGCATGAAAATGTTCTACATTCGCGTGAACAAATCTTAAGGATTTCCCTTCCGTTCCCGCTCATACCGAATATCGGATAAGGAAGCGTTTATCCGCATCTATAAACCTTGGATTTAGAAATACCTTCCAGCGATGACTTGACTGAAACTATCAAATATGTTGACTTGACTCCACCCGACCTCCTGCATAGCCTCAAATACAACGTCTCGTTCACTGCCCATTTGAACTTGCACAACAACAGTCAATGATGGCAAAGGGAGGCACCTACAAAGAAGAGGTCAGAATGATGAAAACCCCCAAAATTGGTAAAAAATTTGGTAATAAAAAGATTGACTTGATTCTTGTTGATTGATTTTCTTCATTGGTTTAGTTCAAAATCATTCGTATAGTGTGTTTGAAATAATTAAGAGTATCTTTATAAAAGGGCCTTTATATCACTCTTAAAATGGATTACGAAAGAAAACAAACAAATAAAAGTCGCTATTGGCTACACTGTCTTAACTGGTGTTGTATCATTGGCTACACGGTGCATTAGAAATCTTATACAATTCATGAATATTCAGGGTGTCGATTTGGTGTTTGGGATTACACCCGTTAACACCAGAAATTCGAGTTCTATACTAGATTGTTTCATCCAAGCCCCTTCCAGGCTTTGACCATCCTTTCAAATTGGCCTTCTCCTCTCATTTTTTACCTTCTCGCCCATTCTCCTCTCCTCCAACCCAACCCAACCAACCAGAACCCAACCCAACCCCCCCCCCCAATTGCTCATAATTTAAGACTTCAAAACCGCACATGCTCCACTGCTTTTATAAAATTTGCGACCGGGTAGAATATTCTTTTCAGCAAAAGCAATGGCTAATTAAACACCTTTTTATTGCTGACTACGTCTTATTAGCAAGCATTGCAAAGATGCCTACAGTTTCAGGTTGTTACCTTGGGAAGATTTGCTTAATTCCGAGAATCGCGATCCGGCCGGAATATCTTGCATAGGGCATCGCATTGTCATTTGAAGGACTGCAAGGAACGGCAGGTAAAACTTTCGAGTCGGACACAGCCTCGCTTTCTTTGAACATCGTAACGACGATTCTGCATTGATCTGTAGCCTGTGTTATGCCGCAGATAAAATCCCAGAAAATCGCGAAACCACTTCTGAAAACGAAATTTTGTACTTTGCGAAATAGAAAAATAGATAAAATGAAAAATTTTAACGAAGAAACGCTTACCATGAGGTCATAAAAACGTACCATGATGTCATAAAAACGTACCATGAGGTAATTTTACGAAACAAAGACAACATTTTAAAACGCGTCATTTTACACGAACTCAAACATTGGCAACACTAGGATTTTCTTTAAAAGGCATGAATTGATACATTGGCAATATATAGTTGCAAAATATTGGATTGAAAAATAAGAAGTTTATTGCGTATATAGCGATGCTTTAGAACTCTCGATATTGCTGATAAGAAAAAAAATGCTATGCTATAAAAGGTATTGCAGTATTATGTATTAATCCCTTCTTGCTATCTCTTCTTTAAACATATTTCTTCTCTTTGAAAGCACATCTCGTCTCAAAAAACCAGGAACAAATACAAAAATACCCTCTGATATGACACCAAGTATGTTTTTGCGATTGTTTATCTAAAAACATCAACATTAACCTTTCCGTCCTTTTTTTACAAAGCATTTTGATCGAGTTGTTTTATGACGTCATAGTTCGAATTTATAGGTACCTCATATCAGGAAGACCAGTTTTGCAAATAAGGCTGATCACAGCACAAAATAATCTCCCTTTTTAGTAAAAATGATGCAAAATAAAAACATAGGAGACAATAATCTTCAAAGACATGAATCATGCATGTCAGGAATTAAACAACAAATTTGATCATGAAATGTATAGCTGCTGATCTTAAACCACTCAACCTCTGTCATGTTTAGAATTTATTAGAATGAACCGAAAAATTTCTTTAAACACAGTCAATAATGACAGAGCTTCTTTTGTTCCTTTTTTCACCTTTCACAATTTTTATACATAACTTTCCACTGCTGTACTGCTGGTAATTTTCAAAATCAATGAATCGTTTATAACTTTCACATCAAACCTAAACAGTAATAAATCTCACCCTGGGTCGTAAGGCGCTGGTTGAAATGCCTCTTCTGTTTTTTCGTTTGAAATTTGATACATATCCTTCTCCGACATGACCTACCAAGTTGAAAAAATTTTTTCTTTTTTATATATTCCACTAAAGGTTTACAAGACAAGTTACCTATTACGCTACCTACTAATTACTCAACAAACATTACAACGACGTTGATACCACGGGGAGCAATAGATCATGACAACCCCGTGGTAAATTAACATAGAAAAAATAAAAACTACCAGGTGAATCAGGAAAGATGCACCAATGCCGCACCTGAGAGCCACCATTGAAAAAATTGAAATAATTCATGCAAGAATTAAAAAAACGTATGCAAGAACCACCGAGTTTTAAAAACTGGAGATATGGAAACTGGTAGGCAAATGGTTGCCTGCAAAAAAAACCTCCCTTGGATAGGAATATTTCAGTTCACCGTTCATGGGATGTTAGATCGAAATAACTTGAGTTCAAAATGCACTTTCAGACAGACACGTGAAATAAGAATAATGATTTTTCATGTGATGATGCCATGTTGACTATGATATGGCAAAACAGATGCGCAAATTGTTCTGTCATAAAAAAAAGGCATTTCAAAATTTGGCAAATTGGTTGAATATTTGAATATTCTTTTTAAAAAGCGCCTCCTCAATTAAATGGCTTGGTTGCTCCTGAAAATGCTTGCATTTTTGCAATTACACTCTCTCAGAAACGACACAAAATTGTCAGTGGGAACAGACTTGGCTGAAATTTTCACGCAACACATATTCTACATAGATAAATTTCATGATCTATTGCAGCTGGTAGACAATAGCTGGAAATACAAAACAGTTTGAAATAACTACACAAGAAACTCTCTAGATCACTACTTACCAAGCTATGTCGTTGTTGCGATTGATTATATTGAATGGCCGGTAGCTGAGGAAGGTTTGGCACAGGACCCCTCAAACTCTGCAACTCGTTCTTAAGCCTTTCAAGTTCTAGTTGTTGCCTGTATATCTCAGCCTCCTGTCTCATTTCCATTAGTTTTTTCTCGTGGAAATTACCAATATCAATGTGTGGCACCGATCGTTCTAAAGATATTATTTTAATTTAGAAAAGAAAATAGAGCGACCGAAGTAAGACGATGCAGGCAAAAAAAAAATCGATGTTTAATGTCTGCTAAAGTCATCAAATTAAGATCAACAGTTCTTCACAGTTTTTCACAAAGGGGTGCAGCTCTTCGCAAGAAAGGCAAGACGTTCTCTAAGCCCATGGAAGTCGTAGTCAACGAAACTCTTAGAAATTTCGATTCGAACATTTTGATTTTCATTTAAAATTTTAATAAACAAAAGAGAAAAACTAAAAAGAAATAAATTCTTGTTTTTCATGTTTTTTGAATAAAATTTATAACAAGCTACCTTAGTTGATGTCTTAGAACTGACAGAACTTGTTGACATTGATGCGATAGCAAAATCGTGACAAGCAAAAAAATCTCTATTACATGTACGAAATAAGAAAAACTGTACCTAATCGATAAAAAAAACTGAAGAGAATATTCTTTTACCAAGATTTTTTCAAAATCGACTTATAAGTTTTCTCAAAAAGCACTTAGCATCATGCTTTTAATAAGAATATAACTTATAAGAATATTGAGACTTTGAAGCCACTATTATAATTAAGAATAAATTAAGAAAATAGCCAGGCTCATACATGCAATGCAAATTATTCATAAAAGTTTTCCCTACAGCTTTAAAACTTCAACTTAGATTTACAGTAGCTTGAATGTATGTTAATCATACCACTTTGAAAGCTTTAGATTTTCTTCCTTTTTAAATTTTTAGAGAAAATATGAAAGTATTTCTTAAAGAACACATGTCTGAAGTTATTAACTTAGTTATTTTTCGATTCTATTCTAATGACGAAAATTAGTTATATTAGAGTAAAGTCTGATTTTTTCTGATTGAAAATGATATCAAATAAGGCTGTTCTATTAGCTCAAATTACCATCGAAAAATAAATTCCAGACGTATTAATACTCACCACCCACTTGATTGGACCGATACTCTCGCTGCCTTTCCTAGGAGCAATGAAAAAAACGAAAATTACATAATAAACTATCATAAGGTATAGCGAAACTGGTATGATTTTGAATAAAGGTTATTAAAAGATACCAGGTGGGTTTTCGTGACATCTCGATGTATCTACTGTCAATTTGATAAACAAACTCATAACCTTATGAGAAAGTATCAATTATGATTCTTTATGGACATTGAGCAAGAATATAAATATGAGTTACATAATATTAAGTGTATTAAATAAATAGACAGCCAAAAACGACACAGAAAGTCAAAATGATGTAAACAACTTAAAACAAAGAATACCTAAATAAGTATTTTCATGGTTCTGTCATAATGGAAACTTTTACTCTTCTTACAGTCAATGGAAGACGTTTAGATGCAGCCAAAATATTCCGAGCATGGAAGGCGCCATAAAGTATTGAAATATTTTCATTAAATTAGTACAAAGATGCCGGTCCAAAAAACAACGTGAAATTAATGGTTTATTTCGAATGTCACCCAAACAAAATAATAAAACTGAAATATGCTTAGTTTTCATTCGACATACCAATATTTTTTTTAAAGGTACAGTCGATTAAATAATTTCCGTCAATTTAACGATGGCGAGCTCGGATGGGCTGAGATAGATAAAACTAAGTTTTCCAAAACCTATCATGATTTTCTCTTCGCGGTAAATAAAATGTTTCACTTTCAAGCCATTCTTTTTGTATAATTGTCAATAAAATACACGAGAAAGCTTTATATTACATTTCAAGTTTTTAGATGAAATTAAAAATAAATTATTCACATTCCAAATAACAAATAGAAAAGATTGCGCAAATAATTTTGAGGAAAACAGCGAAATAACAAGCACTAGATAAAATAATAAAATGACGTCTACACATTTAAAGAATCTATCATTTCTGACAAAAACTTTTAATATATTGTGAACTTATATTTACCAAAGAAATTCCAGCAGTGTCTGGGTTAGGAGCAAAAACTCCTAAATATTTCCTGCCCAATTATTAGGTAATGGTAGCAAAGAAGCCGTTTTCCTTAGGGAACGAGTGGGAGCATCGGGTACAGAATACAGGCAACTTTGTTTTCTGGGTGCAGAATACAGGATACAGCATGAAAGCAAATTTCCTTGAGAAAAGAAACGAGCCGGTTCCTTCTGTCAGTCTCAACCATGGTCGAAATTAGGGGCACAGTTGCAGGTACACACCTTACCCCAAACCCGAAGTTTCTGAGAAATTTGGGAAAATACGCTACGTTTTTGGAAATTGTCGGAAAAATTTTATCTTCGGCCCCGTGAAGAGTTCCACTCCCACTGCGCTGAAAAATGTGAAACAGAGGTCAAAAAACCCTTATGACACCTTTTATCAATAAACAAAATACGTGTTACCTGGTTAAGAAATGGTTATAAAAGAGCACAAGGTGTGGCCGGAGTTAAGCATTATATTTTATTTCTTTAGGGTCACTCTCCACACAGTTCTGGGCCTAAGATACGACTCCTTTTGGACCTCTTATTGCAAATGCTGCTTCAAGGTGACCCGAATAGTGTTGTATTGAAGCAAAGCTGAGCTTTCGGTCTCAGTGGATACCTTTCTTTTCAGGGATCATTGTAAAAAATCGCATTAGATAATCTCATCTCGGATCAGACAATCTTTTCCCAATCATTAAGTACCGTAAAAAGACTGTTATCATAGCTGCAACTTGCGTCTCGACGTTAAATTCCTTGTGGCTCGGTTCTTTCCTGATCGGGTTTTCATGCTTCCGGACAAAAACACCGTCAGACCGTCTTATGGTCGGCTGTCCGATCTTTATATCTTTCAAGGTATAGATCACATTTGACTATGGAGTGCATGCAATTAAACTGATTATCCCGCGTTTAGAGGGGGATTTTATGTGGACAAGACGGCGCATTGTCTAGTCAATGCAGCCGTGGGTACAAAGAAAAGTTATGGCGTCAAAAGAAAAGTACGGTTTCTCAAACTTGCAGGACATGACCACCCTAGGTTTTTATTTAGATTACAATTTTCTTACAACAGGCAATAGAAAGATCTTCCTCTAGGGCGGTTGAATTTATTTTTCTGTAGAGTATCTGCAGCCTATGTCTTCGCTGCATTTAAAAGGGGTACTTTGTCCGGTTAAAACAGTATACTTTGATTTGGGCCTAATGTCCATCGGCCCAGTGAGACAGTTAGCCCCACTGCGCCCAAAACTCTTTTGAATTTAGCACAGCTACGCCGAATCATTAAAAAGAAAAATAGTACGGACAGGGAGCTGCTTGTGACCCGGAAAGACACTGCAAATGCTCCTTTTTGGGGCGGAACTCCTTTGTGAATGAGTGATAGACTGTCTCGAAACATATGATCGCTGAGCAATTTAGTCAAAAATGGAAGCATTTTTCCAGCCCCAGGGTATTATAGATAAACACAATTTTGATAGCGCCATGTTTTGTAAAGATTATCCTAGTCTGGCAAGATATCATTCCTGCTGAGCTGTCAACTACTCATCTCAGACGAAGATTACTAGCTGCCATCTGTTTATCCCTCGCACTTCAAAACATAGGATATTTATTTCCGTGGATATTTTAGCATCAATTTACAATCTCGTTCTGGCTTTCGTCATCCTAAAATCCAACAGAAATGTTGGGCACAAGGGGCATGGGAAAACCAATGGTCCCTTTGGACTCAGCACGAGACCGGGGTGGGGTGCTTTTTACATAATGAAATGGCATAATCCAGTTTCTGTTCCTAAAAACTAACTTTTAATTTATCGACTAGCATTAAACTAACTGAAACACGATCAAAGAACGATACATAGCAACATTGCAACCACGAAAGTTAATAGATGAAGAAAAGGCATTTCGGTGTAATCCGATTGCTGGGGTTGCTCCTTTGGGCATTTCAACGAAGCTAGACCTAGTGATATATAAACATGACCTGGGAGTCAAAAGATCAAGCGACGAATCTGAATGAAAAACCGCAGTTTGGTTAATACCATCTTAAAACGGAGGCGCTTCTGCCCTTCTGTGTCAACAGTGACAAGACGCCAGCATCGGAGAATGACACGTAATTTTAGTGGAAGTGTAGTTATTGCCAGAAGTATCGATTCAGAGCACCTGAGGCATCAACCGTCTGTTCTCTTTCTAGCTTAATTCCTATCGAAAACTTCAGCTCATCTTTAAGCTCTTAAAAGATAATTTTCTTAATTTCCAAATTATGAGCTTTGAAAAAAAGCATAACAGTGGATTGTGCGCCAAAATATTCCATGCACAATCAGGTACAGTACTTAAAGCATTGTCAATTATTCATACATCATTTTAACATGCAGTTTGATCAGACACGGCCTGTTTTGGTAAACAAAGTAGTAATCGCAATCCAGACTCTCTGTAAGCTTTACAAAATTAGAGATGAAGACTTCGTTTAAAGTGTGTTCTCATAAGAGCTTCCTGTACTGGGACCACCAAGCAGTTCTGATGCAAACCGTGCATGCTTCCAGCACGCCAGGAGGCGCACCATCCACTTAAAAGTTCTGAGGATCCTCCACAGCTTTTGCTTCAAGTGGAAGTTCCGACCGCCTTGCTCAGTAGTGAACCATCAAAGCACGTGGCACGAATCATGGTGATCAGCGACACTACGTGGACGATGACATTACAGGACAATACAGCACTCTCTATAGATAATCTCAACGGTCAAACTCGATGTTTCGAGCCCCAAAATCAAGCTTTCTTTCGGATCCCTGTGTTTGTCTTGCTTCTGTATATCTAGCAAGTTTTTTGGACCCGCTGGCTGTATTGTCGGTTGTTAATGTCCGGGCCGAATTCTGGCATTTTCACCAGATAGCAAGAACCAGGACTGTATTTGCTCCAGCAAGCCCCTAGCCTGAAACAAACGCTCCCTTTGAACACAATAATGGAAATTGCATCTATAAAACGCCTCATACACTGAAAGTTGCGTTCATATTAATAATAGCATGGAAACTTCTAACGACTACTTTTCTGCCTAAAAATGAAAACCCTTTGTTATTTAGCTGTCACATTAAAATCGTTGATTACTCGATTGTCATCAAGCAAAAATTAAACAAGCTATGTGTTTAAATTTATCAAATTTATCTCTAGACCAAACAAATTCTGAAAATACCAACATAATATTAATTATAATACTTTCTTTGTCTAAATATTGAATCATTTTAACGATTTATTTCAACGATATTATTTTGTGCAAAACTAACTAGTCTGATTGTTAAATGGTTAACCTAAGTAACATCTCAAGTAAAGACTTGAAATTCCTCCATCTATTTGACTCGTCCTCTAACAGACACGTCACTATAGTTGTCAAACATTTCATGAACGTTCAGGGAATTTATAAAAGGAATGCGGTATTGGGACGTCGAAAAAAGTTCAAGAAAGGAGACAATGACAACTTAAATGTTTGGCTAAAAAACAACTGAACTTTCTGCTGGTTGCTTTCAAAAACAATACAGGAGACATTTAAGTGATATGTGAAGTTAAAAGTTTTTGTTGCAAATGCTTTTTTCTCTTTTCAGTTTAACTTCAAAAATAGCAATAAAACAAAAGGCTTTAAAATGTTACTTTCAAGGTGCTTTAATCGGCAAACACGCTGCTTACAAAATCTAACTTTGTCTGCCCATACCTTTATGGAATAAGTCCTGAGTAAATAGAGTTAATAACACAACTTGGTTATTGTTAGTGTCTTTTCCTGGTCAAACACGGGCGATTTCGATCTTGTCTCTATCCATTAAGGGAATTTGCCTTGAGGTTTCTGCAGACCCCATTAAAATCCTATGTAAACGAATGCTTGCAGATTAAGCCAAAGCAATACAAATTCACTCTCCAATCTGCATAATCTAAACCATTTCCATGTTGGGAAAACAGAAGCAAGCCTGATAGGGTTTGGTTTTCGAAATCCTAGTGGCAGCCTTGGAAAAACCGCTCTTTGGATCATAGGCTTTCATCTTCATATAACAAGATACACTTTTAAATTGCTAAATATGAAGTTATTTAACAGGCGCCAGACTTTGCAATGCTTAAGAGAACCAAAGATTTATTCTCGGGGCAGCTTCCATTTTTACATGGCGCCACAAGTAAGTCAAACAAAATAAGCGGCTTCAGCCTCCGAAAAGCAGTTCCATTAGAGTTGTTCACCTAAAGCAAGCACAATATAGGATGAAACAGCTTGGCCTAGAATTGAAAGATATTACTTGCCAAGCACGGCAAAGTATAAAACAGCTTATAACAAAATGGAATGGACAGGATAGAACGGGACAGGATAATATAGGGTAGAATAGGATAGGATGAGATAGGATAGAATGGGATAGGATATGATAGGGTAGAACAACATAAGATAGAATGGGATAGAATAGGGTAGGATAGGGTAAAATAGCAAAGAATAGAATGGGATAGAATAGGACGGGATATGATAGAGTAGAACAGCATAAGATTGAATGGGATAGGGAAATATAAGATGGGATAGCTTAGGACAAGATAGGATAGAATAGGATATGAATAGGAAAGGATAGGATAGGATAGGATAGGATAGGATAAGATAGGATTAATAGGATAGGATAGGATAGGATAGGATAGGATAGGATAGGATAGGATAGGATAGGATAGGATAGGATAGGATAGGATAGGATAGGATATGACAGGATAGGATAGGATAGCTTAGGGTAGGCCAGGATAGAATAGGATAGGCTAGGAAAGGATAGGATAGGATGGGATAAAATAGGGTATTTTAAGCCAAAATAGGGCAGCTTAGAGTAGCAAAAGATAGAATGGCAAAGTAAATTAAAGCAAATCAAATAGTAGGCAGACAGTAGCCACCTTGGATTGAGATAACCCCATATACTCCTGTATCGTTATGTAGAACTAATGCAAAAGAGAAAACAAAAAAATGAAGGACATCGTTTTCTGATGGTTGAATCACAGGCTCTTACCAATCTCGATTTAGTAAGAGAAGCAAGTCACAAAAGACTTGGTACGAACAATTCTTAATACAAAAACAAAACGAATTCCTAGGCGAGTATATTTGTAAAACTTGTTTACATTTTCTCTGACAATTCCATTCATTGAATTAAGATTTCAGTCATCTTTCAATCTTCTGAGGTTTTCCTCTTTTCAAAATCAAATTACCAAAAGAATTAAAACTGTCCATTTTCCATTTTATCCTTGCTGCTTCTCCCAATTCATTAGTTGTAGAATAAAGGATCATTGACGTAGAATTACCAAGAATATCACAACAAATCAAAGAAGATTTAATATCTGCAAGGATGGGCTTAGTTCCAACATGAAGCAATCCAAGTTGGCAAGTTTATCTACTTAAAAGAGGCTTTAAATCAAGATTAGGTTAACCCTGAATTAGATTCATTTCTTGAACTAATTTCAGTCGATTGAAGCTTTTATACTTACTTCCCTCAATCAAAATTGTCTTTTGTTTATTTGGTTTCTAAGTTTCAAATGAAAGACAACTTTAGATTTAGAAGTCAAGAAAACAATGTGAAGTGAAAAACATCCTTCAAAGTTTTCTAATCAAAGTAATGAGATTTTAGGCCGTGCAGATATAATCAACAAGCATAAAATCTTCCCACTTCTGGTCAATGAACTAAAAACACCAAGAGAAAAGTACGATACGGCTCGAAGCAAGCCTTCAGCCTCGGTAGAGCAACGATGACGACGAGCACAACTCTGATTACGAGGCCTCAACAATCCTTGAATAGTGTCTATATGACGAAACAACCGCTTTTCCGTTTAAATGGATTGGTGTAATAATGTGTGTTTAAAAACAGGATAAGAGAAAGGATTCAATTTCCTTCATTTCAATGATAAAGTTACATGTTTGCAAATTTAGAAAAATTTGGATAGTTTTACAGCCTTGGCAACTAAAAATTTAAAAAATAAACATGCCATCACAGACTCTATTTTGCCTTTTAGTAAAAAAGTCCCAAAAGAGACAAAACTGAGTGGAACATACATTCAAAGACTCCAAAGAAGACAAAAATAAAAAATCCTAATAAAGATAAAAAATGAAACATTCACTCAACAAAAAAAATTCAAACGAAACAAAATGCAATGGAACATGCATTCAACAAAAATCCCAGCAAGGACAAAAACAAATGACACATTTGCTCAACAGAAAATCATAAGAAAAGAAAAATTGAGTGGAGAAAATGTTCAACACAAAATACCAAAAACATTTACCCTATAGTTTTTTTACCATAACGGTTTAATACATCATTGAAACAAGCAAAAAAAATTGAACATCCCCTCCCTTTTCCGCGATGTTATCCAGGCTCTGAAATACTTCGGAATCACAACACAACCAAAAAGCAAATATTCTCATAGTGCTCCCACTGTCTCCAAGATGGACAATATAAAAGCACAATAGGCTTTTCTGGAATGTGCAAGAAAATGGCAAAGAATATCTATCCGCAAGCTTAGATGACTCTAAACACCAAAGACTAGCTATAACACTTTGTTATATTTATAAATCAATCTATTATTAAATAATGAGCATTTCGGCAGACATTTAGAGCCTTGTGAATTCCATTCACTAGACTTCGGGTTTCTAGCAAAGGTGCCTACCCAATGAAGTTAGAGTCAAATTAATAGGCCAATGTATGGTTAATATCCGGCTCATTCTTTTGCAAAGGTAAATACAGTTTTGTATCTAAGCTACCTTTCAAACCAGTTGTTATTCGCTGCGCAATTTTTAAGAACAATGTTTTCCCAATCCACAATATGTGCAGACTTTGACTTTGCAATTAACTTCTCATTCAGTTAGAACATCTTACCGTTCAAGCAAGGTACATTGCGGCTCTCGTATGTTTGTACTAAAAGCAGGCCGCTGGAGGCAAACTATATACCAATATTGCTACCCAGCGACTTTTTAATTATAGTGTCAATACAGACGGTTCATAAAAGCACATGCACATAGTAAAAGCAATCTTTCCCATAAAAATTAAGACGTATATCTAATAGATTCTTGTAAACACTATTATGACTTATATGTCTCTGTAGTACGAGGAAAATCTGTAGTCCGAGAAATAGTAGTTTTATCATTCCTTATGAGATGCTTAAGGAGACTTTCATGTATCCCAGAATATAATACTGTGTCAATGTAACATTAAAAAATGCATTTATACGAAACATTTCACACAAAGTGTTTCAAAGCCTATCCGTGAATGCAGATGACATTGGTAAACTAGTTTATCAGGAACATCCTGCACATATTGCGCTCACACAAAATTATCTAATTGAAAAGGTATATTGCTAAGTGAAACTATTTGCTTTAATTTGAAGATACTCCTTTTAAATGCAAAACCAGAAGCTCCAAAGGAACCATGGTTTGAAAACTGACCTCAAAAAGACATTTAGATTATCCTGAGGCAAGAATAGTGTCTGGCATTTAGTCCCCTAAAAGTACGCCATTAGAAAAAATACGCTAAAAAGAGAATCATATTGTCTTGCTAAAGGCAATCGACATAAACTAAGGTGGCTAAAGCCATCTCTCAGTCAAAATTGGCCAATCAGTAACCGTAATACCACCCATACGTTAGCATCTGTCTGTTGCCTTTTATGCGTGCAATGGGCTTGTACGATTATGCATGCCCTTTAAGAACATGAATTCGAGGTACATTGTACCCTTAGCATTATTCCATAAGAAACTTCAAATTGAAAAATAGAGAAGATGTCATACCCTACTGACTTTTAGAATTTGTAACTCCTTCATCAGTGACTCATTCGTCTGCTGGGCTGTTTGAAGTTGTTTTTGAAGCTGTTGCACCATTTCAGACTCTTTCTCTAGGAAGAACAACACATTATATGGTACTACTACTTATTGTTTTTATGTGATATTAAGTGTTTCTACTTTAGGTACAAGATATGCAATACAAACAATTGGAAGCTAGATCAGTTCAAAAAAAAGAAGTCAGTGAGAGGTCAGTGATAGCAAATAGCTGTCGTACATGTTAAAATAAAATACGTTTATCGCTTCGTAGAACTACAAACCGCATAAACAAACAAATAGAAACATTTTAACTTTCCAAACAAACATCTTACAATACAATTAGAGTTAATAAGAACGCAAGCAGCAAGTCAAAAAAAGCCAACAGTGAACAATATTCTTCTTTCTTCATCTTCTTTTTCTTCAGTAAACACCATTCGAATGAAAACTGCAACTTTATGGGCATGTCAGAAACTGAAAACCAAATTCAGAATCTTTCATTCGAGAGGTAATAACCACAGCTAGCCTTTATCTGACTTGGATGATTTGATCCACACATAACGGGGAGGATGCTTAGGAGCAGGCACAATTGACTTCTATGCTGTAGATCATGTGATTAAATCCAGACGCGAACTCATGCCTGCTATTCTACAGCGGCACATGGTTACCCCTTGGTTATACCTGAAGAGATCGGTAGCTACCAGGTACATCTGGTTGGGGAAAACGCCAACACAGTGGCTAGGAATAGTAAACGTTGGGTATACTTATCGGGTTTTACAACACAAAATTATAGCTGATTCTTAAAAACAAACCTGTGTTTCTGTAGTGTCTACTTCTTGAAGAGGGTTGTCTATTTCTGTAAATATCACTCTCCAGCCCATGAAAGAGTTCAAATATTCGAACATCGTCACCACCATCTTCCATGTAACGCCTCTTCAGTTTCCTGCCATTGAAAATATTTTTCAGCTAAGTTGTGATGCATTCTTTACTAAATGGTTACACTGTATATGTAACAGATTCAAGTCGAACAAAACAACCAACAGGAATTGTACTTTGAAAGAGACACTGTACTATAGCAGAGAAACTTTTTTGCCAGATATCACTTGTATGACATTTCAACTTAAAAAGTAAAGCAATGTGCATAGTTTTCACAACATCTATATTTCCAAAACACAAACACAGTTTATTCTCCATAAAACAGTTTTAAAATGAACTTAGCAAAGAATACAGGAGATTACTGCACCATTTTAAGGATTAACAGTTTACACAATGTTTTAGGCATTTTAGACGATGGTGCAGTATAGGATAAGAAGTGTGAATAAGTGAGAATAAGAAGTCGAAAATAGGTATAAATGATGACGTATATAAGACAATAAATAATTCACCGTTTACATCTATTCTTTTTCTGTTTTTATTTCTTCATTTATAGCTGTCTTATGAACATGGTAAGAATAAGAATTGCAGTTTCAACTTAGAACCACCCTCTGCCTTTTACACTAAAGCATGTACAGACTCATTTTCTCAAGAACCATGAAGTGTCTCATATACTTGTAAAAATAATAAGAAGAAGTTTACCAAGAGCAAAGTGTTATGAACTAAGAAAAATGAAGTTGCGAAGAGTTGAAAAGGCAAAAATGGAATAGATCCAAATTTGGGTAGCAGAAGATGCCATAAATTGCTGACAAAATGAAATGGGATAGGAATGCCACGTAAAAAAGCATCCCATGGTTCAGGGATCAGACTTGAAAATCAACTACAGTACTGTCAATTTAACATAGTCATTGGCCTAGATTAAAAATTCTTTACTTTGCAAAATCTAAATGTTTTACCTTATATGAGCTAACAGCAACCCGGTGTTATCATTTTCTGATGAAGAAGGATGCAAGTAGTATTCCTTTCCACCGTTATGTCTAAGAGACAAGAAGATAGGCATTTACATTATGTTGAATATAATATCTCCTACTATTATTCTTTCAAAACATAATTCCAAAATATCTAATGATATTAAATGGCAAATAACTCCAAAACAGATTTTTGGATTATATTTATTAAAATGTCATAGTAAAACCCTTTTCACCCATTTTCAATTATCCAGGGAAAGAGGCCTCGAAAATGTTTCCAGAACCTGATCTTGAAGAGCACTTTGGTCTTTGATGTATACTTTTCAAATGTTTTGTGCCAATCGTGACAGCTCTGATAAATGTCTAGAAAGTAATCTGATCTGCAGCAAAAATGGTTAATGATTTCCAGATTTATGTATTAAATTCAAAAATATTTTCCCATAATGTGTTCATTTTTTCATTATTCACATATTCAGAACATTCAGGCCAAGGGTTTAGGACCATTGCTAACCTTGATAAGTGCTGATGTTTCAAGATGGAATTTTGGAGATCCTCCAGATGAGCCTCCTAAAAATAAAAGTTTCATATCACAGCAAAGATTAACATCACACATATTTCACACTCTGCTCTGCCAATTACCAAACATTAATGTTGGAGCTAACAAAGAATTGAAGATAGCAGAAAACAACAGATGCAAAAACATGGACACCAAAAATTTCAAATTCATGGAGTAGAACAGGTTAAACTTTTGAAAAATTGCATTTGATATGTTGATTATGTAAATTTAGCTTATTGGATGGGTAAATTATCAACAGGAATCTGGTATATTAGTTGGTTTATTATCTACCATTGCAGCATTTCTTTCTTTTCTTTCTTTTTGAACAAATTGTTGGTTGGCTTGCTCATTCAAAATTTTGAGCTGTTTATCTGCAGATCCTCCATTTCCATGAATTCTTGCAAGCTTCTCTTGAATTGCTACATAATTCAAAAAAAGGAAAATAGACTTAAAAGAAACATTATAGGCAATAAATGAATTACAACTTTGCACTTCAGTAAATATTCAAGTATATAATATTATAAGTTGACAAAATTGGTTCTAATGAACTCTCTATCTTTCTAATAAATATTCAAAATTTAGACAACATACTTTTTAAACAAAATTCTACAGCCTCAAAGAAGCTTTTTATAGGGAATCTAGCTATTGATTTACAATGTTTCATAAAACTGACATATTTCTACAATTTTTTTAACACATACCTCTTTTGTGCTCCTCCAGTTTTCCTTTCTCTAGTTGCAGGTCTTCAAGAACAGAACTAAACTTCATGCCTACATTTAATTGATTTAGATTGCCATAACCATTAGAGGTTGGTCTTCTAACTGTATCAGCTGCCTAAAATGTACAGAATAGGTTTCAAAACTAACACTGATGTGCAAAATGGTTTGGCTGATTGTTTTTTTAAATTGTTATACGTTCAATTGCATATAATAATAGTCCATATCAGACCTGTCAAGTTTCAGTTTTGAAAATGATTCAGGTTTGAGTTTCAGTTTTGTGAAAAGGAAGGAAAAATGTTTGGGCTGCCATAGGCTCACAACATCAGGGATGGGTTCAGAATGAATCCTAACTGCCACAAAAGTGGGGTCCAAGTTGTAGCTCCAGAAACTTTTCCATTACCTCATCCTCTAGTTTTTCAGAAACGACACTTTGAGTAAACGCTTGTAACAGAGATCCCTTTCCAGGATACCAACATCATCAGTCAAGTAATTACATGAAAATAACTCTGCTCTGGAGGTGATATCAAAAACACTCTGGAGTCACTCTGTAGAGGATTGTTGCAGTGTAACCGCACCAACCTGATATACTTTAAAACCTACTATTTTCTTATTGTTTTCTGCTTTAGACAAATTGCTCACTAGTGAACAATAGTGATTCTTGAGATTTTTGGCTGGCTGTGTAATACCCAATGAAAATCATCCTAACAAACATTTTTGTATTCAGATGTTATTCTTTCCCAAATGGTTACATTGAGATGGTACTTGGATGAACATGCTTTGACACTTTTCTCCGTCTCTGAATTTTCAGTGTTGTTTTTGTCAATTTTGTGCAGTTTTTATTGAGAAAGAATTTAAAGCAATACCTAACTCATCACCAAATCACCAAAGACATCACCAAAGATTGCAAAAGTGCACTGAATTAAGAACCAGAAGTGCAGAGAGAGGAATGAGGGCATAACTGCTACCCCAAATGTCACTCCAAAGAAAACTCACCCCTCTCTGTTGATTAAGGGAGATTATGCTCCTCTAGTACATTTCCAAACAATTTACTGTGTGTCATAGTTGAGATATAGCTAACCTGTGTTTCGTGAATGGAGGAAAAGAAATGAGTACATTGAACTAGCTCTTTGATAAAAATGACATCACCTGACCTGTGTGGATTTGCTGTTATCAGGTCATTTGCTATTCTTTGTTAATACTGAGGCTTTTTGCTAGGATTTGGAATAAAATATGAAAAAAAATTGAATAAACCAAGAGCTTTATTGCAGAATGCATGAGAATTTTGCTTTGGTGCCTGTGAGCTTAAGGGTAGACCAAAATATGTCTCAGGCAGAATGCGTGTCTTCTGCGTGTCTTTGTCTTTTTAGTGTGCATGTCACACAGAATGTGTGACACTTGGTAGGTCTGCCATTGATTATTAACCAGGAATGAATGGTTGTTCTTTTTCTAACCATGAATGGAAGGGTAAATTTTTATTAAAGCAAATCTTTGGGTCCTTGGTAAGTGGAAAAAAACATTTTCTTGGATCAGTCTGCAGAGTATGGCTGTTCCATAAAAGATATTTCACATGCAAAGTGATTTTATCTACATAATTCTGCTTGCAAACCTCCAATAACAAAGCATGCAAACATAAATTTTCCATGAAGAGCAAATTTGCAAAAACAAGAGCTTAGATTTTACCTCTTTATATATATATTTATATATATAGAATTGGTGCTGTTTGGACTCTCAAAGGAGTCAGCTTGAAGAACAGATTACAGATCACTAAGGCCGTTGGTTGCATAGTCAGAAAAGTATGGATAAGCTCAAAGCCTTCAAGATGAAATGTGACAGAAGAATGATGAATATCTCGTGGAAGGAAAAGAAGACTAATGATTTTGTATGGAGAAAAGTAACAGAGATACTATGCAAGAAACCGAAATTAGTAGGAAAAATCATCAAGCGAAGTACTATGGCCACCAGATGAGAAAAGGAACGATGGCAAAGGTTTTGATTGAAGGGAAAGTTGAAGGGACAAGAGGAAGAGGAAGGCCAAGAAGGCAATGGGAAGACAACCAGAGGGAATGAAGTGGAGGATGGGAGATAGAGAGAATAAGAAGAGCAACCAATGACAGGTGGTGGCGGGAGCTTGTGCAAAATTGGGGGTGCCCAGGGTCTTGACAGCTATAGCAAAAATGATAATGATGATGATGATATATATATATATCATTAAAACTATGAGGAAAAGATATGGGCCTCTTATTATTTCGATGCTGAATTTTGTATGTCGACGAATTTAAAATTAATGAAACTGAGCTGAACTGAACTGAGCCTTTCCAAAACTTTAAAGACAAATCAATCTTGACTTGAGATAATGACTCGTACCTGATAAATGGCTGGAGAGGATATAACAAGACGATCTGATACAGGTTTGCCTGCCCAAAAATCTGCACTAGATGCGGTTTTTAGAGGAAATTCTGGCTGACCATTCGATATTCTCCTGTTACTTTTTGGAGAGGGTGCCCATGTATTGTTATTGCTCCTCCCTTGTCCTTGACAAAACTTTCTTTTATGTTTTTCAAAAGTTCCTGAATTCTTGAATCGGAGACTGCATTCGAGGCAGACATAATCTGCAGGTTCCTGATCCATATTTTGCTTGATAGATCTGTGTTGTTTAAGAATAAACCTAAATATTTTATCAATTAACACCAATTACCATGGCTGACAGCAAAACAACATGCATCACACCTACAGCTAAGCCTACTATCTCGGCGCAAAATCTTTATCGCATGATAACCATAGCTGAGCTTTACAAACATTTCCAGACTACAGGCACTCAATTTTCGAAGTAGATACATAAAGGTCTTTTTCATGCAAAAGGCATTCAGCTTTCGCGTTTTTTTAGCCACATGGGTTTTGCTTATTTTGATTCTCAACTCAAAAACGCAATTGATTTCCAAGGTAGCAACCGTTGTGTTGTTGTAGCTGCGAAGATCAAGAGACCAATATGGCCGCAAAAACTCTTTCCAGGGGCGTGGCAGTGATTAGAACTCTAGAGGACTAAGAGGAGGGGACAACAAAATAAATTTTCCGACAAAGAAGCTAAAGAGACTTGTTTCAAAACTCATTGAATCTTACTTTTTTAAACAGCACTTTGAAAAGGTTAGAACGCAACCGGCAACGTCCATTCGTGTTGAAGGACGCAAGGCCCCGTGCGGCACGGACACTGTGCTCAGCGTACACGTTAAGTTTTAAAAAAACATTCAATTTTTTCGAATGGAATAACTCCTGTTCACGTGTGGCCTATGTTTTGTGATAAATTTGATGTAGGGAAAAGGTTTGCTGACCAGATTTCAAGAAAGGATATCTAGAGCTTATTCCTTGAAGGTTGATATTGAAAGATAATCTAACTTCTCGTCGAGTGGTTTCAGTTATTAACACTAAGCCATATTCATTGACGTAAGGCTGGCCACTTCCGAAGAGATGATAAAACGGAGATAGGTAAACAATTTCTTAAAATCCAAAGTTTCTTAAAAATTCCTTACCCTCTTGGAAAGAAAGGAAGAATTAGAACAGAAAATTGACTCAGTACGAATTTTAGTGCAGTACAACGTTAAATCAGTAAAATAGCATCCCATCAATGGAGACATTCCATCCCATCAAACACGTGGGACCATGGTGGGACCGGCTGAGCTTGTATTGCCTATTTAAAAAACATGTATGGCATGATTTCTTATGACTGTAATAATACCATTTCTTAAAATCTTTCAGCCAGTAGCTTCAATGATTTTTAAATCATTGTGAGTTATCTTTTTGCCTACTCTTTTCCAATATAAAGCTATTTCTTTCAAACTCTCAAAAAAATGTGCTTGAAATCATTAAACCATGCACACTGAACATTGTCAATACTGAATAATTACTTGCATATAAAGAAAAGCCTAATACTGTCTTATAATGACAAACTACACGTCCAATAGATTCATAAATTGTTAATAGCTCTCTCTAAAAGCTCCCTTGATATAACTGTATTATCTATTCAATAGCTGTTGTCTCTTCAACTATGACATATGAATTATAAATGAAAAATCAGGCGGAATACCTTGTTTGGAATTTTTTATAAATCTTGAGTAATGAATTCAACGTGTCCATGAAGCATATCGCATTTGGAGCCGTAAAACTGAGCTCTTGCGGAGCTAAATCTTGATAAGGCATTAGGACTGGTCAAAATATCTGAAACCAGACACGTGCTTGATAAGTACCTATCTAAATCCCGCTATTTCAGTTTGCTACACTTCCAAAAGAAGCCTTTTAGGTTAATGGGAACTCTGTTTCAGCCACAAGATAAACGATGCAACATTAGTAAGCAATAAATAATGAGCTGCAAAAGTTTCTCTTGTCTGGCATCGAAAAGAAGCGACATTGTTCAAGCCAGAGGTAACTGAGATTTAAGTAGATTCTAAAGTCATGAATATGTATTGTTTTATTAATGTGACAAGTCGTTTAGGATGGTTCTAAAACTAGGCTTATCCCCTCCCAAAGGTGCTTTATTGTTTTATTCAAAGTACTATCATTGTAACGACTAACGTCAAGTTAAAAAGATGATTTTACAGTTGGAAATCTCCTCATCATAACCAAAACTGTCTTCATACGCCTTTACTTGTCAATTTTTCAAGCTAAATGTAAGTTATTCATTAACAGTTACCAAATTGTATAGCCTAAACTCCTTTTAATTGAAATATATTTATTTCGTATCTTGAACCACCCTGAAAAGAACTAAAATCTGGATCTATGCCTAAATAGTTTTGAAATATATAATAGACAAAGACTAAGTATATTTTCAGGCGAGTTGAATAGGAGATACAGCATACAATAGCTAGAACCTAGATTAGTCTTAAAATCTGACGTCCGTCGAAAAAAGAGATTAGATTCTGCACCAACAGAGTTTGCAATTGAAGGTGGTGGTTTGAATATTATGCCCAGGATAAGAAAAACATCCATCACCGTAACAAGGCTAGATTAGAGGCAAAAAGAAGATTCTTTAAATTAAAAGTTCAGTACATATAGTACAGTACAAGGCTACACTACAAGCACCTATAGGCCACTGTAACTGTGGCGACACAAAAAAATTCAACAGAAAAAGCTATTTTTGCTTTGTAAGGTGGACATGTGTGATGTATTTTTCAGATTTCATATACAGGGCCAGCGCCACGAATTTGAAAGTGGAGGGGGGAGGCAAGACTAAAAACGTTGGGGGCCAAGGCTTCCTACCTCTTTTAATACAGCTTTTAAACTACTTGCTTCGCACATGGCCACCAAAACAAGCCCCCCCCCCCCCCCGGTGGTGCGGGCCCTGATATCGATTACCAAACCAATATTGGCAGATGTCTTCAGCTGTATCTAGTATAAGATCCATTGGAAGCTCTCAGAATATAGCATATAATCCTTTCAATGATTTGGATCAACCAATAGGCATATTTTCAATCCAAACTACAAAGAGGAGATGGGACAGATTTTGAACCACTCATAACGAACCAAGTGATAACGTGTTTCAAATTATGCACATAAACTTACTGTCCAGTGAAACTTTAAATACATTTAGGCGTTGCAGAAAAAAAATTAGAATCTTTGCTCGTGTTTGTAAAGCAGCCATGATTCGACTGCACGACAACCAAATCTACATACGTCTTCTAATTTTAAAAAAGGGCGGGAAAAGGTTGACTGAGTTCCTCCATAGCTTCATATCATAATTTTCGAGTTGAATCGCTAGACCCTTTTTTGACTGAAACGTAACACATAATGAATTTCGAATCTAATGTTTATTTAAAAACTGCTGGACTTCTGACATTCATTGAAAATTGGAAACGATTCTTTGTCAACAAGATCAGAGGATCAACATTCATTGTAAACATAGCAAAACTCATAGCGCATGCTTCTAGGCTCTGATGGTATAGAAGATACATCATTATTACAGATTTGGCCGTAGCAGGATAATATTGTTGAGAAACGAACACAAATTTATTTTGTTTTAAAAGTTTGAAAAGAGTGCAAAGCAGTTGAAAAACAGCACTTAAGAAAATGTATGTTTTGGAATTTGTTTATACTGTTTTGGGAAACACAGAAAACATACATATATGTGGAAACAAAATTTTTGTTTTTCGTGCTTTCAAGATAATCCTATAATTTAGGTATTAATCGTTCAAGATAAACAATACACTCGAAGAAATCCTCATTTAGAAAACATTTGTAATCCACTATTTTTTGCAGTTCTTTGGCCTGGTGAGATAGATTGATTGCAGTTGTAATAGGGTTAAAGACAGGCGAAATGAACACGACTCATAAAACACGGAATTTGAGTAGGTAAACAAAATTCTTTGTAAATATCGATAGAATGTGACGTATGTAATCGATAGAATGTGACGTATTTAAAGTTTATTTTACAAAACCTCTTCCTCTTGAAGATCAAAATATTAAGAACTGGAAGTTAGTTACTTTCAATATACCACTTTCAATGTATTCTCAAATTGATAAAATTTCCTACACATTTATTGAGCAGGTTAGGCCCATAGCGGCACATAGTGCTGCTTTTATAATCAGCTGGTGATAAAGCCAAGGGTATTTTTTAAAGAAAATTTGAAATTAGAAAGTGGAGATAATTCAGATATATTGCAATTAAAATGACCTGCAAATTACATAACATGTCCAAAAACTTCGCTAAGAATAGTTATGCTACATTTCATTATCAGTCTTTTCTACATTTTAACAACAAATTCGATTTTCCTAACTTCATCAAAAGCAATGCCGTGATTGAAAGGCCCTTCTTCCTACAATTAACAAAGGTCCCTCAAGTAGACATTATCTACTACTTGCAGTATTTCATCTCTGGGCCAACCTTAGCTTATTTCTAGCTAGAGTGTTTTAAGTGCAAATAAAAATCTGAGGTGAATATCTAGAGAAGGGTTGAAATCAATCTTGTCTTTCCCAGTAAATCATTTCCTTTCATTACATTAATGATGATGTCTCTTATGCACCGTCTTGCCTCCGCCAGAATTTTAACTACCCAGAAAGTATCTATGTATACAGAAGGAGGGAGCATTCACACGGGAGCCAAGATGGTCTTCTTCCTTTGATTTGTTGTACACTGGGAGTTGAGTATGTTCTGACCTAGAATTGATAAGCAAACAGGCTTCATTAACCATCCTATTGCTAGATCTTTTTCTCCACAGATAACTAAATTGTGTTGCTCATACGATTACAGTGGCTAAAGAATTATTTCAAGAAATTTTGAAATCAATTATCATGTTACATGATAAACTGATAAATGTTTTTATTCCACCCGAACAAGCTCTGTTTTCAATAACTGTTAATCGTCAATCACCTTGGCCAACCATTTTTCTTTCCTAGTGATTTCTTTTGATAGTTAGTTTCGATTCGTAGAGAGTTATTGTGAATTCTTTCAGGTTTTTATCTACGTAGATTGGTATTACATTAAATGAAATTCATCAGCTTAAAAGCTTAAAATGTTATAAGCTTAGAAATTGCATTTGAATTATCTAGAAGAAAAAGTCTTTTGGATCATTTCATACGTTTTATTTGACTACGCAACAGGAACTGTTCTGAATGAATGCAATTTTTAAACTCTTATAGAAACTAGAGATAAAATTTTAGAAGTCTTTCGGACATTCTTTTCTCATCTTAATTGAAATTTGTATCTAAATTTCGTACAAGATAAAGTTTGCACCGGGAAAGGAGTGATAAGAGAGCAGGGGCATAAACATGTAACATTGATAATATTATTAACTGAGGGGGCTGAAAAGTGTTTGTGGGGGCTTAAAGCCAAGACCAAGTTCATTCGTTATATGCTTGAAGCAAATTTTGAGAATTAGTGGATGCTTAAGTGAGAATTCTATTTTCATTTTTATATCTGGTGGTGAAGATTTTCCAAATTGTCCTGGAATTCTATTTCCAAATGCAAAACATACTTTGTTTGTATGATTGTTGGAAAACTTCCTGGAAACTCAGGTTCTTTCACCGCCAAATGTTATCATGTTATCATCTCTCGTTAAACCTGGCTTCTCTCGTTAAACCTGGCCTCTCTAAAAATATTAAGCAGATAATTCAAAATCATAGCGGTTCATATTTGTGAAATTATACTTTAAAATGATGGGAACCGAAAAATCCAAACCAATTAAAACTTCCTTTTCCTGATTGATTTTCTAAATAAGAATTTAACGAGCAATAATTCTTGGGTCAAATTCCTCGAAAGAAATCGGACTTAATCTTCGTCGTTTCCTATTGACTTGCAACTGTTTTTCCTTATAGAAGGTGTTGCAGGAGAACATAATAACTGGATTTCCTCAACTCATAATCTCTTTTTCCCGCCTACGCCTCAAAACGAGGTCATATCGATTTGGTAATGCGAATCATTGCTGAAATAATTTGCAAGGGTATTTTTTTGTAGTTTCTGCAGAGGCAGACAGTGTGTTCTTTGTTGTGATAGATTATGATATTCAAATGAGGTCCTTATTCAATGATCCTTTGATTCAACTGCAAATGTTGGGAACGGGATGCCTTTGACCCACTTTTTAGATAAGATCTCATATGAAGAAGCTTCTGTAAGCTGCCTGCCTTCTCATTATCCAATCTGATAAATGCAAGGTGAAACATGTCTTGTTGCACTGGGGTTGTGTTATTGGGAAATGATGTAATTGGTACACAATATCGTTTATCCACGCTTGTCTTGGCAGTCATTCTCATTTAGATATGTCTTCTATCACACTAATGCAATAGATAAACTCTGATGACATTATATTGAAAACTGTAGAACGGGTTTTGTCAGTCATGCTATTCTTTGTTGTGAACATAGCAAATCAGGCTACTGCTGGAAAATGATACACAAATATGTGAGCTGAGGCTGAGCAATATTTTTATAAAATTCCTAAAAATTATATGAATCTGAGCCTGAATATTCTTACAAACAATGATCATGTAAAAAATAATGTTTCTCATTAGAGCGACATAAAAAGTCTGTTGACATTTTTTTAAAGAACTGAAGAACGTGTTATCAGTACGGCCTAGCAACGATTTTGAGAATTCATTACATTATCAGCCTCTACAAACAGTTTTGTCTCTATATCAATATCTTCCATATCTTGATTAAAAACAATTGATTTCTGTTTTCATTTTTCTTTGCGTTCTCTGCTGTTTTTTTTATCTCTAAATCACTGTAGTCAAGTTTTAGACAAAAGAACTGTTCTTAGAGAAATTGTTTCAGTGCCATGGATATTTTCTCTGTACCTGTTCCTGCATAAATTGACATTGCCAACAACTTTTGGATCTGTGAACACTGAAGCTAAGTTATATCTTGTGCTTAGAGTCACAAATATTTTTAAAGTTTCTGTTTATAGCAGAAAGGTTTTCATATATCTGAATTCTTACACCACAAACCTAGTACCCCCTCGCTCTAAGCATTCTAGTGGGTCGTACCCTTCTTGGATTTTAACTGTTGCTAGTTGTGGCATGTAGCAGCATAAGGATAATTGAATAAAACTAGAGAGCAAAGGGAGGCAGCCAGCCAATTGCTGATTTGCCTACAACCCGCAAATTCTTTCCTCCTAGAACTTGTTTACCTTCTTCTATTTAAAGTGCCCAGCCACTATGGAAATTGTTTAATCTTTATCAATGAACCCCTCCTAGCGTTATCTTTTGGCAAGATAAGCAAAATGTGATTACAAGCTCACTTGAAGCTGCTGAGCGTGTTTCTTAAGATATAATGATATCTCGATCCCTGCAAACCGTAACGAATGAAAAATGTAAAGTTCACCACAGTGATTCACTCACCAACACATAACGTCACTCACCATTTCACTTTGGTGGTGGCTTGTTGTTTCATTTCTGATCGTTACTTTGAAAACTTACTTTCTAATCAAACCCCAGGCATTTTTTCTCATAAAGAAACAAATTAATTTTCATACATATAGTCATAGCTTCTGCAATATCAGTTTATATGATAAGCTCGTATATTTACTTCTCAACCCAATAGAATAGGTAGGTAGACAGATAATTGCCTTTTTTGTTGGAAATGGGAACGCTTTAAATCCAACGAAATCAATAAAAGGGATAAAAAACCAATTTTTTACAATTCTGGTGCCTTCTCTCCATTGGCAAGAGTAATTAACCGCAAAACTTGAAAAGCCATAGGGTTTGGGTAAAGCCAACATACAAACCAAAAACAATGATTCCAAAAAATAAAGTACTTTAACGGAGAACAGTGGCCATATTGCTTATTAGCCCAATATCGTTCACAATCTACGCCATGGATTCCGCCCTAACCTTGGCACCAAAACGGGATTATAGGCCCCCCTGGGAAACGAAGGCGAGCAAATGAGGAAGGATGCGTCATTCACCTTTCCTGTTGGTCAGCTATAGTCCTGTATGAGAAAGTTAATGAACCAAGAACATTGTTATCAATTCTACTTTAAAGTCGTAAGAACTTTGTTCTCGGGATTCGGCAACAGCTGTTGTTGAACACACGTGGTACAAGATGTTCTGCTATTGTCTGTTCCATTTAGAAACCAGTGTGAAGCTGAGAAATTGTTGGCCTATTTCAGAGCCAAAAAGAAAGAAAAAAGGTCATAGAACAGCCAATAAGGCAGTCAGTAGTTCTGTCCGTTGACGTTTTTGGAGATAATTCAAAATCTCACTGTAGATAATCGAGCGGAAATATTCTCTATTTAAAGAGGTCATGTAAATCGAATCGTTTTTATATGAGATAGGTAATGCCAGGAAATTGATAACCAAACCCAAAGATACGGAGAAGGAAATGCTTTCGACGCTAAACCCAAATTAGTAAAACTCAAAAGAGGTTGATTTATGAAAAAAATTAATTTTAAATGGGACATAATTCAAGATTGATACCTGCAGAAAAACAATGGCAGTTGAAAGAAAAGAATGCAAAGAGAGGTAACTTAAAATAAGAAACTTTACGAGAGGAATCTTTAGAATCTTTACGATAACTTTAAAAAGTTTGTCGTCTTATGTAATCCCCTGTAAGACAACATTTTTTTATCTTTTAAAAATCATTCATCTATTCCAGTCCTTAAAGAGATAAATCATTTCTCAAAAGTAGTATTTTATCGTTCAATTCATCTTTCAAAGGTTTTTGAATGATATGTTGACTTTTAACGAGATACAAGTTAAGCAAATATCCGTAATAAAAGTTTGCCACTTTAGTCATACCCTGAGCTTTAAACTTTTAACCAGAATGTTGAACATAAAATTATAAAGTTCTGAAACAAAAATTACTTAACCACTTGATTGTTAAAATAAAAACTGTGTATACTTAAATAATTTTAATGAAAGCCAAAATTTATGTATAAATTTGAACTAAAGCAATGAAAGTGCTCATAATAGCAACTAAACACTTTGGCAGACACTGTACCAGCAGACAAACACGTAGCTGTAACCAAGATGCATTGCGAACTGCCTTCTTTGATGTGATTATCAATTGTCGACGAAAATTCGGGAAATCAATATAGTATAATTCCCTCACCAGACAGTTATTGTCATCTGAGCAAAAACAAATGTCCATGGTGCCTTGGTAAATTTTATCTATTGGACGTTTAGGTCTAATTCAATGGATTTTCAATCTTTTAGTGTAGTACAGAGCAATGCAATGAAACTTGAACACTTTATTAAGCAGTATTAGGCAGAGGCATAATGCTTTAATAAGCATTCATTGTGAACATCCAAAGCAGATTTATGCTATTTCGCTTCTTTGATTTCCAGATTCAAGAGAATCAGGGAGACAGGCTGAAGAGATTTTCGCTACCGAGTAAACATAGCATTTTATGTGTTGATGATCGATCGTTGGTCATGCCTAGTTTCATTCTAGAGCCGTGAAAGAGCTATGAAATTCGCTATGAAATTGTTTAATCGTACTGAACGATCAGTGCAGTCTAAAAATCACAAATGTTATAATTAATGGTTGGGCTGTGCGACGGCTTTTTCAGCTAATCAAGGAGCATTTTGCTCAACAATTTAACGGACACGCCCTCGCCGTTTGCTTTGTAAGTCATAGAAGCTATGGAAAGTATGGTTAAAAAATAAGGAAAGTATGGTTAGAAGTTAAGGAAAGTATGGTTTTCGCACTTGCAAGGTTTTGACAAAAGTTAAAAAATTGAAACCTTAAAGAATTTCTATATGCACATCCGATATTTCCGTAAAAGGGCCTTACTTTCCATCCAAAGTTTTTCATAAAAAACCTAAGAATGAAATCTTGAAACATGTTTTGTGAAAGAGAGAGGTTTCTACTGCTTCGTTTTTTCTTAGTTAAACAGATTTCCTAGTATTGACAGTTTTTCGATTTGGCTTCATAAAGGTGAGTGCCCTGGAGATGAGGCTGCTTACCCCCTGAATCATGATAACAACATTACCATAGAGAAGATAACAAGGTTTTGCCTCCTACTTTAGACAAACAAAGTTCAGATTCCCGCCCAGGCCAATTCATGATTGCATTGATCTATAGTCTTGTTTGAGTGATTTAATAATTCGAATATTAGCGGTGTAGCTGCTGTTTACAACTGTCGTAGTAAACAAAGTGAATGGGAATGCAGTTTGTCTTGTTTAGATGCATTTTTTGATGATTTGACAGAGATTGAATTCAATACTTGATGATTTTGTAAGCTATCTGTAGATTACGAGGAAAGTTTTGTAAGTAACTTGTTTTTATCTTATAATGTCAGTCAATAAAACATACACTGCTGAAATATACAAAAATTGTCATCAGAATTCGAACTGTAGTTGCCAGGCCCCGTAGAAGTACCTGTGACGTAATGAGTTGCTATATTTCGAAATCCACTATGTAAATAAAGTACTGTTGTAAGACAACCACTGTACGCTACCCCTATAAACATATTTAAAGCTGATGTAAGAAAGGGGTAAGAGAGCTGTTTCAGCGAGAGAAATACTCTATTTATCTAGATAATCTTTACAAATTCACAGTACAATCTCATTGGATTCTAGCAAATTATCTAGTGGATTTATCTTCGGAACTCTATGTTACTACCAGAAGGAATGCAGCCTTACATATACGAATTCTTCTTTATCCTGTATATTCTAATAATGTTTTGTTGCTAAATGACGTAGATATTTTGTTCGGGTGCCAAGAATTCAGATTTATTAGGTCTTTTAAAGTGAGCCAAAGACCGATTTGAAAGATGGCGGCAAACCTTAATTTCAATAACCACGTCTTTCCTTGTCATCTACGAAGACATCACTAAATCTCCGTCCGAAAAATATGCTATTAATTTGCCGAAATCATAATCTATTTCCCAGAATCAACTATGATTATTATTAAAAAATGTTTTGCAAATCCACCTAACTATTATTCGCTTTAATTTAGTGCTGTTGTCTTCCTGTATTTAGTCGTCTTCACTATTGAAATAAAATCGCATTACCACTAAAATCGTACGAACAAAGCTAGGCGAAACAAAACAAACACCATGACATCAGAGCCTTTGGATGTATAGAGTGTATTAGGTTTTGATGCAAACTTGCAAGCCTCGCAAACCAGTCTGTCCACGGGCGTTATGCTGACAAAGCGAGCTATAGCCCCCTCAAACTTGCTTTTGCTCCCTGGGGGCTTATTTATTTTTAATATTTTTGGAAGGGGGGTTATTCGTGGGGCGCTTTTAAAAGGGGGAGGCTTATAGAATTATTGCAGACATTAAGAAGACATTAATAAAAGGCCTCATATATTTTAATAGGAATTTCTTTATGCACATTTAATCATTATGAGCATTTATGAACATTTTATGAACTTTGCTACCAAAAGAATGAATTTTGCGGTGATTCGATAAAACGCCAAAGGCAGCCTCAGATTAGCCTCTGTTCCAGACCCCTAACTTGAAAGTAGGGGTCTGGAGCATAGGCTACCTCAGATGGCAACAATCAACAAATCGAAGGGGCCAATTCGAGGATTTACGGTAGCAGTGGGGGCTTATTCGAGAGAGCGCTTTTTCGAGGGGGGGGAGGGGGTTTCGAGGAGCGGCTTTTTCGAGGGGGGGACAATTTGAGGATTTACGCAACCGCAGATTTCACAAAACCGCGCGCTCATTTGGTATGATAGCCAAGGACTGTTACAATAGATGCTTACAACAACATTGGGGCCCTTTAACTAATAAAGAATCCATTCTCCGTTATTCATTGAGAAGCGAAATGAAATCCCGTCAAGGGTCCCGCATTTGTTTCTTCGCTTGCATCAATGCTATTCGGAAGCATGTCTATACGGAATACCACCGGGCTAAATCATATATAATAATCCTTTGATCTCACGACAGACTTTTAATGGGTTGGAAATCTGCCGTTGTTTAGTGGTATAGGTCTATGCCGAATCGTCCCTGTAATGAGAAAGGCACTAGATATCATACTAATCTTTAATTGAAGCAGAAAAGGCAGTTTTTAAATAATTCCGCGCCTCTTGAGTTATTACGACCTAAGCTGCATAATTTGGCGCCAAAATTATCATAAACATTGGGCAATGGTCTTACTCAACGGGTCAACATCAGTGGTTTGCCATTACAATATTCCTGTATATCGAGGTGAAAGGCAAAACATGAGCCAGTCATACAGAAATCCCACTACAACACATGTCCACAAACATGAAGTCTATATGCATTACCCAGGGGGCCTGGGACCTGCTCCATTACAGCAATGTGGGGGTCGTTAAGGTTCAGTCGAATGGCTTTTATTTTCCTTCTAATGTCCTGCCCTCAAAATTTCATTCTGAATTGCAACAGCAAGTTAAAGATGCTCTTGAAAATTTTATATCATTTTATATGGTGTATACTCTAGTGCAGAATAATATCGTTCCTGACAAGTCTTTATAATGAAATAAATGACTCCAGGCAGCGTAGCATGCGGGCGGGGTTCATTGCTTCTTATTTCATTGTAAATTACTTAATTTGTAGCTTTCCTGTTGGTATTAGACTTGTATTAGACTTTCCTAATTTCCTAATTTATTATTCGTTTTCAAACCTAATTTTCTCAAAATCGTCTCGCTTTTTGGCCTTTAGTTTCATTTAATTTCTCTCATAGTAAGCAAATATAACGAAGAAGGGCACGGTGCTTGGAAGGGCACCTATTATGGTAACAAGTCATCGAAGAGATCTGTTAAAAAGGACACTTGCAAATACTAGGGGTGGGGGGTACTGTACTCTTGTAGGAGGGGGCTGAGGTTGCAAGCACTGGAAGTGGAAGGGTCTGAGAGAAAGTGGGCGTGGCTCTATTGTATAAATAAGCCTGGACAGGGTGACTCATGCCAGTGCTAACTAAAAGGTGATAGAATCAATAATGTTCAGGGAAAGAATTTAGGTTGGTGCCTGTCGTGAACGACAGACGTGGTCTTTTTATAAACGTTCATCCTTCCACATATTTACATAGGGCTGTTTATCTAAACTGAATAAAAAGGAACATCATAACCTTTTGCACGATATTTCCAGAAACAAATTTCCTAAAGAAAGTATATTCAGCAGAACAAACAGTAGGCCCATTGTTATTGCATATCTTGCCAAATGAGCCCAAGCAAGTCAGTTCTAAATTAAGCAAATTAACAAATGAAGTTTGGCCTTTGATGATGTCAGTCACTCTCTTTTAAGCATCAATACACGTAACTGATCAGACAACTTATGCTGAAATCGCAAGTTCTGGTTAATTGTATCAAATTCATCCTCAATCTCGTTAGTTTAAAATAGCCACTGAAGAATGAGACAATTGGATCTAGTTGGAGCTTTCGGTAAAGAAAATCCCACAAAACGATCAATGTATCACCGTATCCATGGCTGAAAAGAGCATTTTGAGCATTTATCTTTCATCACAATTGCAAAACTAACGAGAATATGACCTCCATAGTAGTTTTGAGCGCTTTGACCAAAATTGATTAAGGAATCATGTTTGAGCCGTTTTATGCTTCACTAAGGGAGCATTGTCATTTTGAACAGGGAGATTTGTCTGTCATATTATATTTGTTATGTATTTGCAAATTTCGAAAATAAACTTGTTGGACCTTTGAGAACCAGGTCATACCACTAGCGAAACCAGGCTTAATGAATGCATTCACAGCGTATAAATTTTGCTTCAAAACTGTCGAACCTTATTAAATAAGGAGCGGGGAGGCCACTTGCACTCGTTCAAATTAACGCAGATATATGTTTTCACTTTCCAAGCATAGAGAATTATTTGGCCTGTTCAACATCAGAAACAGATTGAGATCTATTCGCTCTAAAGGGCTTGGTGTATTGAATATCCGCTTATGAATCGTCTCTGTCGAAGTCGAGGTATAGCCTCGTTCCCCTTAAAGTGAATTGCAAATTATGGCTTCCAACCCAACATTGCTTTCAGTTCTTTAAAAACCCAGTGGTGTAGTGAACATTAAGTTCTTTTGAAAGGAGTTGAAGAGGAAGGGGGTGAAAGGAATTTATTTTTGCCCCTACTGTTATTCTATTTCTTAATGAAAATAGCTTTGCAAATTCACAGAATTTTCATTCTTTCGCCCTACCAGTTTTAAAGCTGTTTCAATTTTATGTTTATACTAAGTTTAATGCAAGTGACATGTTCAAGTAACCAGTTACAGTGTTGCTCCCTGTATACTTTCCTGTATACCAAACCGAATCATAAAAACTTTCATTTTTGATAGCATACGTCGGGCACAGAATTGGGTCAGAGGTGGTGCCAGAAATCTTCCGACAAAGGGGTTGGAGCTTCCGACAGGGGGGCTAAAATGACTAAAATAAGCAATTTTCGTACGCTATTTTGTCAAATTTGCTCCGATAATAACCTAAAAATTTCCTCCGATGGGGGGGGGGGGGCTAGATGCTTCCGACGGAGGGGCTGTAGCCCCCTCCTAGCCCTCCCCTGGCGCCACCACTGAATAGGGTTAAGTTAACATATGTGGTCATGCTCACGTGTATAGGGAATGATAGTTGTAAATATCCTATTGGAGACAAAACGAAATGCAACGAAACAAGTGATTCATCTTTTCCCAATTTGTCTACATGTCAAGCAAGATCTTACCCCATACCTCTTGACGCTGCCACTGTCCCCTGCCATGACAACACCCTCTAATTGGGCATCCTAGAGTATTATTTGTTGTAATTTTTGTTCCTAATTTAATTCGAGTAATCTTAGGAGCCTTTCTTTCTGGCACCTTTATTGATCATAATCAGCTCTGTTTAGGCCAAGTAAATTTTGCTTTCACGCAGAACTCAAAATAATCAAATGTTGATTTGTCATCTGCCGTGCAGTTACTCATTGCTACCCTTCCCCGAGGCATATCAGATATGCAGTTGTTATGAGTCTGGCAAATAAGATGATAGAATAACCATGCTACATTCAAACATGTTAACCTTGTTTGATTATCTGATCAAACTTGAGTGCCACGGGCTCATTCAATCGTTTGTAACCGATAGTTTCCTGAAAGTTCATATCATTTTTCTTGTTTTCATTCACTACATGAAAGGACGGGAAGTGCTTTTAGACGTTTAAGCTTTTTTCTGTTTTGATATGTAACTATTCGATCCCAAAACATTCATTTCGAGTGACAAGATTTTTCAAACATTTTTAAAACCTCAGTTAATTGCTATTTTTAATTGATGTTTCTCAATACGTTGGTTCTGTAGAGCACCGGAAAAAAACAGTAAATGTTTGAATTTTCTCTTATTAGAAGCAGCAGCGTAGAAATGGACACGGAAATTAATCCAAAGTAAATTAAGTAGAAAAGGAGTTGTCAATGTTTTAAGTGATGGACCTGATTACAAGGCAGACGCTCAAACTACAAGTCGACAACCTTCAAAATTTAGCTTAGATTTGCAAATATATTTTCCAACGCAGGGTAGTGCTTAGAGTGCTCAAATTGCAAGAAGATGCTTGAAGATGGGAACACCCAACCATTGGCGACATCAAATCATCGTTGAATACTTTCACACTGTAGAGCTGTTTGGGTTAACAAAGAATTACAAATGCTAGAATTTACATTTTAAAGCCGTTGAGACCCTAATACTAATTATGGTTCTTTTAAATTATTCTTTTTACATTATTTTTATTATTTTTATATTTAGTAATTTTCGATTTAAGTTGTTCAGTATGGTTCAGAAGAGCTGTGCGATATCTTACTGTATCTCACTACACTCAGCTGGGCAGTATCAAAATCGTGATGTTTTGATAATGGTGCTAAATCAGACATATCATAATACTCTCGAATCGTGATTCCTAATCCTCTTATAATGTGGAAACAAAAATACATATCCATACTAAAGTAAGGAGTCAGTACTGAGCCTAAAATAACTCGTGGCATTCTAACACACGAAAGAGCTGAATATTTCAAGAACCCCAACATTTGAATGGAGCTTATGCCGTGGAAAAAGAGGCGATAGCAAATAGGCAGGCACCACTGATCTGTCTCGATCCAGAGAGCGTTTAAAATGAAAACGAGACATTGTCCACATTTCTTCTGCATAAAAACACGATGTTTTCTGCGATTATGGTTTTGTATAAAACATTTCGAACTAGCTCTGTGGCAAAATTCTTAATTGCAAAGTCAACCTTTCAATTTACTTAGTTCACAACATAGGCCTGATTAACTATTTTCTGGTTGTAACAGACACATCATAATAGATCTAGGTATGTCGTTTTAATTGTTATTCGTCGATCTATATTGATTGATAGTGAAGGGCCATCATAAATACTATCTAAAAATCCACATCGTCGTTCAATTTGTTTCTGATATCACATTCCTCTTCTCTTTCCAGTTGTTTTGAAGTTTTCAACGAATCCTTAACCAGATTGATCATAAGTAAAGTGGATTGACTTAAAGTAAGTTCGATTCCTTTTTAAAGCCGTCTTTGAATTATATATGCTGCATGCTTTATGGATAACTGTTTGATAGGTCTCCAAATGCCTAAACCTGATGCGAGATAGCAGAAGAAAGGAAATGTAAAACATTTCTTTTCAATTGAGGTTCTACTAATCGTTTCCATCCGTGCTCTGCCATCTGCCTTTAGCAGATCATCCTTCGACTTTTCTGATATACCTGTTGTAATATGTGCCGTGCTCTTTTGTTTAAGTTTTGATCTCGTTTCCCGCAGTTATTATCGCAAACTACAGCAAAAACAGACAAAAATATGTAGTAAACAAATGTAACTTCGTTCCAAATTCAAACACGACAATGTTATGATTTGAAAAACAAGCTTTTTACCCTAGGGTCTTTAGATTTTGGTCATTATAGCTAACAAATCTGTCGCTTTCGTGATACAAAAGCTTTTATGGACTAAGCACAAATTAGTTAGAAAATACACTCTTCTAGTAGGCAGAGACACGTGTTGACCTTCCTCATTTTTGAATATTTTACCGGGTGTCACTCGGGTCATTTCGTGAAGAAGATTTAAACAGCTATGACGTCATAGGCACATTGTGGGTGTCGACCTCCGCGGAGGACCATTTTGTCTCTAATATTCCAAAGAAAAACAAGAAGCTCTGCAGATTCTGCTTACTTACATTGTAATTGTGTTGAAACGATTCAGACCCTTTGGATGACTGATTGTAGCCTTTTTAAAATAATCTAGGTTTCGTAGCGAAAGTTGTCACTGCCGTTAAAACATTTTATCTTTTGAAAATGAGCACAACCTCACTTTATGATTAAAAATTAATTAACATCGCCTTTCCTTTGAATTCTAGAATCACTTTGGAAAAGTGGTAACAATATTTACGTTAAAAAAGCTTTTCTTGAGTTATCAGCGCGTCTTTGGCTCAGAAATAGCCTCGACCCATCAAACTGACTACCAGCTTTATGCCATAGATTGTTTATTTTCCCAATATCACAACAAATAAGTAGTTAAAATTGAAAACGATTACGTCATCTAACTGTTACAAAGATGAGAGCACTCACCGTTTCTTTGCGTGTGCCTCCGGAAGGGGCGTGCAAAAGACAATTGAAGACCCTATGTGCTTCTTCTGTTGTTTATATAGAAAACAAGGTATATTATATAGATTATTAAAAACTAAATAATGGTCCTTTATTTGCGGCATGACATTGCGCAGTTTCTTTCTGAGTGAGAGCCCACTGCTACCATTGACTATGCTGCTACGTAAAAAGAGTTTCACAGTGATGTCACGAGGACATGAAGCAACATATCAATGAGACATTTGTTGTTAACGTCTTGTTTATGCAAGAGTCTCTTAGCTATAACGGTCATTCACACGAGTAGCCTTACTCAGACATAACAAAAAGCTTCTCACGACTGTGCTTTCCTGCCGAGTATTCACATAGAAAGTCTACGAACAGTGTACACTGCGTTTTTTCAATTCTGATGCCTTTTCAATTTCTCACGTGCATCAGGGATGCACTATTCATTTCCTTATGCCTGCTTCTTGCTTGTTTGTGTGAAAATAAATTTGTTTTTTTCCTTCTTTCTCTTAAATCTTTATTGCTAGCTATTTATTTTTGCCGTCTTGTGATAGTTTATCTTTACAATGTATCGAAAGTATCAAAAGGCATGAGTTGGATTTTTAACGGAATATCAAACGTTTCATTATTATAGTTGTCTCCTACTAGTGTTGTTGAGATGAAGAAAATTCATAAGAAAACCCTTTATGGTTTAGTGACAAGTCACAAACTGACGAAATTTACTTGCTTTTGATGTTTCCTTTTCTACTAGCGATCTTATGTCTAATGCTTTTTGATAATAAATATATTTTCTTGTTCTGAACTTTTTAATTGCATGGCATCATTCACGTCAACACAGATACGTTGATGACCTCAAGGCATTCTTCAGGCAGTGGTATTCTAGTAATGTACGTGACTGCCTTCGCTCTACTCTAGCACCATTTAATAACCAAAACGTAATCCAAATGCTCAGTCGTTTCTAATCCTTTGAAAACAGGGTAGAACAATAACAGGCCTACCACCTCCAGTCAAAAGAAACGTTGTTTTCTCTCATAAGCATGCCAGGCCATTCAGAGCTTAGTGTAAAAAGCTTCGTTCATGTTATGATTGATTGATTTACATCGTCGATAAAGTACATCTGTACACAATTTGAGTCAACATGTAATAATAATGCAAAGGAATTCAGTCTAAATAAACAGTAATCAGGATATGGAATGATTAATTCATAAATAAGGTGATTACTTTTTGTGGTTATTCCCACTGAATGCGTTTTGATAAACCGTATCTTCCTGCAGAACAAAGCTCGCAGTTTATGATCTCTTAGTTATGATCATGATTATGCCAACTTGACAGTTGAAACAGCATAATCAACATCCAAGTCACATTGATAAGCATTTGCACCAGCAGCAGAACCTGTGATGTTCTTTGGAAAACTTATGCTTGTTTGGTTATTTATTCACAAGCTGTCATGATCTTATTCTTGTCATGATATTTCCTTATTTTTCTCAAAAATTATGGGAAGCAACTTTCTCTGGAGTGCGTGCTTACCAGTGTGCAAAGTGTGCTATGGAAAGGCCTATGCTTGCATGCCATATAATTGGCACAAGGAGGACTGGACCCGAGAAACATGATGGAAATGACTGTCCCACTGATCTACTGTCCACGTGCGAGATCTTGTCGAAATCTCCTTACAGATCATATTCGGTACTATTGCTCTGTAGAAGGTCGCAGGGTCAGTTACCTAATTTCATGAGTATGAATAGCTGTGTCGTGAGAGAGGGGTCAGCATCCCTCACAAGCGTCCGAAACGTGCACAAATCAATCACCCACCCCTGACTGCCCACCCAAACCCCCTACAAACTAAAATCATGACGCCCCTTAATATGAAATTTTCGTACAAAACAGGGAGAATGTGGTGTTGACCAACTTATTCAACACAGAAGAGCGACAGGTACTGATTTAGACTAGACGAGTATACTGTATTTATGAAAATAAAGGTTTCTTACCTAAGGGACATCAACCCTACTGCATCAACCCCCTCAGTAAAACTTTGTGCTTAGCTTTCAACCATTTTGTAAGGTTTTTTCGTTCTTCAAGCAAAATTTGAAGTTAAGTGCGTTATTTGTAAAACACTGTTTAAGCAGACATTTTTCTTTTCACCCGTTATCTACTCACAGTTGGACAGTACACTTCTAAATTCATTGCTTTTATCTCTTTTTTCCACCTACGTTGATAGTGGAAATCAGAAACCACATTCTAACAAGGAAGACAAAAGCCTGTTTACTTCGAGGCATTTCATATGAAGAGCAAAACAGTTTAATTACTTCTTATTAGAAATAAAAGCACCTTCGAAAACGCGACAATCTTACTCGCGATTCGTGGTCTGTCGTTGTAGAACAATTCATTATTTACCAGACCATTATTCGCTATAATCCCCTTATTAACGCCTAAAACCTTAAATTAATTTTGCATAGATTTTTCCCTCTGATTGCAATGTTGTGGTATTTTGCTTGTAAATATTGTTATTTTTTGTAAACAAAATGAAATTCCCAAGCAAACTTGCCACACGCACCTCTAGCATTCCAACGCATTCAATATTTGCTCTTTTCGTTAATTTTCTTTTATTCCACTCTGTCCCTCACTAGAAGCATTGTTCTGTTTCGACTATTTTTAAATTATGAAGTTTTCAATAACAGTCACAGAGCATCGAAAATAGTAAACTTTGCAATTTGAAAGATTAAGTCGCCTTTGCTTGCCTTTTATGTCCCAGACACCAGTACTTTAAATATGAATTCCTTTAGAATAACTGTTAAATGACAAATTTTCGTAACAAGCTACGGACTAGCTCTACTCAAATAAACGAGTCGATGGAAGATCTAAAGTGATTATCACTTCCGAAAAATTAAGATCATATTAATAGGTGCTCAGGATGGTGGTACAAACCATATACCCAGAAAAGTAATTTATAGCACAAAAAATAGACCCAATAAGTAAGTTTGCGTTTCTTTTGTGAATCATGTTTTTTTTATTTTCTAACTTTTCTCATATTCAACACCCAAAACATACTTCAGAACTTCATGACCCCATTAAAGGAATTGTACAATTTAATGACTCAAAAAAAAGCTATGGGTCCAATTTAAGACCCAAACAACGCCTATATAAAACCATCTAAATCATCCATTTTTCAGCTTCTATTCTATATTTCCAGTCTACCCTTTAAACTCCAAGCAACCTTTTTCTAACACATATCCCAAAAATATATATCTACCTATTCTGCTAATAGTTTAATAGTTCTAAATTATTTAACCTGTTGCTCATTTTAACATATTTCACATCGAAACACCTTGTTGAGAGCCATATATTGAAATGTCTTGCACCAACACAAGCCTATATCCGATCTACACATGTTGGTAACTTATCATTTGGTGCTGCATTAAACGTCTGGCCCTGTTACCTGTCTGGTCCTGCTTTGCATTCTTTGTGAATCTGGGTTTTTGGCACTCCTAAACATGCAGTTTGGTTTCTATAAATATGCAACTGGACCGAGGATCACGGGATAATTGGGTTCCACTAAGGCAAAGAGCATGTAACGCTAGTTTAGTAGCTCCGGTTTTGAGGACATTCTTTAATCAAACCCATGCTGGATTAAGTGCCTTCTCGTTTAAATTGATAACTTGGCCTCAGTAATCCAGAGATCATTGACTCTGGTTCGTCAAACCAGCTGTTCAATATGTCTTGCATATTTGGAAAGACAGATCTTTTTTTGCTTGTGAATTAGTTTCTGACGAGTTAGTACTGACTACTGACTAGTAACATAATTATCGCTACCACTCTATGACCTGACCGAGGCCCGTGTCGTCTGCAGTACTGAGGGACGAGGCCAGTAGTGTTATCTATCGTCTTTGTCCTCAAGCTCGTTTGACTTTTTGCT